GGGGGGGGGTAAAAGAGGGAAGGTGGAAGTGGGAAATGGGGACGTACGTCTGGATTCAGCGAGGCGACACTACGTGCCAGCGAGTAGCCTGGGAATTCGAGCCATTGGCCTACACTGGGGGCTTCGCCGCGGCGTGCTCGCTCTAGGGAGGTTCGGAGCCGGGTGGGCGCCAACGTGGACGTGGACGTGGACGTGGGCGCGGATGCTGGAGGGGCTTGGTAAACCATGTTTGTGGTGGTGCTGCCGTAATCTACGGGTACGAATCAAAGAATGCGTCCGTAGTCTATTGCTATTGCTGGAAAGCCGGGAGGTGCGCCTAGATATTGGGTGCCTCTGGGCCGCGGTTATTGTCTCTTTAGCTCTTAACGCAATTGCTGTCAACGGCCCGTGGATATAGCTATAGCCGATAGGCGATTTTTCGGCTAGTGGTCTGGGTGGGCACCCGGAGATGTGCGGTTGGGACCTTGGTGAGAGAGCAGTAATGCAAGGCGATTACAGTTTACCGCCTGGTTGCCTTGGCCCCCACGTTGCCGTATTCGATCACGCCACCCGATGTTGCGACGTTGGTGGTTAAGCTGGAGCTATGGTTCTATGCTCGCAGCCTTAGTTTCTATCAGTGCTGCGGCACTTCTGATCACCTTCGTAAGACGCCTTACCCTTTATCAGGCAAGTTTGGGTTGAAATCACAGATTCTGAACCTGTTACTCGCCTTGAGGGTAACATGAGCGAGATGATTGGCCACATTGCACGCGAAATTATTCGGGTTGGGAACGCAACTCCAGTCTAAGCAGTGTCTGGCCATTGCTCGAGCACTGTGTACCCAAAGGCTCACGGCGTGATTCCAAGAGTCATGAGAAGAGAACATGCAGCTGCTTTTCGCGCTAGTCCGGACTTGTCACTCGATCTGAACCCCGCGATTGCCCTCCTCCGCCCTTGAACCTCGATAACATCCCACCGTAAGAACACAGTCCTTACTGTCGTCCTACCCGAGTCTCCTTCGACGACGCTACTGCGTAAGACAGTGGAGGTCCAAGCCCTTCAATGCCAGTGCCCGTCCTGCCGCGATAGCCTACGCAACATATCGCCCCGAAGCGATGTCTGACCTCGACGCCACCACACCACGCGTCTTCCTCGCCCGCCATGGTACGTGAACATTTGCCCTAAACATGGCCTCCCCCTCGAAAAGTCCCACACTTCTCCCGCTCCCGCAACGACTACATTGTTCTTTCCTCCTCTCACCGGCACAAAACACGTTTTTCCAAGACGCTGAATCCGCCTTCCCCCCAAAGGTGAAACGGAATGGACCATCTCAGGCCAGCACACGGGCACGACCGACCTCCCACTCACCCCCCTGGGCGAGCGCCAGGTCTCCTCCACGGGCCGCCTGCTAGTCGGGCCCGGAAAACTCATCGATCCCCGGCGCGTACAGCGCGTGTGGGTGTCGCCGCGGCGGCGGGCTCGACGCACGTTCCAGCTGCTCTTCGGGTCTCTCCCGGTACCACCATCAGCCGATAGTGAGGGCGGCGGGGAGGAGGTCGCGGGCGTCAAGGTTGAGGGGCTCTTTGGCGGTGGAATCGGGTCTGTGGTGGTCTCGGAGCGGATACGGGAGTGGGACTATGGGGAGTATGAGGGGATGCGGCCGGATGAGGTGCGGGAATCGAGGCGAAGGATGGGGATGGAGAAGGAAGGGGACCCGCCGTGGAGTGTGTGGAGGGATGGATGCGTGGGCGGCGAGTATGCGAAAGGACTTCTTGGATGGGCTGATGCTGACGGTAGACAGATCGAAGGCCGACATCGAGGAGCGTCTTGATAGGTTGATCGGTGAGATCAAGGAACTACAGAAGCCTTATATGGAGAGTGGGGGGAATGGGGATATTGTACTGGTTCGTATACCGCTCATCTTGCCCATCAATTGAAGTAGAAAGCTGATGCGGTGTTCTCTAGGTGGCGCACGGGCTGATTCTACGGTGCTTCGTCAAACGATGGTTGGATTTGCCAGTCGACGACTCGCTCCCCATGCTCTTATCCCCTGGATCAATTGCGATTTTGAGGTACGTATCTTTGCGCGTCTCAAGGATGATTTGCGAAGGAGCACTGACTCACATGACGCTATAGTTATAAGAAACATGATATTAAGCAGCCAGCCTTCTACATGGGCATGGCGCTCCCGGCGGGCGAATGATGGGGATGAGATACCAAGGTTAATACTTCCACTGTGACCAGGTGAAAGGCACTGTATGCATCGGTAATCTGTGGTAGCACTAGGATCTTCCAGATGCTCATCGTTCCTTGCCTTTTCATCTCTTACCTTCAAATTCCTCCTCACGTTCCACATCGAACTTCAGCGTTCGGTCCAGGCTCTTGGCCTCAAATCTCAACAATCCTACCCTCTGGCTGCTGTACAACTGGTGACAATGGGGAGGTTGGCGATTCAAACAGCCAACCAGAGCTTGGCGAAGCAGGCGAGTAGAACCGCTCTCCAATGCTCTCCCACTGTTCCGTTCCAATGTCATTCCGCGTGGTAAACGAGTTATCCAGGGAGCTCAGACTCGACGCGGCTTCACTCAGCTCCGAGTGGAAAGACGATCTTGCGGAGAGGAAGAAGCCAGATTCGAGCAGGCTATCGATGGACTTCGTCTCCTCAATCTCCGCCACGGCGGTAGCGACAAGAGTATCAAAGGCGTCGGCGAGTTTCTCGTCATAGTCACGCCGTTGCTCGAGCAGAGCTCGACTCATCGTGACACTCTTTGGACTGAGGTCGTATGCCGCTTTCAGTGGGTGAACAGCCGTCAACATATTGATGGTATCAACGTCGGCGAATTCTGCTACTACGGGAAGTATTTTCGGCCCTGCCACATAACGTTAGAACTTATGGGAATCCAAGACTTTGGTCTGTATCTGACACGACCGGGGTGTCTTACCGCTGAACGTCGTTGAGGTCATGTAATTATAGCATCTGTCCACGAATAGCCGCAGGACCGGGTGGTTGTTGTATTTTATGGCGGTAGTCAAAGGCGTCTGACCGCTCCTGGAGACGGCGTTCAGGTTTGCGCTATGTTCCAGTAATAGGAGGGCACAATCTGTGTTGTGGGTGCGTGCCACGGAGTGCAGAGCTGTGAGTCCTTCCGGATTGCAGGCATTAGGCTCGGCGTAGCGCTCAAGCAATAGCTTTAGAAGCGTTGGCATTCCTGCGAATCCTGCGGCCGTCAAAGGACTGCTGCGAAGCAGACCTTCGGGATACTCTGGATTCGGACTACCGCCGGCATCCAGAATGATGCGAAGGCTGTCAATATTGTGACTGTCAACCGCGTGTAGGACGGGGGTCCTGCCAGTGATGTCCATGTTGTTCGGATCGGCACCGTGCTTGATAAGCAACACCATGTCATCAAGCTGAGATCGAGCTGTAGCCCAATCGAGGGCTGTTCGGTGTTGTGCGTCGGTAAGATGCACAGCATTTTCATTCTCGGCCAGTTCCAGGGCAAGAGACTTGGACGACATTCCGAGAATAATCCTGTGGACTAGAGGGAAATTCTGCTCTTCAACCCAGTCACCCTCTCCACCTTCTGTAATGCAACGAAGCGCTGTCTGCTGCGGTGTCGTACATTTTCCTCTGGAGACGAAATCCCAAACGTTGTCGTACGAGGCTTCATCTACCGTGGCGCCCTCACTGATCAAGAAACGCACCGTGTCAAAGTTGTGCATGCCTCCGTAAAGGGCCCAGCGCATCAGAGTGTAGCCTCGAGAGTCGCTGACATCTCTTGGTCCTGCCAAACCTTGCGCAAAAAGGTGCCTCAGGCCTTCGATGTCCCCACGCATAGCGAACGAGATCGACTGCGAGTCGTCTGAAACTCTCCTTGTGGTCGACAGCTGGAACGACGGCCCTGATCTTGCGAGGTAAGTGAGATGGAACTTCAGGTTCATTGTCGCCAACCAGGCGGGCAGCCAACACTCCAGTGTAGCTACCGCGGGCCTTCTGATGCGACAGCCCCGACAGGCCGGAAAGTTGCAGGGAGTGTTCAGATGAGGGATGCCAGAGTAGCCCATCGAGATCCTGCCTAGGACACCATTTACCATCATTGGCGAACCAAACTTCCGCTTCCTGTTCATATGGCAAGAACATGGACACCAACTGCGACATGGAGCACGATGTAGGGGCTCTATATCCCTCGTATGCCCATTGCCGACTGGCTCAGTCAATGGCGATGGCTGAGCTGGGATGGTATTCTGGACAAGTGGAAGAGGCTGAATCGTCAGTAAAGCTATCAGTGCTTCAATGCGGCTGGCGATGGCTTGTTGATCGCGGTCGAGACGCTCGTTCAGAGCTAGGTGATTACCGGCCAGCAACTTATCGATGACCTGATTCTCCAACTGGGTTTTCGTTGCCCATGTCAACATTTCCCGCATTCCCTGGAGCAGTACATCCTGCTGTTTTACGGACAGAGTACCCAAGACATTGCTCAACGTGCCTTTCACGGACGCAACGTCTTCCCGGAGTCGTTGGAATACCGTCTCTTCTCTTATCCATATCGTCGTTTTGCTGATAATCTTGATTCTGGATCCTGCACAAGCATCTGTCAGTCTCCCCAGCGCCTGCCCAAGCTTCTCAAGACTGCCTTTGGCACCGGCAAGGGCATCTGTTAATACCTCTTGGCTTGCTTCGGGTACACATGACTGCTCATTCAAGGCGCCGCTGACCAGCCGAAGAAGGCCCTCTAATTCTTTGATATCTTGTTTCAGAACATTGACCTTGCCTGGCACTTCTCCGATGCGTCGCAATGTCGATATGGCGTCGTAGATTTTGGCAGCAACGCCGGCGAGTGCTAAAGCACTACAGGCGATCGACAAAGGGTCCATTAGAACAGTCGTCGGACGAAACCATACGTCGCGGTATCAGGCTTCGACGGGTGAGCTCTGCGAGGACAACGTGGAGGTAGAGACCGTTGCAGTCGGTTGTGGAGGCGCGTCTCTGGGTCAAATCACCTGCCCTTCCGGCCTTAGTCATTCGGGGCCTTCATGAGTTTACTATTTCTGCGAATTGCTCCATACTTAGTCTATCGAAGTTGTGATTGCATCGGGCCGGCCCTGGCGATCGGAAGCCAATCCGTGTAGCCGCGCGGCTGGCGAGCCAACCTGGCCGCAATGAGTTGGCAGGCGACTTTCCTAACGCCATCAATCTCGGTCGACTAGCACAATGTCTCATGATCCTAGCAAAAGGCAGCTCAATGGTCTTGACCGCCGAACGCCCACTGTTCGCGCAAATGTTGCGAGGTGTGTCGTTTCAGGTGCGTCTTTGGTTCTGCCGCGGATGTTCGCCTTGGGCTTGGCGCTCATGGAATCCAAGGGTTTAATTGGACATGATAGACTGCCAACTTGGCCACCATGCATACCACTGGTAACGTAGTGTTGTTCCACCCAGTCTTGTCGGCTGTTTTGAGTGCTGCAAGGGGGAATCAAAATGCACGAGAGTTGTATGTCGGCCAATCAACACAATGTAATGCCGGATTGTTCATAGCTACGGCTCAGAGCGCTGCCATCCATCAAGCCATGCAGGTACGCACTTCCCACGAACCTGTAGCCATTCCCCGAAGACCGCCCGGCATACAGCGTTGGACAGCCCACAAAGCCTACAAGCTCGTCTCCAGGCTGCGAAAACCCAGGTACCAGCCCAAGTCTGCCTTCGGAAGTGATGCAGAATTTCCGTCCTTGGGAGATCCATGAGCTGTAGTTGCGAAAGTTGATTGCTTGTCCTTCCCAGCCTGGCCATGTCGAGCCAGACCCTGAACGGACGTCAGCAAAGCGCTCACGATTAATGCCTGAGTCCCAAGCTTGACCACTAGTCGGTAGAAGTTCGTCCAGTACAACATCTGATATAGACGCTATGCGAAGCTCTACGCCAGCACAAAGAGTTTGCCAAAAGTCATTGATACTCGGTGAATCAGAGGCCAACATACCGCCAGGCTCGTCGGACTGTTGGGTCAAGTGCGACAACCAGACCGATCGAGCTTGTAGATACCAGTCGCCGAATAGGCTCCAGAGGTTCGGGTTTGCGTCCTGCAACGTGGGGCATGCGCAGTCTGTACAAACCTGAATCGAACCAAGGCGTACGCCACGAATCGTCAGTGCTGTGCCTGAGTGTCGAAACGATACGATTGGCGGGCGACTTCCACCAGCCCGAAATGTCTGGCCGTGCGGGCTCAGCAGGACTCGGGCATCGATAGCGTCCTGGTGATCTTTCAGTCTAGGGTCTAGAACCCACGATGGCAAGCAATTGTCTGACTTGACAGGTTTGAGCAGATGGAGAAGCTTTGCTAGTGACCCATCTTCAACAACATATCGAGAGAATTGGAAGATGATAGATGCATAGGGCTCCGAGTAATTGACCGAGATCTGCTCCTTGTCATGGTTTCTGGCCATGCCCAACAAACCGTAGATTTGGTCGTGCGGTACCGTCGACTCAAATGAGTCTGTCAATGCCATCAGCTCGATGAGCGGCATACCTTTTTGGAACAAGTCAGGATGGCCATGCTTGAGCTCGAGTAGATTGTGAAACGAGGCACAAGCGTGGTAGCAGCGTGATTGCACTACAGCGGCATTTCCTCGATTACTGTGAGTCCTGTTGTGGTAATTGAGCATACGAAACATGCCGCTGAGCATGATATCTCGCTCGATGGTCCTTTCACCGACGCAAAAAACCACGTTGTCTGGCAACAGCATCTCCTGGATAATCCAGACACGTGTCCAGTACGTTTTGACCGAAAGAGACACGAGGTCTTGCCATATATCACTGTCATTGAGTGCTGTCTGATTCTGCGGCGACAGAAAGCTTCCCAGAAGGGCGGAATCTTGTTCCAACGTAGAATCAAAATCGTGCTGTACTATGTTCGCGAAAGCGACCACAAGGCTGAGAACTCGCTCAGAGACATCGTCCTGATCTCCAAGAAATACGAGTACAGCGTTGGCTTTGCAAAAGATCAGATCCATCATCTTCAACTGAGTGCTTCGTTCTGCGAGACTCGTGGCGCTTGCACCTTGATCAATGCAAACAGCATCGACGTAGAGATCCACCTGTCCACGGTGGGATCTTAGCGATAAGAGAGCTGCATTCAGAGCACAGGTGATAGAGACATGGTAGTGGTCGTCAATGACAATCAAGTGAGGCTTTCTTTGCTCCTGCCACGCATAGCGGTGTGGTTCCAAGTTTCCAGAGACATGGCTATGATGGGTAAGAGCGGCGGAAGACCCCGCATCCAATGTCCAGGTATAGGACAAAGCATCGTAATGCAGACGGACAGCGTCGTTGGAAAGGTTAGTCTCGCGGATAGTGCCACGAAGCGGCAAGTCATTGTTCCCCGCGAAAAGGGTGAAGATACGGCAACCTGACGAATTTGAGATATCCTTGTAGCGATATTCTGACAGAGTGGAAGGTGCGAGTGTCGGCTTGCCGCATGTGCAGATAGCGGCGTTTCCAGGCGTCTCAAGCCTGCCCTCCGCCATCGAGGGTCGAGCGTATTCGATGCAGAGCCCTCTAAGGGAATAGGAGATTATAAGTGGGGCCTGCCATCGGGATACTCGATCACCATTAAGGCCCTCAATCACTCGAGACGCTTGCTTTGTGGCCAAAGTGGTCGGACAAGGTCGTGCTTGGAGGACAATGGGACAAGAAAGTGGAAATGATGTTAAATCTGACTTCTGTAAGGCAGCCACTCAAGGCTTGGCATCGGACTGAGAAAGCATCTTCGTCTAGGGACTAGAACACGACTCGATAACCCCGGAATAGAGGACAAATTGATACGGATATCCGCTATGCCGCTATGGTTCTGATCAATGCTTTCCGCTCTACGCTTCATGTAAAACATAAAGTGCTGGTAACTTCGTAATTTCGCTTCCCAAGACCATAGTCAAAAGCTCGCTTCAGCGCTCCAAATGTTCTCGTACACAACAGCTTTCATCATTGCTCATTTCACTTCGCCTCCTGAGCATCCCTTTTCGTTTTCTTACTGTTGACAACACCCTCGAGAACCTCTAGTCGCTCCCGAGTGATGCGAATGGCCTCTTCAACTTCCTTTTCGGCCATGGTTTCCTCTCGCAGCTTACTGGCCACGTCTTTGCCCTTGAGCACTTTCTGGCGCTGCTTCTGTTTCTGTCTTTGTATGGAGCGATCGTCATCAAGATCGGCGGAGCCCTTTCGATAGCTGATGGTATCCAAGCCGGTGCGAGATTCCAGCCATTCCCAGAGCTCACTCTCTTCTTTGCGCCACATCTCCTCGTATGCTGCGAAGCGGGTGCCATGCGTAACAGCACCGTAAGGACCAAGCTGCCCTGAACCGGATGGACCGCGGAGCCAAAGTATCGTCACCAAGAAGAAAAGCACGCCAATGAGTATCTCCGTCTTCAGGACCGGCCGCAGTACATCGACGATTGGACTCAATGGTCCCCGCAGTGGTTCCAGTAGACCCCAATTATTGTCCTTGGCTGCCACAGCCTCAACCTTCTCCGACTTACGGCTCCTCTCGCCCTTCCTCTTTTTGCCCTTCTTCGCACCTTTACTGGCACTCGTGAGGCCGCGTGGCCGGCCGACGGCGGCTTTGAGGCTCTTAAGCAGACTGTCGCCATATTGCTGTTGGCCATCCTTGGCCCCCTTTTCAATCGGGCCCTTTAGCCACGACTTTGCAGACCATTCGATCGTGCAATTCATTTGTAGACGGGTCTGGTTGCTCGCAGCCCATGTCAGACAGTATCGGGTCTTGGTCAGAAAGGCGTTACCGCTAGGCACATCCGGCGTTTGGGTTGAACAAGTCACAGTAACAGCCCGCTGGAGGTCGTAGAATTCGAGTTCTTCGGTCGTGATGCATTTGGTCTGCTTGGGTCCGATGCTGCCGCCCAGAGGCTTGATGTAGGTGTATTGTCGGGACTGCTTCTCTGCACCAAGGCCTTTCTTATCGTCTTCAAGGGCAAGCTCCAAGCTCTTGCACTCGTCTACAAGAAATTTCCGCATGAAGACGCCAGACTGCGGCCCGTAGAGCAGGGAGTAGATCTTTCCTAGGGGTGCCGATATTACTTCGTCCTTGATAATGATATCGTAGTGGGTACTGCTATCATTGCACTCGGTAGGCGCGTGGGCTGGCGGACCGGGAAAGTCTTGAGGCGCGTCAATTGCCCCGGTCAAAGCAGCTGACGCAGCAGCAACCTCTGCTCCACCAGGAGCCGGTGCAGGAACCGCAGGAACACCGTTGAGGCCAGAGGCTTTGCGTGATATGCTCTTGACGTCGACAGCTTCGCTGCCAGCACGGCTGCCACTACTTCCGACAAAGCTTGGCGTGTCATCATCATCGTCATCTTCTTCGCTGCCTTCAGACTCTCCCTCGCCACTCTCCTCGCCATCCTCGCTTTTATCGTCAGCGGCACCTATCCCTGTGGCCTCTTTGGTGGCTTCCTCGGCAATGACCTCCTTACCAGCTTGGCTCTTCTGGAAGCTGGCCGGATGGCTGACTTTCCAGATCCCGAGCAGAAGCTCGTACGTAGCCTCTCGACTCAGGAGACTGCGAAAGGTATGGCGTGCGTGCAGTGTCTGGATTGCAATGGCGTTGGGGATGACAAGTGCAGTGTTTTCGCGTTCTATGCTGACCACTTCTTCAAAGGAAATGACTAACGTGGTTACCCAACCGAGGATATTGCTCGAGAAACAGATGTGGCCCTCCGAGATGTAGATGCGTCCAGCTAGAATGATCTCCTTCTGTAAGGCGCAGGAATAGTCCTCAATAAGGTAGTCATCCTCGGGAACACTTCTGAAAGCCTGATGAAAGGTGCGATTGCGCTGTTTTGGGGCGACGGCAAATCCAGAAAGACGCGGTGCAGTTGTCGGGTTAACAAGAGCAGCAGTACTAGCTCCGATCATGGCTCCGATCGCGGATTGTCCAGTAGCCGTAGACGAACCTCTACTTCGACGATTGGCCAGGCGACTTCGGACACTGTTGGTCCTTTTGACAGACATGGTCTCCCCTTCATAAATGCTGCCATTGGGCGGTGTTTGCTCGCCTGACAAAGAACCAGCAACTGTCTTGGCTGGTTGTGGCTGGGCCACGGAGTCTGGAGCTTCGGCGACTGGAACAGTCTCGGGCTTCTCGTAGGCAGCGGAGACTGCCCTTTTGGCCAGGGCATCTTCCTCTTTGGCGGCAGCCATGTCTCGCACCAGTGCGCTGTCTCGGAACCCTGCCATCCTCGACTTTGCATCTTCAGCCCTGGCATCGTCCAAGCCTAGGTGCTCAAAATTGAGATCGCCAGTACCCATGGTCTCCACCGCAAGTTGCTTCTTGGGGATTTCGGCACCGTCTTCTGGTTCTTCCTTGATGGATTCGTCGATAGACTTGCCACCCATTGGGTCCGACGTAGTCGTACCGGCTCTGCTGCGATTTGGTCCAGTCAGATTAGAGAAAGTTGTAGCAGCATTCTGCGCGGCTGACATCCACGAGGAAAAGAAGGATCCGCTCGCATTGCGGCTTCCGGGTACAACACTTCCCGCTGGCGTTCTGACTTCCTCAATTGTTGGTGTAAGAGGCGCTGTTATGGAATTGGACAGTTTACTGGGTTCTCGTGAAGCAGATGAGGCTGACCTGACTCTCCTATGCGAGATCATGTTTCCAGACGGGCTTACCGTGATGTTTGGGTTCGGTCTGGTCTCGGAATCGTCCTTGTCTGAGACCGTGGATTGCTTGTCGTCATCCCTCGACACACTGAAGCGAGTATCCGTGGGGGTCGGTGGTGTGACGGTAGTTAGAGGAGTAGCAATCATGGCCGTCGGCGGCGTCAGTGGACGAGAATCCGTCTCCAAATTCGGCAATGTCTTGGAAGTAGAAATCGGAGGTGGAAGGTGATGTGGTTTATCCGGCACATCGTCTTTCAAGCCAAGCCCTACGGTGCTACTCCTGGCAAGTGGGCTGTTGACACCACTGACAGACTCGCCTTTTCGTTCTGGGCTGACTCGCGGGCTCTTGCTTCCCTTAGAGAACACATCGCGAAACTTTCGGGCTGGTGACTTCGCGCGCAGTCTTCCAAGGCTGTCGCTACTCTTATCCGGGCGCAGTGCATCAGCCTTGTCGATAAGACCCATGCTGGGAAGTGAAGGCAAGGAGACATTGGTCGGAGGACTTTTGGGCGATGGTGATTCGTCGTTGTGGGGGGGTTCAACAAGAGCCGGGACCGTAGCGGCATGGTTGAGCTGGAGGCCGGCAGCGTTTTTATCGGTCGATGTCTCCGTCTTGACAAGAGGAGATGAATGTGTCAAGAGACCAGCATAGGAGTCGTGGTCAATTAGAGGCGGACGCACAGGTCCCTCGTGTTCGGAGTCGTCGGTCAGCAGGCTGCTATCTCCAACGGTGCTTGCCTTTCTGCTAATGGTAGGCCGTGGCAGCTCTGGTTCGGAAAGGGTCCGACCACGGTCGATATCGTCGACGGCGGCGCGCAGTTCTTCTTCCCTGGCTCTCCTCCTCTTGCGCTTGGAGTGGCCGGGTAATAATTTCTTATAGCCACCGCTCTGGGATTCGCGACTGGGGCTGGAGCGGGAACTGCGGTCTGGCGATTGATCGATAGTCAACGAATCCACCGAGTCTTGACGTCGAGCGCCGTATCCCTCGCTATGAGCTTCGGATGAGCGTCGGTGACCGGAAAGGACCTTTTTCAAGCCCTTCATGGTGGGCGAGGGAACGACGGGGGATCCATGAGGAGACGGCTGAGTCGAGACCGCAGCCATATACTGGGCATATATTCACTTCGGTCAAGGTGACTTCGCTAACGGAGGAGGGGGCAAGGTGCAGGACACGCGATTCGGAGGAGAGCAGGCGCGGTGCTTGGCTGCGGACGTGGTGTGGTCGATCAAGTGGTGGTACGCATGCTGCTGCTTCCGGTGATGTCAGGACAAAGCAGTGACCATGTGGACTGGTGCCGGCGATGATGAAGATGCTTCTTGTTTTCCGGCCGTGTAATAATGACACTATAAGTACAACATGCAGGTTATCTGGGACGCACTGAGCTGTGCAGAGGCTGAAGGTGCGAATTGAACACGTCGAAATATGGTGTGTTCGAACAAGCCGTACCGTAGCCCGCCTGAGGTTGTCGTAAGCTGTGCGTAAATAGAGGCCCTAGCCGTCATTTGGACTGCGCCTCACCTGAAAGGGCCGTGTTCAAGCCTGTCTGACGGGGCATTTCGCGGCCACTAAAAATTGGATACGCTCGTAACGGCGTGCGGATACGACAAGCCTCCCTGGAATCCTTCTAAGCCAGGTCTATTGGGCGTTACCTGAACTCAGCCAGCCCTAATTGCTCACCCCTGCCAACTTTTTGGCCCCAGATTACCCCTAGAACTCATTCCAGTGCCCCTGACTGGATGACTTGCAACTCCGCCGCCGTCGCCTTACCCGAGCACATGACGGAATTCCTCTATGACCTAACATCGGAGTCGAGAGATCTGCCTTGTTGGCGTACTGGTGCATTGATCTAGCATCACGCGTTTTCGAAGAACCACGGTCCACGTCTTGACAGCGCGTGGGTACTTTGTCGCGTCGGGGTCGAAGGATGCCAGGCGTTCATCTGTACCTTCGACGGTCACGATGGAAGCCGCCCCTCTGACTCTGGTGAGCCCCGCGGTGAAACCGCCCACTCTAGCGCTGACTTATTTGACCACCAGGCACACACTCACGCGCGAAATGCATCACTAGAAACGAAGCGTTCCAACCCAGTCGCAGCAAGCGAGGAACATGATCTGGCCGCCACCGAGTTTGCCCTCGCTGCAAAGGGCTCCTCCGACCAGGAAGCAATCCGCATCCTGAACCTCCTTGAGCAACATCACAAGAAGTTGGGTGAAATCCTGAAGTCAGCTCACGAGAACCCAGCAACCGAAGACATAGAAAAACATGCAGATTCACCTAGTGCCGACGCGGCAAAACCGCACGAGCCCAGCACCCATCCACCCCGATTACCTCGTTCTGCTCGAGCCAGTAACCGCCAACTCTCTTCATCGATAGCCAGCGAATTGGCCACTGCGAGAGGTATCCCAAGAAGCCACCAAAAGCGCTCAGTTCCGATCTCGCCACTTGTATCCAACCAGCATGCCGACGGACACATGTCTCAGGACTCGACGCAACCGAAGAAGCCAGCATCTCCAACGCCGGGTCAGTCCACACGACCATCGTGGGCCCCTCCGCTTCAAAAGTCTGACGAGAGTGATACTGCAGCCTCGGACCCAAGCGATTCACCCTTTGCACTCTTCTACAACACATTTGAGAACATTGTGTCCAAGATGAGCGCACCTTTGGCTTTTGCTGGTCTTCCTCTCGCACAAGCCGCTCCCGAAAAACCAGCACCAGAGTCAAAACCCTTACCCTCCAAGGCATCTAAAGGCCCCAAGGAGAAAGCCATGGACTACTCTCATCTCATCTCCAACGCCGCTTTCCGTGCTGTAGCTTCAAATCCAAATACACCAGATCCAGTCCCAGCACGTGCCCGCATCGAAGATTCGTTCTACCACGTCCCAACGGCGGGCGGCACCATGTCCTACGCTGAGATGCTCTCACGTGCTGACCGCGACGAAGCGCGCACTTTCCGCGGCCACAATCGACAAACCTCAAACCTTAGCAACATCAGCGAGGATGATTTTGTTGATGCCTCATCCACCATTTTGGCCGATCGCAAGAGCGTCACCGGCCCGCCACGGACCCGTCGCGGGATGACCGACGAGCGGAAAGTCGATGGAAAAACCATGGAAGAGCTCGCACTGGAGAACGCAGCCCTCAAACACGTTACGGACACGCTCTCCCGCCGTCTCCATGTCTTCGAAATGTCATCGCAGACCTCGACCGCTGCACTCGCACAGTCCATCCGCTCCATGCCACGCTCTCCACTAATGACACCCACCACCTCCCGCAATAAGCCATCTGGCACCAGCGACGCACCAGACTCCAGTGCAGGGACGGACGAAAGGACGCAGAAACGCATCGGCGAACTCGAGGATATCCTAAGAAAGTCCGATACTCGCGCCAAGAAGAAGGAGGCGGAGAACGAGAAGTTGCGAGCCACGGTGGAGCGATACCGCGACAAGTGGGACAGTTTGAAGGCCGGCGCAAAGGCCCGGAGAGAGCAGCAGAACAAGGCGCGCCGAGAAAGCGAGGTCCTGCCTGAGGAGCCGGGCGAGGGCTGAGCATCGATCTGATTTGGCTGTGGACAGATAGACACCACAAATAAAATCCGCACGAATCTATCTATGCATTACGAATCTACGACAGGATCCAAAGCTGATATTTTTAACCTGTCCCAAGCCCTCTCCTCTCTTCCTCCTCTATTCGCCCCATCTAGCCATTAGCCATATCAATGCACAATCCCATCCCATCCCATCCCATCACCAGCTCGCAAAATCACTTTTACCCTATACCCCCCAGATACCCACCTAGACCCCTCGCCTCAACTTCACCATCAGAACGCGGCCCTCCCCCACGGCGGCAGCAACCCCGCCACGGGAAACGCATCCTCGCAGTCACGCCGCGCGTCATATCCCACGATGAAAACGTGCGTCCCGGACCCTACCAGCATGACTCTCTCAGCCGAGCTTTCCGCCGAGCTTTCCGCCGAGCTCGAAGACGCACTGGCACATGCAGGCTCGGATATGGGGACGGCGGCGGCGTCACATCTGGATTGAGGAGGGATGTGACTGGTAGAGACAGTGCCAGAGACAGAGGAGGAGCTGCGGACGTGTCGCAGCTGGACCGTCGCGCGGGCATTGGGTGGGATGGTGAGCGTGACAAGGACGGGGATTTCTCCTTTGTGCACGTGACGGTCCGGGCGCTGGCTGTCATCGCCAGTAGCTGGGAACACAGACTGAGATTGACGCTGTGGAGAGGCGGCGCCGGCGCCGGCGCCAGCATGAGACTCGTCGTCGGTGAGAAACTCCCACCGGCAGCGCGCGACGCCACAGCGGCTGTCGTACGAGCTCTCGGCCCAGTCCAGGGCATGATGGATCAGGGGGGCGATGTGGAAGGTCAGCACGCCGTCTTCTTCCCCTTTACTGCCATCGTGACGTCCCTCCTCGGGGCCACCACCTACATGCTCATCCTCTCCCACCTCCACCTCCTCTCCATCACAAACCCTCAACCCACCCACCACGCCCTGCAACCACCCCACACACGCCCCCAACGCATAGTGATTAAAGCTCGTCATACTCCCCTCACTCACCCTCGCGCCCCCCTCGGCATCCACACTCAACGCATCCCACCGCTCCCACACCGTCGTCGCCCCATTCCTCACCCCACTCAGCAGGCTCGGCGTCCTCGCGCTCAGTAGCATGCTAAACGCCAGACTCGGTTGCCCACTGCCGCTCAGCGCGTGCAGCAGGCTCGCCGTGCCCGCGAAGCCCGTGGGGACGCGGAAGTCCAGGTGGCGCAGGTGGTGGCGCAGACGGCGCGCGCAGGGCTCGATTGCGTGAGGCGGGAGAAGGCGGAAATGCAGCGTCAAAGCCAGGGCGGTGGGCGTGTCCGGCACGAGGAGACCGGCGGGGGAGATGTACTTGGCGTGGAAGGCGGCGAGGAGGCGGGCGGATGCGGCGCGGTAGCGCGACGCATCCTGATATTTATGGGGCAGCGTGCGCGCGATGAGGGCCACGAGGCGCGTGGAGCGCACGAGGAAGCAGTCGGCGACGAAGGTGCCGTCTGTGCGAGTCTGTCCGCTGTTGTTAACGGGCGCGGTCGGGTCCAGCCAGTCGCCGAACTGCCAGACTTGGGGATCCCAGAGCCCATCGTCGCCGCGGGCCACGCCGCGCGTGAGGAAGGCGACCATGCTGTCCCACTGTGTCTCCAGGATCTGCACGTCGCCCGTGCTGCGGTACAGCTCCCACGGCACGATTATGGCGGCATCACCCCAGATGCCGTTCGGCAGCGGATCCCACCCTGCACCCCACGCGGCCCCGCCGACCTCCTTCTTGAGGAAGCAGTTCGGCACGACGAGCGGCACGACGCCACGCCGCCACGTCGGCCCATCATGCATCTGGTCCGCCTCCAGATCCCTCAACCACTCGCGCAGCATGCCCGCCGTGCCGTACAGGAACTCCGCCACGGGCATGAACACCGCGAGGTCCCCCGTCCACCCTTCCCTGTCGTCCCGCGCGGGACAGTCGGTCGGCACGCTCAGGAAATTGCCGCGCATCGACCACACGGCGTTCTCGTGCAGCTGGTTCACCGGCGGGTGCGAGCAGGCGAAATGCCCCGTTCGTGGCAGGTCCGTGTGCAGCACCTGCGCCACGATGGAATCGAGCGTCAGAGGCCAGCTTGTCGTGGAGCTGTCGTCGGCGCTGGCGGTGCTCCAGCCGCGGACCTCGACGTAGCGGAAGCCGTGGAAGGTGAATTTGGGGCTCCAGTCTGTGAGGGGGTTCCCGGAGAGGATGAGCGTGTCGGTCTGCTGGGCTTCGCGGAGGGGTCGCACGCAGAGCTCGCCGTGTTCGAGGACTTCGGCGTGGTGGAAGGTGATGCGGGTGCCGTGGGGGAGTGTCAAGGAGGGGACGCAGAGGCGGCCGACGAGATTTTGGCCGAAGTCCAGGATGGGGTTATTGCTGAAAGGCGAGGTTAGGAGGGCGATTGGGGCAATGGTTTGTGTCACGCGCACTGGCGGTGCGGAGGGGGCGATGAGCGTTGGGAGGGGGGTCGGCGAGATGCGGGTGCGGTGTGGTAGAGGTTCAAAACTGGCTGCGGAGGACGCGAGAGTTTCTGCGAGGCGTTGATCGTATACTTCGCCGTTGAAGATCTCGCTACTTGCGATGGGGCTAGGGGCGCATGTCCAAGTGTCATTCGTGCAAATTGTTATGGTTTCGGCCTGGCCGGATTCATCTGGCACACGAATTGAGATCTCGAGTTGACAGAGAATGCCAAGTTCGGAACCATAGTAGTAGCGGTAGTTGTTGGAGGTGAGGGCCGAGGCGAACCAGCCGGGTCCAACATCGATGTCGAGCACGTTCCGGCCGACTTTCAGCTGGTTCACAGGGTCGTGGATTTGGTAGTGGAGGCGTTTGTGGTAGCTCTGCCAGCCGGGCGCCATGCAATGGTCTCCTACTGGTTGCCCATTGAGCATTGCGTGGTATACGCCATGGCTGGTGGCATAGAGCCTGGCTCGCTCAATCACAGCCGTTTCAGGTATGTCGAATATGGTCCGAAAGCGCACAGGCTTGACAGAAGCATCATCGTTCAGAGGCAGTGGCTCTGCAGTGCTGATCATCCGAGTCTCCCAGTCATCTTGATTCAGCAGAGCAGCCTCCACGTAGCTCCATTCGGACCAGGCAGAGGTGTCTTCCTTCACTTCTCCACCAACACGGTATATGCCTGTGCATCTCACGCGGACAAGCCTTCGACTGCGAGATTTGAGATCGGGGTAGTTAGGGGGCCATGGCACCAAGGATGATTGGTTACTTTGCCTATGGTGAGTCGTGAGGGTATTACCCAAAAGAACATCTTGTTCGCTTCCCACCTGAACCTCGTAGGCAGTCTGCTTCCAATCGCTAACGTTTTCGTTTGTGCAGGAGAAACGCCATGACAATCTGGGCCTTGCGGTAGCCACGCCTAGACCGGTAGGGTAATGCTCGAACGTCGGGGCAGACACTGTGACCACGGCGGTCATGTTGAGGTGTCGTTGATAAACCCTTGGAAGCTGGTGTTGGCCAAGGTGTGCCTTGCACCAATCAACTGTGGATGTTCTCGAAGTTCAGCTACAGGCACCCCGGCGTAACAGGATGCCGGCAAGCATGCGACATGTCATGTGTTCTTCGTAACGAACGACTCCGGGCGGGACTGCTCCGCCATCAGCGACTTGCACAACGCCTAATACAAGCTCGCTGAGGAGACCAACGCACTCCCCACCACTGCAGTGGAGAAGTGAAGTTTCGAGGTTGGCTTGGGCTTGGCGCCGAAGCGGTACTCGTGCTGGAGATACAACTGTGAATCGGGCAATCATCCATGTCATGAGAGTGTCGAGTTCCCGATGGTGCGCCGAAATGCGGCTCCTCTGTACAGGGGTTGAATTAAAGTGCAGCTATATCCAGGGGTAGCACCACTACGCTCCGCTAATACAGATCAACTATGCAACGCTGAAGAGAACGCTCATATCTTTCCTTCGGGTATCAAACTCTTGCAGCCCCATTGCCGGCACCGCCGCCTTCATCATCCCTTCCCTTGCCTTTCCGCCTCTCTTTGTCTTTCGAGCCGAGTAAGCCTCCAAACGTCTCACTCAGGCTGCGAAGTCTGCTCCTTTTGGTTTTCAGACTGGCTCCATCGTCCAGCTGAGAACTAACATCAGGGCTAGAGTACCTAGCTTCCACGTTGGTCGCGTGCCTCTTAAGCATAGACCCAAATCCGTTCTCCTCGTCAGGCAGCACTTCACTTCTTCTCCGAAACTGCGATTCATCCATCGTCCCGTGCCTCGCGGACCGGTGCCTTCGGAGACGATTTCTGACCGCTAGAGGCGCGCCTTCGCCTCTGAGCAAGGATTCTGCGACTATGCCCGAGAGCGAGGACGAGAGAGGGGGTAGCAACGGACCTGGGACGAGACTGAGAATACTGTCTCTTGCCGTTTTTCGCTTGGTCGACGGCGGCGCCGCGTCGGCCGCTGCAGCTAGTGCTTCAGGATCTGCCTTTGGCGGGCTGACAGCTCGAGTTGAACGACGACTGCGTGTAGGCGTTGCGATATCGGCATGAGCCGAAGGCGTCCGCCGCAATGGTTGAGAGGTAGACGGCGTGAAAAATGGTGTACTGTCCTCGTGCATTACTTGATCCGATTGACTTCGTAATGGGGTTTTGGGTCGTGAATTCGGCTTGCTTGGGGTGGAGAGGTCAGAGATTGACTGGTTCCACGGACTGGGTGAATCATCCGCAGGCGTGACGGCAATCGATGGCACGTAGGACGATTCGGGAGAAGGAAGCATGGGAGGCGTTTGCAATGAGGACAGCGGCTGAGGTTGGGGCGTCCTCTTGCGAGCCAAAGGTGTCCGCTCGTCCGCTTCCTGGTCCTCCTCGTTGAGAAGACGAATGGTCTCGTCCTCGGTTGCTTGGTTGTAATCGTCCTTCTCTGCGCCCTCTTGTATATCTCGTTGACTTGTAATTAAATAGACGCCGAAAAAGGTCAAAAGACATCCAGCAACGAATTTGATGGCCTGTTGCAGAGTGAAAGACTCAAAGTCTCTGTACAGCACCGCGGAGCCGATGATGACCGACAGTGTAAACATGACAAACTGTGTGGGAATGACCTGAGTCGAGTCAAAGTTCTGCAGAGCCTTGTTCAGATAACGAATCTGCATAATAGCAGATCCGACAAGGATGAGGACGAGAGGGTAGAATATCGGATATGTGAATGCCTTGTACAACGAGGTTGAGAGAAGTGATGCCACGCCCTTGGTGGATAGAGCAGTGTAGCCACCGTAAAGCCCAACGAGACCAAGGTCAACCAGGATAGTGCGCGTGCCATAGCGAGGACTAGCAGCGGTGAGGGCGACGATACCAATGACAGTAATGATGACATAAACAAGGAATTCCCACCGCTGGATATAGTTCCTCCAGAGTGCGCCAGGTCCTATCTTGGTCTCACTTTGGGTGGCTGACAGTACCACGGTCACAGCACCACCAATCGCAATGACCACGCCCGCGAAATCGCGTTTTCGAAAGCGCTCTTTCAGCATCAGTGGGGCAATCAAACAATTGGAGATCAAGGCAACGACACCGAGCGGACTAACAATCGACGCAGGGGCGAAGCCATACGCGAGGAAATTGCCAGTCTCTCCAACAGTCATGAGAACAATACCAAGCCACCAGATTGGTGATTTCAGGTACGACTCGCGGCGCTCTTCGTCGTCGCCGGTGGACTGAAGGGTTGCACCAGACTGGAAAGAACGCCGCAAGTCTTTCGTGTCGTCGTCGTCATCGTCGCTACTGTCCGGACCGTGGGCAACACGGTCGTCGGCGGGTTCACCCAGTCCTTGGGCATGCGCATTCACGTCAGCCCGATGCTCGGCAATGTCCTCCTGTTGAGTTCCATAGACTGTTGTTTGCCCAGAGCTCTGCTTTCCTAGTTCGGTGCCATACTTCTTCTCGTTGAATTCCCGATCCAGGCGGATATGCGCGTAGCGTTGAATATTTAACGCAAAAGAAATGAGGATGTTCCCAACAATTGCCGTGACGATACCAATGAGCGAGGACCAGTCTGCTTTGTGTTCCTTTTCCGATGTGACAATGGCAAACGCTAGCATCGATATACCGTTGACAAGCCCGGCCGGTGGCATTGTCCGGAGTAGTCGATGTAGGTGCCCGGTCGCGCTTGAGGGGAGCGGGCCTGTAGCGCCGCGACTGGTTGTGTAGGCAAATCCAAATTTCACCTCATCTTTTCTTGACCTGACAGCGGAGGAGACGACTCTTTCTGGAGGGAGGTATGGTATCGATATGCGCGTGAGCTCGGGTAGGAGTGTCTGGCAAAGTGAATGGTGATTCACTGCGGCGCAGCTCGAGCCGCTCTCAATCGCCCGCGGCACTCGGTTTCAAAGCTTGGCGGCATACAAACCAGAGTAAAATCCGACGTCCTACAAGTCCATACCGGGACTCTACCTTACAAGGTCTCCATCTACATTCTGATGTTCTTCGATATATCTTCATTCTGATTGAATTCTCTCGACCTTCTCATCTCGTGTAGTTCCCATCTCGTTGCCTGGCTAGAGTGGCCGACACACCCTTAATTGGAAACTGTAGCACTGCTGTTCGGTATTCCTTCGCAAGAGCTTCTCAACTCGTTAGGAGCCGATGCTCTGCCTACGACATATTGGCCACAAGCCTCCGCAGCCCAGGCACCCCGGGGTGAATAGGCTGGTGAGTATTTAATCTTGGCACATGGCTGAGAATGCCCAATATCTGTGACAAGAAGAACCAAGCCAGCTGCTTTCATAGGTAGGAGGGCTGAGTCAGTGCCCTCCATTCCCAGCGACCCGTTGGTAGTCGACTGGGGATTCTGATAGTGGCTGGGAGACCGACAGTGCCAATATCTGGTACGCAAGCGAGTTGCGCTTCCCAAGTATACGGCTCTCGCGATGGTACGCCGCGGTGCGTTGGAATCCCTTGTTCCTGACCTACGTGTCCAACCTGCCTGGACGAATCTATGCCATACTCCTTGCAGGCTAGTCGACTGAATACCGGCAGCCCCCCCGCATTCTTCTAGGGTTGGAAGCCTTAACGTCGGTGGCCCTGATGCTTGGCACCGGTGTGCCCACGTAATTGATTCGCGGCCCCTACACGCTCAAGAGGGAAGCAAGATGCGCGAGATCGCCCGGCTACCTGTCGCCTGGTCCTGCAACAACACGACTATACCTTTAGAGTCGCGAGAGTCTCGCAGCATCAACGGCTGCTGACGAGAAACATGGATGCTGACTGGCTCATTACCCAGTCGACATGGTCCTTCGGAATGATGAGGCGGGTACGTACTCTCAAGTCGGCGATTATTGAGCACACCTCCGATGTCCTCGTTGCGGCCTGGGAGGTATAGGGGCTGACTGGGTGACTCCTTGGTCGACGCGGCCGCTCGACATCAGGGCTTCTGACGATATCGGAGTTGGTGTTGGATAATCACCGACTGAAGGGCATGGCCTTCATAGTGTTAGTTGTGAATATATATCCAGACCTATACCTCAGGTACCGACTGGACGAATCCACCTCAGAGTTCGCTGATTTACACTTACTCATCTTTATAACCCACGCGAGTACTTCTATCCCAATCCCAGAGTCATGTTCCCTCTTCAAAGGCTGCTAGCTACCGCGCTGGCTGTAGCCTGTGCTGTCCACGCTATGCCGACGCCTCAGGAGACTACTCCAGGGTCGCCATTGCAATATGGTTGTGGCGAGGTGAATGTCTTCCTCACGTAATTCTCATTCCAGCCTAGCTGTTTTCGACATTGACATTCATACAGCGGGCTGCCACCCTTCCACGCTCTTGTCACGCAACAAGGCTTCAACGGCACCGAAGTGGACGCCGCTCTGCGGGCAGACCATGCGAAAATTATCGCTGCCGGTTACAACTCCCGCTGTATGATGCCCCATTCTACCTTGAAAGCGTCCTCTGACCACTTTAGTCTCCCTCTTCGGTCCGGAAAGACCCATTGGAACGCTCAATGAGGAGCTCGACGGGGTGGAGTGGGGTGGTGTTGGTGTCGGCGCCGGCGTTAGGGCTTCAGTCTTGACCGAGCTTGTAGCCAGGCTTGAGGGTACGTTAGCATCAATCATGGCGCGCCACAGAGTCAGTTTGATTAATATCTCCAGAAATCATCCAGGTATACCGCGACACGGTCACGGGCCCCATCTACTTCAACCAGAATGCCACCTCCACCTTGGCCGCCATCCAGCGGCATTTCCCGCTCGTGGGGGATTGTGGGGACCAACCGGGAGAGGATTTGGTAAGGAGACAACCATCCTTGCGAGGGACTCACTAACGTGTCGTTGCAGGGGTTTCGTGTCATATGTGATGAGGATACTTGCCAGGAGTCCTGATCGCTGGAGTAGAGTAGGTGGGCAAGAGTACCGCACGTCGGCGACTACTCGGATGGTGAGACACTTGATTGTTGATCCCAAGATTTAAGGCCATGAAGCATCGTTGTCCAGCCGCTATGGCCTGTGAGTTGGCCTGCTGGCAAAAGCGTGATGGTGATGTTGTCTGTGTATATGTATATACATATAAAAAGGTGCAATTACCATTTTAAGCGGAGTTGTCCCGGGCATACAATGTCGTCTTGGCGGAATGAGAGGTGACGTTGAACAAGGCTGAAGAAATCAAATGCTGCCACTTTCATCCACCCTTCAACGCTGTAAACCTAGCCTGCCGTGGACGATCAAACCAAGTGTCTTCACAATCTGTCTTCGTGAGACAGTATAGCAGTATCGACTCCCAGAGCACAGGTTCCATTGTCGGAGAATGGATCGAAGCCTCGACGAAATCGTTGCGGAGCGACAGGTAAAATCCTCTAGCTACAATAATCCGGACAAGACCTGACGACAGACAGCGCTCGAGCAACCGTGGCGGACGACGTGGAGGACCTCCTCCGCCACGAAGGAATGGCGGCAACAGCTATCCGCGCGATGGCGTCAGAAAGGTATGAAGCGGCAGCTTGTCACCCATCCCTCGACGCAAGCAGCTGACATTTGGCACAGGTCCGACTCCTCCCTCCTCTCCTCTAGCATCTTCATGCCATGTCCCACCATCGGTCGATCCTTCTACAAATGCGAGCGACCAATGTCCACTCAGCTGCAACGTTCGATCAGGCAATGGGCAGTAGTCCACGAGAAACATCAGCTAACCTGCATCCATTTCCAACAGCCCACAAGAGATGATAGAGCAAACCTAGACAAGTACGCATCTTCCAGTTGAAGGGCTCGAACACCGACTGACAAGAAGCAGCGACTGGGTACATGATCGTTATGACGACGATCCTGGTATGCCTCGAGGCGGAGGCAACTATAATCGCCAAAGAGGTAGAAGAGACGACCGCGACGACCGTAACGACGACCGAGAACGCGACCGGTACGCAAATCATCGTCGAGAAAACACGTCATATTGACTCTGGACAGAGAACCTCCCGTGGCCAAGATCCGGGTTGACAACCTCCACTATGATCTGACCGAAGACGACCTTTTTGTAATTTTTGTCACCCATTGGTTTCGATGATCACTAACGCACGACAGGAACTATTCACCCGCATTGGCAGCGTGGTTGACGTCAAGCTCCGCTACGACCGTGCAGGCCGCTCTGAAGGTGTCGCCTTTGTCAGCTATCGTCGCACCAAGGACGCCCAAGATGCGATTGACGAATTCGACGGGGCCAATGCCAAAGGTCAACCGATCAGACTTACGCTGCTTCCTCAACCTCGTCGCGACAACCCTTTCGACAGGGTCGAGAATCCACGAAGTCTCTTCGATCGCATCGAGGCCCCTCGTGATCGGAGACGCAGCGAAAGTCCCATGAACGGCGAGGACGAGAGCCGCTATCGTCGTGGTCCCAGACGTGGTGGGGGTGCCGGTAGAGACCGTCGAAGTGATACGACTAGGCCAGCCCCTGAGAATATCGACCGGTACATCCCAGGCTCAGGTGGATCGGTCCCAAGAAGTGACAGCCGCCGTGGAGGAAGGCGGCCAGGCGAGCGCCGGGAAAGGCGTGGTAGGGGTGATGAGGTTGGTTCCAAAATGTCTGGAGGGCGGCCAAGAAAAACCCAAGAGGAACTCGACGCAGAAATGGAGGACTATTGGGGCGGCAACGCAAACGAGAACGGTCAGACGGGCGGATCCGTACCCACTGGTGCTACAGCGCCCGCTCCACAAGTTGCTGATGGCGGTGCTGAGATGGATATGATGGTGGAGTAGGTGATCGGTCAAAGTGAGCTGTATACAGGGTGGCACTCGACGTCTGCATTGGCTCAGAGAACAGCGAGGACTGGTCCGTCACCGTTGCTTGGGTTTGGACGATACTCACCTCCTTCCTGATCATGAATCAGCGACATCGGCATAGCTCAACAAATTGATGCGGCTGGCATATCGCCGCCGACCTCCCAGCTTTACTGTACAACCGTCAATGTCTCACTCATGGTAAGTCAGACAAAGAATATGCGTGGACTCGATCTTGTTTCTACATCTAAATCGCATGGCGTCCTTGTCCTTGCAGGCGACCCATTGTTCGATGACAATCAAGCCAGTGCAACATGGATAACACCCACCCCATGCATTGTGCGGTAAAGCTTCCTTCAAAACCCTATGCCAATAGCTCACGAGTGATGCTAAAGAATAAGCTCCCCAACAACAGCTCGATCAAAAGTCCTACAAAGCCATGCGGTCTCCTTCACAAACCAGTTCATCCTGTCTGCCGTTACTGTTTGGTATCGAAATCGAAGTCATCATTGCATATCCCCAGGACACAGCCCATCGTGCATCGAGTCAATCACTTTCCAGCATTTTGATGCACTGAAACTCCCCTATGCGTCCGCATCTGATCCTGCTTACACGAAATGGCAGCTGACGAAGGACTTCAGCCTCAATGAAACGCTGCCAGAAGGCGACGATGCGGGTGAGTGGCAAGTGCAAGGTGTAGAGCTGATATCTCCACCACTCGGCGCTCTCACCACAGATTCAGATGAGATGATACAGCCTCACGAGCAAGAGCAGTGGCGGGAGGCGGCCAGCTACTTGGAAGCTCTACGGGGCGCACCAGGGTTAGGCAGATTTGATGGGCGCGCTCCCCGAACTGACAGCATCAAGGCCAGTCATATAGCCTATGCCAATGACTCGTGCGGTTTCCACGTCCACTTTGGCCTGCCAAACGGCGCCGACATAGCTCTCCCAATTCTCAAGCATCTGGCTTTCCTCTGCATCTTTTACGAAGATGTCCTCTCCTCCCTCCACCCACCGCGATGCACACCATACAACGACTCTTGGGCGGCTCATTTCGCGAAGAGCAACCGCGTCGGATTCTGTCTCGACGCACACGACCCAAAGCAGCCCTGCAACATCGACTTCGACCCGGCGCGACGACGCATCATGGCTTGCAGCAATGCCGGCGCTCTCACTTGCCTGATGGGCACGCCCAAGCCGTTGCATCACTTCTTTAAGCCGCGCGTGCACGAGTTGCTTGGTAGAGGTACGTTGCCCGCGCCCCAGTGGACAGCGGCCATGCTGGTGAAGGAGCGAGAGGTGGTAGCGCGCGGCGTGGTCGACGTGCAGAAGGCGCCCGGGCGGGCGGCGTCGGCGGCTTTTGTCAGAGGGAGTGACGGTCCAAGTTGTAGACATGGCGGAGCGGGAGGTCTGTCTGAGGAGGCCTTTCCGAGCCTGTCTGCGGCGGCGGCGGCGGCAGCGAACAGTGCTTCAGGTGCGGGCAGCCGCATTGTCTCTTTTAGCCGTCGGTCTTCGGGCAGCAGAGGGAGGTCGTTCTGGCGTAGAGCGAGTCTGGGTCTGGTTGAGGTCGCGCAGGCGTGATTTGTCCATTTGCTGCGTGATCCTTTTCGTAGTATACCTTTGGTGGACGTCAAGTATATATTTGGCATAAACGTGTCTACATCCACAGGCTGAGCGATGAAGTTGGATAAGTGGGCTGTCAAGCATGGTACTTGCTCTCACCACCTCCAACCGCAAGACCGTTTGGAAGACTATAGTCACGAAGACCGTTTAAGCATCAATGACGAGCACCAGATGTAGTATTGCCAATCCGCAGCCAGTGAGGCGTCGATCTCCACTGTCAGGCAGCAGAGGCAGAGTTCGACTTCAGGTAACGGGCCGCCCACAAGCACTAAAGTGACCTCAGCAGACTCGACCTGATGCACGGCGCATGCATCGCACTGCCAGCTACGGGACACATCACACAAGAGACCCCGCTGAGCACCTCGTCGACTTCTCGAAGAGTAAAAGCCACGTGCAATATTCACGATCTAGACAGGGGGGAGACGCGGTGCCGAGCAGACGCCGTTGGACGGCCGAGGCAAATTCCCCCACACCCACCGCTCCAAGTCAGTCCCCCTTCTCAACCCCCTCGGAAGTACACTGTACCACAGACCGCCCGCGCAGCGGAATCAATCTAGCCAGCGCTTGTGTATGCTGGTCAAGCATCCGGACGACTGCTTCCCCGTTTGTTTCCTCCACGTGGCTTGGAAGAAGCTATACCAACAAAGAGCTTGAGATCCAGTTTCCCGCCTGCTGGGTATTTGATCATCCGTGGCATCGCCTCCTGGCGTCAGCAGCAGATACCCGAATACGGGTTCCGATCGACAGCCGACCAGAAGTACAGTACCTGTGGCACAGAGTATCAGCAGCGACGACAGCTGTGCTGGTTGTTTGACGGGCATCTGCCGTCTAAGGACTTGACCGTAGCTACGCGGCTGTTAATCGTGCTCGCCCCTGCTAAAAAGGACACTCAGCTTGAAGTTGCGACCGTGCTCGAAATCAGCAGCTTCTCAACATTACACCTCCAAACCCGCTTCATCTAACGGCATCAAACATGTCAGAGGCACCATCAATCTTCGTGGCCCCGGCCTCGCCGACGACCAGTCGCTCCACCATCGATCCAACCAGCAACATGGGCTCCAACTCCCTCAGCGATGGCAACCTGCCCCCCAAAGATTTCACCAAATTCATGCCTCCTCACCTCCCCACGCCCCCCTTCATCTTCGTTCCTGGTGTGCCCAACTTCCGCGACATGGGTGGCTGGCCCTGCCCACCTCCACCGTCCGCACACCCATCCGAAGTCACCAACCCCTCTGGTGCCACGCGCTGGCAGTTCCGCCGCAACCTCATCTTCCGCTGCGCCCACCCCACACAACTCACCCAAACGGGCCTCATGACCCTCGACGCCCTCGGCGTGACCGACATCTTCGACCTCCGCTCCGCGCCCGAGCTCAAAAAGCTATCCGCGCCCGAACCCGATGCCGACACCCCCTTCCTGACCACACACGGCCACATTGAGCTTCCGGGCATGACCCGCCACTTCACGCCCGTCTACGCCGCCGAGGACTACGGGCCCGAGGCTCTCGCCAAGAAACTGCAGTGGTACACCACCGCCATTGCGCCCGGCGCCTCCTTCTCCTCCGGCTTTGTCAACGCCTACCGCGACATCGGGCTCTACGGCGCCCGCGGCGGCAGCTACGCGCGCATCCTGCGGCAGATCATCCGCTCGCTCGAGGCCGAGACGCAGCGCGAGCGCGAAGCCGCCGACTTCACGGCCGCCCGACAGCAGCGGCGCGGCAGACCTGGTCTCAACAGCAGCAGCAACCGCCCCGTGAGCGTCTTCGCCGGCCTGGACGGCATCCTAGGGCACCTAGAACGCTTCCCGAGCCCCGGACCAGCTGATGTAGCCGATGGAGCGGAGAAGAAAGCAGAGGAGGAGAAACAGCAGCAGCAGCCTCCGGCGGTAGGCGCGAGCGTCGACCCCGGCGACGGCGGCGAAGACATCCGACGCGACGGCGGCGTCGTCTTCCACTGCACGGCCGGCAAGGACCGCACGGGCGTGCTGGCCGCCATACTGCAACTCCTGGTCGGCGTGGATCTCGAGGACGTGGCGTGGGACTATGCCGTCACGGAGCCCGGGCTGGGGTCCTGGCGCCGCACCTTCATCGAGCGCATCGCGCGCCAGGGCATGGGGAGTGGGCAGAACGGGAAGATTGAGTCTCCGGTTGGGGGAGGAGATGCTGGGGAGGATAAGAAGCAGCAGCAGGTGCTCAGTCGCGCGGAGGCGGCGCGTATCTGTGGCAGTCGCGCGCCGAATATTCGTGCGTTTGTCAAGGAGGTGCTGGAGGGAGAGTGGGGCGGCGTGGAGCGGTATCTGGTGGATTATGTGGGTTTGAGTGTCGATGAAGTGGATAAGTTGCGGAACGGGCTGGTGGTCAAGGTGCCGGAGGATGAGGGGGAGGAGGCGGTGATGCAGCGGAAGCACATTGAGGGCTGGTCTCTGGACGGGGGCATGGAGGAAGATGCGTATCTGTGAGCGTCTGCGACTGGTTTTGGAAGGGCTGCCTCTCTATCAAAACTTCCTCCCTTCCCCTCCTCTCCTCCTCGTTTCTATCGATGTGCTTGTGCGCAGTCGTATCTCAGTCACGAGAAGCCCTGGTACCAATTGCTGCCACTCAACCCTCTACCATGTTCAGGTCAGGGGCATGTCCGTCGTGAGTCGTAAATCAGGGATGGCTTGCCAGCCTCTCGCCCTCGTGGGTGCCTATCAGCCACATCGTCACAACATCCTCTTGCTGCGATCACAAAAGGTCTCGGTTCCCGATTGCCGCATTGTCTGAACCTACAAACCTCCATTCTGCGAGTACCAAGTCTTCCCCTTCCGACAATGCCTACATTTATATCTCGAGACCTGCACGCCAAGATGCAGAACGCCCGAGTTAGTGAAACCTGTCAGGTCGACAACAAAGAACGCGACGCGACTTCCGTCAGCTCAAAATGGAATATGGACAGCCTCCGCAACATCCTGCATTACATCTGGAACCTGGAATGGCGCGAAAAGATCGAACATGATTGTCTATTCTGCGACTCCACCAACTTTAGAGAAGTTGTCTTTGAGGTAAGCTTCGACCCAAACCACCCAGGTCAGCCTGGCAAGTAACATTCCGATGGTACAGGACGATACAATCCTTGCCGTGGAGAACCACCGCAAGGCAGGAAAGTCGCACTGGCTGATCGTGCCGAAAGCGTCGGCGGGGCGTCACATTCGCGACATTGAAGCTCTAACGTCCGAAGATGTCCCTCTCTGTGAGTATCACTACTGTTTGAGCAGCTTGCTGTTTACGTCGACGAGCGACGAGACGTCTGTACTGACCTGCCACTGCACCGCCAGTAAACAAGATGGACGAAGTCAAGAAGCAGCTGCTGCGGCAGCACTACCCACGAGTGCCACCCGCGGCGGTGCACTCGGGATACCACCGAGGGCGCAGAACGCTGTTCGGCCCCGTCGTCTGGCCCGACATCATATCGGTCCATCACTTGCATCTGCACGTCATCGTCCAGCCCGATTTCTGGTTGCGGTTGTTCAAATATCCGTCGTGGCTGCCGCTGATGTGGATCTCGGACCAGAAAGTGATGGCGCGGACGTCGAGGGGTCGGGTGACACCGGGGATGTGAGAGGAGGCGAGGGTCAGGGCTACGGGCACATGACTCGGGAAACCTGTCCAGAGAGTTGCGCACGGGTCGATCTAAGAGCAGTGCAAATCGGAATCACATTGGCTTTTTGAGGTGGCTTCAGCCTTGTTCTTACCGGCAGAGCACGAATACAGTCCCTTTCCCAAAAACTTCCACACAGGCAGGCGGTCCGTGGATTCCTGGTGATGCCGTGCAGACTGGTCATGAGCCACGCGAGATGTGAACTGGTCCAAAGAACCATCAGTGAGGCTTACAAGTCTTCTGAAGAGCGGTACGTGCTATCTACCCAACATATCTACAAAATCTCCCTATAGAAGAACGAGACCCCTGACAAACAACCGTCCCGGGGGGGGGGGGGGGGGATCCCTTCTCACTCCTTCAACTTGCGCGCAATGAAAGCTTCCACTTCAGCCATTCCCTCATCAGCCCTCGGCCCCTTGACATCCCTGGGGAACATGATGAACCCATGCGGCACGCCGGGCACGATCTTGACCACGGCCTCCCCACCATACATGCGCCACTTACTGCTCATAAACACGGTATCGTCCAACAAACAATCCTCGGTCCCGCACGTGAACAGCGCCGCCGGCAACCTCCCCCTCAACGGCGCCAGATCCGCGTACAGCGGACTCACCTGGGGGTCCCTGAGCGTCTCGGGCGTCCACCCGGGCAAGAAGGCGTCGCGGTAGTGGTTCATGAGATCCCGATCCAGCACCAGACAGGGGTCGCGGTTCCAGTTGTACACCTGCGGCAGCCAGTCGAAGGTGAAGGCGCCGAAATGCAGCAGCAGGCCCTTGAACGAAAAGGTGTGGAACCGCGCGTCCGCGTGCTGCAGCAGGTGCAGCGCCACCAGCATGCCCAGGTGTCCGCCGGCGGACTCGCCGCCCACGAAACTCAGCGGCGCGCCGAATTGTTCGTTGGCGTGCAGCACCAGGTGCTCCGCGGCGTCGTAGCAGTCGTTGGGGCCCGCGGGGAACGGGTGCTCCGGCGCCAGGCGGTAGCCGACGCTCACGCACAGCAGGCCCGTGTTGTCGGCCAGCAGCTGCAGCGGCGGGTCCTGCGACTTCTGGTCCTGCAGCACCCAGCCGCCGCCGTGGATGTGCAGGAAGACGCCGGCGACGGCCTTGCCGTTCTGGGGCCGCAGGACGCGGCAGGGGATGCTGCGGCCTGCGTCGCGGGACGGAATCGTCGTGTCTTCGGCGGTGGGCAGGTGGGTGGCGGCCGGTAAGGGGGTTTCTCCCGCGGCGCGCATCTGCCGGTACTTGGGGGCGCCGACCTCGTACCATTTGGGGGCGCCGACCATGATGTCCTGGGAGCGCTTGTTGAAGGCTTTGGTTTCTTCGGTTATGGAGGCTGGGTCGAAGACCGAGGGGTCGATGTCGAGCCAGGGAGCCATGGTGGGCAGGTGTTGTTGAGATGCCTTTGGGGGAAAAGGGTGGTACGGTATACTATTGAGTACGCTCGTCGCTGCTTGCTGAAGGTCGTGGTAAGGAGATACGTTGACGTACTGCTCGGGGTTACGTTCGCGGGTATTTTGAACAAAAGTATGAATATATAGATGTATTTTGTACGTCAATGCTGACAGGCTCAGATATCAGGCGCCCGCTCGTGTCAGATCAATCGCCTTTACCAAATAACTGAAAATGATATATGTAAGCTCGTCCGACGTGTACAGTATATCCCCGGTAGATAGCGGGCGGGGAAGGGGGAACAACTGAAGGTACAAAAAGGTCCGGATATCTGGTAGAGAAACCACCATCCCCCCACCCCACCTCAACACCCTGCCCACGCATCCCGCCCTCTCGGAGCTGTGCGACATCTGCGCCGTGCTCTCTCGCGTTGCTGATCGCAGCCATGACATCTGGCCCCAGGCGTGATCGACTTGTGGGTTTGGCGCGGGCAGTACATGAACTGTAGCGTAGCATCACTGGGCGTCCCTGACATGATACAACCCCCCGGCCATCCCGCATAGCCGAGGCAGCCCAAGGGACGTGGGCACTTCCAAAAGCGGATGGTCTGCCCATTTTGGTACTGACCAGTTCCTCCTCAGACACTTACTTAGCTGACAGCGTCACAACAACCTCCTCAGCCGACAGGCGGTCGTGCCGGTGGGCTGTTGGGGCGGTCGAGGGAGGGCAGCAGTTGCAGGCTGAGTTGGTCTTTGCGGAAGAGGCCACAGGCAGCGGACGATGCTCCTAGCGGGGCGGTCGCGGCGGCGCTTTCAAACGTCAGTGACATGCCCTCGAAGAGGTGTGAGCGGCGCCGTTGGTGCATACGACGGCGAAAGAGCTGGAAGGCCACCTCGGCGCGGTCGTTGCTCTTCTCGTCGGGGCCGACGGCTTGGATCACAGGACGCGGTCGCCGACTCTACTCTAAAGCGCGAGACGTTGGGGGTCCGCCGTCGAAAACGGTGCGCGGCGAGGTCGACCCAACAAAGAAACCGCAAGATACTTTGAGCCAGTTGTACACGAGTGTCGTGCCGTTCCGCTGTATCATCCAGCCCACGGGGGTTGTCATGGCCACCACGGCATTCCTGACCACTATCCCATCCTTCTTGAAAGAAGAGAAGTATAGACGGTCTCACTCACTTCCAAAGGATGCGCGTTTCGACTTCGTTGACTCGGGCAGCTCTCTTAACTGGGGCGTCGGCTTTTCTCATGTCGAGATTGGCCATGGTTGCTTTGTACTTCCCGAGACACTTAGATAGTTCCAGGGATCTACGACGGCCCTACACACCAGTGGCTTTATAGTTGCCATGGGTTCTTCAACACGGATCTATACTAGCCAGGTGGGGGCCCGGGTTTAAGCAGCCTCGTGCAGTAGCCCGCCGTGACAGCGTATCTGAGCCACGAGGCATCTCGAAATCAACAGCTGCAATACAAGAAAAAAGCCTAGCTGGATTGCAATGCCGGAGCATCGTCTTACCGTGATGGACTCGTAGGCTGCCAGCGCGCGGAATGGCCACGCATCAGGCGTAAGTGGCACAGCTAGTTCATCTGGGCTGGAGATCACTCGCTGCTGATCCGCGGACGCCTCGTCGCTTAGCCATGGCACTGCATACGGGAGCTACGGAGGTATGGTCCAGGTCATGGTTCAACACTCCTTTCTCGTTCTCTGCTACCTATTTCAGGGCTCATTTCACGACAGAAGGCCTACTTTGCAGGCGCCGGGCTGCCGGTCCGCTGAGGTGTGCCATTTCCGCTCGCGACACCTGCACCACCTCCCCTCCGGTCCTTCTTGATCAGATTCTGGAAGAAAGCACTCATCGCCTCATTGCTCGCCTTCCCATCTTCGCCTGTAGCCGGTTTCTTCGTCGGCGTACTGACGCCACTGGCTCCGCCATTTGTCACGCCCGTTCTCGGTGCCGCATTCGCAACAGGAGCTGGCTGGCCGTTGGCGCTGGCCTCCTTGGTTGCAGCTGCTGCAGTGCGCTCAGCTTCACGCTCTTTGAGACGACGTGTTGCCTCTTCCGCATCGAAATCAATTCCGTTGACATTGATCTGGTAGGGTCCGATCTGCTCTGCCATTTTAGCGTTGACGCCGGCCTTGCCATCTTCCGAGCCAGGTGTTAAGACTTGGCCTTGGCCGGTCGATGATACCTTTCCACGCGTTGACGGGTTCGTCTTCCGGGCTACCTTTTCGTCCTCAGCTTTCAGTGTTTCGAGTATGGCTGCTTGCGCACTGAGAAACTCTTGAACTGGGGGAACTGTGGTGTCTTCGGCATCGGCGGTCGGGATGATGGATGGCTGTGTGTTTGTAGGGTTTGGAAGACTGGATTCGTAGAGTGCGACCGCCGACTCTGCTTCTGACGATGCTTGCTGATCTGAAGGCGGCACAACATCATCTAGGCTGTCGTCCGGCTTGCCTTGAATTTCCACAGACCAAGCGTCGCTGATGGCTTCGAGATCAGTGCCTTCTCGGAGCGGTCGAATCTTGCCCCATGAGTCCCAATTCGGCGGAATCAGAATCTTGTCGCGCTCGATGTAGTTCGGTTTTGCAGTTTCGCGTTTGAGGAGCGAGTAGATACTTAGACTCGAGTGGAGTAATGTTCGGAGGCTGTTGGCATCGAATGTTGCTGTGTAGATCAGTGAGGCGCCATGCTTCAGCAGTACGCAGCGAAGCCACTGGGTCAGGAAATCGAACTGCTCGTCCTGCCAACCAAAATCTCGTTCGAGGGTCTCGATCTTCTCAGACTGAATACAGACCACGGAGAGGGGTATGCCGAGACCTTCATCCCACTCGCCTGGTCCCAATGGTGTCGCCTGAGTGGGCTTTTCTGTGCTATCCACGCCAGGCTGTGACAAGGGAGCGTCCGGACCTACCCGCTTCTCTTTCCAATCGTTCATGTTTTCTTCCATCGCGATCTTGGTCTCGTCGTCGAGCGAGGCAATGACGAGTCTCAACAGGCGCACCCATTGACGCAGCTGCCTGGCCCATTTGAATGGATCAGACCAATCGAGTAGAATTGTAATTAGGGTGGCCTTGACCGTCTTAGAGGTAAACAGCGGCTTGAGCAGGGGCGCAAAGGAGGCGGCTGGATTCGAGAGCATGTAGACATTTAGCCGCGCAAGCACATCTTCTTGGTCCGCGTCGAGAACATCCTGGTAGGTGTATCCAACGGCGTATCTGTTCGAAATGGGGGCTTTGCGATTGTGCTGTCTATCGTTGTATCGTACTCTCGATGAGGGTGGGTTCAGGTGGTCCAAGAATTCCTTCTGCTGTTCGGGACTGCCTCCCAGCACGAGCAGCTGCTTTTCAGCCAGATCTTTTCCTTTTGACGCGTTGTTCAGCATCGGCACCCATATCTGCTGCTTCTCGCCGTCTTTGGATCCTGGTCGTTTGACTGCACGGGATGCGGAGTTCATGGTAGAGGGCCGCCCAAAGGCAGAGACTGGACTTGTGGTGCTCAGCATTAGCAACGGAAGAAAGTTGAGGATGCGGGAAAGGTATCAATGTCGGAGGTCGTGGTGATTCAGATACAGAGACAGGCTGATCGCGACTCAGAAAGTTGGGGGACCGCGTTTGAAGTCGCTCTTTGCTCTACGGCCTAAAAATCTCCGAAGGCCATGCCCAATGGCGCCTGAGGGATCTGCGGCGCAGGGGCCTTGAGCTTATTTCTAAGCCCTACTACCGCTCCACCCTAACGACAACTTCTCCGCACGGCTGCCTCGAGAAATTTTGGGTCAATTGCCTGAGTGAGTCAGCTTCCACCCAATTGCTGCGCAGACTTGGCTGTCGCCGTGCCCGACCACCGCGACGCAGTCACAATGAACGCGATCCGCCAAACGCAGAACCTCAACAAGCGCGAGCTCGAGAATGCCACCCCGCCATCCGCCTCCTGGCACGTCGACTACCGCGACACTGCCTGGCTCTACGTCGGCGGCCTACCTACTGACCTCTCGGAGGGCGATGTCTGCATCATCTTCAGCCAATTCGGGAACCCGACGCACTTGAACCTTATACGCGACAAGGAGACGGGGAAAAGCAAGGGCTTTGGCTTTCTGAAATACGAAGACCAGCGGAGCTGCGATTTGGCTGTTGACAACTTGGGCGGCGCGGAGGTGCTGGGTCGACTGCTGAGGGTGGATCACACGCGATATAAGAAGAAGGACGGCGAGGATGAGGAGACGTACCGGATCGAGGCTCGGGAGAAGGAACAGTTTGGTGTGACTGCCGAGCCGGCGGACGACACTGACGCGGAGAGCGATGGGGAGCGGAGAAAGAGCAAGCGGCGGAAATTGCTAAAGGAAGAGGTGCAGTTGCAGCAGTTGCTGGAGAGCCAAGTGGATGGTGAGGAAGAGGACCCCATGCGTGGGTACCTCATAGAAGAGAAGACAGCCGAGGTCCAGAGGGCGAAGGAGAGGGAGAAGGACCGGAGGAAGCATAAGCATCATCACCGGCATCGGCGAGACAACAACGAGAGTGCTGCAGATGGGAATGATAAGCAACATCGCAGCCACCGTTGGGATGAAGAAGGCATCGACGGAAAGGATCGTCGTAATGATCGATCGGTCTCCGTTGAGAGGGATGCTCGGCGAAGGTCAGCGCGAGATCGTAGAGGAGAGACCTGGAGGCGGAGCAGGAGTCGAAGCAGCGACCCGCCAGAGGAACGGAGACGAAAAAGCTCAGCAGAGGAGAAGCGCCGGCGTAATAACAAAAACTCGAGGTCACGATCAAGGTCACCGGAACGGTGATATACGAAACGCGGTTGGCCATCTGCTCAACGGTCGGATAGGATCGATCTACCGGACCAAGAAGCTTCATAAAATGTTGGTCTCATCCTCGACAACCCGAAAGCCCTGCCTACAAGTAAAACATTCGACCTTCCACGACGTATTCCAATCCAACACCATGGTTGTACCCTAAGAGTATCCAGAACGACCAAAGAAAGACCCTGGGCTATCAGTCCTCATGCCAACAGATCGACGGATCTTTTGATCTTTAGCAAGCTCCACTCCTCTTGCATACCTGTGTCCCAGTCCGATCGGAATAGCTCATGAGAAGCAGCAATCTGTGCCGCAACCAGAGATCTGGTCCATCTCTTCAGGGCCTTGTTGCAGATGATTTCTGTCTCTTCCCACAGGTATAGAGTCTCTCGTGGGGTCTGCTCTTTAGCTTCATGGCCCGCATCGTGTATGCGGCATGTCGAATGAATGCAGAGGCCAGCTGGACCGAAAATATACCTCTCGACACCGCGGTCGACTGGTCGGAATGCTACTTGATGGTCGAAGTTTGTGGACAGCTTGCCGATACCGAGTGGGACGGCGGTTGAGATGATGCTGAAGTAGGTCCATTGATCACTGGTCAGAGCAGCGACGAGTTCTTGTGGAAGACCTCTGGGGAACGGTATGCTTTGAAGTCGACTAGCTGTGCTTTCTGGCTGTGCGAAGAAGCTGAGAGTCGACAAGCTCATGTGCTCACGTAGAAGAGCATGTGCGACATCAATACTGAGCTGATCGAAGAGTGGACGGCGTAAGTCATGCGGTGGGAAGGCCCTAAAGTGGATATGTGTAGAGACATTATACCTGAAGGCAGTCGAAAGGAGGAGGGGTTTCCATCGTAGAACAAGAGGAGTAGCAGCTGGCTTGACCGGCCTCTTCTCGTAGTCGGTGGAAGCTGCTGGTGAGATCGGGTAAGAAGTGCAAGAAGACACAGATGTACCGAGAGTGAATATCGAGGAAGAACGGGAGCTGATTGAGCTGGGCATGACTGGTTATGATCTGATAGAGGGCAAACGACGGGTCTTTCAAATATCCAACTGTAGCTGCACGAGCTGGAGGTATTAGCGGAGTCAGAGGAGGTCAGCAGCAGGTAAGTTATAGCAAACGAGCACACGCTCTTTCCTCACCAGCCAGGTAGCTGTTGCCCTCTATATACAAATCAATCTTGGTGGGCCTACCGTTCCTCTCGCAGCATCAGTCGTGGGCAGTGTCGTTCGGTTAGATCAGCATTTCTGCGCGTGTCTTTCAGCCAGGGGAGAAGCTGGAACACAGTTATTCCTCGACATGACAATCCAGCGCAAGCCATGTGCCAGAACTCGGCGATGCGAGGTCATGGCAGAAGCAAGCGAATCGCTTCACAGGCAATGAGGTCGAAAGTGGCAAGTACAATCATAAGCGATGGCCCAGCTCATTTACTGCTGAGTGGAAATGCGTGGTGCAACTTTTTGCATAGGGCGGGGCGCTGTATTAAGGACGGCTGAGGTTCCTGAGAGGGCCGCAATGGAATGAGTGGGAAGCGAGCCAATTGTGTATGAAGTGATGCGGCGTCCTCAGCCAGCCTCGGAATACCAGACGTACTTCTGCAGCTATCGCCGCGGAAATACTGAGATATCACAGAATGCTGCAAACGGGCCTCTGATGGTCTGAACGTCTCGGTGAGTATATGGTCGAAAGAGATGGACGAGGGACACTAGATCAACGAAGGTGAATGGCAACAGCATAGATTCTGCAACTCTGCACATAAACAATATGCGCCCAGTGGACAGTCTGCTGTGCATACTGTCCCGTTATGAGGATCGATGACAATTATTACACAGGAACTGAGGGTTGCTCGGGTTGCTCGGGTTGGTCTTGAGCTTTCCTCAGGGGTAACGTAATAGGGACGTCCGGTAGTCAATATGGCACTTCACCCGGGCCGAAAATGGTAGTCTGTAAAGTGACGAAAACCAGGTATTTGTTCGAGTGAACGTCTTCCCGCGCAGTACATTGACCTCTTCTTCGCCAACCTTTGCTATACTTGAACTAAACAATGCCCAGTCTGCCATCGCGCTCCAAACTACCGGAAGACCAGGGCATCCAAGATAATGATGATGCGGCTCACCAGCCATCTCCAACACCGGATCGCATCCGTGTGAAGAACCGACGAAAGCGGTACCTAGACTTGAACCCAGACTATTTTGGCCCGTCTCTTGAGCTGGCAGGTGTGCTTTTCGCGTGAGCCACTAACTCGCAGCTCCTGACTTTATCCAGATCCTCTACTCTACGATCGACTCGTCCGACGCTTTCAGTCGCCTGCCGAGCGTGAAGCAGAAGGCCGCAAGAAAGGCTATAGTGGCATTCTCGAAGCCGACCTCTGGCGCGGTGAAGCTAAGATGGACGCTCTAAGACATCCAGATCCCAATAATACATTTGCGTACAAACGTGGTCCCAACGGTGAGATCCTGGCGGAAGAACGGGATGAGGTGCCCGCAAGTAAAGAAGAAGGCTTCGCACGATGGAGATCGGAGATGGAAGTGAGGTTTGTGCGTGGAGCTGATGGCGACTTTGATTACAGCACGGTCGATGACAACGAGTCGTACGATGACCATGCTCTCGAAGAGCGAGAGGCTCTCGATCGATATTTTGCCGAGGAGGAGCCCGAGTTTGTGGTCGGTGAGGATGCAGCCAAGCGAACCAAATCTCAAGAACAAAAGCTGGAAGGTGAGACTGGTGTTCAGGACTTTTGACGCAACGAGTCTGTTCTTTGCAAGAGCATGCCCTCTTGACGCCCCGACGACTATGCCGTCAAGACATCTATTGGATCCATGAGGCCTTTGAGAGAGCGAGCGCATCGCACGTGTGGCATTTGGCGGAAGACCTGCTCCGCCTCGGTCTGCCGCATAAAGTCCTGCCACTCCTTGGTCGTGATCCATTCTTCCCGCGCTCGCCGGTCGCGAAATCTCATCAGTACCACAGTATCATGAACGGGAGCCCGTCTTCTTGTGGACATCGGCTTGCGTTGCTCATTCGAGTCGGTTATCTGCACAGGATAACTCTCGAATTTTGTGATAAGCTGTGAGAAGGTAGCATGCATACGCAGCCTCGCCAGAAGTGTGTCCAGGCGATGTGTAGGCACATCTTGCTGCTCACCACGTCGACCAAGATCCGCTTCTGCCGCTTGAATATTCTGGGTCATCTGGGAAGCGAAGAAATAGAACATGCATGTCAGAGGCTGTCCCGGAACAGACTGAGCCTGCAACGAAGAGCCATCTGCAACGTCTGTTGATGTTGGACGACCGGCTTGTGTCCGTTTGAATAGCATCTTGCAATACTCGATAAGAGCGGTGTGCTGTATCGGTGAGACCAGCGCCTCAACGAGAACAGTTCAGCGTCACGGACGCTTGCCATACATGCTGATGCTCGCTGAATCTTCCCCGCTATTCATACCCCAAGCTGGGGAGGGGGAAGCCACAGTCTAGCCATATCCGGCTTCGTTCCGCCCGCAAATCGGCAGCTTCAAGTTGGGGGAAGTCGAAGACACGCCGTCTTCAGATCGCTTATTGAACAAACTACAATACAACATCACAGCAGCACTGATCTTGAATGTGCTGTTGAAACTCCCGCCAAAGCTGTCGGGCCACACCCAAAGGCGAATGTGAAAGCGCTCATCTTTGCCAGGGGCACCCCGCCAAGCTGGACTTCTACCGGATTGTTCTGCCGGTGAGTGTCCGGCACTGGCGAAGAGATTTTCCCATTTGCTGCTCAAACGCACCATATCTGTGGCTAGTACCTGACCGCGTGATAGCTCCCTATATTTCCCGCGTGGGACATCGTGGGGGATTAGGTACGCTCCCAAACTGGGAATCCGAGGCTCCGGCAACTGCTTCGCACCAGCACCATCGCCAATTAAGCGAGTAGCTTCATCCTACGGCTAATATTGATTGGACTGGAACCATGGCAAATGCTTGGCTTGCGGGCAGGTTCCGTCTGCAGTCCTGTGTGAAGAGTAATGTGCTCCAGCCACATACGCACCCCACAGGATCGACGGGGGCGACTAAAGGCGACGGCGAAGTCCCCGATTTCCCCGGAATGCCTGCATACTGGACCGCACATATATACCAAGCGTCTGCTCCACGACCGATCGATTTTCTCCATTGACGTCTCCAAGAAATCTGATCCTGCCCCGGCTTCTGCTTTCCTCTTGACGCTCGGCATCTTATCAACGCTGATTCAGAGCTACCATGGGGCGTCGATATTTGGGCGGCTCCGGCGAACGGTTGACTATTTGGATATCCATCGCTGCCTCTACGGTCCTTATCTTCTATGGTAAGTCAGGGCAACCGTGGATCGCGCAACCTACTCCCACATCCCAGCTTGGTGTCAGAGCACCAAGAGCAGACTTCCAGATGGTAGACTGGAAACAGACTTGTCCTTTCTCCCTCCTAAATCCATCCTGATCACTCGAAAGTTGGTTTTGAATACACATACTGACTCAGATCTCCCAATATCTATAGGCTACGATCAAGGCGTCTTCGGCAATGTGCTCGTCAACGAAGACTTCCTGCGCACCGTCGGGTATCCGTCAACTACCGCGCAGGGTACTCTGACTTCAATTTACAACATAGGGTGTTTTGTTGGAGCCTTGTCGACTTTATACACCGGTGATAAACTTGGTCGTCCGAGAACTCTTATGCTCGGCAGCACTACCATCGCCCTGGGTGCAATCGTGCAGGCGGCGTGTATGAACGTGGGCATGCAGTATGCTGGCCGAATCATTGCAGGACTGGGCACAGGCATGAACACCGCAACGGCGGGTAAGGTCTTCGGAACACTTCACTGTTTGGTGTTGACAGTGACTAGGTGTCTGGCAATCGGAGACGTCGAAAATGCGCAGCCGTGGAAAGCTGATCATCATCCAGATGGCTAATTGTATAACGGGCTTTGGTGAGTTAGCTGTTTTCCTGAAAGCGGATGGGTTCCTCCTTCTATGACCGTACAGATAGTCCGACTCGAGTGTACTGACTATTGGTCCAGCCTTGTCTAACTGGCTCACCCTCGGCTTCAGCTTCGTCAAGAACTCGAGTTCGTGGCGATTCCCACTGGCGTTTCAGATGTTCTTCTCGCTTCTCATCTGCCTGATGTGCCCGTTCCTGCCAGACTCGCCTCGTCTACTCATCAGAAAAGGCAAGTATGATGACGCTCTCGAGGTCTTGGCTGCACTTCAAGGCCACGGCGCCACTGTCAACTCTCCCGAAGTCCGAACCCAGTTTGCCATCATCAAAGAAGTGCTGGACAAGGAATATGCCGTCAGCTACTCGTGGTGGCAGATCATCAGTGGCAAAGGTCCCGCAGGTGTCTTGCGCCGCATGATTCTTGGTGCATGGATGCAGGCCAGCAATCAGATCAGTGGGATCAATGTTACGGTAATTGTCCCGATGCACTCCTTCCTGGAGAGAGTCTATGCTGATGAGCCAAGTCCTACTATATGACCTATGTGTTCATCAACGCCATTGGGTTTAGCGAGCTCACCGCACGAATCCTGGCAGCTGCCGGCAGCATGGACTACCTGTTCTTCTCATTCATGGCATACTTTGTCATTGAACGGTTCGGACGCCGTAAGGTCATGATGACATCGGCCACAGCCTGCTCCATCTGCTGGTGTGTGATTGCAATCAGCCTGGGTCTGTCTGAAACCGGCCGAGCGGACTCGTACAAGGCTGGTGCCGTTGCCGTCTCGTTCTTCTTCGTGTTTTTCGCGTCATTCGCCATGGGCGTGCTCGGGGTCCCATGGCTTTATCCCACAGAAGTCAACGCGCTGGCTTTTCGAGCAAAAGGAGCGGCAGGAGCCATGTCAACCAATTGGATTATGAATTACATGGTTGCACAGATAACGCCGCCGGGCATCGAAAACCTCGGCTACCAGTTCTGGATCATCTGGGCGGTCATCTGCGCGGCATTTGTCCCAATCACCTATGTGTTTTACCCCGAGACCGCCAACAGATCGCTCGAAGATATCGACCGCTTCTTCGCCGACAATCACAATATCTTTGTCTTCAACAACAAGGTTGCAACGCAGCTCCGAAGGCCATCTATCTACGAGGAGGCGGATCGGCAGATCGCAGCCCAGAATGAGAAGATTGGCGACGCTGAGCAAAAGGGAGCGGAAACGACCCTTGTCGAGGAGGACACGAGGCAGAGGCCTTAGGACTGGGGGAACAACAAGGAGCGATGCTCTGATTTGGCCAGGAGCTGGTCGAAAGTATCTTATTGGGATCCCAACAGAGTGCCAAGAAATTTTCACTCCCACCCGTTGCTTTTGCGCGGATGGTCATCGGAGCTGCTGGTACGCAAGCTGTCTACATAGCTGGATAGACACCTGTGGATTGCCTAGTAGAGTACGAATACAATAGCTTGAACATGGGTCATGGGTTTTGCAGGCAGAAAACGACTATGACCCGCGTTCACTGCCTGATGCCGGCCAGTGACGTAGCGTGGGGTAAGTACCTATCTACTGGGTAAAGCTTAACTCCACCTCTGCCCTTGACCCGCCAGGCCGCACACTGCAGCTCCAGTGCGGACGTCTGCCGCCCCTCAGCTGCCCCCGCGGCCGAGGTGCTTTAACCGAGAAGCTCCTCCCTGTTCCCTGGAAAACAAATTGTTCAAGCCTCATTTGATGTCCTCCAGGCAGAAGCTAGCAGTGAGATTATGGAAGCTGTGTAACCTCGATCCCCAAAGCTCTCGGTGCGTGTTCGTCTTGCAATGAGCCACCGCCATGTATCGCCTCGTTCGACCTCGGCACGCGTTTCGATCTGCCTTCGCCCAAGCTCGACGGACTTTCCTCTCCCAGGCTAGGAACAAAGGTCCCCTCGAACCGCCACTCCTCGAAGAAACAGTCGGAGAGAACTTTGCCCGTATAGTCTCAGAACATGGCGACCGGCCCGCCGTCATCTCCAGGCATCAGAGCACGCGCCTCACATACCATGAGCTGGATCTGAATAGTAATGTTCTGGCAAAAGGTCTACAGAGTCAAGGCGTAAAAAAGGGCGACCGAGTCTGTGTACATCTCGGCAACAACGTCGAGTTCGCTACAGTTACCTACGCGTTGTTTAAGCTTGGGGCGATCCTGGTGCCATTGAACCCCGCCTTCAACGCGACTCAGATCGCTTCGGCGCTCAACCACCTCGAAGCAACACACCTGGTCATTGGCGCAGAGACAAATCTCCCCTTCAAACCACCACGTTCCAACGTTCCCATTCTCGAGTCCTTGGTCAATGACCTCGCCGCTTCCTCGCTGTCCTCCGATGCGATTCCGAGCTTGAAGTCTGTGATCCTAGTTGACAACTCCGCGGGCCGTGTACCAGTCAGCAAGCTCTGCGCTGCTACTCCATGGGCACAACTGTCCCTCGATAGCGATTCGTCCGTGCCCACCCCCTCCGCCACGCTCTCCAACAATGACATTGTCAACATCCAGTTCACAAGCGGCACCACATCCATGCCCAAAGCCGCCTGCCTTTCGCACCGCTCCATCCTCAACAATGGCAACCAGATCGGTGATCGCATGCTGTTGACTCCGGCCGACATCGTTGTCTGTCCTCCTCCACTCTTCCACTGCTTCGGCTGCATCCTCGGATACATGGCGACGGCCACACACGGTTCCGCCATTGTCTTTCCCACGGAATCATTCAATCCCCTGGCGTCGCTGAAGGCAGTGCAGGAGGAGAAGGCTACCGCACTCTACGGCGTTCCGACCATGTTCCTCGCCGAGCTAGAGCTGATCAGTAACGGCACAGTACCGTACGAGGGCTTCCAGCATCTGCGCACGGGCATCGCAGCTGGGAGCAGCATACCCGCGGAGCTAATGCGGAAGCTGCACAAGGTGCTGAACCTCACGGAGCTGACCATTTGCTACGGCATGACTGAGACAAGTCCGGTGAGCGCCATGACCACCACAGACGACCCGTTGGAGAAACGCATCAATACCGTGGGACGGCTATTACCGCACGTCGAGGCCAAGGTGGTGGACCCCTTTGACCACACCAAGATCCTCGGCATTGGCGAACGCGGCGAGCTGGCCGTGAATGGCTATCTGGTCATGAAGGAGTACTGGGGCCAGCCGGAGAAGACAGCGGAAGCAATGCTCAAGGACGACGAGGGCAAGATCTGGATGCACACGGGCGACGAGGCGAGCATGGACGAGGAAGGCTACATCGCCATCACGGGCCGCATCAAGGACCTGATCATCCGCGGCGGCGAGAACATCCACCCGCTCGAAATCGAGAACTGCCTCTTCGCGAACCCCAAGGTCGGCGAAGTCAGCGTCGTCGGTCTCCCCGACGAGAAGTACGGCGAGGTCGTCGCGGCGTTCATGGTGCCGCGCAAGGGAGCCAAGCTCTCGAGCGCAGAGGTGAGGGACTGGGTAAGGGAGAAGCTGAGTCATCACCTCGTGCCCAAGTATGTGTTTTGGGTGGACGAGTACCCCAAGACGGCGTCGGGGAAGATTCAGAAGTTCTTGCTGCGCGATGTGGGGAAGAAGTTGCTCGAGGAGGGGCAAGGGGTTTGAGCGTTGGATTCAGATGTCGAAGTATACTCGGCTGTGAAAGTGCTGGGGTGTCGGCATCGGCATCAGACAAGAATCCCGAATGGTGAGATATGTACCTATATATCGAAAAGTGAATATAAACGCGGATTCCATCAGGCGAGTCATTCAGGGTACCTCGCTCCACAATTCCCCGAACTTACATGTGGATGACGGTCCCCGTCCCAGGCAAGGGACACTCCAACAACGTCCTCGGGAATTTCTCCGCCGCGCACTCCCCCCTCCCACTGGCTATGCGAGATCTCCCCGTTGTCCAAGCGCGCCGGCAGCGCCTCTTTGGCGGCCCGCTGCTTCGTTCCGGGGACGATGGGCGGGTAGGTCGCCGAGCCCAACGTGCGACGACCGGAGCGGAAAGAGGCGTTGAGGCCGAATTTCATGGTCGCCAGGCAGCCCAGAGAGGTGAAGGCGATGGGGGTGCGGGCGACGACGCTGTCCTCGCCGTCCGAGTGCCAGTTCATGTGCATCTTGTAGTGCACGCCGTAGTTGTGGCCGAACCAGGCGGTGCGGAGGTCCTTGCTCTTGCCGGCCTTCATGAGGGCGCGCTCGATGGGGATTTGCCCGGACTGCACGGCTTGCCAGGCGCGGGTGAATTGGTCTTTGTAGCCGGTGGGCTCGTAGTTTGCGGCGGGCTTGGGGATGATGAGGTAGACGGCGTTGTTTTCGGCTAGGTCGAATCGCTCGGCGATGTAGTGTGAGGTTGAGGGGAGGCGGGTGCGTTGGACTGCTGCGCAGTCGGGGATTTTGATGCCGGCGATCCCGGAGGTGTCGGTCATGTTGAGCCATTGTGGTTCCACTAGATCTTCGAATTGGAGGTCTGGGAGCTTGATGTCGAGGACGACCTTGCAGACACGGCATTCGAGGCGGTTCCAGTAGACTCTGCAGTTGAAACGGAGGCATTTCTGGCAGAGATAGGACTTCCAGCCTGGCTTGGTGGTAGTTTTACCCTTGATCATGGTAAGGAAGTCGGTTTTCGAGAGCTGAGTCGGCGGAGTAGACAGGAATTCGAATGGGCGGCTGTCTAAGTTCGACATGGAGTCGCGGTTGTTGAGGTAGGTCGTAGCATAGGTTCGTTCCTGCGGAAGAGAAGCATAATTGCTGCTATCGTTGCTGCTAGCACATCCTGGACGGCCGCAAAAGATCTTGCCTTCATTGTAGCGTCTGATAATGTCGTGGTTGCAAGTTGGGCACTTGATTTTGAGGCTCTGCTCGTCGTTGGTGGCGTCGCTAGAGTGTCCATCTGCAGTGGCCCGCTAAATGTCGTCTTTCGACACTTTCTCCAGTCGTACCATAGTGACTTTCTCTTTCCCTCGCCAGGCAATCCATGTGTCAGTAGCGGTATAGTCGCCGAGCAGTGCATATCTCTCGCCCTCTGGGGGCTCAACGCTCAGGCTTGGGTGCTGTCTTGCCACGATGGCGTCGATCTGCTGTCTGCGTGCAATGGCATCTTGGGCGACCTCAATTCTTCTGTCGAAGAAGGTCAGAGTGGTGGTGTTGCGTCCCTCCTTCGCCTTTTCGGAGGACAGACGGGCGATGAGGTTGAGGTTGTTGAGAAAGTCCACGGGACAGGGGTTCTCGCCTGCTCGAATACCATCCAAGATCTTGTCATGGCTTGTAGTTGCCCCTTCAGGGGTCGTCCACCATGGCAGACCCTCAGAGAGCTCGGCAATGGTTGCTGCGAGGCATACGGCCTCGCCGTTGCTCACAAAACGGTTGAAAGCCAGGATGGTAATGGATGTAAGTTGGAAGAACGTTGTAAGAAAGTAATAGCAGGCAATTGAACAGGTGTCCAATCAATGCCAGTGAATTTACGAACTGGTGCCTGCGGGCTGCCTGTTTAAACCGTTTGTTAACGGTGTCACCAGTAAGGGTGAGTTCACTGCAAATTGCTGGAGGGAACAGAGTTTTTGGCTTCATTGTGCCGGACTCACCAGAACTGAAATCTATATCAAGCTGAACATTGAGTACAAGGTACCAGGGAAGGCACCCGTGTATATCCAGTCAATTGATAGAAGTCGATGATATGGTCATTTGGAGGGCACTACACTTTTTGGTCTGAACTTCGGGGCTCCACAATACTACCTTAGGGAGGGTACAGTTCTTTATTTGCCATATCCTGTATCTCCATTCTGTAGGATCAGGGAGGGCGCTGGACTCTATAAAGGACATCAGCAGAAGTTGTTGATATGGTCATTTGGAGGGCACCCCAATTTCTCGTCTGAATTGCAGGGGATCATAACGTTGTTCCGAGGAGAGCACCGTCGTTGATACGGCCTCGTCATCGCATTGACGAGACATATGGAAGATTCCCGTGGCATAATGCTGAAGTGATCTTTGCGAAATAGGGAGAGTACCACCTGCTATCAGAAGGAGCATGTCACAGTAGCAATCATAGCCTTCCAAAGTCTGCATTTGTCTTGCGGAAGGGTCTTTGTCTGATATGTACCGGCAAGCACTATTGGGCCCGGTATGACTTCTCGTACACTCAACTTACCTGTGTCCAGAACAAAGTAATAGAGCAAGCAACTAGGCAGAAAAGCTTTCACAATTGGTACGGTCAGCAATCAATGAGGATTCCAGGTGACTCTGCAGTGACCCTCCCGGAGAAACACCAGAACAGCCTCAGACAACTTCACGGATAGCACGAAGGACAGAGAACCGGTTGTCGGTGTGTGTTCCGGACATTGGAGGCCTGATCGTTTAGGGGCCCACCCAACTCATTATAGCGCCGATTGCTAATGTATACTCATCTCAGCGTTTGCTCGAGCAGAAGAAAGTTGTCTATGGCAGCAGCGAACTGTCAATTTTGGCTGTATCCCACGTTTGTGCCTGCAAACAGCTCAATCCTAGCTTGAGCGAAGGCCTGCGCAGGTCTGGACTGCTGCCAGGTTCTGCATGATGTAAGATCCGAGCCGAGTACATGGTTGTCCTTGCACGGTCTCTCCTACGAGTGTGCTGTGTCGGTCCGAATGTAGCTCGGTTTAGCGAAGCTGCAGTCGCACGGTAAACGACACAAAGGACAACGCGTGGGGCCGTGCTCGCCCTGGTCAAGTAAAATTCTGTACAGCTGTGAGAGTTCCACGCTCAACACACGAACATCATCATTGCGGCCGCCTAGACAAAACAAGGCGTGAGATCTCTGCACATGGGCAGGAACCACCGTGGTTAGTTGAGCGAGTCGATTGCTCCGAAACGGATCGTCAACGGGGGACCCGCTACTGAAGCTCCACTGGCTGGCGTTTGTATTTCCTCGTCATCCCACCCTGACGCGATTCTGTATTCGATCATGACATTGACGTTGGTGCAACCCAGACCGACCGATGAAAGCCATGTCCAACTTTTCCGGGATGTTGTATGGATAAGCTCTTCTGGGTGAGCCCTTCGAAAGTGGTGCGTGGTAGAGGACGCAGGGCGGCGGCGTTTCTTGGCTCTGCCGCCAACGCTTGGCCAACGCTCGGCAGGGACGGAATGCAGCCCAGTTGTTCGTTGGGATGTGGATGGCGTGCTTCATGCATCGATAACATCATTTCCGCCCAGATATTCAGCAAGTCCACCACGGCGGACTTGGGCTTGTGAACGCCTTGGCATGGACGAGGTTAATAATGGCCGTATTGGACTCATACATAGTCTTTTCTCGGAGGGAGAATTGTCACACTGATTGAGCTCCCACAATGCGTTCCGACAGCAAGGACGTCCGTCCCGATGACTTTCCTCGCCCATCAGAAGATGAGCAGGGGCTCACCCTGGAGAAAGACTGGACCGTGGAGGAGGAGGCAAAGGCCAAGCGAAAGCTCGACCTCATCATCATGCCGCTTCTGACCCTGGGATTCTTTTGCCTCCGTGAGTTGAATGTAAACACCACCGTCTGCCCAGTGCTGACGTGGAGAATTGCAGAGCTTGACCGTGGCAATATCTCCAACGCCATTACCGACAACATGATGGAAGATATTGGGATCACCCAGAACCAGTTCAACATCGGCCAGCAGATGCTGTCCTTGGGCATCGTGCTTTTCGAGATCCCATCCAACATGATTTTATACCGCGTGGGCCCCGGCAAGTGGCTGACTCTGCAGCTGTTTCTCTTCGGCACCGTCAGCACATTCCAAGCGTTCCAAAATAACTATGGCTCCTTCATTGCCAGTCGCTTCTTGCTTGGTGTGACGGAATCAGGCTTCATCCCTGGCGGCTTGTGGACTTTGTCGACGTGGTATACCAGAACAGAGACTGCCAAAAGAGTCATGATCTTCTACTTTGGCAATCAACTTGGTCAAGCTTCGTCAAAGCTCCTTGCATATGGTATCCTGCATATGCGGGGCGTCGGCGGGCAATCGGGGTGGTTTTGGCTGTTCACTATCATGGGCCTTTTCACCATTGCTTCGGGTATGGTCTTGGGCTTCTGCCTTCCGGATTCGTTCAAGAGCCCTCACTCCACCTTCCTGCCGAAACGTAAGATGTTTACGGACCGGGAGATTCACATCCTCAACACGCGTGTACTGCTCGATGACCCCATGAAAGGCAAGAAGAAGAAACGCATCGGCATTGCCGCGTTCAAGAAGGCGGTAAGTCGATATCAGCCGTTGCTAATAGATGGGCCGGTAGACTGATCTGATTGAACAGTTCTCCAACTGGCGCGTGTGGGTACACGTTACCATCTCGCTCTGCAACAATGGCCCGCAACGTGCCTTCGACACTTACGCTCCTTCCCTGGTCAACGGTTTCGGATTCGCGGCATTGACCAGCAACGCTTTGGCGTCCGTCGGTCTATTCCTACAGACGCCTGTCTCGTTTGCTTTCAGCTATGTGTCGGACCATTTGTGAGTCTGCCAGAGTGCTTGAGTCTGTTCCTATGGCGGCTAACCAAATCAGTGATCGTCGCGGAGAGACTGTGCTCGCAGGCATGAGTTGTCATGTCCTGGCTTATGTCTTCAATCGAACCTTTACCGAGCTGAACTCCCGTGGAGTGCGGTACTTTGGTGTTATTTGGACGCAGACATTTGGCACTTTCTCGCATCCTCTGAACATAACATGGCTATCGTTGACGTGCACGGACTCTGAGGAAAGAGCGCTTGCAATGGCGATGTACGTATACCCTTTCGACTCACAGTAATGACGCTGACCAAAGCAGGATTATCATGGGAGCCAACACAGCTGGCATTTACGGAGCACAGCTGTTCCGCCAAGACGACCGACCACGTTACCGTCGCGGATTCACTGTCAACATTGCCATTCTGGCATTCGGCACCGGTCTGGTCGTCATCAGATACATCGAGGATCGGATCTGGAAGAAGAAGCGTCGTGCGGCAGAGATACACGACTCCAGCAGTGAGGACCGCGTGCAGAGTGATGACCGGATCGGTGTCAGAGATGAGAAGCGGGTTGAAGCTTAGTCTCGACTTTTTGTGCAGCGCTTGTCGACGTGATGAACTCGCGCGACGTTGGCTCAAGATAGACGACGACTGCTGGCGTGGGGGGAGTTAACGAATGGAGCTTACCTCAGCTTCCTGCTCGACATTAGATTGCTGTGTTGGCTAACAGCAGTAGCATAGAATTGCTGAGCCTGTCTTAGTCACGGTCCTGTCAATTCTGTCGACCCTTGGCCCCGCAAAACTTGGCGTGTTTGGTCCCAAATTTCTCCAACGAGTTCTGCTTCCCCTCACTGCATCGCATCCCACCACGAGACGACTGCTTGCAATTGATAAGAACGCGCTGGTGGTTGTTCGCGCACGCGTATACTCCACATGGTAGTTCTTGTGCGTGTCTGATACAGCGAGAGTCGCGGCATGTCCCTTCTGACACGCATCTCGGTGCCTGCTCCTCCCGCCCCAGAAGCCGAAGACATTTTTTCATCTGCGCTGACCACAATTTTCACCGATGATGCCATCAATTCCTGGGGCTCCCCGGGCGCGCATATCACTTACCGCTCCCCTCGCTTCGGCCCTCTGACTCTACAGATACCTGTGCATCCGGACGAAGAACAGGGCCGGACATTATTCGCGCACTATCTCTGGAACGCTGGAGTCGTTGCTGCAGATGCCATCGAAGAGGCAAGCGCGGGCGGCCAAGGGGAGCCCACGAGCATCGACCAACATGACGATGATCCAGAGCGGATAGTCTGGGACAAAAGGTACTGGAGCGTTCGCGGCAAAAGAACACTCGAGATCGGCGCCGGTACGTGAGCTGGCCCTGCGTTGAGGTAGGTTCCCTACCAGATTCTCGTGCCAGCCGCTAACTCTTCCCAGCAACGGCACTACCATCCCTCATTGCAGCCCTGGTGGATGCCCTTTCTGTTACAATCACGGATCATCCATCCTCCCCAGCCCTGACCAACGATGCCATCGTGCACAACGTTCGTGAGAACCTCTACCTCCACCCTGCATTCGAGAGCATCCCGCCCCACAACCCGCAGCCTCGCACAGCAGCCTGTGAGTCCATCCTAGTATACGGCTACACGTGGGGAACTTCCACATTCTATCAGCCCGCCGAATACGGGAAGCCTGCAAGTCCGCCTCTCGCCTCGGATTTGCCACCAGCTACCTCCGTGACCGAAAAGGGCTATCCGCGCCCAGACAAAATCATCGTGGCCGACTGCCTATGGATGCCCAGCCAGCACGTAAACATCTTGCGCACCATCCTCCATTTTCTGCCTCAAGGCATCTCAAAAGACACAGACGAAATGAACTCCGTCCCTTGTGCGCTGGTGGTAGCGGGCTTCCACACGGGCAGAGCCATAGTGCGAAACTTCTTCGACCTCGCCGTAGGCCACAGCATGTCATCACCCCACAGCGACGACATCGACGAGCAGCGACCACAACCACAGCCTTACAGCCACCTCACCGCCGAGGAGCGTGCCTGCGTCGGTAAGCTCCGGCTCGCGAGGATCTTCGAGATGGACATGGACAAGCGGCGGCGCGACTGGGTCTGGGCAAGCGAGCGAAAGGGCGAGGGCAAGTGGGAGGCGAAGCGGTGGTGTGTGGTCGGCGTGCTTGTCAGGCGGTGAGAGACGCGCAAGTCGCCGACATTCTCCGGACTACTTACTTCAGCCGAAGGAAACGTAAGAAGACACACAAGAGATATCAAATGTAGGCCACGCGACCGGCAATGGCCGAGAGCGCGGCTAAGAGGAGCAAGCGGACATTGAAAACTTACGCAGTCCAGACAGAGACAATTGGAATGAGTTGAGTAGAAAGGAAGTTTTTGATAGTCTCGTCCGAGCATCCCTCCTATGCGGACCTCAATCAATGATGAATAACCCAATCCCCAGAGCTCAAAAACGAGCGCTATGCAGTCGCAGTCAGGCCGTGCTTTGGCTAAAAACCAATATTCCCGCCCATGACCATTCATGCCCCTTTGTGCAGCTTTCCGGTTAAATTGCATTCGTTTGCCCAACTCCTTTACCAATGCCCCTCCATTAAGTACCATCTCCCATGCCGATGAACAAATGCCTCTCATGAAACCCAGTTCGTCCATTCCGTTCGGCCGCCTATCCGCCTAACCCGCAATGCCATGAATAACGCCCTTTGCACCGTCGCTAATAAATAAGATCCCACCCCCAAGTAGACCGTGAGACACATCCTTTTTGCGAGTTGCAGATGAACTGTAGCTCCAGTGTGAGGGAGATGCCAAAGATAATACCACCTCACGTCAAAGAGTAAACGCCGGGTCAAGGTGGAAGGTTGGAGCCCTCTCCTCTCTTTTGAAGCCTGCAGTCACCTTCTTCGCCTTGCTCCTCTTCTTCCTCATTCGCCTCGCCTTTCGTCGTTTCTCCTCGTTCTTCGATTTCGCCTTGTTCGCATTCCTGTCAATGCTAATTTTCTGCTCTCCGTGTCCACCCAGTGGACCAGACGCTCCATGTACAACGATGACGGCTTCTCGCCACGCGACGCCTGCCCCAGCTGGCGGCTGCCCAGGCTGAGTTACAGACTGAGATTGAGCTTGCTGTGCACTCGTCTCCTGAATCTTTTCTTCTTGCCTCTTTCGGTACGTGGTATGTGCATGTGCGCGTGCGAAAGGCAACGAATTGGGGACCGGGAGGTGGGGAATCGAGAAAGGGACGAATCTGGCTGTAAGCGTAGGTGCAGGTGGAAATAGTGATGCAATAGGGGTGCTGGTCCATTCTGGAGGTCGTGCCACGATGGATGAATTGATCCACGCAGTAATATGTCCGGTATGACCGGTAGTTGACTTTGCATTAGCCAGACGCGCACCTTCGGCCCCGTGTTCCCAGTTGATGGATATTTCCTTTTTGGTCCGCATGGTATCCACAAGTTGTAGTTTCTCATGCGCCATCAGTGGCCACTTGTCCGTCCGCGGTGCCGCTTCCCGCTGCACTTCCAGCATAATGCGTTCCTGGTTGCCTGGTAGGCATGTTGTCGCTAAGGATCCAAAATCCTGACACGCTTTGCTCCTGGATTCGTTCAAGACTCCTCTCTCCTTATCTGACGAGCCGCTAGATGACGTAGCCATTCCCTAGTAGTTACTGCCACCTCCCCCATACCCATAATTCGGACTCGAAGTACTGCTGTTAAAGTTAAAACTGTGCGGAGAGCTGATAGGAGGTAATTGGAACGAGTACCGGTTGGAGGGAGGCTGTAAGGGCGCAGCGTCTGGAGGGCGGGAGCGGAAGGCCGCAAGCGATGAAGACCCAATACTTGAAGCTGTGTATGGGTTGGTCGTAGTCGATGTGCGCTTGACAGGCGGTCGCGCATCTTGATCATCTTCATCGTCGCTGAGAGTCAAGTCGATCACTTCCTGGCGTGGTCGTTTGGAAGCAGAGCGCTGTGAAGTGGCAACAGAATCTTCGCGGCCGTTGAGAGGTGGCGTACGAACTGAGGAAGGTGTTAGAGTCTGCGTGATGGTGCTGCCGTTCGTGAACGGTCGACTGTCATCAATAACTACCAGATCATCATCGTCATCGGAATCTGGTGTTGCATTTAGTTTCCGCTTCTTGTTACTGGCAGCGGGTGTGGTGTTGTCCGTTTGACCAAGACTCCATTTTCCGTCCGGTTCGACGGTAACTTGCTCAGTGTCCTTCGATGTATTATTGAGGATATCGAGAACATATTGGTCGAGCACCAGTTGTGACCAAGGTACAGGCCTGTTACATTGAGGGCAAGTCCAGGTTGGTGCTTGCTCCTGGAGTTGGAGGTAGGATGTGGCATCGAAACACTGATTGTGCGAACAGCCGGTGCCTCGGCAGGGCGTCTGTAGTCGAGTGTAGCTCAGGGGACATTTGAGTGACATCACTCGTGAAGAGACTTCGATGTCAGGATCGGCTGCCTCTCTTCTCATCTCTCGAAGGACGGATTCTTTGGACAAGGCTTTGCCATGTCTAATTTCTCGGACGAGGTCTTCGACCGGCTTCTTGACCACGAAGTTGACGATCATGTAGAACTTCTGCGCGGAGGGTTTTCCCTGTAAGTATACGGATCTTCGAGTAAGATATCGGAAAGGAAAGGAAGGAGAGGATGGGAGGGGAGATTTTGCATGATGTTCCAGGAGAACGGACGAACCTTGTTAGTGAGAGCGTACACCATTTCCACTTCGTTTCGGAACGCAGGTTGCTTCTTGCGGATGAACTGCGTTATATCGGCTGGTCGAGTAGATCCCGGCTTGTTTTTGAGGCCCCGAAGGTTGGCTTTAACTTCTTCGCCATTGCACTTCAATTCGACCTGGTGAGGGAATGTAATATCAGACGCCTTGTAGCCGGTGTTGTCAGCTGTGCAGAACACCATCACCCTTGCTTTATTATCTCTTTGGAGTTGTTCCGCGACATCTTGTGGTAGAATGACAGTTGCGCGCGCCGCATCTCTGGTGGTTTCGCGTACTAGGCAAATTGTCAAGAGCGACTCTTCTCAAATCGAACGTGACCTACCTTTCAACTCCACAACACTGGTCAAAGACCTCAAAATCGTATAGAACGGTGAGTTTTCGAACCGTACACCACCAGCCGTTGGCTGATATGGATTACGGCCTGGAGCCATGCCGTAGCTCGAGGTATGTAGCAGATGTGGGGCTGAAGGGTTGAAAGATGGCGATGCGGAGGATGCGGGAGTATGGCTCGAGTATGGCGAGCTGAAGTTGCTGTGAGCAGTATTGTCGCCTCTCAATTGTCGTCGAACGAGTTCTAAGGCTGAGCGATCGCCCGCATGCTGTGCTTTCTCGATATCTGTGGCGCAACCTGGTTAGCCTGGCAACCTGAGAGGGAGGTCACTCGCGCCTGAGCCACTTACTGGCGATAGCCCGTATCTGGAGTTCTGACTTGACACCACTAACTGTCAGACCTTGTCGCCGCAGCAGGTCCTTAAGTTGCGCGACCGTCAGACCTTTGACTTCTGCGATGAAGCCTCTGGCGAGATCCTGTAGCGGGGTATGGTAGCCGTTGGCGGCCATGACTCAGGCCTCGGGCTTGTTGGTGCGCTCAGAGGCGTTCGTAGAGCATAAGAGGAACAGGCTGCTGGTAGTAGAAAGGAAGGTGGGGTTTTGCTGTGAATCAGACGTCGTCGCTCCCACTTCACCACGCCACAAGGCTGAGTGAAAGGCTGAGAAATCCAGATGCCCGCCCAAAATTTCTACGATTGTCATCACTTTTTGTAGTCCCGCAACGCCAGAAAACATTGTGCTACAACCGCTTACGCAGAACCAATCCCCAAGGCAGGTATTGTGAAAACATCCAACATGGCCAAAAGCCAACGTGCGTCCACGCGCAAGCGGAACAATGCTGCTCTCCGATCCAAAGTCTTCGGGCCCGCCATGGACGCCAGAACCGAGCGTCTATCGGCCAAATTGCAGGAACTAGCAGCGAAGCCAAAGCCGGAGGATGAGAGAGCAATGGCTGTAGACGAGCAAGAAGTCACGAAGGAGGAGGATTCGAACGCAACCGAAGCGAACGAAGAGGGTACGCATACGTTACTTTATTCGCTGGGAACGCTCACTAATGTAGAGACAGAGATGGACGTTGACGCCCGAGGTGCGAAAATGAAGCCGGTCAAGAAGGCCGGATCTGCAAAGAAGACCAACCGCGTCTCGAAGAACCGCGTCACCAAGTCGAGGAAGCCCAGGAACAATGTTATCTTCCCCGAGCTACAGGCTAGGAAACGGAAACAACAGGAGCGCAAGGCACAGGGAAAGAGATGAGAGAGGAGAACTATTGTTGCAACTTCTAGGCATTAGGCGGCGTTATGAGGCTATGATCGTGCATTCATCGGACGAAAATCATGAGATACCCACACCAACGAGCAATCGGCGATAGATACATAGGGGAAGAAACACGTTTCATCCTATTCACCGTCGCCACGGCATCGCCAGATACCTTCTTCTTCGCGCAATGTTGATCCTCGAATGCCCGGCCGCTTCTCTTCTGTCGAGTGAACCAGGTTGTGCCAACTGCAACTGGTACACCTGTACAGTACTACCTGCGCCACAATTCTGCGTGACGTTGCCAGCACAAGTCATGCTGCAATCGCTGTCAGCCTTGGGCTGGATGTTCGCAGCCAGGCCGGTCTTGCTGCAGTAACATTGAGAGCCGTATTCGACGCCGGCCCAATCGAACTCCTTGTCATAGCAAGCTTTGACGCATGTATCTACGCTGTTAGTCTTGTCGAGAGGCTGCGAATTGGGACCGATCGTACGGGTGCCGGAGTTGTCGGGGTAGCAGCCTTTGTACTTGAAGGTCACATCTGTGTTATCCTTGTCCTTGATATTGACGGTCTGCACGACTCGGGGAGTATAGGCGGTGTTGTTATAGAGCGACATTGCTCCGGCAGCGCCGCAGAACTGTTTGGCATTAGCTGCGCAGCGGAGGTTGCAGCCGTTGGCGGGGAGGGTTGTGCTGGTGCTTGCGAGCACATCGCCGAGTAAACACTGTTTGCCGTACTCGAGACCAAAGTACGCATAATTCTGCTGTTTGGCGAGAGCGGCGCAGTAGTCTACTGACATCAACGTGCCTTCTTCCTTGAAGATGGCGGCCAAGGCGCGAGGCCGGCCTGTATCGGAGACACATCTGAGGTACTGCGCGTTCGCGGCCGGAATAACAACAAGACCACCATCCGACCCGTTATCACCACCAGTACCGGTGCCGGTTGTAGGTGCAGGCGTAGAAGGGACATCGCCGTTGATACTCCACAAGCTCAGTCGTTTCTGGCCGCCGCAGAATTGAGTATTGTCTCCTTTGCAGACCATTATACATTGTTTCTGGTCCACGACGGACGTCGAGATACTGTTGCCACAGTAGCATTCTGATCTTGTTAGTACAAGTTGGGGAGAATTTATTCATTACTTACCACCAGCATACTCCGTCCCGAACAAGTTGAAGTTGTTCGACAGGCACTTGGCTGCGCATTTCTCATTAGTCATGGCCGGGTCGGAATACATCAAGCCGCCAGCCATGGCACGACCGTTGTCAGGCTCTGGATAGCAGCCCGCGTACGTAGCTTCGCTTGCTGTCCCGTCAGTTGATGAAAACTGCAATTTGGTCTCGTTGATTATAGGGATGCCTCTGAGTTTGACGCTAGACTTCGTGTTCTTGTAAATGTGGACGACATCCCGACCACCGCAGTACTGCAGGTTGTTGCCGTTGCAGACGATATGAGCCTGGGTAGAGCAAACGCCGTTGCCCTGAAGTGTATTCACCAGGGCATTGCCGCAGTAACATTGATATCCGTTAGAGACTCCGGCATACGCGTAGCTGTTGTCCGTACAGAAGCTCTGGCATGTTTCTATTGTCATGTTGTTGTCCGTTTGCAGGAGGGCACTTGGGAGCATCTTAGGGGAACCCTGATCAAAGCCGCATCCCACGTACTGCCAGTTTTTGACCATGTCGCCAACGATCGGCAGCTTGCGGACATAGTTGTCCAGGTTGTCCTGTGGCAGTAGATTTGGTTGAACCGGGCAGATGGCCTGTGCAGCTCGCAATGGACCTCCGGTCGGAGGGTTGCAACCAGGAAGCGTCCTGAGCAGACCCTTAGTCTTTTCCTTGATGATGGGCGGCTGCTCAGGACAATTCTTGGTAACAAACTGGTCGAATGTGGCATTGAGAGGGGGGCACTTCTCTATGGAGCCATCGTTGACGGCGCGTCCTCGGCCCATGCACATAGCGATGGCAGCGTCCAGGACTGTCGGGTCCCAGCCGTTCAAGAAGTCGCCGTGGAAGCCGTAACCAGTCGTGTCGCCGTTGGCAAAAACAAAGTAGCCGCCACTCTCCGGTTTGACATTGTTGACCGAGTAGATGACCTCAAAGAAGAGATGGGGAAATAGTTTCGGATGTGTTGGAGGACAAACTCCAATATCGATCCCGGACATATAGGTGACATGGCTCTGATCAGACTTGTAAAGATCCTTCCCGTTCCAGCAGCTGGGGAAGTGGATTTGTGCACGGAGCCCTCCTGGGCAGTTAGTCTTTTGAAGTCTAGGGGTTTCTGGGCTTGGATTGGCGTAATCCAGACAAGCAAAGCTGACACGATCAGCTATGGGTCGATTCGAGACTTTGTTGGTTGCGGTGCCACCGTAAGTCTTGGCCTGGCTGTTGTACGAACGTGCGGCACTGTCACCAGAGAGGACTTGATAGCCCGGCGGGAATGGCACGATATTGAGGTTATCATCACCACGATCCAGATAGTAGATGACAGTGCCTCCGTTTGGGACATCAGTAAAGGAGCCGTTCCGGTATCTGTAGTAGAGCTGAGGCGTCCAATAAGCACTCTTGTCGGATTGGATGCCGCAAGACGTGCAGTATGCGGCTTGCAGACTCCGGAAGGTTGATGTGGTGTTGAAATTGATGGGTCCGGAAATTGTGTGAGAATGTCCGGAGATGGCACCTGGATTGATGATAGGATCAACTCTCCCCATCTGAATCCTGCCACAGGACAGACGCCAGAAGGCGTCGGTCTGGACAATCAATGCCGCAAGCACGAAGCTGACGAGCATGTTCATGTTGAGGTTGTGCATGTTGTCGGTCTCCCTCACGGAGGTACTGGGTAGAGTCAGAGGGTTGCACAAGCCTTCCCAAAGGCAACAAGTTGCAGACGGTCGCCACCATTTTGTATAATCTTTTGTTCTACCCACGATAGTCAGTAGCATACACTCTGCCCGTATCAGGAAGGCAGAGTCACGACGAGGCGACGAAAGCAGTTGTTCGCTTGGGCAAACTCCATCTATCGAGTCAGCTGCGAGGCCGAGATTCAGTAAACGCGGCCGTAGTCTGAGAAGAGATAAAGGGGAGATCGGACGCATGCAGGATGTCGAAATCTAGGCGACGGCAGTACAAAGGGAATGGCACACATGATCGGGCGAAGGCCGCGCAACACCTGACAGCGGCACCATTGTCGGCGTCCACGGGTTCCGCAAACAGTGCGTCGAGCATAGACGTTGGCGAGGCGAGGCGATAGAGTCGTCAGCATCGCACGGGCCGCCGAGGGGTTGGTCGATTCTCTTTGTATCATCATTATTAGCGCCCACGTGGCTTGAGATGGCTACCCAGGTCGAGGCCACAACGACGCCCGTGCCATCTCTGTTGGACAGGACAACACCGCCGGCATGTGATTTTAGAGAGGCGCTTCGTGTCCTGATGTGCATTCGAAGAGGTGTTCGCGACCGTCAAGCAAGCCAAGCCAATTAAGACCATTTTCAGGTTAGCGGGAAACGCGAAACGCGTCGACGCGTTTTAGCTTGCGTTGGCGAAAGTGCGTCAATCTCGCAGCAGCTCCTTGCTCGCAACGAGTGGCAGCAGCAAGGTCGCAAATTCTCCGGTCAAGCCTATCGATAATTTAGAGGTGGATCGAAGTCTGAGGTACAATGTGTCGTCACGATCGGAGATATGTGCTTCATGATGCAGGGTTCGACTTCGTCTAGAACGTGGACGTGTAGATCGTGGACTGCTGTGAACATCGACGACTGAGTTGAAGCTCGAACGAGCAAAGCGCAAGAAAAAGAGGCGCTAAGGACAATAATTGGTACCGTCCCCCGACCATGGAGCTGTCATATGACAGCACGGCGTTTAGTGTCCCTTGCTCGTGAGCTGGGGGAGCGCCCACTTTCGTAGATCATCCTGCGCCGTGCCGAACTGCTTCCTTGCATACTCCTACACCTACCCTCATCACCCTACCGTTGCTATCCCAACCCGTGTCTGTGTTCTTCAAAAAAAGCTACGATCGATCGACCACATCACTGCGACCATTTCGGCGCGACTTGCGACAAGAAAAACCGCTGCGCGCCAACGAGAGCTGCTCCGGCGCAATGCTGCTCCCTTCAGCGTTCCCGTGCGACGGCCTTGCGTCGACCGCACCCCGACCAACCCGACCTCAACTCCCCTCATTCTCTGCATATACACCTCTACCCAAAACAGCAACATCATCAGACGATCCTACACTTGCGTCGAGCTGTCGCGCCCTGCACAGCATCCTTGGAAACCCGCTCCGCGCACCTCGACCGCCTCCCAGAGCACCTGCGCGACAGTTGCGCAATCCTTTTGGTGACGAGCTGGCCACCACACCGCCGAGAAGTCCACGCGCTACGATCCCTCGCGGCGCAAAGAAGCGTGGCCGCGATGAGTTCGAGGCTGATTTACAGAATACACATTACGGCGCAAGTACGTCAGAGCATGCACCAGACACCAACATCTTGTCAACGCCAAAGCGAAGGCGACGCATACCGCTAGACATGCCGCTTGGCCTGTCAGCCGCAGATTTCCAGTCTCTCGATGCGCCACCGGTCGGAACGCAAAATCGACACCAACAGGATCACGACGGCGACCTGAACATGCCCGAACTATCTCACGACTGTCTTTCAGATTCGGACGACGATGTTGACTCTGGCTACGGACCGTCAAACGGTCCTTCACCAACTTTGACCAGCATGGACGGCCCAGCCTGGTCGGTCGATGATGATCGCATACTGGTAGAGACGGTCCTCGAGAAACTACAGCTATCAAAGCGCGCGTGGAACGACTGCGCGCGGAGACTCGGCAAGGACCGCGACAGTATAGGACGGCGCTGGAAGGCGCTCGTCGATGAGGGAGCGGTCGGACTTAAAATCCGACGAGGTAAACTGATGCGAAGAACATCAATGGAAGTACCCGGGTGGTAATTAGTATCGAATTGTTTCAGTCCTTGAGCTGAAACTTTGGCCTGGCGAATTTGCGTCTCACCGGCGTGTGATGGATCGATGGAACGGTATTTGGTCCAGCGATTCTCGGAGCAGAGTCGTCGATCAGGCGCGGGCACGGCAGCGGCATTCTATTGTAGTCGGCCATCTTTGGGTTTCAGCACTATACCCCGTTTAGTCTCATTTCAATACCAGGCACACCTGTGCGTTCTCGCTCTGATCTTCTTGTCGAACTTTGCTGGCATCTTCCGCCGTTTACTGCCTCGTATCTACAGGTCGACGACTGTGGGTGGAGCGCTCCTGCCAAATCGAGTCCGGCCTGACCAAGGCCCAGTGGAGACCGTACCAAGGGGCACCGAGTCTTGCCTAAAGCACTGACTTTTAGGCGCTGCACTGCGGCCCGGATATATATTCGGATTGCTCATATTTATGTTCGATATCCACCTGAAAAGCTGCGTGAATAGTTTAAGGGTAGAATTCGAGCTTCCCATGCTCGAGGCCCGTGTTCGAGGTAAGAATTACAGGCTCTCTAAACGCATGGAGGATCAGATCTAACTGATCCAACAGTCACGGTTCACGCATCGTTGAATTTGTTTTTTGCGAATTTTGCTGTCCTCATTTTTGTCCTTTGAAATCAGAAGACACTCAGTGCGAGATCGAGGAGGGGCAAGGGGGCCAGGAGGGGCGCTCTCGGTCGACGGACCGAGGTCGGAAATGCCACCTCCACCGCGCCGTGTACTTTGTAATTATATTCACGCCTTCAAATGATTGACCTATTGTCCTCACCATCAGCGCTAAGATTTCTTGTCTTGAAGAGAAAGTCATTTCTCTATATTTACTACATGCTTCGTTGGATTGTTCACTAGCTCCCCTCCAGCAGGGTTTTTAGCCGATCAACAACGCCTTCCTCCACGTCAATCTCCCCAGCCTCACGGTTCTTCTGCCGAATACCATTTGACCTTTCAAAGGGCATCCTCAGCTGCGAGCCACCGGGTAAAGGCGGACTATCCCTCATCTTCGCCGAGAACGCATCGATCTCGGCTTTGAACTCCTCAATCTGCCGGAACATGGCGGGATTTACCACTATGATCATATATCCAAAGTCCTCTAAATCAGGCGGAAAGGCTGGTGACCCTGCCATAACCCCAAGCAGCTGCACAACAATCGCCAGCCCACTACCTCGGTGACCGCCCCACACGGCCATCGCCCCCTGCAATGCTTCGTGAGGGTCAATCGTCATTTCGCCCTCGCTGTTGAAGGCCGAATCAGCTGGCAGCTCCCGTCCAAGCCTCCGTGCAAGCATGATGTCCGCATGGATGATTTTTGAAGTGCCGATATCGTAAATGATCGGCACGTCCCCAGACGGAAAGCCAACGCAATAAGGATTCGTACCAAACATGGGCTTGTAGCCTCCCTCTGGTGCGACCCAGGCCGTGCAATTCGAAGCAATGACCGCCACCAAATCCTCGGCCGCAGCCATCTCGGCGTAGTACGACAGCATGCCCGTATACCAAGTCCCATTGGCACCCACAGCCGCCACGCCCGTGGTCTTCGCCTTCTCAATCGCCATCCGTGTCGCTTCGTAGGCGACCAGATAGCCCAGCGAGTCCTGGCCGTCAATCTGCGCGGTTGCGGGCGCCTCGCGCGTTACTTTCACGGTCTGCTGTGGCGGCTGGCCCTTCAACCTATCCGCGATGCTGAGGATGCGTGCCAGCCCGGCAACGCCGTAGCCGCGAAGCTCACTGTCAATGAGGTGGTGGCTGATCTTCGAGGCCTCGGCTGAGCCATAGCCCAGCTTGACGAGGGCGCGGTGCGCGAGCTGCTCCGCGTCTGACACCTTGATCTTCATGGCGGTGGTAGTATTGATGGTGCTCAAGAACGCTGAGGCCCTTCTGGAGCGTGGAAGCTAGGTTGACTACCTTATATTCTGGCGGTAATAGTAGTGGGTAGGGAGTAGTATAAACGCGCTTCCGGGATTACCCCGTCTTCTCCTTCTCCACGACTCCAATTCTCCAAGACTGGAGGATTGGGGAAAAGGATGGATGGAGATACCTCGATACCTAACAAGTTTCTTTCTTTGCAAGTGTAGCAAGCGAACGGTAACCATGAGCGACCCGAAAGTTTTCTGCGCCGGACGGTACCGACTGGATCAAGTTCATCCGGGGTAGGAGTTGAATGGAATGGTAAGGGTAACAACCGATATCGGCCCATCCATGCCATGCTCGAGGGAGAGCGGCCGGGTAGACAACGGCGACTTGTCATTGGATCGCATAGCTTCTTCATCCTACCATTCAGCATGTTCACGATGGCACGGACTCCAAGCGTGAGTTCGAGGAAAATAGTAGAAGAGAACAGTTGGAATGTGACGATACCTTGCCAACAACTAGGAACTGTGCTGAATGCCCATGCCATTTTGCTGCTAAAGAAGACTCAGCCACCGTGTCCCCACGTACAGAGTCACACCGCTGCACCAGTTTCGACACAGTATAACACACCCAGAGTTTCGGCTGAGAGCCCGATAGGTCTGCCGGTCGATCTTGTCGATTCCGGTGCTGTCCACCTGAGATTCCCACACAAGGATTAGAACACTCTGCACTTCAAGTCATGTACCGGAAAGCTGGATGCTTGCTGCTCAATTCGACTTCCTGTTGTTGTGTCAAGCCCTCCAGGATGTGGTCGCGGCGGCCCAAATCCCTCTGCTTGTTCTCCCACTTGACGTACATCAACAAGCCAATGGCACAAGCCCATGAGCCACATAAGAAACTCAAAAGAATAGCGTGGCCGGTGCGGTAGTTTGGCGCATCGCTGGGTAAGTATATCCAAGGTGCGAGTATACCTCCCAATGAGCCCATTGTAAAGATGATGCCAGATGCTGAGGCCCGCACAGTTGCTGTAGCGCAGTTGTTAACTCCCCAAGCGAGCCACAGTGGCAGAAATGAATAGAGTCCGGTGGCCCCGAGGTACAAGGCGCCGTACTTGACAGATGGGCGGTCGGCCGGCAGGAATTCTAGCATGAAGAATCCGACAATGCCAATTGGAACAGAGCAGATGATCAGCACCGCTCGCTTCTTGTATCTGTCTGAAAGCCAGCCGATCAGGATCGAAAAGAGACATGCACAGACCTGGGTAATTAGCCACTGAACTTTCTAGGGGATTGAAAATACTCACGTAAGGACCCACAGAAAGTAGCTGGGCGCGGGTGCTCGAATAACCCATAGCGGCGATGATGCTAGGAGCGAAGACCGAGAATGACTGGGCTGCGGTATTGCCGAAGAAGAATCCCACGCCACAGGCCAGAACGTGCGGACTGAGAAGGGCCTGGCGGACGTGTTTCCAGCGTGTGTGGCCGCCTTCTGTTGTGCCCGCGCTATCCACCCTTAACCTGTTGACAGCCACGTCTTTTTCCTCTTCGTTCAGGAATCTGGCTGTCTCTGGACCACGAGGAATTATCCAAAAGGCGAGGGCGGCGATAAGGAGGGATATAAGGCCCTGGAAGGTCAGCGATGAAGACTGTTTGAGGGGATATGGATTACCTCAAAGAAGAAGATGTTCCTCCATGTGTGTATGAGCCCCCAGCGTGGAATCTGACTGAGACCAATGGCAAGCAAACCACCGAAAGCTCCACTGGCGCTGGCGGCGGAGATGTAGATGCTGGTTCGGAAGCCTAATTCTGACCGTCGGTAACTAGATGGGTCAGCGTTGAAGAATGCTGGAAATCGCCATAAACTCACAATTGAGACAGCATCCAAACAAGTCCTGGAGAGATGCCGCCTTCGGCACATCCGAGAAGGAACCTCACGGCATATAGTCCATGTCGATTCTCGACCACCGAGGTACAGATGGTCAATATGGAGAAGCAGAAGATCAGGAAAGGAATCCAGACATGGCCACCAATCTTCTTGCAGGCAATATTTGACGGCAGCTCGACCACACAGTATGAAACGAACAAACACATCAGGGCGATATTGTACCGGAGTCCCACGCCGAGCTCAAGATCTTTCGAGAGCCCCAGCAGCCGAGCATTGCCGATGTTGACGCGGTCGATGAATGAGAAAAGGTTGATCAGCAGGAACAGCGGTAGAATACGGTAGTCGTACTTGCGCACAACACGTTTGGAGACGGCTTCGTCAATAACCAAAGTCTCCCTAGTAGCTCCTAGGACTTCCTTGTGCTTGTCGTGGCCGTCAAGGCTCTCGTTGTGGAAGCTGGAGCCCATGGGCTCTACAGTGAAGCTGTCTTTCTCTGGAACCGCCATGACTGCAGGCAAGTGAAGAAAACATCATGGCAGTCGAGACGAAGAGAATGTCAGCCTACTTATTGGCACAGCGGTCGCCGAGCCAGGTAGCGAGCAGAAGCGTGGAGATGAAGGCGGCAGGCAAGGTCGAGGTCGCTCACATGATCGGAACCGATACCTACCGAAAGGCAACGCGGGGCCCCGACTTTGATCCTTGCTCCCTCTCTCTTTCTCCACCCCTTCGCTTCGGCATCCACAGCTGCAGCACCAAATCCGGCCGCCAATGATTGATCGCAAAGACGTCTGATCGAATTCCGAGACCATTTCTCCTCGCCCGTATACCGCCCGACATTGCTATGACAAGCACTGTCAGATATCAAATGTGCGCAGCTTCATGTTGTTCGAGGACCCCTCATACAGCCCTAGCTTGGCTGAACGCCACTCGGTATGTCCTTTCGAAAGCAGTACAAGAGCTGTGATGAATGTCGACGATCACGAATCGGCTGTGATGCTCACCTGTACTCCGGGTCTCCCTGTTCAAACTGCCGGCGACGAGCAAAGACATGCAGCACTCATTGGCTCAATAAGCGCAAGGAGAATCTGGACAAGACTCGTCGAGGGACTTCGTTAGCCGCTGACTTGCCTAAACTGCCTGCTCAAGAGCGGGACCCGTCAGAGGCTCCCGCAACACCTGGCCAGGTCGAGCGTCGGGAACAAGCTCTGCGCTTACATCATACACTATGGGAGACCTTCACTACATTATTTGAGCCACAACTCGGCTTATGGATTGGAAACGATTGTAATCCATTCAAACGCATAACTACGGTAAGTGATAGATGCAGCGTCGGCCCTGAACCCAACTCATGACCATGCAGGCACCTAAGACGCTTGTGTCTCGACTTATGGTCACTTTGGACATTGCCCGATGCAACATGAAGCCGGAGACCTCCATCATCGAGAGGTTGCGTCTGCCAGTAGCGGCCCCGAGAAGAGCGGGAGACGATGACAATATGGACACTTACGTCAATCAAGCACTCATGAGTGCTGTACATGCCTTCTCCTCTCGATGGCTACCAGCTGGCTTTTTCAATACTACAGGAAGCGATGACCAAGCCGCCCGAAGACGTTTCATGCAGACTCTATGGGACCAAGCGCATGCAGACGTACTTTGTGTGCTGACACTGCCCTGCTACCGCTCGATTCTTGCGCTCTATCTGTTCGCCATCACGCCGTTGGTAGGATCCAGCGCAATGCATCCGGTCAGCCAAATGTGCTACGAGACGTCCTTACGGCACTACCTTCAGCTTCGACTCGAATCGCGAATATCGCTACCAGACGTCGGCCCAAACCAGCACGTCCCAAATTCGACGGATCGAGATGAACTTGATCATCTCGAGGATAGCGCATACTGGTTTGGAATAGTATGCGACGTGTCGAGAAGTCTGCTAAGGTGTCAGCCTCCCATCGTCTTGTCGGGCCCCAGCGCACACGCACGAGTGTGGCAGCTTGTTTCCAGACAAGTCGAAGACTTTGCAGCCCAAAGCATCAGTATGCACACGTCAAAAGATATATTAGATGATGCGACAGTGCTCCAAATACTGCAAATGGGCAGCTCTTGTAAAACCATGTGCTGGGCTGCCATAACCGATGTCCAGGATACATTGTTCTACGAACGCACCAGTTTGTCTTTCCAGCAATCCTTGAGCTTCTGCCTCGACATGTTGCAGCAGTTTGAGGCCATATTCCTGCCCTTACTGGACAAGTGCGCGCGGGATTTTCTGTTGCTTAGCGACAAGAGCCGACTTGGTTATGGTAACACACTGACATATACAAGGCTGTTAGACAGCGCTGACTATTGCTAGTTTGGCTTGTGCTTCATTTTAATCTTGGAGTCCTCATCCTGGCGGACACTCTGGTCGCCGGCTCTGTCGCGTTGACACTCGACAACCAAGTCTCGATCGACGAACACCGGCTCGCTTCGACCAGAGCAGTTGTTAACGTCATCAATCTTGTTCGCCAACTCGACAGCTTCAACATGGATCAACCGAGTCTGCTCTTGCGTGACCCCTACCCGGAACATGCCAGTAATTGTCTGAACCGTGCGGCTAAGTCAGTGCTAGGATTGGTACAGGCAGCTACGATCACGGCAGATGCTGCAGCTATTTTTGCATCTGCACTCTTACAAGGCCTCCAGATTATCAGTCAAATATCTTTCAGTGCCTCTGAAGCGTTGCCAACCTTACTGAACCTCCTTCACGACAATGGTATTCCAGTCAGTGCCAAGCACTCATCCTCGCAAACGCCCATGGGAGCCAATGTCTCCATTGTACTGGACTCGGCGGTGACTCCCGAGATGCTGGAGCACGAGACACTGAAGGAACTTGGACAGCAGGCTGCCACCGACCCAGCTCTTGTGTCGAAGACGATAGAGCGTCACGAGGCCGCGGAAGCAACACCCAATTTTGGTCTGGACTATCTCCAATTCATTGATTTCACTGCTGTGACGGGTGACTGGGACTTCGATGACTGCTTTGCTGGCGCGTAAATCACAGTCGTTGTTACCCGGACAAGTGCGGTCGCTTCCATCAGCCGGAGGCTCCTCTTGGTCTTCCTGGCTAGTCGCACTAGATCAAGGCAGGACTGCAGGCAGGACCTTGCCCCTGCACTCGCCAAATCCATATAACACTTCGCCGGTCTCCGGCTTCACCGCCCAGCCTTCCATGACCACCTCGTCACCATCTTTCAAAAAGGTATCAACGATATCCGCTGGAGCAGTTGAGAGAGTGTTGCCTTGCAGCTTTCGCTCGTAGATACAGCCGAGACCGATCTTTTCACCCTGTTCGTTCGTCCTCTACGAATAAAACCTGTCAGCTCTATATTTGATTCGGGACCCAGAAATACGTACCGAGCTCGACATTGTCCCCGTGCCGAAGATGTCTCCGGTGGCGAGACCTTCGCCGGCACTGCCTAGATGTGTGATCTGCTGGAAGGGCGTCCAGTGGAGTTCATTCAGATTGCTGTTTCCCAGTGTGTACGTCTGACCGTCGCCTAGAGCGCGTCAGCAGTCGATCTCTATCCGTCAAGGATGTCTACTCACGGATAATCTTAACGGAAACTTCGACATTGTAGGTCGCCTTCGCATCATCGGTCCAGTTCAGATGCGACATCGGAGCTGGCTCCTGGGTCGTGTGCCTTGGGCATGCTACAGCTTCGAGGGCTTCGATGGGTACGATCCACGGGGAGATTGAGGTGCCTGATCCTTTCGAATGGAAGGGCCCTAGAGGCGGCATCTCGTAGAACTGGATGTTCCGAGACGACCAGTCATTCAGCAAGACAAGACCGAAGATCGATTCTTTTGCATCATCGATCTTCAACCGCTGCCCACGCGGAATTGGCTTGGACAAGAAGACGCCCATCTCCAGCTCGAAGTCGAGGTAGGTCTCTGGCTGGAAGTTGGGTGTCGAAACCTTTCCATCGACGTCACGTTGCGGAAACACACCCAATGGACGGGTGATGGGGTTTCCGGAGATGACCAGACTCGATGTTCGGCCGTTGTATACGGACGGAATGGTGAACCAGTTGGGATTGATGGGGTTGGTGGTGAAGATAGCAGTGCACTATCGGGTTGGAATTCCAACAAGACAATCGGAAAGGAGCCACTCACATTCTTGGTATGCTCCAGAGAGCAATAAAAGTCTGAGAAATTGTGCGTGTGCATAGGGAAATGCATCTGCACCTCGGTGAGGAGGTGGAAGGCAGGGTCTTCTGCATCCTTGGCAACGTCGACCTTGGACAGGTACTCTACCAGCTTCGCTCGCACTTGCACCCGGCTGGCAGTGGGCAATGACGCGAATGCGTTGAGTTTTGCCTGTCGTTCGAATCAGCAAGCTGTCTAGACACACCGAAGCTTGCTTCCTGATGACCCACACTGGCGAACACATCCTGCTCGAGACCCGTTATGCTATCGAAGAGGCCATTCTGAAACAGAGCGCTCAGATCAACGGCCTATTTGTCGTATGCTGTTGCACATCGTCGAGTGGGAGTCGTTAGTGTTGAGATGACACCGTAGGGAAGGTTGTGGATCGTGAAGGGCAGGGCGCCTTTGCTCATGATGCAGATGGGCGACGAGACTCGGCACTGTTTGCGTAGCTCGGCTCGGAGAAGGAAACAACGAATGTGTTTCTACGGAAATGTGATTGACAGGTCGAAGACTCTGCACAGCGCTAGCCGTGCTTATGGTGTGCTGTGCCGTGTCGGAAGCGATTGAAGTGATCAGTCTGGTCACGTGATCGCTTCCTCGGTACAGTAGGCGACTGTACAGATGCCCCACGGGTCCTTCCGAATGCTCATAAAGTCTGCGACAATCTCTCGGAGCGAGCACAGCTGAACCCGGACTATTGCATATCAGTAGCAGGCCTTGCCAGCACCAACCCATTCAGTGCCACTTTCGAAGACCATGTCGACCACAGAAAATGCATCTGGACAGCTCTCGGACCTGCCTCCCCTGAGGAGGCTCATCACCTCCCACAATGACGAGTCCAAAGCGATCGTTCACTCGGCCCAAGAGTTCTCCTGGCAGAGTTACGACAAGGACCAGATGGCCTTTAGCGTCGTCTACACCACGTCCCAATTCCCCGCAGACCTGAACAACGACGCCGACATCCACGCCTACGACTCCCTGATGCAGAAGGGCACCGGCCTCGTCAACCCGGGCGGCACGGTGATCCGGTGCGTGGACTTTGCGCCGGGGTACCGCTGCGCCATGCACCGCACGCAGAGCCTGGACTATGGCATCGTGCTGGAGGGCGAGATCGACATGGTGCTGGATTCCGGGGCCGTGGAGCACATGAAGAGGGGCCACGTGGCCGTGCAGCGTGCGACGCAGCATCAGTGGGTCAACACATCGGAGACGCGGTGGGCGCGCATGATGTTTGTGTTGCAGGACTGCCAGCCGCTGAAGGTTGGTGGGCGGGAGATGAGGGAGGATCTGAGTAAGGGACTGGAGTTCTTGCCTGCTAGTGGGAACTGAGGGGTCTTTGTGCTGCTTCGCTTACGACGTAATGCAAGCTCGGTGGGTGTGAACTTTTGCAATATTGTTCTCTTTGGGGGCGGGCGCTGCTGCAACTCATGCATCCATACATAGCACGGCCTAGGCTGAATAGAATCGATACCACTGGGCTATACGTGCCTTGGCTATCTAGGTATGTATACTGTATAAGGCTTGGTAATGCTCGGCTGACGGTATCTAGGTACCCAGGTAGATCGGACGACCATCTGAATATGACCCTCCTAACCAATAGCATGACGCTTGGCATGGACCCGCATTCCCAATTAGGCAAAAGCTGACTTTCCGGCTACCAATGAAATAGACTGGGTCCGTCCAGGCTTTTGTGAACAACACAGCTAACACAGAGGTGGTCATCTGGAGTTCATGCTTCTCTTATGACTTGTGTGATAGCCTTCGCCAGGTCAATCATTTCGACTAGACCCATGAGGACAATGGCGTTGCAGCATGCGCGAAACATGGTGTTTTGAGCCTGCGCCGCTGTGTAATGCTGGAGATGAGCTGATGGTGCCCGGGGGATGTACGGTCTCTGCTCGTACGCAGCTAGCTATCCGTATACGTATCGGCCTTCTCCGCGGAAGCCACTTGTACAACCTGGGCCCCATCTTTATCTTGGTCTGGTATCGATTCGAGGGGCTACACTACGCCAAGCCTGCTTGGCATCGGGATCTGAGGCGCTGTTATTGGCAGGCCAAGGATGGGGGGAACCCTTGCCAAGCAGTGGTCCCTCGAACTCAGGAAGCGAGGTCGGCGAGCGCAGACGAATATGATTGAATCGTAGGAGGCTGCAGGAAAAGAGTATCTGATAAGCTCGGGGAGCCGGCGGACATGCATGCGGGCACTTTGCAGTCTTTTTCCTGCTTAGGGCCCCCCTCAAGCGAGGAAGATCTTCCTCATGGTGCGCTGCCCCGCCATTGTTGATAAAAACCTGGTGGCCCCTCTGCCAGGACCTTTGAAAAGTAGACTCTGGAAATTTTGTCAACATCTAGAGGCGAGTCACACCAGAGACAAAGAAGCATGGGTCTCCAAACATTGTTGACTGCCGCGTTTGCGGCTTCTGCCGCCGCCGAAACCATTCACGGCGTCGTCGTCTTCACCAGACATGGTGATCGCACCACGCGCATGTTCCCCGGCTACCACCTGACGAATCTCGGTGCGCAGCAAGCCTACAATTCCGGGCAGTTCTACCGGGAACGCTACGTTGCCACTGGGTCCGAATCCCAGATTGCCGGCATCGCACCTGACGAGGTTGACAGCCGACAAGTCTGGGCCAGCGCGCCCAACCAAGGCTTGCTGTTCCAGACGGCCAACAATTTCCTGCAGGGTCTGTACCCGCCGCTGGCCGACTTGGACGAGTCGCTGGCCGCAGAAGCTCTGACGAATGGGTCCGACTACACCGGTCCCATCGACGGCTACCAGTTCATCCTGATTCAGGGCCAGCCTGCCACCAGCCAGGACGCCATCTGGATCAAGGGCGACGATAATTGCCCGGCGCACATCGCGTCACAGAAGTCGTATCTAAATACGAGCGAATACCAAGCCGTGTACGATGAGACGGACGAGTTCTACTCGCGGTTCGTGCCCCTCCTGGGCCCCATTCTCGGAGACGACGGCGTCAACTATGAGAATGCCTACGAGATTTTCGATCTGATGAACGTTGCTTCCATTCACAACCAGTCCATCGCGGACGAGATCGACCCCTCCGATCTCGACCAGCTCCGCTATCTCGCCGATCAATGGGAGTACAACACCAACTTCAACGCCTCGGAGCCGGAGCGCATGATTGGCGCCAAGACCCTGATCGGCGGCATCCTGCGCCAGATGAACACCACCGTTGCCGCCCGCGGGCGCAGCAACAAGTTCCAGCTCTTCTCCGGCTCCTACGACACCTTTGTGTCCTTCTTCGGCCTCACCAACCTGACTTCCGCCGATCCCAACTTCTACGGCATCCCAGACTATGCCTCCACCATCGCTTTCGAGATGTTCACCGAGGGCGGCGACGCCGAGAGCCCCGCGCAGTTCCCCGACGAGGACGCCGTCAACGACACGCTGCAGGTCCGCTTCCGCTTCCGCAACGGCACCGACGGCGCCGCGCCGTTCGATGCCTACCCCCTCTTTGGCGGCCAGGAGCTCGCTCTTCCTTACGGCCAATTCAGAGACCGCATGAAGGCCGTCGGCATCACTTCGGCCGGCCAGTGGTGCACCACGTGTGGCTCCCTGCAGGACTTCTGCGTGGCTGCCAATCAGACCTACGAGGGAGCCGAGTCTTCCTCTTCTTCGGCTAGTGGTGGTTCTTCCAAGGGGCTTTCCAACGCTGCCGCCGGTGGCATTGGTGCTGGGGTCACCTTGGCTGTGGTCGCCATCGTTGGCGTCCTCGCCTACTTGGTGGTTCGCAGACGACGCAGCGGCAGCGGCGCCGCAACCCCCAACTTCTCGGTTCCGTCTGAGAAGCGGTCTGACAGTGGCTCCTCCGTGTAGACCATGATATTTTATGAAATCTTGGGTGGGCATGTCGTTCTCATAGATGACTCGGGGAAAAAGTATGCTAAGGCGATGCAGGGAGATTTTGACTTGTTGGTTTGGGAGACCCAAAAACGTTGCAGGGGGTTTCTGTCGCTGAAGCATGATAATGAGAGTCGTGACCTCAGCATCCACATCTCTGCCAGCTTATCGAACTCTTTGTTACTACAGGTGGCGTCGACTACCATATGGTAGCAAACTCTGTCGCTGTTATCGTACAGTCTGTAGATCTAAGGGCTAGACAGTATATCTTCCTCAAGTTAGTAGCGGCAAATGCCATGTTTGTATGAGAACGAGGCTGCAATTGACTGAACCAAGATTGGATTCATCAAGTCAAAGGGCGGCTGATTGTGCCTGCCACTGCAACTATACGCTCGAGGAGGGCCTGCATTTTACCGCGAACTCGCTGTTAATAGCTACGGGCGTTGAAACAGCCCTCCTGCCGCAGATGCGACATGCCCGACAGAAACAAGGGCTGGCTGTTCGATAGCTTTTGCATGCCAAAGCTAATGCTTGACAAGGCTAGCCTCACCACGTGGAAGATGGTCTCGGCGGGTCATTAGTCCCGCTAGACGAGTTGGATGGAAGATGATGCCGAGAACGAGAGCAAGAGCACAATGGCGAGGGACTGATTGAACCGATGGACAATGTACCGGCACCTGGGGAAGTTGGGCGCGAACTGCGGAGCTGCCAAGATCGCGTGGAGGAGGGCTGGGTGGATACCATCCTCTTGCACCCCACCATGAGATGATGGTTGCAAGGTGATCACCTCAGCTGCTTCAACCCTCCGCCTCCTCACTGCACATATCTTTCAATGCTTTCCTAGCGTCGTGAGCATCTTAGCCCGGAGCCGTCAGCATGTCGAGCACACCCAATCTTGACGCACTGGAGCGCGATGGCTACGTCGTGGTGGAGGGTCTGTTGGACAAATACATGCTCCTGGGCCAGAAGGCGGCCTCCAAGTACCTGACTGATGGAGCGCGGCAGGGCAAGTGGCCTTTCATCCGTACCGTGGGTAAACAGTACCCACCATGGCCACGCTGGGAGCAGGGCGATTCACACAACATCTGGGGTGTGCAGCATTTACTTCATCCCGACATGAATGTCAGAGACACTTTTGCCGAGCTCTACTTCTCCGACGAGGTGCTGGATGTGGTCAAGGAGCTTGTCGGCTTGAAGGATGACCCAAAGGCCGATGACAAGTTGGTCATGGAGCTGTTTAATCTGCTGGTCTCGCCTTCGGACAGTAAGGACTTCGAGTTGTGCTGGCATCGGGATGATGTGCGACCCGACGTCAGTCCCGAGGAGGAAGCGAAGCAGCTCAAGGACAAAAGCCCTGATGGCCACCAGCTGCACGCGCAGTACAATATCGCCCTGTTTGACGACGCATCTTTGATCGTCATCCCAGGCAGCCACAAGCGGGTGCGGACGGAGCAGGAACGTAATGCAGATCCATACGAACCTCACTTGCCAGGACAACTCGTTGTCGAATTGAAGCCCGGCGATGCAGTGTTCTACAACAGCAACATCCTCCATCGCGGTACTTACAAAGGCGTCGAGTACGGCATCAAGGATCTGGGCAGAATGACGCTTCACGGCTCCGTCGGACTGGCAGGCCACGGCAACGAGAGGGCACGGCAGGTCCTGCAACATGCCGTCGGCGAGTGGGTTGATCGTGCGGAATTCAGCATTGAGGGTCCCAAGGGGGAGCGCGCTGAGGCTATGCGGAAGAGGCTCATGGCTATGGGCAAGGGTGATGATCTTGGGTTCTCACTTGTCGGTTGACCGGACACAATGATGAACAGTCCGTCAGAGAGTCGGTCTCTCGGTTGCAGCCTTGACGCTCGACGTACTGATTTCCCACTCACACCGGGCTGGCCGCCTTCATCGAAGTCGGACGGACGGCTTGACCGAATCATCGAAGGATGGTGGTCCTTGATGCAGCTTTCCACTTGCAACGACTGTGATCAAAGAAGCTGAGTGGAATGCGAGCCGAATCAATGCTCGGTACCAGGAGCACTCGATGGTCATGCGTGTTCGGCTTCGCAGAAAGGAGCAAGACTTGGATTTGAAATGAAGGATTGATGGTGCTACAAAAGTCAGTGCTTTCGTTGAAAGAGTTGATGATGACGAACGGTGTCGGTATCATACATCGAAACCCACTGTGATACAACAATATCGACACCGTAGTTGATCTATAAATGGTGACCCGCTGAGGACAGGCCTTCTACGTGCACCATGTCATTTGAAAGCGTGATATCGCCTGCCATGTGACGCATTTGCCCCACGACTCACACTCCTCGACCCCAGGCGTTTCACAGCCATAATCCCGCTTCATAACTTGAGGTCTGAGGCACTCTTGAGTAAGACTCTGTTACCACTACAGTGTCGCGATGGCCACCGAACTCGGCCCTTCCAAGTTCACGGCTGAAAACCACATCCTGCTGGTTCGATCGATCCGTCCCGCCGATAGAGACCTTCGCTGACCAAATAACAGGACCAACCCTTACTTCGGCTGCCACACGAGCTCGTCAAGAGGAACTTCAAAAACACTCAGAGACTTTACGAGAGAGAGCGGGAGCATATCCTGCCGACACTCAAGGATGCAGCCAATGCATCTCTTACTTCGGGACAGGCCCCAGAGCAGACGCTCGCCTCACTTGATGCCATGATTGCTAGAATGCAGAACTTCAAGCGAAAACTGGACAAGCTCAGCTCGGAAGAGGACGAATTACACGAGCACACATCCAAGCGAATAAAACATTTGCAGGATCTTTTCCAGATCACCTCGCTCAGCGATGTGAAATACGACGAGTGGTCTCGTACAAGATTAGACCGCCTCCTCGTTGACCACCTCCTCCGGTCGGGTTACTCGAAGACAGCATCTTCATTGGCCGAAGCGAAACAAATATCACACCTGATAGACCTCGAGACTTTCACAGCATGTCATAGGATCGCAGCATCATTGGGACGGGGAGAAACAAAGGAGGCTTTGACATGGCTTAATGAAAATCGGAACTCGCTCAAGAAGCTGATCAAAGCGCCCTTGAAGACTACAACACTCGAGTTTGAGCTGCGGCTGCAACAGTACATTGAGCTGGTACGAGCGAACAAGTCAATCGAAGCCAGAGAGCATGCCGCGACATACCTCTACCCTCACTCGGAAAGTCGACCAGAGCCAGTGTTTCAAGCGGCCGGCCTCCTAGCACAGCCTCCAGAAACACTGGCGGAACCCTACAAGCAGCTTTTCAGTGCTGCGCGCTGGCCGTATCTCTCGAGCTTATTTGTCGAGACGCATCATACCCTACTGACCATACCTGTGCAACCTCTTCTACATGTGGCGTTGTCTGCCGGCTTGTCTGCCCTCAAGACGCCGGCTTGTCATTCTGCTTTCAATCCAGCATCGTCAAGCACACCTGGGCATGCTCGAATAGCGACTAACACGTCGCTATGTCCCATATGTTCAATGGAGCTCAATGATCTAGCCCGCAATGTGCCTTATGCACATCATACTACAAGCTCGGTGGAGTCAGACCCGGTTGTACTGCCGAACGGTCGAATATATGGTCGCGCCAGGCTCGAAGAGTTGCAGCGAAAGCTAACCATGGCTGGTGTCGGGGGAGAGTCCGTTGCAGAAACGGGAATCGGCAAGGAAGGTGAGGTAGTGGATCCGACTACAGGCGAGAAGTTTGGATGGCACGAGGTCAAGAAGGTGTACATTACATAGATGGAGCGAGTCTAAACAGATAGACGAGTGGCCAGACCTGAATTATGAGACATGATCATGACCATATACGTGTATGTCGCTACCTGAGTCATGCGAGCGCCGAGGTCCAGAATGGCGTTCTGACATGTAGCCCCAAGGGCGCACCGAACTTGCTATCAAAGCGCTGGCGCAAGTGGGACCATGGCGGTCGGGTATATATTTTCAGAGTGCCCCGAGCATTAGAGAATGTCATTTCTGTTCTTTACTGGTGAAGAAACATGTAGATGTACCTGCTGCCTACAAAGCATCGTTGTGTAATGCGCAAGCTCAAGCGCGGCCGCAACTTCCAGGCGCCCCAGGCGTGGGTCAGGTAAGAGTAGTACAAGTCGCGGGGATGCGACCGCCAACCAACTCCAACAGCGGAGGCCTGTGAAACCAAAGTCAATCGCACAACGACCAGCACCTCTTACTCCAACTCATTCCATCTTCTAATCATCATCAGCTTCCCTATTGACAACGGTGGCTAGGCTTCACGAAGCATGGGACCTCTACTGAAAGCGACGCTGCAAGGCGCCGTTGTCAGCGCCGTCTCCAACGTACTCGGTCAGTACGTCGATGCACGGCTCGCAGGTGTAAGGGCTGTCCTTGGTGCCTTTGATAGGGATACGACTGGCTGACAGCGACTCTAGCGTTTGTTTATCCTCAACCTGACCGACCTGGTTCGCTTTATCTGTCTGCACCTCTTGACTGCCCCACCGAATTACAAGTGGCAGGAACTGCTCGAGCGCAATTTCCCCGCACGCCCGCCTGAAGGCATAGGCTCCTCCATTCCATTGCAAGATCGAGATGTCGAAAAGAACTCAACTGATGGTCGCGACTCAGACGAAGATGACCCGTCAAGCTGGCGAGCGCGAGGCGCACTCACGCAACGAGGAACATTGAGCTTACGAAACCTGTTCACCAAATGGTTCATCGATTGCATTACGGTGGGGGCGATGATGAATACGAGCGCGTTTCTTATCATTATGGGCCTCCTCAAGGGACAGTCATGGGAGAAGATTACGAACAATCTACGCCACGAAACATTCACGATAATCCTCAACGGATACAAGCTCTGGCCGCTGGCATCAATCATTTCGTTTAGCTTCATCCCGGTGGAGCGGCGAATTGTCTTCTTCTCATGCGTCGGTCTGTGCTGGAATGTCTACATGACTTTAGTGGCCGCGCGGTTATGAAAGGCTATCGGAGGATGCACCAGATACGGGACAATGGACGCAGTGCAACACTGGATGGGTTTCAAGCTTCGGTACCAAGCGACGGCCAAGCTCGCGCAAAGGGAAGCAAAGAGATGCAAAGAGGTGCAAAAGCAACGTTGGCGGGCCGCTAAGACACAGTGCCAAGGGGGTGAGGAAGGGCCTGGCCAGCCACAGCACACAACACCACCGGGCAATCTGCCGTCAACGGCGGAGTCCTTCTCAGCGGCAGGGGTCAAGTGGCCTGCTCTAGAGCCTTACACTTATCACAGAGTTACACTCGAGCCGTCGGGCAGTCTTCCAGAAGAACTCTCCTGCCGAGCCAGCCCGCTGATTGGCCTCGCCCTTGCCGATGACTTCGCTTTCCGCCCCGGCAATACCCATCTCACCTGCGCTCACCTGCGCTCACCTGCATCCACTCATGCCACCTCGACCAGCCCTCGCCACTCTACCCCAGATGCTGCAAGGGTCAATCCGAACTCTGCTTTGAACTTGACCCAAGATCTGCTTCAGCTATCTGTGGATCCAATACTGTTATGGAGTAGTTGGCCTGCATTTGCAATTACCTTGCCACATGGTCGCCTCGGTTCCAGACTACGCGGTCATCACGCCAGACCATCTCCTCCCAGACCGTCGTGCAGCTGATCGAGCTCAAATACCCCCTTCCTCCCCTGCAGCATTTGCAGTCGTCTCTCACTCCTCTCAGTCCTTGTACATACGGGCACCCTATCATTCCTCTCGTCGCCCACACATTCGACTCCTCCACAATGTCCACCGAGAAGGGTTTCCACGAGACCACTCTTCCTCCTCAGGATGATTTCGAGGTCCGCCAGCAAAAGCTGGCTGGTGAGGTCCAATATGCCGACGAGCATGCCCTCGAGACCGGCGTCCGCCCACTTCATCAGAAACTCAAGTCCCGACACATGCAGATGATTGCCATTGGTGGCTCCATCGGTGCCGGTCTCTTCGTTGGATCTGGTGGTGCTCTGCACCGCGGTGGTCCTGCTGCGGTCCTTATCGGTTTCGCCATCACCGGTGTCATGTTGCTCATGACCATGCAAGCACTGGGTGAATTGGCCGTCCTCTATCCCATCAACGGTGCCTTCTACAGCTACATTGTCCGCTTCGTGTCGCCTTCCTGGGGTTTCGCCAACGGCTGGGAGTACGCCATCGGCTGGTTGACTGTCCTGCCTTTCGAACTGATTGCGGCTTCCATCACGATCGAGTTTTGGCGAGATGACATTCATATGGCTGTCTGGGTCACTATCTTCCTGGTCTTCCTCATTGTCGTCAACGTCTTTGGCGTTCGAGGGTACGGCGAGGTCGAATTTGTCCTCTCCATCATCAAAGTCATCGCCTGTCTTGGTTTCATCATCTTCGGTATCATTGTGAACTGCGGTGGCGTTCCTACCGATGACCGCGGCTATCTTGGCTTCCACTACTGGAGTGACCCTGGTGCGTTCCGCAATGGCTTCAAGGGCTTTTGCTCTGTCTTTGTCACGGCTGCCTTTGCTTTCGGTGGTACCGAGCTCGTCGGTCTTGCCGCCGCCGAGGCTGAGAACCCCCGCAAGTCGCTGCCCACCGCCACCAAACAGGTTTTCTGGCGGATTACCTTTTTCTACATCGTCTCGCTGCTCATTGTCGGCATCATCCTGCCCTCGGACAGCCCAGATCTTCTCGGTGCCTCTGGTGCGAACACCAAGGCTTCTCCTTTCGTGCTCGCCATCAAGGAAGCCGGTGTCAAGGGTCTTCCCTCAGTCTTCAACGCTGTCATTACCATCTCCGTCATCAGCGTTGCCAACTCGTGCACATACGGTTCGTCCCGGACGATGCAAGCGCTCGCAACTCAGGGTATGGCACCCAAATTCCTCGCCTACGTCGACAAGCACGGACGTCCCCTCTGGTGTATTCTCATCCAGCTCGCCTTTGGTCTGCTTGCCTACCTTGGTGAGGCATCCGCATCCGGCGTCATCTTCAACTGGCTCCTGGCTCTTTCCGGCTTGAACTTCCTGTTCATCTGGTTTTCCATCAACCTTGCGCATATCCGCTTCCGCGCTGGCTGGAAATATCACGGCTTCACCCCTGAGCAGCTGCCATACCAGGCCAGCTTTGGCGTCGTTGGCTCTTACATTGGCTGCTTCCTGACCGCGATTGCTCTTGTTGCCACCTTCTACGTTTCGGTCTTCCCGCTTGGTAAGTCACAACTACTCGTCTGTCTGACCAAGTTTGCTAACATTACTCAGGTGGCTCACCAGATGTCGAAACATTCTTCTCCAACTTCCTTTCCGGCCCGCTCATCCTCGCCCTCTGGATTGGCTGGATGATTTACAGCCGCGACTTCACGCTGTTCATTAAAGCAAGGGATATGGACATCACCGCCGGCGTGCGCCGTGGCTCGGTGGAGCATCCGTCAGGGATGGAGGAGAAGAAGCCGGCGTGGAAGCGCGCCCTCGGTGCTTTCTTCTAGGTGCGTTGAGAGTTGCGGTGGTCGAGATGAAGATACCCCTTTTTGAGGCAGTGGTTGCCCTGAAAAAGTTTGCACATTGTATGTGTATGAGAGGATGAATTAGCATGATGCAGTCACGATCTGGTGTCGTGGCTGTCGATTAGACATGACTAAAACCGCTTCAAAAACTTGTTCTTCTTCCACAAGATGTTCCTAATGCTCCCATCACACCTGGATCTCGCATGCGGTACACTGAGTATCGAGAATGGTTCCAATCTCACCGTCGTCGTACCGTTGGTTCTACATGTTCACGAGCGACGCGTTCCCTCAGCTATCACGTCGCAAGTGTACCCCAACGATGCTGTCTCGATGTTTCCCACGGACTAGGTCGCCCCCGGAATGTCAAATCATAGCATGTTCATTGCTGAGCCGGCAATGTCTCACACCATCAGTATCGAAGCCTGTCGCTGCCATCCAACAGCGCAAATCTTCGAACCGGGGATGCGGTGCTCCACGATGACCCTTTACTGGAAGAGAGCACTCGAACATGTGTGTCGATCTATCGCGTCTAAAAGGAGATATCGCGACATCCGATAGGCCGGGTCGGTCCAAATGCAAACAACGGTGCCCTTCCCAACTGGCATGACGCGATTCGTGGAAGCCAAATTCGACGGCGCGGCAATGCCGAAGCGTGGTCTTCTAGAAGAATATCTTGACTGGCCTAGGAGCACCAGAATCACTTTCAATCGCCACAATCCGGCACACCCACATTCGGCTATCACATGTAGCGGCGCAAGCCCAGAAGAGGAAGCGGCTCCCCGCCCCCAGAGATCGGAGCGTGGCCAGGGGCGATCGACTTAAGCAGTTGGTTGCATGAAGCTTTTCCCGAAGCTTTGAGCCCCCGGGAATCTGGAAATCTGGAAATCTTAGTGTGGCCCCCCGGGCCGGGGTCGCCTCTAAGACCCGGCGTCTGGAACTTCTTCCCCCAGGGGGCGGCAGACCTTTTCCACATTTCAGCCTTCTAGTATCGAATAAGTCGGTTAAGTATACTTTTAGTAACACGCCGTGATCGCGAGTACGGGATAATGCCCGACGTTCACCGGACAGGCACACCAGGCCATTCACCGCACGCCCGCCGTCTCTTTGCCATCGTCTAGTGGCTGATCCTGACAAGCCGAGCTCCTACTGACATTGCGATGCTCGCTGTGTTTCTCGCTCCATATACGGGATATCTCAGCTCCGTTATCATATGCAAGATGCACGGATGCAGCAACATCTAACCGATAAAAGTACGTGTAGCCTCACAAAAGTCTCGAATACGAGCCTTGGGTGTATTGCCGCAGGTAACCGAGAGCAGCACGCAGTGGTTGCGCCTATTGCTTCTGGCGCCCGCGCCCGTTCCCGGACCGCAGCAAAAGGAACGGAGGCGGAGCGGTGGCTTAACTCGGCCTTTCGTACTGCGGGTGAGTTACCGCGTGGGTCGCTATTCGTGCATTCGTCTCGCTCCGCTGGTAAGCGGTGCTACAGTAGCGGTGGAACGAAAGTACACGCGAAGACTGACACGGGGAAGAACTGGGGAAGGTGAGACGGAATAGGGGTTGGTGAGTGCGTTTCTCATATCCTTTGTTTCGGTGCGTCAGCGTAGGCTACATGTTTCTCGCCCTTGCCTTTGGCCCCAGGTGCAGTGACTGGCATGAATGCTTTGGCACGGATTAACTGTTATATGATCATGCAGGAATCCCTCCAAGCCAGCTCAAACCCCTGATATCAGGTTCGATGCCCCAAGCCATTCCAGGGCTCGTGCAATGTGCTGGAGATCCGTCACAGCTTATTCCTTTCCAGCTTAGCAAGCGTAAGGGTAGCGTTCTCGTTGATCTGTAGCCAGTCAGTCAAAGAAGCTGTCGAGCATTCGGCAATGATGAGCTGCAGATGCGTACAAAGGTCATTTGTCATTCCATCCCAGACATCTCGAGCATACGGTGCGTGCTTCGCGATCAGTGATGTGGCGTTCAATCATAAGTTCTTCGTTGTTAGCAGCGAAAAGTATTGGACCCTGCCAGGACATTCTTTACTGTCTATCGAGAGACACACAATACCACAAACTCCCCTTCCCCTGTACACACCACACAGACAACAAGCAGCAGCAGCAGCAGCAGCAGCAGCAGCAGCATTCATCAGTCATGGCATGAAATGCCGCACCCTCTGTTCTTTACTACCGTCTCCTCTCCCCCCAACACCACTTACAGAACCCAACCTCTTCTTCCTCTTCTTCACAGCTTCGACGCCGGCGCCTGCGCCGCCGCCCCACAGCACTCCCCAACCTTGACCTCGACCCCGCCACCCTGCGCATGCAGATTCCCAGCCCCCTTTTGCTCTTGAACCTCGTGCAACACGCTCTTATTCCCCGCCTGCTCACTCATGGGCACATCCCCGGCGGGGTTCCGGCCAAAGAAATTCACCGGCTTCAGCATCACCTTGAGCACCTCGCACGGCATGACGGGAAAATCCTCCACGCGCGGCACGTGGTTGATGCCGAACTGCACCCACACGACGGGGTCCGCGTGGGTGGAAGACACGTCGTCGTGCCGCGCGGCCCAGGCGCGCACACCGGTCCCGCCGCGCGACTGGTTCGTGTACCACCCGCCCGCGTACAGCTCGCGGTCGCGGTGCGACGTGACGTACACGGCGTGGTCGGCGAATTCGGCGCGCTTGAAGTTGAAGGAGCTGGGGTGGGCGAGGATGGGTTGGAAGGGCGGGGCCATGATCTTGTAGGCCACGGGTTTGCCGTTGATGGGGTTCACGGAGGTTGGGTTGGTGATTTTGAAGACGCGGTTGTGCTGGGGCGCCAGGTCCAGACCCGCGGAGTGGGCGACGGTCGTGTCAGTGACGGTGTAGCCGTGGCCGTGCGGGTTGGTGCTGGGGTCGAGGGGCATGGGGTGCGCTTCGCTGTAGGTGAGGGTGTTGGTTGGGCCGTCGAGCATGGGGTCCAGCCGCAGGGAGAAGATGTGTTGGTGGTGCGCGGCCAGCACGCCCGGGTGCACGACCGTGCCGAAGGGGACGCCGATGTGGTCGAGCGCGTGGTCGATGGGTTGCGTCGAGAGGATGCCCGTGGCCCGCACCTCGTAGTGCAGCTCGGCCGCCGTGTTGAATTGGAACGCGAGGATGTATTCGTAGTTGCTGACGGTGATGATGGATTGGATGACGAGCTCGCGCGCCCGCGTCACGGCGGCGCGGCCCGTGCGGTAGTTGGTGTGCTTCCATCCGATGCCCGCGTCTTGCTCGTGGATGCAGACCGCGTTCGGCATGTCCACGGGCTGGCCTTGGTCGTCCGACACCACGCCGTCCAGGTAGGCGATGTGGCCCAGGCAGTCGCAGCCGAGCTGTAGGTTGTTGGCCATGGCGCCCGCGCCGGCGTCGCCGAGGTCGAAGGCGGATTTCTTATGGAACGGCGCGCGCGGGTCGGCGTACGGGATGTTCATGTCGGAGAGAGACACGCGGTAGAAGAGGGGGCGGGAGTCGTAGCGGACGTCGTAGAGCACCATACCCTCGCGCTGGTTGAAGCCGATGCGGAAGGTCCATTTCTGCCACGAGAGCAGGTGGCCCGTCTCGCCTACGGGCGTCAGAGTGAAGGAAGCGCCTTCGGGTTGCACAATCTGCAGAGGCTTGAGGTCCGTTCGCGGCGTTTGAGACTCGGGGATGTATTCGTTGGGTGGCTTGGCTTGGTAGGGCGCCGGCTGCTTGACGGTGGCGTCGGCGCCGATGGGGAGCCAGTCGACGCTGATGACGGAGAAGTCGCGGCTGTCGAGCACGGCGGTGATGGGCAGCGGGAATGCATAGTGGTTGGAGTCGAGTTCGTTCGGGTTGGCCGGGTCGCGCATGTAGAGGAAAGACTGGAAATATCGGTCATCGTCTTTGACGCCGTCCGAGCCTATCACAGGAATTGAGTCAGTGGTTGGTTGGTTTACCGAGAGAGTGAGAGGTGAGCAAAGCTGACCGTAGATCCAAGGATCGCAGCAGACGACGGCCTCTTTTGGAAGCTGAAGCTTCGCAATGGCCGCCTTAACTTGGTCGTTCGCAAGTGTCTTCTCCTCGACCTGCAGAATTTCATCGTAGTCGGCATTGCCATGGATGTTGGGGCCAAGTCGGACGTTGGACTCGACTTTGCTGGTAGTCAAGTTCACAATGGCCTCATGAAAGCGGTCCTAGACGAGGTGTAAGTGGATAACGACACTTGTAATCAATGCGTGAAGCATACGGTGTTCCTGATGTAGTAAGCCACGAAGACCTTGCGGTCGATGCTGGGGAGCGGCGCACCGCTGTGCTCAGCGTCGAGGTATGGCAAAAAGTCTTTCTTTGCCGGCTCATCGAGTGTCACAACCTTGAAACGGAGGTCTGCGTTTGACGGCCAGACGCTCTTGACAAGAGCAGAAGCGGCTCTTATCTCGTCTCCAGACAGTGGGCAGAAAGGATGAGCAACAGTGTGCTTTGTGGGCACCACCGGATCCTGTGACACGATTTCAGCAGCAGCGGCCATGTTGAAGTTTGCGAATGTCGACAATGTCTGACAGCAAAGGTGAGAAGAGGCCTGATGAGTATTTTATCTACGAAGCGTATCTGGCACCGCACGAGTCCCCCCACCTTGAATCCAGCTCGATACGGCGCATTTCTCCAAAAGGGTCCAGCAACCAATAACCTGGGCGTTGGACCGACGATGAGAAGCGCCACAAGATACCAGCACGATTGATTGGATGCTTATCGTCATCTTTGGCTGAGTTCGTAAGGTGGTTGCGAGAAGTCCCACAGCTTCTCAGTGCGCACAATTCCGCCTGGCGCAATTGTGCCTGGTTCGCTAGCAGCCGCTTCCAGTGTCCACTTTGTACAATCCTTGTATAACTCAGGCTTCGCACTTGGTTCAATCACCGGGCTCCTTGATGCTGGACAATGTTAGCTCCTTTGCCTGTAGCTCATGCATAGAGTGGGCACCTACGGATACAGCATGACCCAAACCGGCGGCTTCTGACCAGCCCGACCATGATCAGGTCCCCAACCAACCTCCCGCAGCGACTTCTTGCTCTTGGCATCGTTCAGCATGATGAGCGTGCCCTCATAGAAGTACCCATTGCCACCCTCAACCCATTCCTGAATGCCAACTAGCTCTCGCTTGTTGTGGTAGGTCCGACCCGTGCGCTCGACTTTAGTACCGCCTAGCAGCTCGATGACCTTGTCGACTGCCCAATCGCTGTCCGCATACTGCACCTTGAACTGCACATCCCGAACCAGGGCCGTGCGAGACATATGAGGACCAAACAACTGGCCTGGCTCGAGGACATGAAAGCAGGTCTGATCGGGACTGAGCAGGATGCCAGACCCATCATCCGCTTTCACGATTCTCTCATTGACTCGATTACCAGGAGCCAAGCCACCAGCAGACCCGCCACCGGATGAGCCTCCAATGTGACAGATTGGTCCTTTGTAGGTGGCTGGGTTGTAAGGCGCAGGAGTTGGCATGTGCGTGACAGTTACCGTAGCAGCAGCAGGAGGGGGAGGAGGTGCTGAAGGAGCAGCTGCAGGAACGCAAGTTGTGCCAGTACCGTCCTGCCAACACATATGCGTTGGGCCTGGCGGTCCTGGTGGAGGAGCCGGCTGAAAGACAAACGGGCACCCCGGTGGTGGACTGAAACAAAAAGGCGGCGGCCCCGGAGGCGGTGGTCCGCCGCATAGTCCGGGATAGGGAGGCGGAGGGCCTGGGGGCGCTGGTGGCTTGCCACCGTCTGGAGGGCCGCCATCGCGGGTACGATAGAAGTATCGAGTCTGTTGGCCGAACATGGCCGGTGGCCCTGGAGGGAGAGGAAAGAAAGGGCTCATCGTGTCGAGACCTCAAAGGGAGCGTGACAGGATGTGGAAAGACTGGCTCGTGAGGTTCTTGGGTTCGTGGCTGGGGCTCGAGACCTAGATATACCAGCACATAATAACTATCAGCGCCACGTTCGTCGGTGTCTGGGCTGCAAACGCACGCAAATGCTGCAGATGGTGCCATTATCACTGCGACGAAGCAGACGCAGACGTTGTCACCTAGGCAGTAACCCAGCAAAGATGATTGAGAAACAGCAGATGAAGATCTGTTTGGAAGACTGTGCAAAGCACATGAATGAAACTCGACAAACATCTGGCTGAGGCGGAGCAGTGCTTTTGTGGTGACTCGCCAGGGCTGAGGAGTCCGCTGACTCCACGCCTTGGGACGTGTCCCCATCCTACACCAAGACCGTTACCCAGCAGCCACAACAGCCAAACGCTCATATATGCGCTGCTTCACCTGTGTGAAACTGTCACTATCACGCGCCAGGCTGTGGACGGGAGCTCCCTCCACAATGATCTTGCCAGAACCCAATTTCCTTACTGCGATGATGCCATCCACCAGTAAAGTGCCTTCGCCTCGAAACTCGGCAGTATGACCGGCCATGTTCATCAGTCTTCGAAGTTCTGCAAGACGCATATCGCCCACATGGATGGGTTGCGTAACCGAGCGAGTGGCAGCTGCCAGGGCAGGTGGGAGTGTGTCTAGCACAGGCAGAGTGTTGCTGACAGGCGACGTCCCTGCGACAGATACCTCGGTGTCTAATTTCTGTTTCTTCGATTTTGGGTCATCCTCGATATTCAGGGTTTCCATCTCTGCTCTCAATTGACCCTGTAGCGTGACGACACCGATGTCCTTGACAGCTTGCCAGTGCAATCTTCTCACAAGATTCCTGGTCAACTTGACAGCCCAGGCATTGGTGTCAACGCTTGCATCGATCGTTTGACCCTGAGCAGGCGTGAAGATTTCTGAAGATGACTCATCTTCTCCGGCGAGTTTCACACCAAGCAGCTCCTGGCAGTCAGAAGCAAGAGCAAGAGTTTCCTCAGTCGTGCCACCCGTCAGAATCAGCTTCTTGGGCCCAATCAGTGGGATCAGCATCTGTAAGCTACGCTGATCATGTAGACCGGCAAAGTCGACAAAGGCTAGTCGACAATTCAGAGCAAGAGTCTGGGTCGTTACCACAGCCTTAGCAGGCCCATCGAGGCCATGAGATTCGACTTCTTCGGTCTCGGACTCATCAGATTCATCCGAGGAGTCATCATCCGCAACGTCGACTTTCTGCCCTTGGTTGCCCTGTCTTCGCTTGCGTGGAGCCTCGCTCTTTTGCTTGTCGTCCCACTTTCTTTTCTGTCCGATGTCACCAGCATTTTGAGCGGCCGCTTCCTGATCTTCTTTCTCCTCTTCTCGCAAGAAATCTTCGGGTTTGATGAAATCGCCGAATTCATCGCCACGCCTTCGCGAATGCGTGTAAGGAAACACAGCGTTTCTACCCTTTTTGTGGCGGACATCAAAGTCGAATACATTTTTCTTTCGAATAAGCACATTGACGCCGAGATCTTCGTCGCTGAGTGCAAGTTTTGTTTTATTGTGGCCCAGCGCGTTAGTCACATTGAGGGCTCGACCCTGCTGTTCAGTGTCAGATTCGTCTTCAGACGATGAACTGGATTCGTCATCAATGTTGTCGTCAACAACGTCACCAGCCGCATCTCCAGCAAGCGTATCTTCCATTTGTCGTTGCGTCGCCAGGAACTGTTGATACTGCTGCGTCTCCTTCTCGTCCAGGGGAGCCTTGTCAACAATTTGCACCTGCATGGTCCGTCCACCGCCATGGACTTGCTCGAGCTGAGCATCCGCTACTGTCTCAACAGCAACGCCATCCTGTCTCTCTTCAAATGCCTTCCACATCTCTGTACCCGCACTCTTCGCGTCTGGGCCTTGTGCAACCCTTTCGGTCAGCAAGATAAGGTTGGATGTTTTCTGGGAGAAGTGCTCCAGGAACGACTTTGAGTAGCCCCAGTCAAGCGTGAGATCGCTGGCGAGCACGACTCGAGGGCCTTCGCCATCGAGACACCGATCCAGCTGGGCTTTGCGCTCCACCACTTTGATATGTCGAAATTCGAATGGTCTCGAGGCCTTCGTAACACCATTGGCCTGCTTGCTGCCACTTCGTCGATGCGTTTTCGTGGCAGTCTCTTCCTCGCCTTCAAATTCCCTGACAATACTATCATCCATCCATTCGAGCAAACTTCGAGCATGGCGAAGCGTCGCGTTTGCGGATTTGCTGGCCATGTAGACTCTTGCGCTCTTCAATGGAGAATCTTTGGCCCCATCATGCCAGGCTTTCTCCAGAATCCATGCAAGCTCAAGGATTCTGGCGCTGGAATCGGTTGGAATAAGCACGGAACCCCCCTTGGAGAGACAGCTGCGGATATGACCTAGTAAAGCTTCGTCTCTTGCCTTCCTTCCGTAAGACGCGATTTTGTTGCCGCCGATACTGCTGCAGACCAGTGCTGTTGGCCGTCTCAGCTGTTCAATGACTTCCGAGCCACCAACGCCACCAAACCAGGCAGCACCAGCGATGACATTTTCTCTTGCTTGATTCCAGTCAACCGCATAGACGATGGATTCCATGCCATGCTGGATATGCCATATTGTTCCACCAAGTGTGTGTCCAGAATTGTACGCAGTCAAGGTAAGGCCCTCGAGAGGCACGGAGAATTGAGATGGCGCAGGCTGATGCGGTTGAGAGTATTTGAGAGGTGTAATGGCGGTGAAGTATTTGTTGATCTCCTCGACAGTGGGAGCCTGTCTGAGAATGTCTGATCTTTGCTGGTCGGTGGCTGCTGTATCATCTTCGGGAGACGCGGAGCTAGGTATAAAGGTCGCAGCGAGCGGAGTCGAGGCGTAGAGGTCCTGTAATAGCGTTCTACCGAAGGCGATCACAGGTGAAGTCGCGAAGACAGCAATCTGAGAGAAATGTGGAATGTGCTTGCAGCAGTGTGCGTAGGCACCAAGGTGGGAAGTTGTAGCGTGGGTGAGAAGGATAAATGAGATGGTTGAAGTATGCTTCTCGATTTCTGCTAGCTGACGAGTATCAAATCTTTCGTCCCAGCCCACATCGACAAGGACCTTTACGCCGCCATCAAGTTCGAGGAGCGACTGAGATGCTCGAGAACTGCTCTGCGCTCCGAGCAAGGGAGTGAAGGTGAACATGGTAGCTCATCTGAAGCGCTTTTGCTAGCACAAACTTAGAGCAGATGGAATCGGTACCATCTGAAATGTTAGGAGAGCGGCGGTAGTGTCTGGCGCGTAACAATGAAAGGTATTCTACCTTCAGGAAGGGCAGTGAGACGTCAAAAGTTCAACGCGTTCGGGTATCGAAAGTTCAGCCTCGTCGCCCGAGATTCAAGGCTGAGTCTTGGCAATTATGCCGTCAACTCGAACTTTGGGGCCATTCAAGTCCTCCCGCAGCCCGCCAGAGATGGTAGTACTCGAAGGTCAAGAGCTTACCACAAGAATCCACTGCTTTGACAAGACACTGCGCCCTCGGGGGCGTTTCGCATCACCCTCGCTTGTAAATCTCGAGACAGCATAAGACCAAACATTCGCGTGCCGGTCTCGGCTGAGTGTGTGACTAATGATGCAGGACTGACGTAGCTGCTGTACTTCCGCGTTAAGCAACGCCAATACACTTACGAGTACGCAGACTATTACTGTCCTGAAGCACATTCCAAGCACCGGGGTCAACGCTTTTCTGTCACCACGCACAATGCCTCCTACTCTCTTCCTCCTCGGTGCGACTGGGTACATTGGTGGGGATTTCCTTTACCTGGTGAACGAGAAGCACCCCGACTGGATTATCACGGCCTTAGTTCGCAACAGTGACAAGGGCGCGACTGTAGCCAAAGAATATCCTGCTGTTCGTCTCATCTATGGAGACCTCGACTCCGCGGAACTCATCGAGGAAGAGGCATCCAAAGCAGATATTGTTCTCAATTTCGCAAACTGCGATCACGAAGCGGCTGCTACTGCTATTGTGAAAGGGCTTGGTCGCTCCTCAAAGCAACAAGTCTTCTATATCCACACTAGCGGCACAGGTATCCTAACTGCGGAGACCTTTGACAAGGATGCCTTTGGCGATGAGCTAACCAAATCATACGATGACTGGGATGGCATCAAGGAACTCTGGTCGCTTCCGGATCATGCACTCCACCGTAAAGTGGACAAAATTGTTCAGGGCAGCTGGTCTGACAAGCTCAAGTCCGCCATCGTCTGCCCTCCTACTATCTATGGCCAGGGACGAGGGCCTGACAACCAGAGATCCGTCCAAGCCGACAGAGCCACTGCATCGATGCTTAAGCATCAGAAAGGTTGGACGGTCGGAAAGGGCAAGAACGTGTGGCATCAGATTCATGTCCATGACTTGTCGGATCTCTACCTCCACATAGCTGAGGCGGCAGCGAATGGTGGCGCCCCCGCCACCTGGAACGATCAAGGATACTATTTGGCTGAGAATGGAGAATTCGTCTGGGGCGACATTGCCAAGGCTATCGCAAGAGATGCTCACTCCAAGGGATTGTTGCCATCACCTGACGCAGAAGGCTTGTCAACAGAGCAAATTCAACCGTTGTTTGAAGGAGGACAGTACTATGTTGGTACCAATTCGCGAGGAGTGTCAAAACGTGGAAAGCAGCTCTTTGGGTGGAAGCCACACCGTCCATCCCTTTTGGCCTGGGTTCCTAGTCTTGTCGACAGAGAGGCAAGGACTCTGGGACTGACTGAAGGGCATGCCGCCAAGGTTGCAGCTTGAAAGGATGCTGCTCGTGCATGATCCCTATTCTGTTGGCTGCTCGCCACCATTTCAGTACCGCATCACAGATACGATAGTCTGTCTCTAACGTATCTATTAAGCTCCCATTCAATCCTTTTCGTATTGATTTGCGTTATGAGGTCATGAAGCGCGTATAGCAAGAAATCGCCAAGGATGACAAAGCAAAGGGGAGCGTTCTTGGCTGGCGATACCTATTTCCAACGACACCTGATTCCCCTCTGGTCTGGCCTTCCCACCATGTAGTCGGAGCAAGTATGTCATCCAGCAACATCATAATGGGCGGCTGTGAATGCGGCCGAGTTCGCTACACGATTCAAGGTAGCCCAATAAATACGACGTGGTGCTACTGCAAGCAATGCCAGCGAGTATCAGGAACACCCTTTATTCCTTTCACCGGCTTCAACAAGTCAGACATAACCTGGTCTGAGCAACCAGATGTCTTCAGCTCGAGTGATATTGCAGAGCGATTCCATTGCAAAAATTGTGGTTCGACACTTGGTATGTGGTATACCTTTCGAGATGGCAAAGTTGGCATTGCATCAGCTACGTTAGATCAGGACTACGGGGTCTCGCTCGCTCCTTCAAAGCATATCTTTCTCAAGGATAGACCAACGTGGTTCCAGGTGCCTGATGATGGTGCAAAGCGCTATGATGAACACGAAGCCGACTTCGGGCGCCAAATCCGCGAGTGGCGGGATGCGCAGGGCAAATAGGCAGGCCAAGGCAAAGGTTGAAATGGAAGTGAACCATTGCTGAAGGACAAATCAGTGATGATGAGTGCTTTTACCGAGGTCTTTGGGACGCGGTGGGATAATAACATGACACTGGCGCTTCAGTGTCGTGGCTTTGCTTTGCACGGTTTTTTGTTGACATCTTTTGCCAACCCATGCTACGGTTTTACAACATCTGGTGTTGGCACATCCTCCAGTTATTGTGTTGTTTAAATCCATCTTGTTTCCATCGCAACTGCCATTTGTGACGCCCCAGTCACTACCCTCAAGCAGCCTTGCAGCTTTCAGAAGTCTCTAGCATCAACTGACTCGATCATGTCCAACACCACTTCTACACCTCTCCCTCCCATTGTCACTACTCCGTCCTCTAATCGCCAATCTGGTAACTGGCCCAACTCGATCCTCAATCCTCAGTCCCGCCGTCATCTTTCTACTACCAACCCCATCTTTGGTTCGGCCCGCAGCGTCCCAGTCCCTGCCAACCCTGTCACCATGTCTCCGTCACCTCCTCTACGCTCACCGGCTTCGGGCCCTTCCTCCGACGAGTACACCCCTCAGCGAGGTCGCAGCGAGTCCCGCTCTTCTTCGCTCCCGCCCAATATTCATGCCACCACCAGCTCCGACGGAAGCCCCCCTGCTGACTCGCATGACCGCCGCAGCGTCAAGCACTTGACTTGTTTCTGGTGGAAGGAGAAAGGCTCCTGCAAGTACTCTGAAGAAGAATGCCTATACGCTCACTCTGACACCGGTAAGTTGCTATCAACACTCCTTGCGCTTTGACTTACGTTCTTCTTAAAGAAATAATGGCGTCGACTAACTTGCCTCAGGCCGCTACACTGACCCTCCCCGCCAGCTCCACCCCGATGAGCCTGCCAAAGCTGGTCGCAACCTGGCTCGAGCCCTCGGCGACCTCAACCTTCGCGGTCATCGATCCAGCAGCTCGTTGATCAACACTCCCACCACCTCCCGACCCACCACTCCCGTCGCTGCCTACGGCGCTCGTCCTCTCACTCCATCAATGATTTCCCTATATCAGGCCCCTCCCACGTTCGATCTCGATGCCCCGGCTCTTAGAGCCGAACTGGCTTTGTACCGCAACATTATCGAGACCGCCACCCAGGAGAAGCAACTGATGATCGACCTGATTCACGACCTCAAAGACAACATTGCCGAATCCAAGACTACTATCACTCAGCTCAAGCAAGAGAAGGATGGCCTTGCCCGTGAGAACCAAGCCCTCAAAGCTGCAACGGTCTATCAAGCTTCTTCCAATCCCTTCGGCGCCATTGGCACCAGCACCTCTGGTCTTGGTCACGGCCTAGGAGGTACTTTCGTTGGCCAAATGGGTCAATCTATCCCTGCCTGGGCTCCGGCACACAGTTCGACTACGCCAGCACGCCCGGATACCCCCAACACCAACCCTTCCGATGATGGCGAGTATGAGGCCGTGCGTTCTCTCCGCAGCCGCGGCCCAGGCTATTAGAGATACCTCGAGCACCAGCACATTGCACCACCGTTGGTCAGACTCATGTATAGAGGCGGTTTCTTTGGAGAAGAAGCATGACACAGATTTCGAGTCATTGCCCCACCACGGATAGGAGGCATTTGGCGCTTCGTTATGGGTGACGGACAACCCCACATCACGACAGTAGTCGAGTCATGAAGGGCTTATCAGCTCCAGTCGTGTCGGGTGGCATCACAGTACTAATCCTCGGTTTGAACGAAAAACGGACAGAAAATCATAATCGGTGGAGTAAGATAGATAATGAAAAGCAGAGGCCTCGTTCACGATGGGCAGCGAGTCCTCTGCACAACCACAGGAGCGTCTGTTGCATCGTCGCGGTCCTCAACTTTTGCATTCCTCTGTGGCTCTCTAGGCCAGATATCTTATGCTACTGATCGTTCAGAATGCAGATCACTCACGACCTGATCGTGATTATGAGCACTGCCAATTGCAGCACGAAGTCATTATATCGTAAGCTCGTTGCGTCTCGTTCCACTTCCCGACTTCGCGTTCTCCTGATGCCCCCTTGTCCCAACATACCCAGGATCTCACCCTCATTTTGTCGCAAATGGGACCCCTTCGCGCCCGTCTTCTCCTGTCTTCGTAAACCACAAGACCACCCGTTCGGCTTCCTGTCCATCACCGCACGGCCTTCCGCCTCGGCGTCCTCGCCGCCGGCGTCCACAGATCCTCCGCTCTAAGCCTCACCCCGCCGTCGGACTTCTCACGCACGGGTGTCCGACCCAGCCGCTTCATCAGCTTCTGCGCCGCGGGCGTCATGTTCCCACCACCGTCTCGCCGCGGCGTTGTTCCGGGCAGGCCGCGCGCAGCCGCCGTCGTCTCCTTCTCCTTAGCGCGCTTGCCTTGCGCCGTCTTCTCGACCAGTCTGTGATGCAGGGCTTCGCGCTTCTGCACGGCGGAGAGCTTGAAGGGGTTGGGCCTGCTGCTGTCGGGGGCTTGGCCGGCGAGGAGGTCGCGGTAGGTTGGGGCTGTGGGTGGTTCGGGCTCGGGTTCTTCGTCGTCGACGAACGCCCAGCCATTCACGCGTGGGGTACCTGCACCGGTGTAGTCGGCTTCGGTGTCGGAGGCGGGGGGGCCGCGGGCGGCGATGATGTCGGTGTTGAGGCTGGGACTGGGTGGGATGCGCCCTGGTGGCGTGGGGTCGTCGTCGGAGTGCAGAGTATGCAAGGATGGGAAGCGAGTGTTGGCGTGGACGGTTTCTTTGGGGGCCGCTTTCGAGGCGGCTTCCTTTTGCTCCAGTATAGTGGGCAATGAAGGGTTGGATTCGTTGAAAGAGTCGGGGAGGAACATGAAGGTATTGTCCGGGCGGGAGGTTTTCCAGGCGGTGGGTTGTGCAGGACGTGAGGCGACGGCGCCAGAAGTCAAGGGAATGAGAGCGCGATCGTTGTGTTTGGCTGCATCGGCGTCTGCTTGAGATTTCTCAGCGAGCAGACGATGTTCCTGAGCGCGATGCGCCAGTTGTCGGGCAGTGGGTATGCGCCCGTCGGATGTCCAGTGATGGGCGTGCTTCTCACGGCGAGTCTTATTCTGTTTGTCGAGAACATCGTTGAATGAGGCGTTGTCTTCGGAAGTATACTTTGCTTGAAATGATGAGATAGAGTGGATGGATGTGTCTAGCTTCTTGGACGTGGTCTCCGGGATCTCAGTTGCAGCCACACTCGTCGGTGTAGAGCTACCATCATAGCCACGAGGCGTATCTGTAGCGCGTGGGGTATTCCCGGGGGTAGTGCCAGTGTTATCGAACCTGGCATCTCTTGACACTCGCCTCGTTCTGGCGGACTTCTGGTCAATAGCTGCGCGCAAGTTGTGTGCAGCCTCGGCAATCCATATCTGGTTATCAGAATCAAGAGCCGCGAGGTACTCCTGTTGCGCTCGACTCTCTTGCAATCCAGGGAAATAATCTCTCGCAATGATTTCGGATAACGCATCTGTGTAATCGTCTTCGTCGAGAACTTTTGGTGGGCGTTTGATCTTCTTGATTGGCGGAGGCGGCATCAATGCCACATCGTCCGCCGTCCGCTTCAAAAGCGCTGTGGAGGAGGAGGTGGCATCCATCCCGATGCGCTGTGACACGGACCGACGTGCGCTTCGTTCAAAGATGTAGACGGGGCTACTAGAAGGCAGACACGGACAATGAGACATAACTGCGTTGTTGGCCGCTTCCGCTGCCGTATCAGGTGGGCTGCGCTTATCGATTCGTACCTGCACTAGCGCCTTTCACACAGCTACCTTGAGACAGATTTCAAGTTACTCGTTTGCTCCCATTCACCTTCCGTGCACCACTTTTCACTATGGCGAAGACACAGTCCGAATCTTCGGACGACTTCGAGTTCATCGAAACTCCCGCTGCTCCTAGCCCTCAGCCACCTGCTGAGGATTGTGGTGTAAGGACTACCACTGTAAGTCGTTGCTCGTTCCCGATCAAACTAGGCGGTGAATCATACTGACATTCCACAGTCTCCCACCATCCATAATGCACCCCTCCCAGCAGACGGCCCTGGCAGTGAGACGTTCAACAACTATATATTGATCGCCCTGTTGGTTTTTATTCCTTGGTGGATTGCTCGCCAGGTCTACGGCGGTTTTTATACAACTCTTTTCTTTGCGCTCTTCACCACCATTCCGGTCCTCATCACATACTGGATTGTCACCTCCCGTATATCACCACGGCGAAATGAAAAAGTGAAGCTTCCAGGTCGTCCCATCGAGCACTACGTGAGCTTCCGCAAACAGGAGGATCGGGAACGATACTATGGCAGAAACAAAATCCCCATGTTCGATTTCTTTGAAAAATACTTTGACGAGGAAGTCGATGTGAAAGGAGACATGCTTGATGTACTGGAGTACAGACACGACTGGGCTAATTTCAAGTTCACGTGGCCAGCGTTCAAGCATGTCTTTGTCGGCTTTGGTCCAGAAATGCTGTGGCACAGTCGATCGCAGGATGAAGAGCAGGTACGAGACCATTACGATCGTGGTGATGACTTCTACGGCTGGTTTTTGGGACCTCGCATGGTCTACACCTCAGGCATCATCTCGGATGTCAACCACGAGGAAACACTGGAGCAGTTGCAAGACAACAAGCTCGCTATAGTGTGCGAGAAGCTTGGTTTGAAGCCTGGCGAGAATCTGCTGGACATTGGCTGTGGGTGGGGCACTCTCGCTAAGTACGCGAGTGTCAACTACGGAGCACATGCTACTGGCGTTACCCTTGGCAAGAATCAGACGATTTGGGGCAACAATGGCCTGCGCAAGGCCGGTATCCCTGAAGACCAAAGCCGCATCGTGTGTTCGGATTATCGTGACATTGTTGTGCCTCCTGGAGGGTTCAAGAAGATCTCCTGCCTCGAGATGGCGGAGCACGTTGGTGTCCGCTACCTTGGCAAGTTCTTCTCTCAGGTGCATGATATGATGGACGATGACGGGACATTCTTCCTTCAGATGGTCGGTTTCCGCACTTCCTGGCAGTACGAGGATCTTATTTGGGGACTTTTCATGAACAAGTACATCTTTCCGGGCGCGGATGCCTCATTGCCGCTGGACTTTGTGGTCAAGAAGCTTGAGGGGGCAGGCTTTGAGATCAAGCAGATCGATACAGTTGGCGTCCACTATTCAGCAACGATTTGGCGGTGGTATCGCAATTGGTTGGCCAACTCGGACAAAGTCAAGGCCAAGTACGGAGTCAGATGGTATCGCATCTGGGAGTACTTCCTTGCCTCTGCCGTGATCTCGTCTCGCCAAGGCACAGCCACCTGCTTTCAAATCACACTGGTGAAGAACCTCAACAGCACTCACCGAATCGAGGGTGTGGAGAATCACTTCGGCATAGAAGGTGCACTGCGCGCCGGCCGAGCTCACTTGATGGGAAAGAAGGCCGCGGACGGAGTATCTTCGCTTGGTGATACCATCAAGGGTGCGCTTCGGTCCTGAGGTTAGAGTACCCAAATTCTGGAGCTCTGGATTGATGTCAGGGATTTGGAGATGGCGATCAGTTCGGTGCTGATCTTCACGAGTATCGTTGCGTGACTCAAGAGGAGGTGCTTGCGGCTCTTGTCGACGACTTAATATGGAAGTGATGTCAGAAGCTGCCCAATTCACGGACTGGACGGCCGTGCAAGAGTTGAGACAAATAGACGGGAGTACCTGGATTCAAGAGTGGATGCGGATTACGGGCCAGGAATCAATGATCCGACGGGCTTGATACGAACGGGCTTTAATCGTACAAGCATTGGTCTTCAAATTGTATTGTGCATCAGAGGTCCACTACATCCGGTTTCGCTTTGTTCGATCTATCGAGTAGGATGAGTACAAGAGACCATCGACACGATCGAAACTTGCATGGTAGGTAAATTCGAATCGAGAAGCCTTGGATCCGAGATGCGCGACAGACTTTGCCAAGTGCGCCTCTCAACTACCGCCGGATTGAGCCTAGTGTGAGAGGGTGCACGTTGTCGGTTACGCGTCTCTTATTGGCTGTTTTCGACGACATGTTCGAGGTATCACAATCGCCTCCATGACAAGCTCTCAAATTTTTGCTCGCTACGTGCTTGTACAGGCTTGTTGTAGCTTAGCCATGGTTGGTCTTTTGCGGCCTGTCAACCCTGGCTGATGGAGATCTTTCGGCATACTCTCCCGTGCACAAGTCGCCATTCATGCGGTCCAGCGGCAGTCGCACTTCGCCTGCTGCGTTCAACATTTTCCTGGGGGCTGCACGGGCAGCCAGATTCAGCACGTGGATTGGCAGTCCTGTCCGAGTCGCCACACGCGAGTTCGTCTATCGTGAGGTCACACGAAAGATCAGCGCAGGCGCTCTCCTCAACATATCATCATCGCCATGGTGGTAGGCGGTCTTGGCGAGCGAGCACGTTGCTAGATCTCGGCCTCTTACTTGGAGAGCACTCGCTAGATATTGCTTTGGCTATAAACAGCTTCCATGATCTCCAATCTCTTACCCATCCTGTAGTGGGCCAGTGCTATTTGCTTCGGGCGGCCGCCGATGTGCCTTGCTGCACTAGGAAGTTATTGAGAAGGAAGGGTGAAGAGCTAGGCGAGTCCAAAGGGGCATTCTCCTAGAAGACTGCTGCTATTGGAGAAAGCGCCCGCTGTGGCGTGTCGGGACATGGTTCGCTCTAGGTCAGTCGAGCCGAACTTTGCGCTTACCTCGTCTCCACGCGCTTTTTTGGGGGCAGTTGTAGAATTCCTTTTGGCAACAGCGTGGTCGCGTTGGCTGCTTCCATTGGTGCTACATCGCATGTGCATATTGCAACTTCACTAGCAGGGGGCTCCAATCTTTTCTATCGTCCAGCACCCATATCGTCAACTTTTTGTTAGCGCATGCAACCGATAATCCACCCCTGGTCTCCCAAGCATCCCAAGATAAATAGTGTCGCCTTGGTACCAGCCTTTTCGACCTTTTCGACCTCTCAAGCACTCTTGGCTGCTGACAAGCCTCTCTTGGAATTTCTTGTGCAGAGCTTGAGACCACAGCGTCCACCATCGCAATGGCGCAATCCGGTGTCAAGACCAGCGGCGGCAACGCTGCCTTCCACAACTTTCACAATGATTTCGCCCATATTCAGGATCCCAACGAGCGACGGAGACTTGCTCTCGCTGAAATCGACAAGGCTCCTTTCGGCGTATGCACCCATCTAACACGCGCCGGTGACGTGACGCTGACATATCACTAGTGGTACCATGTTCGTGCCATTGTCGTCGCCGGTATCGGCTTCTTCACTGATGCCTACGATATATTCGCCATCAACTTGGTGACGGCCATGTTGGGCGTTGTTTACTGGCAAGGTGCTGCTAAGAACCCCGGCGTCATTCCTCCCTCGTCCGATACTGCCATCAAGGTCGCAACCTCGGGTGGAACTGTCCTCGGTCAGGTTGGCTTCGGTTGGCTGGCTGATGTTGTCGGTCGCAAGAGGATGTACGGTCTCGAGTTGATTCTCATCATCTTTGCGACCCTCGCTCAATCCCTCTCCTCGGATTCTCGCGCCATCTCCGTTGTCGGCCTCATTATTTTTTGGCGTGTGCTCATGGGTATCGGCATTGGTGGCGACTATCCTCTTTCCGCCATCATTACATCCGAATTCGCCACTACCAAGTGGCGCGGCGCCATGATGGGCTCCGTCTTCGCCATGCAAGGTATTGGCCAGTTCACTGCTGCCATTATCTCTCTGATTGTGACCACCGGATTCAAGGAGTCCTTGATCACTGCCAAGACCGTCTCCGAGTGCGACGGTGTCTGCCAGCTTGCAGTCGACAAGATGTGGCGTGTCGTTATTGGTTTCGGTGCTGTCCCCGGCTGCATTGCTCTTTACTTCCGTCTGACCATCCCTGAAACTCCTCGGTACACGTTCGATGTTGCTCGCGATTCCGAAAAGGCTGTTGCCGATGTTGCAGCCTACAAAGCAGGCAAGCATGAGGGTCAGCCAGACGAGGTCAGCCGCGCCGCCGTTTTGCAGGATTCTCGTGCGCGTTTGGATCCCCCAAAGGCTTCTTGGGGCGACTTCATGCGTCACTACGGTCAGTGGAAGCATGGAAAAGTCCTTCTCGGCACTGCCGGGTCTTGGTTCTTCCTTGATGTGGCCTTTGTAAGTTTCTATCACTGACTTCGCGACCTCCTTATGCTGACTGGATTTAGTATGGTCTTGGTCTCAACAACTCAATCATCCTGCAGACCATTGGTTTTGCTAAGGGTGACGATGTTTACCAAGTCTTCCGCCGCTCGGCCATTGGCAATTTGATCATTGTCTGTGCTGGCTCTATTCCGGGTTATTGGATCACAGTCGCAACTGTGGACACTATCGGTCGCAAGCCAATCCAGCTGATGGGATTCGTCATGCTTACCATCATTTTCATCGTCATCGGTTTCGCGTACTCCCACCTTGGCGAAGCTGGTCTCATGACTCTATACGTCTTTGCCCAGCTGTTCTTCAACTTTGGACCTAACGCCACCACCTTCATCGTTCCGGGAGAATGTTTCCCAACCCGTTACCGTTCGTCGTCCCACGGTATCTCCGCCGCCTCTGGCAAGGTCGGTGCTATCATTGCACAGACAGTCTTCGGACCTCTCCGCACAAAGGGCCACGTAAGTTTTGGCTTTCAATCTTTCGGCCGGCAAACACTGACTTTTCTCTAGCCTACCAAAGCCAACCCGAACCCTTGGCTCAATCACATTATGCAAATTTTCGCCCTCTTCATGTTGTGCGGTGTCTTCACCACGCTTCTCATTCCGGAGACCAAGCGGAAGACTCTCGAAGAGCTTGCCGGTGAGGTTCCAGGCACCAAGAACTATGATCCTGAGACTGCCGGCCACCGTAAGAGCTCGGTTGGCATCACCCGCGGAGATTCAGATGAGGGTGTTCAGGAGACTCATGAGAAGAGCGCTGCCTAGGCGTGCTACCTGGGTTAGGGTAGTGTGTATATTTTAGGAGCAGCCTGAAGTTTCAATAGACGCCGTTCATTCATAGGTAGTCGAGCAGGCTTTCGACTTGACGCTTGCAAGCTTGGCTTCGAGTTTGCACAATCAGCGAGACATACAAAAATCTAATACTGTTGTCACAAGAAAGTGTTCTAGCATGTCTGTACAACAGTACAATCGTAGCGACGATTGTGGGTGGTTGCCATAGCTCAAGTAAGGTAAGGCAAGGCAGTGTGAGTGGGGCCACCACCACAGCTGTCCATGGCACAACCCAAACCTGAACTTGCAATAATAAAGCGATTGCCGGAATTTTGGAAGCATTCGCTGCCCAAGATCTATCATTTGGGACCCAGCCCCGACCGAGACCGAGACTGAGACTGAGACTGAGACTGATCTTCGTGTCGTGGACACGGTCTGCATCGGGACCTTCGCAGCATTGAGCGTTTTGGCACGTACCTGTAGTGTTTCTGTGTGGTTTCAGAGACGACCGTCCAAGTACCAACCCTGTTCCCTGGTCCTTGCTTTGACAGTCTCAGAGGAAGAGGAAGAGGAAGAGGAAGAGGAAAACATGAGGCGAAGAAGTGCTTGCGGGGGGAGGGAGACCCTCGTAAGTGAAAAGTGAAGGAAAGGCGAGAAGAGGACGTGCCTTTTGGCACTGGGGTTGGGGGTGGGGAAAAGAAATTGTTATGTTCAAGCGAACAGAGTGCGGTTGGCCCTTTCGATAACGGCTTGCTCGCCCTCGCTCATCCCCGACGTCACAGCCCACTTCGAGGAGCCGTAGCCCATGGCCCTCTGCGCTTCCGAGGCGACGGCGTCCCAATTCGTCGCGCCGTGGAAACCCTGCTCACCCTCGCCGCCCGCGCCGGGAAAGTCTGGCGGCGGGCTGTACTTCATGGCTGCATCGCGTTGTTGTTTCAGAGAATCGATGTTGCGCGCGGTGATGGCGCAGGCGGGGATGTAGAGGACGCTGCTGTCGCTGGTGCCGCGGTGCTGCTTGTCGACGGCGTGGATGGTGTCGCAGTGCCAGGCCACGTAGTCGCCTGGCTCGACGTGGGGGACGTTGATCATGGTGGTCTCGAGCTCGAGGTGGGGGTGGGTGACGGGGTCGTATTCCTGGGCGGCGCCGAGGTTTGAATTGGGAAAGGAGTTGTCGAGGTTGAGCTCGTTGGTGTCCAAATTGAAGAAGGGTCGGAGGATGAGGTAGGAGGTGGCGTGTTTCAGGAAGGGGCACACTTTGAGAGTCCCCTCGCCGGGTCCGGTGGAGGACATGGAGAGCCAGCCTTGGAAGAGCCGGAACATGGAGCAGGCGCCGCCGCCGTTGTACATGTCCATGGTTGCAGTTATGCGGTGGTGGGCATCGAAGGGATCGTAGGCTTCCCAGTTGCCACGTAGGATTTCTGTGTAGACGCGGGAGTACTCGGGGTCCTCCCAGCGCTCAACGCTGCCTCCGTCCGTATGAGGCCCTAAGGCGAATTTGGCGTCACCTGGGCGGCGGATTCGAAAGCGGTCAGCGTAAGTGAGGGGATACGTGGTGGAGATTTGTGAGGCGCGATTTGAGGAGTGCCAGAGAGAATTCATGAAAGACTGAGTCTGGAGCATGTTGGGGTGGCCGCGTGCCTGGACTTGGGTAGGAGTCCAGTAGAGCTCGTAGACGGCAGGATCATCCGCTGGGAAAGCCCTCACTTTGGGCTGGTTGGCATCGATGTATTCCTGAGCTTGCGCCTTGAGATCAAGAGCCTCTTGGCGAGGCACGACATTCCTAATGACGGCTAGACCTCGATGACGGATAGCTTCAAGATCTTGTGGGCTGACTTGCCCCGTCCGGACCTTCTCGTAGTCTATGCTTGGGATGACCTGTCACATGGTAAGCCGAGAAGGTTGAGTAAGGGGGAACGTGCGTACACTGTTGCCTTTCGCCTTGATCTCATCGATCTCTTGACGAAGACTGGATAGTAGTCTATGCCATGACGCTTTGACCGCATCCTCGTTACCGGCGATACGACTCTTCTTCAAGTCACTAAATCGAGGAGGCAGTGGGTCAGGTGTTTTGCCGCTCAGGCTAGGAAAGACAGAGCTGATGTCGCCGGCTTCCTTGGTGAGAGTGGAGGCGGCCCGACGGAGGGATTGCACTGCTGCTTGCTGCATTCTGTGTCGAAGGACTGTTGTCTGAGTCGCGTTGAAAAATGGGCATCTTTGCTCAGCTTTATGCTTGACGTTCCGACATGCCAGGCGGATGGCTCTCCCGGACTGGAATAGCGTGTACCTGCGGGAGGCAAATGGCATCCTGGTAAAGCGGGGCTGGCCTCTCCCACACAGCCATCACTGCTCGTGTGCTATTCGACAGCGGCGTTGTCCGGCGTTGACCCCGGCCAAGTCCTTCTGCCCATACCGCATCGGCTTGCCCAAGACGAGACGGGACCTCGCGAACATCCTCGGCGCAGCATGCCCCGAACGCGGAGACGAGTGACAAGCGACCCCAACACCATGAGTACAGCTGCCTAGGTATAAGTATACATGCACCTCTCAGGTCAATACACGTCTAGCTGTCTCTGAGAGTTGTCAATTCGCGTTAAGATACAATTTGCCGATAGCAATACTCACTCGTCATCTGCAACACCATGGCACAATCTATACCAGGCAAGACAGCCATTGTCACGGGTGCCGGTTCAGGTACGTGGACCCAGAGTTGCACATCGCATCTGACTTACCCGGATCCAAGGAATCAACCTCGAGTTCGCGCGACTGCTGCTGAAGCACGGCGCCAATGTCGTCTTCGCCGATTTGGCACTGCGAAAGGAAGCAGAATCACTGGTAGCCGAATACAAGTCCAAGGCTGTTTTTCAGCGAACTGATGTGACTTCCTGGACGGACCTGAATCAACTATTCCAAGTCGCCGAGCAGACTTTTGGGTCCATTGACATTGTGTGTCCTGGTGCGGGTGTATATGAGCCGCCCTTCTCCAACTTCTGGATCCCTCCTGGCACCCAAGGGTCGCGAGATAGCCCAGTCCACGACAGGTACCTCGCCATGGACATCAACATGACGCATCCGATTCGAGTCACGCAGATGGCCATCTCTCATTACCTCAATGCGAAGCCACCAGCAAGCCCTTCGAACCCAAAGTCCATTATACACATCGCCAGCATTGCCGCAGAGGTAGCCGATCTAGGCTGTCCGCTCTACTACGCTGCCAAGCATGGCGTGAAAGCATTCGTCAAGGCTCTCGCTGACCTTGAGGAGCTCCACGGTATTCGGGTCGCCGCAGTGCTTCCTGGTGTTGTCAAGACCCCACTCTGGACAGAGCATCCCGAGAAGCTGAAGATGATTCGCCAGCAAGGAGGCGATGCAGATGAGTGGGTGACGCCAGAAGAGACGGCCGAAGTCATGTTGCGTCTGGTCAAAGACAACAGCACATCTTCCACAATCAGCGGTGGCGGCGATGAGGTTCCAATTCGTGGAGGCACTTGTCTCGAGGTCCTGGTTGACTATGTTCGGGATGTTCCGCTCTTGAACAACATCGGCCCAAACGCGCCAGGCGTACCAGGAGCCAGCGTCAAGGACCGACAGAAACAGCGCGACGACATTCTCGAAAGGCTTCAGACGCCTGGTTGGGGCCAATTCGTGTCGTAGATGCAGATAAAGAATGAGCAGTAGATTGCCACCGTTGACTCCTTGAGACAGGTTGGCCCTTAGCTTGGCGCGGCTTTCATTATCCGAGGCCGCTTCAACTGCAACTGCACCGCTTGGATCACGTCTTTTTCTCCTCACTTGTTCTACTGCCTGCTTGCTCCTCATTACCCTTTCCTTGGACTCGCGGAATAGTACTCCAGGCAGCTTACTGTGCTGAACCACACTATACAGCAATGCGATTGTAGGCAGAGCACATTCGTGACCTGATCTCCCGCCAGCATGGCATCTCCATCTCCCAGTCGCACCCCGTCGAGAGCACGACGGTATGCTCCCCTCCAGCGTTCTTCCTACGCTTGCTGACAAACCTCTCCAGACGTGCACATACTCCGACGAGAGGGAAGCACGATGTCACAGGTACCGTGGGCCAGGCCTCCTGGGCCTCCAGTGTCATCAACCTCCTCAACACCATCGTCGGCGCCGGTGTCCTCGCCATGCCGCTGGCCATGTCGCACATGGGAATCGTGCTGGGAATAATAGTAATACTGTGGGCTGGTCTCACGGCCGCCTTCGGCCTCTATCTACAAACCCGTTGCGCCGCCTACCTCGAGCGCGGCTCCTCATCCTTCTTCGCCCTCAGCCAAATCACCTACCCGAACGCCGCCATCATCTTCGATGCCGCGATTGCAATCAAATGCTTCGGCGTCGGCATCTCCTACCTCATCATTATTGGCGATCTCATGCCCGGTGTCGTACTGGGCTTCACTGGCGAAGAAGGTCTAGCACGCTTCCTGCTCGACCGGCACTTTTGGGTCACAGCTTTCATGCTGGTGTGCATCCCTCTGTCATACCTCCGGCGCCTCGACTCTCTCAAATACACCTCCGTTGTTGCTCTGATCTCCATCTCCTACCTCGTTGTCCTAGTCGTCTACCACTTCTGCGCCCAGGACACCCTTCCCGACAACCAATATCCCACCCCGCTCCGCATCTTCACATGGGCTTCCCCAGTCGCTGCGCTATCCTCGCTCCCCGTTATCGTCTTCGCTTACACATGCCACCAGAACATGTTCTCTGTCCTCAACGAAATCTCTGACAACAGCCACTTCCGCACCACCTCGGTAGTCTCGGTGTCGATCGGCACCGCCGCTGCCATCTACCTCCTCGTAGCCATAACGGGCTACCTCAGTTTCGGCAACGAAGTCGGCGGCAACATCGTCGCCCAATACGCACCCTCAGTCAGCGCCACCATCGGCCGCGCCGCCATCGTCGTGCTCGTCATGTTCTCCTACCCTCTCCAAGTGCACCCCTGCCGCGCCAGCGTTGATGCCGTTCTCAAATGGCGGCCCTCCCCCTCCCTCAAGCACAAGCTCAGCCGCTCCAGCACGCCCTCCAGCAACTCGCTCACCGTCCCCGACGGCTCCCCGCCGCGCGACACCCCGCTCCTCCCCACAGGCAAGAAACGCAACTCCGAGATCTCCGAGACGCGCTTCGCCATCATCACGACCGTCATCATCATCCTCAGCTACATCGTCGCCATGACCGTCGACAGCCTCGAAGCCGTGCTCGCCTACGTCGGCAGCACCGGCAGCACCTCCATCTCCTTCATCCTCCCGGGCCTCTTCTACTACAAGATCTCCAGCCCGGACAACCCACTCCACCAGAAACTCTGCAAGGAGGAAGACGACTACGACGTCGACTTCGACCCCGCCACCGAAGACGACGAGGGGCGCCGTCATCGTAGCAGCAGCGACGATGCGGTCGACCGGCAGCACCACGAAGAAGGCCAGGGTCTGCTAAGTTCTAGCGGCTTCCTCGCCAACAGCGGCTTCCTGAGTCTCGGCGGCCGCAGCTTGTTGCGCCGCACCCGCCACGTGCGCAGGAAGATGCTGCGCAAGTTGGCCCTTGCGCTGAGTATCTACGGTTTGGTCGTTATGGTCACGTGTCTGGCGATGAATACGTTCTTTATCGCGAGGCATTGATTTGGCTTTGGTTTTTGATTATTGGGGGAAGCTATGGCATGGCATGGCATTGCAAAACTACACGGTAAGAGCTATCGAAGTTTCATCAGCTCTTGCCTTGGCGAGTTGTGAAAGTCTGACTGCCTCCTTGTTGGGCTACCAACGGCAAAAATGAGGAGATGGGAACGCGGGCGTTTCATGAGCGTTTTTTTCTTTTCGTTTGGCTCGCGATTTTGGCTGTCCTTTTTTCAGCTCGGGTCGGGCGAGAGCGAGCTTCGCTGGCTCGGCCACTCTACTACACAATTACTGGATGGAGAGTCTAGTGTTCTGTAGTGTTGAGCTCACAGAGGATGACGGGGCGAGAGGGAAAGGAAGGAAGGGTGTGAAGCACAGCATGCACGGACCAGAGGGGTTTGATGGCGAGCTGTGTTGAAGGAGGCGTGAGATTGTGGTTCAGAGCTACAGACAGATCTAGTGGGATGAGGCGAGGCGAGCTCTTGAAGTGATAATAGAGGGATGCGGTGTCAGGATAGAGAGAAAGACAAAGTGACGAAGTCATGCCATACATTAGAACTACGAAGCCAAGGCCGTTCGCTGTTCTGTGTTCTCTCGCTGCTTGCAATACTAATAACGCCTGCCAAATGTAGCATCCTATCGAAACGCTGGCCCTCGATCCATCGCCGTACTTTGACGTTTACGCAACTGCTCCTCTGTCTCGTGGTATACATGGTCTCAAGTCGGCTGAGTATAGTGGAATCGGCCATTGAAAGCCCAAGTCTCAAATGACCAGATCTCAGCCTCGTGGTAGGCGAAGTCGCTGCTCAGTTGTTCTGTTGGCTGTTGAGGATCCTCAAGATGGCGAGGAAGAGATTGAGAATATCCAGATACAAGGAGATGGAAGCAGCAATCTCCTCCTCCACGTGATAGTGGCGCATCACCAATTGAGTATCAACGAGAATATACCCGCTAAAGATCAATGCGGCCACCAAGCCATATACCAATTCGATAGTCTTTCCATGTGGGAAGAAGGCCGCCATGAACCCAAAAATGATGAGAATCCACAGACCACCAAACAGGTACGGTGCCCAACTCGTGAAGTCATACTTGCTCTGGCACGCAAACGCCGTCAAGAAAGCGAAGATGGCCAGTGTGATTACCAAAGCCTGGACGACGATGCGAGACTCGTAGAAGCTGCATACGACAGAGATGGAATAAGCCTCGAGGCCAGTGAAGGCGGCCAGAAAGATCAAGTTGGTGGGGTAGCTCTTGCGCTTCCAGAAGGTGAGAAGCAGGAAGCCGATCGCGCCAAAGAGCGACACCCACATCATCCATGGGTTCGACTGGATCCAGTTGCGGTAGCCCGTCGAGAAGAAGGAGAGGGAGGAAAGAGCGGTCGTGAGCAGGAGCTGAACCGTCAGGATCGAGTAGACTTTGCGGATGAATTGCATGCGGATGTCGAGCGTGGCTTCGGAGACGGAGCCACCGAACTGCAGTCCGTTAGTAAATAGTCATCAGTGTAGGGATGGGCGCGCACCTTGAAGTCATCGGGAACATTGTCGTCCTCCTCGCGCGGCGTGCCGTAGCCAGCTGTGGTAGCGCTGGCGCCTGCGGTGGCGTTGTCCTGGTACGATGGCGGGGCTTGAGTGTACTGGCGCTCAGGCTCGTCGAGCGAGTCGCGCGTGGGCGCCGGGGCGTATTTGGCGGTCGACATCTTGCGGACGGCGGAATGATGCAGGGTGAAGAGGTGTGGACAAGAAGTCTGGTGTGTGTAGAGAGGAAGGATTGGGACTGAGAATTGACCAGTCGCGTCATGTGCATTCGGCAGGTGCGCCGCCGCCCTGAAGTCAGGCGCCACCGTCGCCTTTAATCCCCCTAATCTCCGGCGAGTCCAGCCGAGTCCCCGGCGTCTTTAAATCTGACCCAACTCTGGACCCCATGCGCGCATATCTACCAACCTAGCGAACAGGCACGGTGACATCGGCTCGAGAAGGAAACGGTGGAGGCTGAATGATCTATGCTTGAATAGCACACACGAGTGCTACGCCGCTTGAGAGGCTTCCTTTGCAGCAGCGTACGCATCGTACCCATATAGCCACCGCTGAGCTATTCCACACGTCCAGCGGCTGGGAAACTGGATGGTGTCGTCGATATCGTCTTTGTCTAGCTGTGAAGCAAAGATCCGATCACGTTCCTCTTGCTCTGGTCCGTCCGGCATGTGGAATTGATGCCGTTGTAGGAATGTCTCCTGTGCCACCCTCTCACCACGTTCCTTCCGTACCCGCTCATATAGAGACACTGCTCTTCTCAGGTCGACCTTTGACTTCACCTGGCCGACACACCAGCCCAAGACCGCTCCGTCTTCCATGGCACTGTTTGCGCCTTGGGCTAGGTAGGGTAACATGGGATGGCAGGAATCGCCTATGAGAGCTAGGGTCCCGCCTTCACTCACCCACCGCTCCATTGCAGGTCGGTGCATCAGTTTCCATTTGTCGACCTTGGTTACCTTGTCGAGAAACCGTGACAGTATCGGGTCCCATCCTTCGAAGAGCTTCTTCATCTCGCTGGTCTCTCCGCGTTGCCGTGCAACGTCAGATGGCAGGTCATCTGGACAGAGCAGCACAAGATTGAACATGTCACCTCCTCTGACCGAGTAGCCGACGACGTGGCTGTTGGGGCCGATCCAGAAGTGGCATTCCGGCCTCTGCACCCATCGTCGGAGTTCCTCATCTTCTCCCAGTGCGTCTGTTGTTAGTACGATTCTGTAGGCTAAGTCCCCAGTGGGCAAGGGCGGGTCGCTCTGCATCAGAAGGGCCTCGCGGCACCTGGACCATATGCCATCAGCGCCGACCAGTAGGTCCGCTTCGAACACTCTACCGCTTTCCGCCAGTACCCTGACACCAGACGCTTCGGTGCGATCAAAGTCCATCTCCTTGACTCGTTCTGCCCATTCGACACCCACACCAAGACCTTTTGCTCGTTCGTACAATAGTCCCTGCAAATCCCCGCGATGTACGTCAATGAAAGGATTCCCATCATACCGCCCCCTCACCCTCTCGCTGAACCGCTCATCACACGCCAACACCTCGCCGTCCGCATACCGATGAACCACCAGCCGTCTTGGTTCAGCGCACACCGCTTCGATCTTCTGGAGAAGCCCCCAGCGTGCCAGGAGTCGAGTAGCATTTGGCGTGAGCTGTAGCCCGGCCCCCACGGGAGCGAGTGAAGGCAAGGCTTCCAGAATCGTGATCTTGGGCCTGTGATCGACCGGGCGGTCTTGCGTCTCCAGAGCCAGTGAGATGCCGGTTGCGAGACCGGCCAGACCGGCGCCTACGATGAGGATGGAGATGGGCTCTGCCATGGGTCGCAGTTGGTGCGTTTTTCCTGTTTCGAGCGTTTTGGCCCCCAATGCAACAAGTATCCCACGCGGCGGCGGACTCCCAGACGCTCGGAGACTTGCCCCCAGGGCCTGGCAAGGACCGTCAACCAGGCTTCAGAGAAAGCGTCCCCAAAGCTTGCACGGTATCTGCCTCAGCATAAGAGGATCTAGGCCGTGAGGTGTTCGTGCCGTCACGCTCCACCTTGCCTGGTCATCAGTCAGGTCTCCGGCGACTCTTATAGTCAGCTTCTTCGCTTGTGGCGATGGTGAGGGAGGAAGGGAGGGAGGTCGTCCTACTACGGTTAAGGACTATGCCTATAAGAGTCAAAGCTGGGGAAGGCGCCTCGCTTATCGTCCCCGTTTCCAATCTCTGGGGAGTCTCCGCTGCCTATTCACATATTCATATATAACATATATGTATGTATATGGCGAGATCGCATCTACGCGGCATCTCGCCCTCCTCCTTCCCCCGCCGCGGCAGTCAGTTCAATGTTCGATTCCAACGAGGCAACGCCCACCCTGGCCGAAAGGGCGTTCAAGCACCTGCACTAGTACGAGCAATCCATGGACGCTCACCACTTCGGCTCGCGATGCATGTATGAATTCATCGTCGTCATTCTTTGCTAGATCGTTTGTCGTTGAGTTTCTCTTTCGGCGATAACGACATCGACCAGCCCACCTTCGGTGATATACTACGGTCTCTTCCCCCGTCATCAGACGCCGCAGTCGGTGATGGCGCACTACTCATATCGGCACAGGCACAATCGTCGGCACAGCCGCAGACAGTGGGGAGGAATTCAGCAAAGGCTCTTTTCTCGATCCGGAAACGTCAGCTAGCGAATTGCTATGCGCCATAGTCATAGTCCCTTGAGGGAGATAAGATCCCAGCCAGGGTGTTTATTAGCTGACGGTTTGGAACGCTTTTTGCAATCTTTATGAAACTTTGCTCGTGGTGGCTATGACGAAGAAAAGTGGCGTCTGTAGCATTTATTGACTATCACGTATAGGTGTTGATACATACCCAGTTAGTCGGGAGCAAGTCATCAGAACTTTTCGTGCCGACAGCGAGGAATCTTCGACCTCTCCATACACATATACTGTGACTGTTCCTCCGTGTCACAGCTTGAGGAAGACTTGGCCGCCCAAGTCCATCGCGAAGCAAGATGTTTCTTTAAACACTCAAGCAGTATCATCAACAACCGCATCATCAACGCTTTCCTCGTACCCACCACTCTCATCCTCATCCTTCTGGTACAAAAAGAACTGCACAAAAATACCCATGTCGAGCAGCAAAGTGCCCAGACTTCCCGCGATCCAACTCGCGTTGACGGCCAGATAACGTGCGTAGATGCTGCCTGCTTCACCAGGCCCGCACCTGCCAACGGCGCCGCCCTCGCTGCACATTGGCGTCGGGTCATATGCGAAGATACTCATGTCGTAGGTCAGGTTGCCGATGCAGGCGAAGAGGAAGAAGAGGAGAGACACGCCTTCGGTCGATTTGCGGCGGTAGTTGAGCACGATTTGTGGGATGCGGCTGCCTAGGTAGAAGACGGCGCAGAGGTAGCCGAAGAACTGGCCCCAGGGGTCGAATTCGAGAGGTTCTGGGATCTCGTCTTCTGGGGCGTGATCGTGATGATGATGGTGGTGTTTGTGGCTTGCAGCCCGGGTGCTGAGCCACCAACCGAAGACGCCAGCGGCGCAAACGAGCAAGACGGCGAAGATGTTGAGGAGGGCGGCTTGTAGAGCCGATCGGGGTTTGAGGTTGCGCAGCGCGACAGCATTGTCTCTGGGAGGGTCGTGAATAGGAGTTGCGGGCGACAGGTGCTCGACATGGGAAAGGTGGCGACGAATATCAGAGGCAGCGGAGCTGCGGCGGTGGTCATCGGGATTAGATGGCTCGTCGCGGGAGTGCGGTGCAGTGCGGGTGTCAGGCTGCAGTAGTGGACGATGCTCGCTGTCCATATTGTCAACGTGCCCGTTGGTGGTGCTAGGTTTGTCGCTTAAGGTGAAGCCACGGTAATAAAAGACCTGTGCGATCAGGACAATGTCGGCCAAGGTGTAATAAATCGCCAATATCAACATGGTAGGAATGACGCCCTGCAAGACGGCTCCAAGAATATTGAACACATCTCCAGCCAGCCAGATGACCAGAAAAGTGATGGACAGGCCTTCTGCAGATGACCGTCTAAAGTTCTCGATGATCTGGGGAGAGAAGACGACCACCCAACAGGCGATGGAGATGGAGCCGCAGATGCCGGACAGAGCTGCCAAATCGACCTGTATTGATTGTTGAGGTGGAAACATGCCGTAAGATATCCAGGATCAAGCAACGATGCCGATAGTTGGTGGAAGAGGTCGAGATGGAAAGCTGAATGAGTCGCGTGGTGGCCGGTCACTGAGATTTTGCTCTAAGCTCTGACAGCTCTGAGCCTCCCCCACAAATCTAGTTGCGGCGCGATCAGCAAGCGTCTGTGCAAAATCCAGAATGCTGCCTGATGCGATGCTCCCAAAGCCGTATAGAGGACAAATAACATCAACGAACAGTAGGGGGCCAACAGCCAAAGAAATGTATTTTCAGGCGGTGGAAGATGAATGCCACGGAAACGAAAAAATTATTTGAACGTCTCCATGCAGAAGGTGAAGAAGAGCTCTTACCTAATAGACGGCGCATGGCGCCTATCCGAGACAAGCGAAGCCAGAGCCTTGGAAAGAAAATCCGGGGAAGGCGAAGGCGCCCGAAAGAAGGAATTGCAAGCGTGCTCCAACCGTTAACGCCCCCCGAACGTATCACGTCCAATATGCAAGGAACAGCGTCAGGAACAGGCAAGGCTCCTCTTTGGGGATCGTTGTTGTGGGCACGATGGATGACGTGTTGGAGATGGCCAGAGAGCCCCCCAAAATGCTTAGAATATTAGTGGTGAAGTCTGGCAAAGGTAGGTACAGTCAGAAATAATACTACAAGTAGAATCTTATATACGGCTTTGTCGTCGACTTTGCCCGATGATATATGCCACTCGTCAGTATGGTGCTATTACATACCAGCACCACCTTGCCCATTCAGCATCCTTTCCGCAGTCATGACAGGGTATCTGCAACACAAACGAGAATAAATATGCAAAAGCCGTCCATCGTCACAACCGTGACACCTCTCTATGTCAGCCCCACCGTTTTTGGTACACTCAACAACGCCTCTTTCAATGCTAAATCAGTGTACTGCCAACCATTCAAGTTACTTCCTTTTGCCAGCACAATTGAATAGCGCCGCCAACGCGCCCCCTGCGCTCGACTTCTGCACCGAAGGACCGTTTTCGCCCTTTTCTGTGCTCGAGTCTCCACCTTTCTCTCCCAGGGTGACGCTGCTCAGATCTTTCTGGCTCTTCAGCCATTTCAGATCGTCCTTCGCGCCGTCGACCGCTGCACCTGCACTCGTCTTGGGATTCTCCAACCACTGCCGTAAATCGGCCATGACCTCTGGCGTTGCTTTGTTGGCTTGCATCTGCGACCAGTTGGCAAAAAGATGATCTGGAACCTAGTCAGTCTTGGTCTTGATTTGGAATGGGAAATTCCTGGCTTACCGTACTCAGCCACCACCCTCCGCAGTTCCCGCATCACCCGCATCTTCTGTCCTGGCCGCTCCATCGCCTGTGCGTTCGCATCATTGTCCAATGCAAACATCTCCTCTTCCAGCTGCGTGATCTCGTCCTGTAGACACAGCAACAGCTTCACGTGCACATCGTCGAAACGTCGGAACACTACTGTGCTTTTCCGCGACATGAAATCGGCCATTTCTGAGTGATCAGCAGGTTTAGCAACGTTGGCGATGCTCGCAGATGCAATATGGGCCTCAGACGGCGCCCGGATAGTCCTAATCGATTGCCGTCGGGAGTTGGACGCCGCTGCAGTGAAAGCTTCAGGCGGCAGCTGCGGCAGAGGAGCCGTGGGAGCAGGCGTCGGTTGCTGATAGTCATAAATGGATCGGGGAGTGGTAGGCCGTGAAGTAGACGCATCGCCCGACTTGCGTGGCTTATGCCTCACGGAAGGTGGCCGAGGCAGTGCTTCGATATCAATTTCGCCAGATTTGGAGTTTGCGCGTGATCGGTTGAAGGACTGCGACTGCAATTGAGGTGACGCTTTCTCATGCATTGAGTTGTTGGATGGATGCGAGTGTAGTGCTCGATATCGCCTCTCAGAAGCCGTAGATTTGGATGATTGTAACGAGGCGAGTTTAGGTGAGGCCAAGGGTTCAGGTGGCGCTGGAGGAGCAGAAATTGGAGCAGAGGCTGGAGCTGGAGCGAATGCGGGTGCAGAATGATCGAGAAGTGGTAATGAGACTGTGGAACTCGGCATATTAGGCCGCACTTTTGGTGACTCGTGGGGGGTGGAGGGTTGGCTTTGGATGGTGGCTGGCCGGTTAATGGACACTATCGACTGGACACCTTTGCGATTGTATTTTGATGTGGGCGCGAACGGGCTTTTCGTTTTGCTAGACATCATTGACCCGGCTCCCAACGATGACCGAGCAGATATGGGTGGAGCTGGTGGTTGGAGATCCTCCTTAGCCACCTCCATCGTGGGCAAGGTATAGTATTGCTCCTCCAACAGGCTCGTAGTACCTGCCGTGCTCGGCGCCGTGCTGCCGTCGGCATCAGACGTTGACGTGTCATGACCGTCACTGTTGTCCCTCAGGTGTTCGGAATGTGGACTGACGGCGGGTCTTCTCGACGAGCTGCGAATGGGCAGAGGCGCGCCTTCCAGTTCTGATGGGATGGCTTCAGGCGCGTACGAGCTTTTGGAATGGCTGTGACTGAGTTGAGGTCGTTTATCTGGAGACTGCGGCCGAGAAGCCTGCTTGGAAGCGGGTGCCGTTGGGAAGGGGGAGAACGAGGCTTGGTTATATGGCGAAACCTCTTTTTCACTGAAGACCGAGTTCGGGCCCTTGATAGCATTTGAATCGAGTACGGGGATCCAGTTGGGATCATGGACATCGGGGTTTGGTATCGCAGCTTGGTCGAAGTAGATGGATCGCCTGCCAGTAGGCAGTTCTATGGGAGAATTCGCCGTCGCCATTGTATTGCTGCTGTCACGAATGCTCAAGCGGTGGAGAGAGTGTCGCGAGGCAGTGATCGCGAGGACAGAAAAGAAACGAGATCTCACAGAAGTCAAAGACGAACAGGAAGTGGCCCGTCATGGGTTAGTGCTCGTGGAGAGGCATGAACAAACCCAACTTTGGTTTTGGCAATTCAGGGCCCCACGACCCGTCGACATCGCGGCAAGCTTGAAGGCGACGAACGACGCCGTGGCTTGAGTCTAATGGCAGGACATCCCGGTGATCGACGAGGCTGCCAGGCAGTCTGGTATTTTGGTACAGGGGGGAAATCTTAACGGTCTTCCTGAAGCAGTTTAGCACGAGCAGTGTGCCTGACAAGATGTCCACCTTCGCCTGGCCGGTGTTGATCTTGACTTTGGGCCCAGTCCGCAAGCAGCACGGTAGGATTTGCGGCTAATCTCGGTCCTGCTGCTGGTAACCAAAACGGCAGAAGATGTGCAGAGCTCGCGATCCATGGCTGCTGCGGGCGTGGGTTTGCATAACCACCTGGGGAACCAGACAGCGAGGGCAAAACAGCGGAGCAGGCAGTGGAATGTGCCCAGACCCGCGGTAGGTAAACAATCAAAGCTCGGATGCGTCAAGGGATGAGCTTGCTCATGCCACATTGTTGTTAGTCAGGAGGAAGAGGGGGCGGAAAGATGAAACCGACCATCCGGTCCCATCGACATAACTTCTGTATGACAATGGTGATGAATATTAGAGGAGGAGGAACACACAGCTAGGAGCAACGGGATTTCCGCCCCCAGCCCTATTTCCCATGCTGCGGGAAGCCGCGAATGGCCAATTTCCTGCTGCAAGGCTGCCATGCCATGGTTTTTTGGCACCCGCGCTCCAAGCGGCGGGAAGGCCCCTTTTTCGTCCTTTGGAGCCCGCCGAGATATTGGGCCATTCCTGGCGCAGACTTTGTGACTATTGACGTGTCTGGCTCATAAGCTTCTGACACCCGTGCATGTGGCATCTCGTTATCCTAATCTACACAGAACAGGATCATCAGGCCCGGAGTATAATGCGGGCCACGAGCTGAGTGCTTCTAGAGCACGACGAGACACGTGTCTGCGCAGAGACACTCTTTACGAGGTACTGCTTGCACAGCCGGCGTCTATACCCCTCCGCCCCGTAAGGGTCGTCTTAGCTGTTTGTTTAGCCAAAGTCGGGGTCCACGTTTACTAGAGAGGTATCAGGAATTGGACTGGCATTATTTATTGTTGCGGGCCTCCACGCCGCAGCTTCGCCATGCTTGGGGCGATGTTGCCGTGATGCCGGATGGGAAACCGAAGGCGACTGTCCCTGTTGTTGTAGGCGAACGCCATGCGTACGCCATGCGTTTCCGACCAAAGTCCAGAGCACTCCTGGATCCTCAGGCCTCCCATATCGAAATTGTCTACAGTACTGTAATGCCGTACGTCGTCCCCCATGTCTCGTAAATCGTTGGTAGTCTGGGATCATCGCATATAGCACCACTACACCCAAACCAGCAGAGTAACCTACATCACTTTTCCCCTAGATTTCTCATCCATCATTAGTGTAATACGCGTTCCTCGCGCGACCAAAGCGCATGTTTTTCTTCTTATACGTCTCGGCTCTAGCTGGACACTAGTGCACGCGCCAGACTTCGCAATCGACTCGGTCTCGACGCCAAACGAGGATCCCCGACCCTCCACCATCCCAGAGGATATAAATACCAGGATCCGCCCGGGGTCCTGGAGGGCAACCGAGATTCCCACCCAAGCTCGCGAAGCCTGGGCGACGTTCGACACTCAACTACCACTCCAGGTTAAGGGCAAGACGGCGAGGCAAACCGATGGATCTGATGGTAGGGTTTCAGGATAGAGATAGAATTTGCGATATTTGAGACGATCGATCGTTTCTTGTGTTATATGTATGTTGCGGCCATGTTCACCGACCGACTTTTGATTTGATATGAATAGTTCGAGAAAGAATGCGTTTGCGGGTCCTTCGTTTTCTTGACCCGCGTCCCCAACACCAGTCGCTGCTGACTTGCAAAGGAATAATAAGCCACGAATGCCAAAACGTCCAGAAAGAACTCCCTGTGCTGTTTCCATGTTGTCCATTCTATCCTCTTGCCCAAGTCGCCGGCAAAGTGGCCTGGTCCTTTCCCCAAATGTATCGTCCAACCAATAGAAGGGTATCGACAGGAGACTAGTTTGATCGTCAATCTATGTTCGTCGAGATGTCGTCAAGTACAAAGATGTTTTGGCCGTTGAAAAGCCGTCCCATATCCATCCCAACCAAAATTTCGTATGTCCGGTGGTATTGTTTTTTTTCGACTCCATGTACAGATGATATCACATCGAAAACATCAGTGGACCAGATGGCTAGCGACGGCTAGCGATGGCCAGCATGTACAGCCTGGTGCGGCACCATTTGCGAGCTGTGGCAGTGAGAGCCGTTGGCCATGACCATCCCGATTGGATGCCCACCCTCCTGAGTATTGCCATACAACAACTTCTCGATGGCGATGACTTGCTTGCCATAGCTCGTACGTTTGAGCTGCAAGAAGCATGCGCGCATCTCGCTCTCGAGCATGGCGCGTTGTTGGCCTTCGAGCATGCCGAAGACTTTCTCTGTTGGTTGTCAGCTGATGTGTGTGTACTTATCTTCTGGGAAAACTTACGGATGACATAATTGCCATATTGATCGCGGAGCAAGCCAAACACGGGCGTCTGGCCAGATGCATCGGGGTGAATCAGCCTCGTGAACAGCATGGATTGTTGGTCGTCGTCGGCGTGCTCGAGACACTTCTCCACGACATTGCTGGCGAACTTGTGCTTGGAGAAGACCAGCAGCTGCTGCAAGACGATCGACACCACACGACGTCGGTCATCTGGCTCGCCATTTTGGACCACATGCTGCACCACATAGTTTCCAAAAGCGTCTGTGATGAGTGGCGCAATGCAACCATGGAGCTCATCGAGGATGACCCGCTTGGAGGCCGGTGTGCAATGTTCCAAGATGCGCTGAATGACACGACAGCCATACGTGTGCTGAGCTAGCTTGACCACCTCTCCTTTGTGAGCCTCAATGATAAATTGGATGTGCTCCGCAGGAACTCTCTCGATTGCCTTTTGCACGACATGGTTGCCGTTCTGGTCGCGGATAACCTTGAGTACGTGCTTGTTGGGACCATCAAGTTCCTTGACCATGCTAGCTTGCTGATCGGTCAGGACGTGCTCGAAAGCCTTTTGAACCACCCGGCAGCCGTACATTTGCATCGACAAATACGCGACGCGCCCCTTCATGTAGTCTGCCAGGATCTTCTTCTGTGACTGATTGCCATGCTCAAATATCTTCTGGATCACGTAGTTGCCAAAGACATCCGTCATCAGCTGCATCGCTTCTGCCTGGATCTCCTTGAAAACCTGATCTTTTTCATCACTGTTGGCAGTTTCGAGCTTTTGCTGGATGAATCTAGATCCGTGCTGGTCCCCACTGAATTCGACGATGTGCCCGAAAATGTCGCGTAGATCGTAGCGTTTGTTCGATTTGTTCATGCGAAACTCCTCGAGGAGAGGACTGCGCTGGACAACGCTGCGCTGATCCTCGCGCGGAAAAGGGTGTCTTGGCCCCGAGATGTAGCCAGGCACATAGTACGGCGTCGCAAGAGGATTCATCTGCATGCCATGGCTGCGGACAGCCATATCCAGAGGGATGGCCCCATTAGGGATGATCACGTTGCCGGACATATACGCAGGCTGGTAGTACGTGTCTTGATTGCTCGGCTTGCGGTTCGTGACAGTCATTTCGTGCTGAGAATTCCGGCTGGCCAGCGCACTTCGAATGGAGTCGCTTCCAGAGGAAGGCGTCATTGAGGACGAATAGTAGGGACTGTTGGGAACATTTCGATACTCGGAGATGTATTCTGGGCGCAGCTTGCCGTCATTAGGGATCCAATACGGCCAAGTAGAGGCGTTATGAGAGTCCACGAATTCCTGCTCGTAGTAAGAGCCCGCTCTATAGTAGGCGCCATTGTCGTATCCAGTGTTGTGCTGGCTAAAATCATCGTCAGGATGTACGCTGGAGCGTACTCCATCATACATATGGCCGAACTTGTCATACACAGGTGAGGCCTTAGTGAAACCAAGACCACGCAGAGCTTCAACGGTATCATCAACATTTCCAGCGGTGCGGTCCAGATAGCCGTTCATTTGGCGAGCAAATCGTGAAGTAGTTGGCGAGACGGTACTGGAGCTCGAGCGAGCCGATCCCGTCCCCATACCGCGATTGGCAGACGGGGAAGTATCCATGGACTGACCAACATCGCTCCGCGGGCGGAAGTCGTGAACGCTGGCGAGGCCGTTATTGCCTCGCAAGTTCGTCTGGGTACCTTGCACGGCACCGTTGGCCAGCATGCGGTTCGGTGCAGGCAGCTGAGAAGGACCTGTAGGGCGCAGAGACGGTGCGAAGCGAGTATCGTAGGAAGCCGCCTCGTCACTAAATCGTAACGAACGACCTGGCACGAGCTTTTCGTGATGATTGGAGCCATCAAGGGATTCAAATTCGGGGGCACTGTCTGCGAGGAGTCTGGACGAGTTCTCAATATCGTAGGTCTTGCTGTCGAAGAGCCAACCACTTTGCTTGCGTTTGGTAGGGGAGATGAATGGATTATCGGTACGGTTCTGCACTGCATGGCCATTTGAGGTGTTCCAAGCAGTCGAATCGGCAGAAGAATTTCTCGGGTTGTCAATCGTGGACAGTGCAGAGCCATTCACAGCCTTGCTGAACTTGCTTGATGAGGCAGAGTTATGCCTAACGGAGGTTGCTGGGGAGTGTGAGTTTCGTTTTCCAAAAGGGAGGATGACCTTCATACGGCGACTAGTATCAGTGTCTGCTGCATCGTCTTGCCAGATGCTACGATGAGTATCCCAAACACTCTTCCCGCTCTCGAATTTGTCGAACTTGGGGACCGAGAGGGTGCGGTCGAAGGTGGAAGCCATGGTCATAGTAGCCTGAAGACATGTTAGCCGACTTTTCCTCAAGTCTGGATCCGCCGACAGACGGTCTCAAGCATGGTACATTAGCGTAGACTGGATGCTTTTCCAACAAGCTGTTGTCAAGCTGAATTGTTCTGATCAAGATGTCTAAAATACCAATTGCGACTCTAGAGAGTCAGATAATCGTCGCGGTAGAAGAGATGGGACTCACTGGAGGATAGTGAATATATGAGCAGCAGATATACAAGGACGCAGATGTCGTAACAATGTACCCAAGCTAACTGAAAACAGCGAGATTGGAAGAGGCAGAGATTAAAGAGGGAGGAGTGTTCAGGCGGGACGCAAGGTCGGGCGGTGGTAATGTGCCCCTTGGGTCAGCAATGGGAGGTCGTGTAGAGCGTGCGCAGGCAGCCGAAGGGCATCTGGAGGGAGGAAGGCGACAGAGGGGCGGTTCCGTCTGCGCTTGATTGGGGACGGAGGAGAGGCTCATTTGACAGCAAACGAGGAGATGGCTGTGGGAGGGGCGCAGAGCAAGGGATAAGACTTGTGGAATGCAAGTATTCGCCGGTTCTGTACAAGGCCAGGCTGGCCGACAATCGAGGGCAAAGCTGGGGACACGTCTCGAAGGGATGTTGAGAGGCGGTGGAGATGACAAGGACGACACCGCGACCAGTGCGTGTGTGGCTGGCGGCGGGGGACTGCAGGACTATGCAGGACGAGCAGATGTCAAAATTGAGGGTCACACAGACCAGCGGAGAGGGGATCAGGGAAGGAAGAAAACCTGATGAGTCGTTTGAACGGGTTTGTGCAACGGTGGGACGATGGCGACTGTGTGCTGTGCTGCCTGTTGGGTCTGTACCAACAAGGCGAACATTATTGCAGGCAGCGCCGCTGGGCAGGCAAGTCTGACTGACGCCATGTGAAGATGACCGGTTTCGTCCCCACACGATCATCGTCGCCTGAGGTAAATGGCTTTAAGGCGCCGGTATCCCTGAACTCTGTTGGCTAAGCGGGCGCCTTGGCTGTTCGCTCCCTTGACGCTTTGCCAGTTTTGGGGCTCCACAGAGGCGGCGGCCCAGTCTGGCCTGCCAGTAGGCGTTGACCTGCGCCCGTTCCGAGCTCAAGCCCCCCCTGGGCCAAGTGAGTGGTCTTACTGGCAATCCCCTGTCTGAGCCTTTCTGACGGTTAGATGGCACCCCTTCAGAGTATCGTGCAAGGGCGAGGCGGTGTGTATTTCGGATCGGCTTCTGGACCACAACGCAGTTTGTCGGATGTAATGTAAACCTATAAGAGGCAGCTACGTCCTCTGGATAAATGCGTGCGCGTGCACAGGCCTATGAGGAAAGATGCTGGTATGTAAGCCTCACCGACCACGTACACTTGCTGATGCATCGTATTCAAACGCTCGAATAGCTGCGGTAGGGAGCCCGTAATGTTGCAGATTCTTCATAAGTGCATTGACCCAAGACAACTTCGTGTGATCGGGATTGCTCAAGGCAGACCCAGGCTTGAGACCGCAATGGTCAAGGCTGTTTGTGCTTTTGGCACCCCCAGACCATTTGGGTCGAGAGCAGATTCTCACAGGATCATACTTTACAGTCGCCCAAAAGCCAAACAAACTTCTTGTCAGAGTCAGTCCGGCGGCTGTGACGTTCTCGTCGACCTTTTTATCATCGTTGCCTCCCCTCGACGGTCTCGACGCCTTGGCCAGTCAAGTACCTAATTTGAGACTAACGCCCGGAAAACACCTCCGGTATCCGCTTTGATGAATGATGGCCCTCTGACTGGCTACTGACCAAGCCAACATCCGACTACCGAAATTACTATTGACGCCTTGCAAAGATTGCTCGCACCAAAAAGCTCTTGCGCGGGCGACTATACAGTAGTGTGTTCTTGGAAGGCCTCAGTGAGACCGGCTCTGATTGCCCGACTGCGCCTCGCCTAAGGCGTCGTCACTGGAGCTCCCCTAGTGACCAAAACTCGCGAGCGAGCGCGTGCAGTGTTCTCTTCCTCTCCTCTGCCACTCCCTCCACCCAGTCAATCACCTCTTCACCTTCCTGCGGTGTGTGCCAGGCCTGCGCCTACGTCTCTGTACCTCTTTTCCTCTGGCAGATCTCAGCTTCACTCTTTTGCTGAAATCTCGCCGTCCACTCGTTCAGAGGTATCTCCCGACGCCGCAAAGTAATAATCACGATATTATCCTCGTCCTTCACGATAATACAAGACATTCTCCACCATCTGAAGCCACAATCAAAGATAGCCATTATCAGACACAGTCCAGGTGTCTCAGCACCAGTACCGGTTTTCCGAAACCCTTCTACCAGCCCGATTCGCAACCGCTTCACCTCTCGCCCTCGACAAACCGCTCACGCTGCAGATAGTACATCATGGATTCATTGAAGCAACTCCTGCGCCGTGATGCCAGCGACTCTGATTACGATGCCTACTACGGTCCCAGCATGGGGCCTCTTGTGATGGTCTTCTTTGGCTTGATTCTTGCTGGTTCCGTCCTATCCCTGGTCTTGGTCTGCCTGCGCCGTAAGCGGATAGCCCAACGTCAGGCATTGCTACCACAATATCGCGCCCATTCTCACCACCGCTCGGCTTCAGTCACCAACTTGCCTAACTTGGGCCGGAACGAGAGTGTCTATGTCTACGATGAGAAGATGAATCTGATTGCCAACTCAGCCAACCCGTCCTCCACCGCCGTTCCCCAGATCCGTGTCACCTTCCCGGATGACAATGAGAGCAGCAGCCAGCCTCGTCCTGGCCGTGTAGTTGTCGTTCACGTTACCGACAGCGGCAGTGTTGGCATGTCCCCACTCTCGCAGGAACCTGCACCGCCTTACCAGCGTGCCGATGCTGAGCGTTTCCAATCTCTTGACCTCGACCGTATGGGTGGGCTCCGAGAGAAGGAGGGCAACCAGCAGCGCTACTCTTGAGCGACCTGATCCAAGTTCCGTGTTCTCTGGGGGAGAGCATTTCACTTCTTGCGGATGCAACGCGCAAACGAGCATTTAGAACTGATGAGGCGAGGCGATTGGCGCATAGGGAAGTATATTATATATAGATAAGTCACTGGCGACGGCTTCGTCGGTGGCGATGTGTGCACATGCGAGCTGTTCACGGCTGGATGGATCCTTTGTAAATAATCCATTCTACTGCCAACAATTGAGTTCGCACTGTTTACCCCGAATCCTGTAAATCGTAGTTGCAGGCAGCAATAACCAGGATTGCTGAAACATGGGTCAAGGCCAATAGGCGGCATGTAAACAAGTCATTAAGCTGGTGGGTCGACGGATTCTTGACAGGGTTGACAAAGGAAGCCGAGAGGGACGCAACTCCAGCTGCAATCTCCTCTTTTCTATGACCGCAGCACAATTGCACGCTTCTACCAACAATATCATTATTCTTCTAATATCAATCGTTCACTTCGACACTCTAAGAGAACCTCTCTTGGGTTTCTGACGCGTTTGTGGTGGGGAGCGTTGCTTGTTTACTGCTTTTCACCCCCCGTTGCTCGGTTAGAGGCCAAGCGCGTCAATATTATTGACCACCTCCTCCACCCAACATCGCACCGCCGTTCAAGCCTCTGTGGTCACTTTGACTGTTGATCTTGCCCGTCGCAGCCCTTGTCTGCCGTCACTCAGGAGGAAACGCTATACCAACTTTATGCGAATGGCCAACCCTTAGCCACGCCAGGCTCTTGTCAGTTGAGATCTGGACCCGACGCGTTCGTCCCACCTGCGAGGCGTCTCAATAGACATGGCAGCGGACATCGCTGCGTTTAACGGTATGCGTGGGGAGAATGGTACATCTATCGACTACGAGGACCCTTTCGTCGACGAAGGTAGTCCCTCTGCTCAAGCGCAGCCACGTCGACTCTTTCCGTCGATAGGAAGAGATCCCTTCCATGCTACATCCACCTCCGATGCGAAACATCTCATTGAAGAACAGCTGCAAGAGAACGAGCGCAGGCTAGAGGAGGCGCAGAAGCTGGGCACATCATTGTTGCAGCAACAAGACGATTTACAGCAGAAACTCAAGGAATTGGGCCAACGTGAGGACGAGTCCGAAATTACGCCTGAATTGCGACAGCAACTTGCACAACTCGAAAGAGAGCATGATGATGTCGGGAGAGAAATCGCTAAGGCTCTTTTGCCAAAGTCTCGCGCCGTGAGCGCCGAGGAGAAACCACAGCCTGAATCTACTGTCTACTCCAGCCAGGCCACTGCTTCTCCTACCAAAGTCACCGCTCCCAGCCGACGACAACGTAATCAGCCATCAGGGCGAGCCGGAGATCTCCAGTTTGCGGCCGATATTAGCACTTCGTTACTTGCTCAAGTCAGACAATTGCAGGCTGCTGTGGCTGAACGCGATGATCTTATCAAACAGACCCAAGCGGACCATAGCAGGATAGAACTGGATACTGTCGGTCTGACACAGCGTTTGCGCACCCTGGATGAAAACGAGCAACGTTACAAGGATGAGAATTGGAATCTGGAGACTCAAAACCACCAACTGCAGGCCACTGCACGCGAAGCCGCCGAGCGAGAGAAGAAACTTAGTGCTTCTTTAGCAGCTGCACTTGTGGAGAAGAGTCGAGTCCAGAACGAAGTCGACGAAATACGACTAGCTCATGACAAGCTCTCTGAAGAGCACACAGCGGCGAAGAAAGCTCATGATACTGAAGTGCACGGACTGAAAAGGGCGGTTGATCTCGGTGATGGCGAAAAGGCTGCCCTTCAATCCAAGGTCGACGAGCTCACCTCCCAGAATCAAGAGCTGGCGCAAGCTATTACGGCCAAATTTCGATCCCATCAAGCTCAACTTGGTCAGGTCTCTGGGGTTGGTGAGGATATCGAAGATCGTGATCTTGACATGCCAGACGAGTCACCACCGCCATCTCCAACCAAAGCCACACCTCGACACCCGGGTCTGGAGTCTGAGACTCTGCGTAGCTCTCTGCATCACGCTCACCGTATGATCCAAAACCTCAAGAACAACATACATCGGGAAAAGACTGAGAAGATTGAGCTCAAGCGTATGCTACAAGACGCTCGAGATGAGCTCGAGCAAAAACGTGATACAGCAGGCAGCGGAACGAAACGACAGAAGACCAAGGATGGCTTTCGCAAAGGCCCCAGGCCTGAAATGCTGGGTGCAAATCGGCGTCCACGTACAGATGTTGAGCTCGAAGATGAGGACTGGGAGGAACGTGGCGCTGAGACGCCGACTCATGGCCGTCGCCATCTTTCGATTCCAGGTGCTTTCGCCCAAACTACAGCTACCGATACTAGTGATGCCTACGATACTGCTACTGATGCCGACCGTAATTTCGAGACTGCAGACGAGAAGCATACTACTGAGAGCGAGGAGTTCGCCACAGGCGCTGAAAGTCTTGCTGGAGATAGCACGGATGATTTGACTGAAACCGAGGATAATACGACGCGCACAGACCGGACTGCTACCATCAAAGGCAAGCCTTCCTTGGTTCTGAAGCCAGCCGGTGATCGAACGTCTTTCATGAGCACTGCCTCGACCTCTGCCGGCGAAGAAGAAGACGAGTTGACCACTCCAGTGCCAACTCAGTCGAAATTCCGGCTGAAGAACGCTCGCGGGTCTATGCGAAACTCAAGGCAATTCGACGAAGGTACCCCCACAAGCCAGCGTGCGTTGTCTGTCGTTCAGGGTTCTTCGCCCGCCACTATCACGAACGATAGAAGCCCAGCAGCCCCGGAGCAGAGCCTGTTTGATCAGCTTGGCGACATGGACGAGCTCGGCAGCAACGGCTTTGGCACACCAGGCCGACAGAGCATCAATTCTGCCAAATCGACACCATACACAATCAATACCCCTGGCAAACGTCTGACGAGTTTCGAGGCGCCACCACCGCTTCCTACCGTGGTAATGGTTGATACTGCAATGATGACCGAGCCATGGGAGCCAGGACCGCGTGTCGACTCCACGACCTCTACCAAGCCTTCGGTCATGGAAGGCCCCTTCGCCTCGAACTTCCCGCTGCCACCTAGTGTACCTGTCTCGCCGGTGCGAAAGGCTGACATGAGCACACAGTATACCCCTCAGAGGATGATGGATGAAAGTCCTTCAAGGAATGCTAATAACTTCATCACTCCACCAAAGACTGTATGGGATCAAGCAAGCGAAGCTGGGCTCGTTAGTCCAGAAGCTGACAGTCGCGAGCCTGCAACGCCCAAGCCACATCTGGGCTATTCTGGCATGCTAATACAGGACACTGCGCCACAGTCACCTCCCGCGCCTGCGCCAGTGCCTGAGCCAATGGCTACTTTTGCCCACAATTACTCTGCCATTGCATCCATGGATACTACACCGGAGTCACCTCAGGCGCCCAAGTCACCTGCTGCATTGGTTGGGAGCCTCGATGAGCAGCAAGCACCCGCTGAGACGGCTCGTCCCAAGACTGCTGAGAAGGTTGCAGCTGCTGGTGGTGCAGGTTTACTAGCCACCGCTGCCGCTGCCATCGGCCTCTTGAAATCGAAGAACCAGGCTCCTGCTATCGCAGAGGACGAGACCTCGGAGCAGGCCCGCGTGGTCGATGACAAGTCAGACCACCAGAGAGCGCTGCATGCCATTTCAGAGAACGCTGCAGCTGGTAGAACACCGGATGCGAGACAAACCTCTTCAGCAGAGAGACCTGCTTTCATCAAACACCCCAGCCATGACCAAGGCTCTCAAACGCTTCTCACAGCAGACCAGATTGACCAGGTCATGCGACCGAAGTCGGCAGGGCCGAAAGCGGTCCCAGTTTTGTCCCCAACGTCGCCCCAGAGCGAGGATTCGGTTGGTCTGCCACCGATCATCGCGGTACCCTCGCCAGTCAAGCGTCCAGGTAGTGCCAACAGCAACCGAACGTCAAGCCTAATTCGACAAGATCACCCACCACTGCCACCCGACCACAAGACGGCCATTGCCAAGGCGCGAGTCTCATCGCCTGTGCGGTCGCCCACTCAAGAATTTAGCAACGCTGGCCAGCCAGGAACGGTTATGGGCCCACCGATGATGCCAGCGTCAGCAATGAGGAGACCGCGTACACCAGCGGATGGATCTATGCGGTCGCCGACCCGTGACAGCAACGCATCAAGAGCAACTGTCCAGAAGGGACATCAACGAGGGGTCACGTCGGTCTCTCAGATCTCTCGGCGATCCTCTGTGTCATCATTCGCGTCAGAACTGGATGAACGTTTCAACATCCGGCCTGGACAGGTGTCAGCGTCCCACGGCTTTGAGGCTTCTCCAGGAACCGACCCCCGTATGATTCAAGCGATCACTCAGACCATGATTGGCGAATTTCTGTGGAAGTACACCCGAAAGACGGGGCGTTCTGAGATGTCTGGGAATCGTCACCGCCGGTATTTCTGGGTCCACCCGTACACCAAGACATTGTATTGGTCTGACCAAGATCCACAAACCGCAGGCCGGAATGAGCTGAAGGCCAAGAGCGTGGCGATCGAAGCCGTTCGCGTCGTGACGGACGACAATCCCATGCCTCCGGGGCTTCATCGTAAGAGCTTGGAAGTCATTACGCCGGGGCGAAAAGTACGGTTTACTGCTAGTACGGGCCAGCGTCACGAGACTTGGTTCAACGCACTCAGCTATCTGCTGCTTCGTGGTGAGCAAGACCCAACCAAGCAAGTGGCCACAGGCTACACTACTGGCGATACCGAAGTGACTCGAGATGATGTCAACGAGTTCAATGTGTCTGCCAATGGGTACGGCGCGCGCTTGGTGCCGAACAGCAGCCGAGTTAGTATGTCGAGCTACAATTCGCGGACTACACGTGGCACCAGTCTCAACCGGGGCTCTGTACGCCACAGCGCTGTTCCGGGAGTGGCGACTTCTTCTGTGCGCCCAACTGCTCAGCCGGCCCAAGCTGGATTATCAACTGCTGATGCAAGCCGCCTGAGTCGTGCTGAGCAGTCGCGAGAGGCGGACAAGGACCAGACTCTGCGCTCAGGAAGCATGAATCGATTTTCTCGCATGATGGGTAGCGTCACAGGCCGAACATCACGCTCTGCTAACCATGCTGGCGACGTGAAGAGCGGATCGACTAGCATCTATGACGCCAGCGTGGTCAGTGACAATCGCCAGGACAGCGCCGAACAATTGCGACAAGAAATGCTGAGAGAAGAGGAAGGCCTCGAGAATGTGAGGTCGTGCTGTGACGGTAAGTCTGAAAAGCCATTATTGCTAATAACCTCAGCTGACCAGACGATAGGCAAGCATGACGTCTCAACACTATCTCACGCCCACCGGCATGCGGCTACGCCGAGCCACTCACACCGTAATTGGAGCGTGAGAGGCAGCATAGCAAGGCGAAGCACCACAAATACAGGTGCTTAGGAAGCACCTGAGCCTGTGGTTCGCTTCGCCCCTCCTCCTGGCACTGATATTTGTGGTAATCGCGGTTCACGTCAGCACAAGAGCTCACCTCATGTGCTCAAGAGACGCGAACGTGGATTGGCGAACTCTCAGAGTGAACCTTTGCTGGGCACGAAGATGAAAGTCAAGGGCTATGGAAAGCTCCAGATGAACGTGAAGCGTCGACGGGTGGGACGATTCATAGAAGGGAGTATGGATTGATCTGCGACGAGAAGTGATAAGGGCTGGGGCTAATGTCTAAACCATGCATGAAGCGAGCGAGCGAGGGGAGGGAGCGAGTGTTATGTTGACGAAGCGACGAATAGCTGTCCGGGCCAACTTGCCATTGCACTGGCTTTTTTCCTATGGTTGAAGGTGCTGCAGTCTCGACGACTATCATCTTTCCTTGGCTCACTGACTGCGTATGCATACATAGAGATGTGAATGATGAGACTAAATTGGTGGGAAGTGCCGTTCTGACTTTGCGTGATGCAATGACTGATGACCTCCAGCAAGCTCGAGCCGAATATAAGTGTGTAGAGGAATTGACCACCCCGTACAATGTCTTCAGCTCAGTAGTTCACGCCACCAGCGCTCCTCCTTTTCCCCAGGCATATCAGATAGTCTTCATCTCTCCACAATCCAGGCTGCAGGTACACCATGCCATATGTACTTCTACGCATCATCCTGGCTGCCCTCTTCCCTCAAGCAACACGCACCACCCCCGTCCTCTACGATTGGCCCACCTCCTCCCATCTTGGCAAACCACATACCACCTCAGGAATAGTCGCTGATTCGCTCGGCCACTAGACCACCCGAGATTTGTCCATGGTACCTGGCACCGCCTGCAGGCTTTCTGCCGCCGCCGATCAGGGCGATCAGGCCTGGGATTTGCTTCTGGAACCTGGCTTCGGGCGCTGAGCCTCGATTCGAAACATGGTCCGCGAAAGGAGGGTCGCCAATCTGGTGGCCGCCGGACGTATATAAGGTATTGCGGGTGGCGCCGCGTGTCAAACGTGTTATTGTTTCGCGTGTGTTCGTTGTATAGTGAGGCTGCGCGATCTTGAGACTGTGGGTGAAGAGATTCTCGCGTTTAGATACATGCTGGCGACGCTCGCACTCACATTCTAGCGGACTGACCAACACACCTAAAATCGGTTCACTACGAAGGAACCACCGCTACATATTACGAAACCCCAGGGGAAACCGCTGCAGCACAACCCTCAAAAACCCAAACATGAAACCCTCGCAACCCTTTCCCCTCCTCGCCGCCGCCGCCGCTGCCGCAGCCACCAGCGCACACGCCATCAACATCCTCCAAAGCAACGACGACGGCTGGGCCGAAACCAACATCCGCACCCTCCACGCCACCCTAACCAACCAATCCCACAACGTCATCCTCTCCGCCCCCGCCGACAACAAATCCGGCTCCTCCAGCCTCGACTCCCCCCCACTCCCGCGTCTCACCCCCTGCCAATTCTCCAGCTGCCCGGCCCCCGGCCCCGCGGTCGCCACCGACCCCGAGAATCCGCGCGCCCAGTACGTCAATTCCTTCCCCGTCACGGCCCTCAAAGCGGGCATCAACGATCTAGCCCCCTTATTCTTCGGTGGAGGTGGAGGTGAAGGAGGGCAAAAAGTGCAGTTGGCGGTCACGGGCCCCAACGTCGGCAGCAACCTCGACATCCAGGTTCCCTTTAGCGGCACGGTGGGCGCGGCCGTCGAGGCCGTGAAGCAGGGCATCCCCGCATTGGCGTTCAGTGGACGGTCTGGCGAGCCGACGGCGTTTGGTGAGCAGACGCCCTTGTATGCGCGGCTGTATGCGGATCTGGCGGCTGAGGTGGTGGCGGCTGTCACGGCGGCGGCACCAGAGGGGGCGTTTTTGCCCGAGGGGGTGTGGCTGAATGTGAATTTCCCGGAGGTCGTGGAGGGGGAGGGGGAGAGGTGTACGCAGGCCGGGGAGTTTCGGTTTGTGTTGAGTCGTATTAATCCGGGGATCTTGAGCGGCGAGGATGTGGAGACGTGTGGGAATGGGGGAAGGCTGCCGACGGAGAGAAGTGTCGTGGATACTGAAGGTGGGTGCTTTGTTAGTGTCAGTGTGGGGGACGCGGCGGATAAGACGACGGCGGATAAGGAGGCGCAGGAGGCGGTGCTAGCGCGCTTAGGGGGTTTCTTGAGCTGTTTGCCTTGAGTGGGTAGAGGAGAGGGCAGATAGGGGGTTGCAAATCAGTGGCACAACCATGGATGGTGTTGTTACACGTTGCACGGCGACTGGGGCTTGCTTCATGGGATAGACGCTTTGGACCGCTCAACACACACGCTGCCTAAGAGACGCCGTGCACCTCAACCGCATATCCAACCAATGGATCGCTTTCCCATACCATTTAGTCATCGCCCAGCTCACTTCCGTGCCGCCACCTGCGGTGTCGTCAGGCTGGATGTGACCCCCGGCTGGATCTCTTCAAGAGTCTCCACCAGCTCTTCGAAGACGTGCTTCTGGTTGAGCTGGCCTTCGGCATTGTTCACGAAATGAGCGGGTCTGTAACAGAACACGAAACGTCAGCAAAGCCACAGCGTATTTTTGCAAAAGGGGCACACTCACGATTGCACATGGCAATTGGTCAGGTACTGCCCATGACTCGTCTCACCCGCCGTCATGCCGTGCCACAGCGCACGACTCCCCACCTCTGTCGTCCTCGCCAGATACGGCACTAGAAATCTTGTGACGGGACCAACGTCGTAATCGCGCATCAGCTCCGACTGGCAGAAACTCGGGTTCGGCGTGTTGAGAACCGGCATCGAGACCCCTCTTGAAGCCGCTTCCCTCACAATCCACAACACCAGCAACTTGCTCAGCGGATAGCGCGCCGGCATGTCGGCCTGCTTGGGATCGCTGAGGCGCGCGAACGTGCCCTTGCGCGGCGTCAGCTCCTTCACCGACGCCGTGTAGTGCAGCGCGCTGTTGGGGATGGAGAAGTGCGGGCGCACGCCCGTGGATTGCTCCGAGGCGCGCATTGCGGGTAGGAGCAGGAAGAAGAGCAGGAACGTGCTGACGACGTTGACGTTGAGCGTCTGTTCGAGACCTGACTCGGCGCCCGCGCTGGCGGTGAATTTCAGGGGCGCCAGGCCCGCGTTGGCGCACACGCCGTCGAGGCGCGGGAGGGAGGCCGCCCGCGCCGCAAACACTTTGACAGAATCGTAGTTGTCCATGTCGAGGAGCCAGACTTCGGCGGCCCCGGCGGAGCGGCCTGTCGAGCTGAGGAGGGTTTGGCGCGCCGTCTCGCCTTTGGTCTCGTTGCGGACTGCCATGATGAGCTTGCCGACGCCGAGGCGGAGGTAGTGCCGCGAGAGCTCGTAGCCGAGACCGACATTGCTGCCGGTTACGATGATGGTTTGGTCGGCGAGGGACTTGTAGTCATGGGGCTCTGGGAGGCGGTAGAAGAGATTGGAGAGGAGGACGTGGACGGCGGCGTGGAGGGCAGATAGTGTCGACATTGTGTGCCAGCCGATGGTGATGGTGATTGAATTGGGATGTAAAGGCGGGAGTTGTTTTGAATATGTCTTCTTCTTCAAGACTTGTCCCGGGATGGGAATGCGAATGCCATATTTGTTATATGTTTGTCGTCGGGGCGGACTTCTTTGCGGGCCGTGCTATAGTCGAGATAGGCTCTCTGCTAAGGTATTTTTGATAGCGCAGAGGCACCACTGGCCTACTACAAAGTCATCCCAAAGGAGCAGTTTTCGGGCATAATAGATCCATCGCGATTCAACGAGGATGCGTATGATAGACGTGTATTAGTAATCGCTCGGATCCCGACGCATGACTTGGGTCTTCTAGCATCACTGTTGGAAAGAAGGACGTTCTCAAAGGGTCAGTCGGACATGTCATCTTGGCGGAACGAGGGCGGAGCGGGGATATAAAACCCGCCCGCGCCATTTACTATCCTACCTCATATCTACCACGCCTTTCTGAGCCGCTGTACTATGTTTGGCGTCTTCCTGCCCTTCTGGCTCGACGTTTCTGGCATAGGTATGCGTACCTGGTGTCCACGTATCGCGACATATCCCGCTTTTGTCTCTTCTGTGGGAAACCTTATCTCATCGTCCTGGACTAGACCTCTCGACCACTCCTGACCGAGTGACAAGGCTCTTCCAGACTTTGACCAGGCATGGAGACGGAGTCTGTGAGGACAGAGAAGAGGAACAGATTACCTGTTTCTTGCGAGCCGTGTCGTGGCCGCAAATTAAAGTGCAATCGGGCTTCCCCTTGCGACACCTGCATTCGGCGCAACAAGCAGGCTCAATGTCATTACGCGGGCAACGCTAAACGCAATAGATCCAATGTGCCTTCCAAGCAAGCACAACTCCAGGAGAAGTTGAAGAACCTAGAGAACCTGGTCTCCGGACTTGTATCTGGCCAGGTACCCAACCCAGGCGCGAGATCAGGCTCCGGCCAAGGTGATGACAGTGAATCAAACGTCCACGGTCCCTCCGGAACGGGAGCAGAGCGCATCACGTCCTCTAAGGAGCACCTGAAAGCTCAGCCAATCGACAAAGAGAGTCCCCGCGCAGTCCTAGGGCTGGGCGGTCAGATCAACTACGTCGATGGCAGCCACTGGAAGTCCATCTTGGAGGAACTCAAGGAGGTGCGAGAACAGCTGACATCTGAAGATCAACCTCTACCCAGAGACACGTCGGCCAGTCTTGGGACTGTGTCAGATCCAGACAGTGTCCTGGTGTTTCCCGGTTCTACAAGTGCGGACCTAGATGATATCCTCAATGCTCTGCCCACTCAGGCCATTTGTGACGTCTTGGTCTCACACTACTTCAATGCCAGGTATGCTGTTCTCGGTAAGTCACGGTCAGGTCCCGTCGAGGCAGCGATTCTGACGCGAAATAGGTCTAATTCATCCGGACAAGTTCCGACTTGAGGTAAGTCCTGCTCAGGGCTGAAGCTACCCGATGTTGACACTGACTGTGGCTAGTATCAACGGTTCTGGAGGGCTCCTGCCCAAGTTGACTTGATATGGCTGGGGTTGCTGTTCGCTATCTTGAGCATGGCTACTGGACTGCGCCAGATAGCCAAAGGCCCCGACGACACACTCCCAAATATAGATGTGATGCAGCTCAGGACCACACAGTGCCTCGTTCTTGGCGACCATGTCGCAGCCAATGAGCATGTTCTTGAAGCCCTAATATTGCACATGCAGAGCTGCTTCCTGACCGGCAGGACATCAGTTAACCAGCTGTGGGTGAAGATGGGCCATGTCATCCAGCTTGCATTCCGCATGGGTTACCACCGTGACCCGAGCAAGCTGCCGAACATCTCCACTCTTGATGGAGAGATGCGTCGTCGCGTGTGGATGAATATTGTGCAGTCCGAGGCATTGGGGTCGTTCCAGGTTGGCTTCCCGAGCATGATCCCTACCGAATACTGCGACACACGAGCCCCTGGTAATTACGAGTTCTCGGACCTGCCTGTCGGGATTGAAGTCCTCCCCCCTCCCCGACCAATGACGAACGACACGCCGGTCCTGTACACCATCGCCAAGCACGGCGTCATGTTAGTCTTCAAGAAGATCACAGCGCACACGCAGACCCTTGCACCCACGACCTACGATCGCACCATCAGCTTAGACCTGGAGATGCGAGAAGCATACAGCACAGTCCCCACCATCCTGCAACGGCGCGACATCCGCGAATCGTTCATGGACCCAGCCTCCCTCATCTGGCAGCGCTGCACCATCGAGATGCTCTACCTCAAAGGCCTCGTCGTCGTGCACCGGCCCTACCTCCGCCAGGAACACCCCAATCCACGCTTCGAACCCTCTCGCCGCCACTGCATCGAAGCCGCCCTCGAGATCCTCGCCCGTCAAGCCGACATCAGCGGCGCCTCCCAACCAGGCGGCCGCCTACACGAAGAGCGCTGGATGCTGGGCGCCCTGACCGTCTACGACTTCCTCCTCGCCGCCATGGTGCTGTGCCTCGACCTGTCAGTGCGCACCAAGCAGAAACCAGGCGCCTACGACGACCTGGCCAAGAAGGAGCTCGACGCCCTCAAGGTCTCGCAGCGCATCTGGGCCGCCAGCCGCCTCTTCTCCGCCGAAGCCAACATCGCCGCTCGCACCCTCGAACTCATGATCAAGTCGGCCGAGAGGCCCCCACCGAGCAGCCCTGCCACCGAAGCACCGCCGCCTCCGTATCAGTCGCACGCTGCAGCACCGCAACCGGCGGCGCCGACCCAGCTGACTATACCCAATCCTGGCAACGCGGGTGCTTTCACAGGTTATCCGTACCAGCCCCCGATGTTCGACATGATCGATGGCTCGTCCGCGCTGGACTGGTCGCTGCTGGACTCGTACTTACAGCAGCCTGGGGGCGCGGCAGCGGAGATGGGTGAGGCGTGGGACGCCAGTACTGGGTCGTTCTTGGATGATTTGAATATAGGCTGACAAAGAAAGTCGCGCTCGGTCCCTTGTTGATGGTGGGCTGCACACCGGCGCTGGGGATGTTGCTGGTGTAGAGTGTTGTGCAACAAGTCATCTGCTACGTCAACGATCAATGTTGGGCGCAATCTGCCTAGGAGATGTAGCATGAAAGCCCGCGTGGGTGGAAGAGGTGGGATATATTCCGTTGTTCGTACGGGAGCCAGGCTAGGGCCAGCCTTCATATGATGCTAGCAGAAAGCACGGATCAAGCCAAAACGCTCCCCGAGCACGCGCCGGCTCCAGAGATCACTCTTTCACCTTCCCGTCATCATGCTTCTCCCATTTCTTCTCCTCCTCCCACTCCTACACCCACCGCAAACATCCCCCCCTCACTCCACCCCCCTGGCGCGCATGAAATCCACAAAATCGAAAAAACTCTTCTTATACCCCCTCTCTTGCGTGGTGCGATTCACGGTCTGAATCCCAAAATGCGCGTCATAGTCGCCAAACTCCCAGTTGTCGGCGAAACTCCACGCGAACGCGCCCTGGACGTCGACGCCGTCCTCCCAGATGGACTTGAGGACCTCGCTCATGAAGCTGAGGTAGTAGAGGGAGCGCGGCGTGTCGAAGAGCTGGTCTGGCAGGTCCTTGGTGGCTTCCGCAAAGACGGGGAAGCCGAATTCGGTGATGACGATGGGGGTCAAAAAGGTGTTGTAGAGGTAGTTGAGGTAGAGGCGCAGGTAGGTTGGGGTGAGGTAGACGTAGGATTGGCTGCGGTAGCCGACGTTCCAGCCTGTGGTGGTCAGGGTGGTTTGGTTGACGCAGTAGGGGCGGAAGGGCGAGGAGGCGTTGGCGGCGCACGAAGCGATGGAGTCGATGGAGTCCGGAGTGGGAGGGGCGATGACCGTGGCGGTGTAGGGGTCAATGCCGAGGAAGTCGGCGGTGCCGTTGAGGTAGGCAAGGTCGGTCGCGTTGAGGGGCACGTAGTCGGAGATGGTGGACTTGAACGAGTCCGGGTAGTCGAGGCCGAGGTAGATGGGGTTGCAGAAGGGGCCGAGCTGGAAGGAGTTGAAGTGGTCGGCGGCGGTGATGTCGGCTTCGCTGGTTGGGTCTCGGGGGACGCCGAAGTCTGCAGCGTCAGTTTGAGGGGAAGTTTGGCGTGGCTGAGTACTCACTATTGTTGAACTTCAATGCCAGCTTTCCCGTGCCACCCAACTCCTCTTTGTAGAAGTGGTAGACTCGGGCGTGAGACTTGATAACGTGATCGATAGACACGCCGTTGTATGAGTAGAGCAGCGGCTCGTTGAAGGTATACCACACAGGTACACGGTCGGCAAAGTGGGTCATGGCAACCTTAGCATAGTTGACAAAGGCGTCCGGGAAGGATTCGTTTTGATATGCGCCATTGACATAGCCGATCTCTGGAGGATCGGCAGCCGTGCTTTGATTGTCGCCATAGAACTGCAACGGTGTGTCGAAGTGAAGCAAGGTGACTTCGGGAACCATGCCCTTCTCCAGGATGAAGTTGATAACATCGTTATAGTGGTCGATGCCTTGCTGATTGACCGGGGTGCCAGGCAAGGCAAACGGCAGAATGCGAGTCCACGCTATGCTGAAGGAGAAGTATTTGACACCCATAGCGGCGACTCGTTCGATGTCCTGCTTGTAATAGTAGTAGTGCTCGTTAGTGACGTAGTCTTTTGCCCGGTCGTCTTGCACGAGAATGTCCATCAGTGAGGGTGATTTGCCCTCTTGTGCCGTGGCGCCTTCAATCTGGGATGCCGAGCTCGCAACACCAAAGGCGAAGCCCTCCGGAAAGTTGTAACAATCCGTTGGGCCAAAGTAGTCTCTTGGTGGAAGGACCAGTTCACTGCTGGGGATGGCAGTTGGGGAAACGGTCGCGCTGTAGACGCTCGTCTCTGTGAAGTTGGGAGGGTTGGCGAGTTCCCACAGAGCTGTCCATGCAGCCTCGCCATATGGGTTGTCGGTGTCATTTGCGGAAGCTGTGGCATTGGGATCCCATCTCCCCCAGGTGGTGTATGAGAGTGAGGAAATCAGAGAGGTTACAGACGCTGGTGGCGGAGCATAGGTTGATGTGGTCGTGGGTGAAGCTACTGAAGTAGCATACCTCACAGTCTCGGTAAGTGTGTAGCTAAAAGACGTATGAGAGTACGCAGGTTGAGTCGAAGTTGGGGTAGAGCATTGCGACCGAGTCGTTGGACCCTCTGCGGGAATGTAGACTTGCTGACCTAGGGCGACAGTCCCCAGCACAAGTTGCAGCAGTAGCGCCATATTGCACGTATTGCTGGCTCATAGAGCTCTGCAGGCACTGACTCACCTTAAGTACGCATTCAGCGGCATCATAACTCCATTAGCTCCAAGGTACTTGCACAGTTTTGGCCGTCACGAGGTCGCATTACTAGAACGGCAGATCCTCACCGTATACAAGCAAAGCTCGCTCCGCACACGAGGTATTGACGTCGTTCTGCAGGGAGAGCTAGCGCCTTGAACAGTCCGTTATCCCCGCGGCCGGGCCGTACTGGGTACAGAGCACGCACGACACATCGCTCGCATCGGACTACCTACTTCGACCGTTCGACGTCCACCGGAGGTCTTGGCGTGAGGGGATAGCAGGCCTCCACCTTCCCTGACTCCGCGGTGGTGGGCATATTGCGGGACATGGGAAAGAGCCTTGCCATGGGCGCGACATTATCCATTCTGCGTGGTATAATGTCTCAATGGGGACCGCTAGTTCTGGGGGCTACGTTGATCCATGGATCCTCATTATCAATGCAGGGCGTTGTCTGATGTATCCATTAACAAAAAAGTTGCCCGCCCAGCTTAATAGCCGAGGCACGTACCTCGGCGCCCCGCGTGCGGCAATTCGATCCATTCATGGCCGCGAGCCAAACCACAATGTCCTCGACTCATGTGTATGATCAGTCGAAGAGGGTGGCTAATGCAAGATGGGACCTTCCAGCAGGCGGTATGGACCCGAGTTCCTCGAGATACCCGGAATCAAAAACGATTTCAGAATTGCCGATCCCAAAGCACGGATAGCAGAATACCTCAAGTTTTACCAACGGTCGGACAGTGCCTCTCACTTCGAGGTAAGCCCATTACCCTGCACTCTGATCTGCGCTCACTATAGCAGAGCGCCCTCATGAGGGACATTCAGATCTTGAGTGCCACTGGCCCACCTAACACTACATCAGTGTTCGAGCTCGAGATGACGCCAACTTATTGCAGTAGGATGGGAAATGCACATGGAGGCGCTGTATCTCTGATATTCGACATGTGTACATCCATGTGTATAGCTCCCGTCGCACGACAAGGGTTTTGGGAATTTGGAGGTGTCTCGAGGACACTCAATGTGACCTACATGCGACCAGTGAGGCAAGGCATCACTGTCTTGATAGAGTGTGAGGTCTTGCAGGTCGGCAAGAGGCTTGCTATGATCCGAGGTCTGATGAAGGACAAGGCGGATGGGCGAGTGCTGTGTTCCTGTGAGCACGACAAGGCCAGCATCGAGTTCCCTGAGACCAAGTTATGACATGGGATTTGAGATTATTCCAGTGATCATGGATATCTCTTTCAGCATAGTCAGTACACGGACGAAGACTGGGCAAAGACTAGATCGACATAGAAAACACCTAACCTTCAATGTTGTTAGCATCTACCTCACGGGTCGATACTGGTACTGACACTTGGCTGAGTCTGATCGACAGGTATCACGATTTCCGGGTATATAAGCGTACCTGTAGACTGCCTAGGTCCGAGCACCTTGAGGAGCCTTTCCCAAACTTCTGGGTCAATAGAATCTTTCGCACGCGTTGCAGCATCAGGCCGGTGGGCCGGTCGATCTATTGAATGACATCTGTCTCGAGACGAATGCTGGCATCACGACTTGCAGTGTCTCCACGATGGTGTGCTCTTCACATAGCCTCGACAGCAGATCGGGTGATATTTGTAGAACGACGCAATGAGACGGCTATAAGGTCTACGATCATGGTAGCCTAAGAGGCAGTCCGAGCAAAGGCGAATGCTACCCCTCTGCCGAAGTGGAGGCGAAATAGGCTATTTGAAGCTTCATACACGAGATCTTAATTGGTGCTAAGCTTTTGCTTATCTCCATTTCCACCAGTCGAATGAACGGTCTCGACTTCTCGAACGTCGCGTGCCGCGCAAGCGATAGAGAGACTAGTCGTTACTGGGAGCAGATCAACGAAAGATGGACCCTCAGCTGCGCTTCGGATACCACCTTGCCACGTTCCGCTTATTGCTCAGTCCGACGCACGCCGGTTTTTTATTATTAACCCTCTCCGCTGTCGCACGTGCCTCCTCAACTTGAGCAAGTGCTTCTCTGTTCAGTCGCTGATACACCATAGCTGTCACCATGTCATCCGACGAAGAGAGAGCCAGTGGCAAGGTGCCCAACCTGGGCGAGAAATCCGTCCAACATACCCCCAGCATCGAACTATACAACAATGCGGAGGTCACACAAGACAACGGCATACTCTCGAAGCTCCGCCGCTTCGAAGCCTCAATGGATGCCAAGTTCGGTGTTGAAGCTGAGGCCATCAGTCGCAAGCTGCCTGAAGACAAGCGTCCGGTCCCGTGGCACGAACAGCTCAGCATGGCCCTGCTTTGGGTAAGCCTCCTAGGCAAACTTGTATCGAGAACGTTGGAGGTTTATTGACTTGTGACAAAGGCATCAGGAACAATGAATACATCGTGTTTCGCGACTGGTTTTCTTGGATGGGAGTTCGGCCTGTCTCTCAAGCAGTCGATCCTCATCGTCATCTTCTCCTCGATTCTAGGCGCCGCGCTGACCGGCTTCGCTGCCACATTTGGTGCGGCGACTGGACTGCGACAGATCTCGGTATCGCGCTATAGCTTTGGCTGGTGGCCGAACAAGGTAATCGCAGCCCTCAACACAATTGTGCAGATCGGCTGGGCGTCTGTCAGTTGCATTACTGGCGGCTTGGCCCTAACGGCCGTCTCCGATGGCCACCTTTCCCTCGTTGTGGGAATCATCATCCTGGCTGTCGTTGCCATGCTGATCTCGTTTGTCGGCTTGAGAGCCATCCTCGTCTATGAACGCTATGCGTGGTTCATCTTCTTCGTCATCTTCCTGATTTTCTTCGGAGAGACTGGGAGGTTCGCTGACAACTCAACCCCGGCGTCCCTCAAAGGTGCCGATCTCACCGGCGGCGTACTCAGCCTTATTGCCATCATTTACGGTAGCTCGGCCTCCTGGTGCACAATGGCCTCTGGTATGCCGATTCTGCCCCAAACCTCCCTGTTCCTTCTTGCCCCTGCGCTTCATATTGACATCGTACAGACTACTACGTCCACTACCCGGCCGACGTCTCGCGTATCAAAGTCTTCCTCATGACCACCTTCGGCATCGCCATACCCACCTCAATCGGCATGCTCGCCGGCTGCGTAGCCTCCTCAGCCCTAAACAACAAGCCCACCTGGCTGTCCGCCTACAAAGACGACGGTCTCGGCTACCTGATCCAAACAATGCTACATCCGCGCGGCTTCGCCAAATTTATCTTGACTCTGCTCGTGCTCTCCGGCATCAACGTCAACATCATCAGCATCTACAGCTCCGCCATCTCGTGCCAACAGTTCGCCCGTCCCTTCTCGCGCGTGCCTCGCTTCATCTGGACGCTGGCATGCTTCGCCGCCATCCTGGGCCTGGCTCTCGGTGGCCGCGAGCAGCTCAATGCCTACCTGCAGAATTTCCTGAGTCTGCTCGGATACTGGTGCACGCAGTACTTTGTCATCGTCTTTGCGGAGCATTGGCTCTTTCGAAAGGGAAAGTTCGAGAATTATGACCTCGAGGGCTGGAACGACCCTGCTCGATTGCCCTTGGGGTTGGCGGCCGGCGTGGCGTTTTCACTGGGAATCGTTGCGTGGATCTGCGGCATGTCACAGACGTGGTAAGTACGCTATGTACTGCAGGAGAATTCTCTTTGTCCGCGAGGAGATTTCTTTGCTGACGCTTCATCTATTACAGGTACGTCGGCCCACTAAGCAAGCTCATCGGAAGCTCGGGAGGCGACGTGGCCAACGAGTTCACGTTTGTCGTCACACTGGTTACGTTCATTCCGCTGCGGTACCTGGAGCTGAAGTATATTGGGAGGTAGATCGAGGGGGAAAAGCGTTAGGGTATGCACAGGGCGTGCCTAGTGAGGTGTGGTGCCAAGAATTTCACTGCCTGACCCTCTTGGCGGGCAGTCGTGGTGCATCATGGGTACCACAAATCAACCGTCATGCAGGTCTAGATTGGTATTCTCTATAGTCTTTGGGTACAATTACCTGTCTTCTACCACCGTGCAGCATTGACTTGGCAGAGGATCGTTTGTGATGTTGCTGATCGTAGGTCTGGCCAACGCTCATCTCGACACGCTGGCCGAATCGCAATCGCAGCCTGGACAGCCGCTGAGTTGAAAAAACTGTTCTACACACTGTGGTCGACATGCCGCACAACAAAATTCCGCGACCATAATCCACAATCCTCAACTCTCCCAGTCATACTCGGGCAGTGGAAAAGTTTCGGCGCTCGCGAACGCGCCGCCAAAATACTTCTGCGCAACCTCGAACACTCTGGTCCAAACAATAAAAGCAAAGATGTTGTTACGCAGCCACAGACCCCACGCCGTCTGTGGTGCGAGAACCCCAGGTATCAGTGTCGGAATTTTCTGCAGCTCGGCGATCAGCGGCTTCATCTGCTCTTCGTAGCCGTTGAGGCCAGCAACGAGGTTTCCTTTGTGCTTGCACACTTCGCCGGCTAACAGATAGGCACCTGCCAAAGCGAGGGTCGTGCCGCCGCCGGTCGGGCCGGCAGCGTAGCCTGCATCACCGACCAGGACGAAGCGGCCCCGGTGCAGGCTCGGCAGCTTGACTTGCGCGATCTCGTTGGCGTAGAAGTCTTCTGCCGTCATCATGGCCTTGAGCAGCTCATCCGTCTTCCAGCCGGAACCGCGGAAGCGCTGAGCCACGAACTGCTTGAGTGCCTCGTCTCCTTGCTTCATGGCCTCGCGAAACGGTGGCATGGCGTTGTCGGGATCATTGCGAGGGTGGATGCTCATGAACGTGACTCGGTTGCCACCGGAAGGATCGACTCCAGCTGCGACGAATTTGCCCGGGACGGCGCTGTAGGCTTGCCCGACCTTGCTCCCTTTCACAATGTCTTCTTTAATGGTGCCGAATACTGCCCAGGAATTGATTGGGATCATGTGGTCTCTGACGCCGCAATCGAGGCCGATGGCTCGTGTTCTAGATGTTGCTCCATCACAGGCTACAACGAGGTCGTATTCGGACGTAGGTGTGCCATTGGCGAATTTAACTTGGACAGGCGCGTCTTCCTTTTCACTCTGACGCAGTGACGCGACCTGTTCGTCGAAGATGTACTTTATGCTCGGATTTGCCTTTGTCAAGTCGTGTAGAATCTGGGCCAAGTCTCCCCTGTAGATCTCGTACTCTGAGACAAGTGACTGTTGGTCAGGGTTGCCGGTTGCCGTAATAACCCCGTATGGCCGGCCATCGCTCCGCACGAAGCTGATACCGTCAATCGGCACTATCTTGGCTCGCACGGCGGCCTCCATGCCCGGCATCTTGCGCATCACCGAGACGCCAGCTGTGCGAATGTCGATGTTCTGTCCACCGGTGCGCATCCTAGGGAAGCGCTCGATGACCGTAACAATTGCTCCAGCCTTGGCAAACCAGTACGCACAAGTTGGACCAGCGATGCTAGCCCCCACAATAAGGACTCTCATTTGCGACATTGTGCCTGAAGTACCTGTGCTGCGACACACTTACGGGAAGCTGAGCCTGGGGTTGACAGATGCTGGACGATCGCTAGAATGAGAATGGGAGTGTGAGATGATCACAGCGCGGGCAATATGAAGGGAGGATCAAGGTGAGTATCGCGAAGGAACACGAGCATATATATATCCTCATCGTGGTCGTTGGCCTCGAGGTGGCTTGCGGTAGCCTGGGTGGGAGCAGAGTACGGATACGGGCAGTTGCAGCTTTTGGTGTTAGGTCTCGGACAGCTTCGGGTCCGAGAAACCCGAAGGCATGTCTGCCTGCTAAGATGTCAATGAACCGCGTGCGGGTCATCATAGGGGATTTGAGTCTTTGATAAGATCACTCTAGAGCAACAGAGCCAGATCCCGGAAGCGACGGTCTGTCGAAAGGACTTGGCTCGTGATGACAAGTGATGATGCGCGGCGGATCAATGCGAGAAAGAAGAACCATGGCCTTGGCGCCAACACCCGCGCCGTGCGTGCCCAGACGCGCTTCTTCTGACGCAAACACAATGAGGTGACAAGCCGTCATCCTGAAGATATCATTCATTTGATCATTCTCATGTTAGTCGAAAGCTGCGTTGATGGCGTTGAGCTGAATCTAACTGTGTCTCCGTTATTTTGTCCTGTCCAGGCGGACTCTATCGTTTTGTTCAAGTACTCTGATAATCTACATATTTTCATCCGGACAGCTTCTCAAAAAGCTGTGACAGCGTTGCGAATGCGACTCTTACAAAATCAGTGATGAATTCCATGGTAGCAGCCTGGGTTTGTGGCTCACAGTGCAGTGTCTCTCCCTCCGGCTGAGCTCGCTGCGCCCTTCGTTCGAGCAAGTAGCACCTCATCACCGTCTCAAAGGCGCCAGTTGTGCCTTGAGATGTCAATGACTGATTTGTATTTATCTCACTTTCGGCCAAGCAGTAGCGGTGCCGTATAGTGACACCCCTCAGTCACGCGCGGCCAACGGGACACCAGTCTACATGCTCCCCCAAGGTTCTCGATATGTCGAGACCTGAGCCTCGACTTGTTGGATGGCAGTCGGACCGAACTGTCTGGCCCCGCCTTCATCAACGTCTTATGGCAATCAGCGACATTCGAAAGTTGTGTCTATCACGTGTCGCCTTAAAAGATCTTCTGTGTCATGATCACTTTTCGTTTGAAGCTCTATCGAAGCAAGATGTTCGGTCTACTACGCACAATTCGACTACTATTGTACACCATCATGATGACAGCGGATATCGCTCCTCTTCCAAGCGCGGTCAAGCAATTACTCTACCTCGAAACTGTGGGTCCCGGCGCACGAAGTCCCCTATGTCCAATTTGTCACAATAACATCCAGCCAGGCCAAGCCAGTGCGACGCACGATTGCTGTGGAACAACGCTTTGCATGGCCTGTTTCACCTATCTCATCTTCCAAAAGACTAGGTATGCGAAAGCTCATGTCGCTCTGGCAGCCGACTGCCCCTGGTGTAAGCGACCGATTCTACGCCCACATCCTTACGCCGGTGAAGATATCATAATAGTGGCCTCAAATCTCGATCTGGTCCGACGGTGCATCGGCGACATGGCCTACTTTTCCAGACCATTAATCTCACGCCAGCAACATGACCTCCTCACAGACGAGCAGGCGATGATGATGCTTGATCCAGAGGGCCGGCATCCTCGAGCCCAGCAGCAGTATGAGGAGATGAAAGTGCATAGAGCAAGAGGATGGCGGGTATACTGCTTCCCGGAGGTTCGACCAAGCACCTTTCTGGTGGCCGAGGGGTGGAAAATGGATGAGCGGTCAGCCATTGACTTGAAGAACGTCCATCCTGCATTGAGACAGGAGTTTGCTGCTCAGAAAACAAGGCAAATCAGTGCGAATGCAGCTCATGGCAGTATGGTTGATCCGAAAAAGACAACGAAACCCGGAAGAACTAAACGCTTCCTGGGAGCTCTGACAGAGAAGATCGGTGCTGCTTTGAAGTCTGATAATTGGAAACTGGCATCTGCGATTAGCCACTGATCGAGATTGCGGATAATGTACTGACTGCAAGACGCGCCACAACATCTTGGTAGTCTACAGATCTCGTTCGACATCCAGAATACACCTCTGCTCAAGCGATTGGACCAGCTTCGGCTTTCGTCAAGTCCACTACCCTTTCCACCATTGCAACATCTTATTCCGTCAGAACTTCCGGGAGTCTCACTTATCATGTCCTATAGGCTCGCCTGTGCAGGCTTGAGAGAAAAAAGTTCAAGCTGCTTATACATCTTCGCTGCAACAGGCTCAGACGATCCGTCGATAAGCTGCTGAATTTTCTTGCTTGCTGCCTCAAGGACCATTGTCATCTGTTCGCTATGGGCGATTCTCTGCTTGGGATCTTCTGGCATAGTGTTCTTCAACAGGTCCAGGCGACAACCTCCCAGCCACGCAGCCGTCTTGGGGTGTTTCAGCCAGGCGAGTGTATTCAAATAGGTTTGGAGCATGACGAGTGGCAAGTCGATTGGTTCGTTGGGCATTGGAATCGGCCCACAGAGCTCGTTTCTGACCTTTTCATCCTCGTAGGTCGCCTCGACGTGAGCAATTAGTGCTGCGCTGAACGTCTGCTGGCAGTAGCGGACTGGCTGGAGCGTGATATTGCGGCTGCGGAATATAGGCACTGCTGGGACTTTAGGAATGCTGCCAGCCGAGCAGTCGATATAGAGTGTGTCAGCGACAGGTTTGTAGCTGCCGTGCTCTAGTATCACCTCTTCCCGCGTGATACTGATGACATGGCCTTGGCGGACGACAGATTCGATTTTCTTCAATGCTTCAAGCTCACTACGTGTGACTGTCGCGCAATGGAACATGGTAGGTGTAACGTTTTCGTCCAGTTGGAGTAGGAGCTGCTTGGTTGTTTGGATTTTCGCGATGTCTTCCAGGGACGAGGCAGCCATGACTGACGCAACGTTGCCTTGGACGGTGGCTGTTGATCTTGAGGCAAATTGACTCCCGGGCTGAAAACTTGCCCGATCGATGAGATACGAATCACGCGGTCTGATCCATGTTATTTGAGTTGGACTGATGCCATTATCAAGAAGCCATAGACAAGCGTCCATGCTCGTCTTCCCGCCTCCAACGACAGTATAACTTTGGTATCCATGGGAAATTCCGGCGAGATCGTTAGGTGTTACAATATCAACCCCGTGAGCAATGTCGTAAGGAGGAGGTCTCATTGATGGAACATCAACTCGGCTATAAGTCGCATCCACAATGCACGTGTCTTTGGCAACACCGTATGTCTTGCCAGTCAGCATAGATCGAAACTTGCCCTCTCCAGAGTAGTTGCACTTAGGGAAGTATTGCACACGTCCTGACGTCAAGAACGTTTCCTTCATCACCCGACCAAAGTAAGCACGCACCTCATCGCCCGATGAAACGTCCATGAGTCCCTTGTTCCAGCCGGATTCCTCGATGATATCATGTTCGAGATGTCTGGAGTTCACGCCATATGAAGCGGCTGGTTGATGTAGACGGACAAAGGGATAGGCAGTCGTCCAGTGGCCGCCCGGACGAGCGTAGCGGTCGACAATAGCGACTGTTTTGTTGCTTTCGGTGAGAAGAGTGTCAACGAAAGCCATGCCCATGGCCCCAGCCCCGACGACAAGGTAATCAGTAGCTATGGTCTCATCCATCTCGTGTGCTGCAAAAGACACTATTAGTAGGTGTACTTGAACCAGTACAGGCAGAGGTCGTATGGTAGTGTCTTGGCCTGGTCAAACCCGAATGGACCTATTAGATCGACTTGCACGGATTGAGTGGACGTGTAGACTCTACTGGTCTTGCTTTCTGTTCTCCCTATGCTTAGCGCCCAACGTTGTGATATTCAATACAGGTGTAGAAAATATGTGGCTCGGGGCGGTTGTATGTGTCAAATAAGGTATTATAAGTTGGTTGGACACGACTGCTGGGCGTCAGGCGTTCTACTTTAGGTGCTAATGCATGTTGACAAACGGGTAAGCAGGGTTGTTGCTGACGCTAGCCTACTAGGTTAGGCCCACGGCTGCAGGCCAGTCATTTCGATCAGAGGATGGGTGAAACAAGAGGCGTTTGCAGTCTACTGCTCCACACCTCGTTCACAGCGCCACACAAAAGTCGTTTAGCGTTGAGGCCTGTCAGCTATGAACGATCTAGTAGTAGCGTTTCAAGGCAACAAGGCCACAACGGGATCGAGGCCGATTCAGCATTTCCCTCACCACCAGCGTCGACAAAATTGACAGACAAGCCCCACAAGCTCACGAGGAGTTACACTCAGAAGTCTGTCTCAGGTGTGATCGCGAGCAGCCTTCCCGTCAATCTTGTAGAGCACTGGTCTTTAAACGAGGAGTTTCACTCAGTCTTTGGCCCAGACTCAGCACCGGTCTTACATCTGGTCTGTGCACTACGAGTAGTAACCTATCTCGAAAAGGCAGCCAAGCCGAAACGGGTTTGGTCACGATTGGGCCGCAAAGAACTCACGGTCCACATCGTCTTTTCGGCGGCACATGCGAACTCTTCCAGCATAGTATCGTCCGCTGTGGTGGCGTCGATATGTTGAGCTTGCGTCCACGACACATACGCTAGCTCATTCTCTCTCACTCGCGTAGAGCAAAATTCACGTTTCTCTTTCTCTTTCTGTTGATTTTGGGGCTTCTCAGCGATTTTAATCCCACGAGTGTAGTGATAGGGTCTCATGCTTCAAGCGCATTGAACAGAGGCACAGAAGACAACGTTCTATCGCGCTGGAAGTCCAAATCATCAGAGAGTTGTCTAATTAACAATTGTGTGGTGCCGAGACTCTCTCCAAAGCTGTGTTCCGGGAGTTTAAGCGGTGCTCCGAGACTTTAATGAGCATGAACGAGCAAGCCTGCAGCGCTTCATGAATGCCGGTGTGACCTTCCAGTCTGCTACGACGGTCGATCGATCATGCCCAGTTGATGCCACCCACGTGCCTCTGATCAGGTGCAGCCCGTGGGACTGCGGGGGTTTGACTCAACGCGACCGGCATATCGCTGTCGCTGAGCAACGAGGATATTTCGAATCAATACGCTGCAGAGAAGATGGCTGATGGTCAATTGACCATGAGCAATGGTGTATCTGACGAATGTGTCTCATGCAGAGCGCCAACAAGTTGCATCAACGCTTGGCAGGTAACAGGTGACATTATTCAGGACCTAGGCCCGAGGACCGGACAGGAAACAAATTGAGCACAAGTATCACTAGTGTGGTCCAAGTAGTATTTACAGGCCCAATTGCTATGTTTGAGACAGATTGCGCAAGCTCTCACACTGAACGCAAGCCGCTATCGTTGGCACAGAAGTAATGACTTCACCACTCATGTCGCCAAGCAGCATTGTCCGCGCCAAGGTCCGCTGCTCCTGTGAATGCATCCGGCGAGTGTACAGGAGCGGGCTGTTTTCAGAAGCCAAGGGTGGTAATCCTGGCAATGTAAGTGTTTGAATCAATAGGTGGCTGGAAAACAGCCGTGGGCCTTTGAAATCACGTAGCTCGGGGTCGAGCTTTATAGCTATCGGGATATCCCTCTTACGCTGGACGGTACGTGAAGCCATATCCGTCTCAATTTCATCCCTCATCATGCTACTCACATCCATTTGCCTTGTGGCGCTCAGCGCAGTTGTTTCTGCGACCTATCCACTGACACTTCTGTATCAGTTCCCAAACACTCAGTATGTCAATATCGAGAACATTGCTGTTCGTGACAACGGGCAGTTGTTGTTGACGCTGCCTACTGGAGCGGCTCTTGTGCAGCTCGACCCTGCCAACCCGGTCCCTGAAGAGCTCATTCGCCTCGTCGGACCTCAATCTATGGTTGGCATTGCCGAGACTGGGCATGGTGTCTACACTGTCTCGGCGGGCAACTTCAGCTTTGGCCCACAGGTACCTGGCGGCGTTGCTGGCGTGCCTGGGACGTTTTCCGTCTGGACCATCGACCTGACTGGAGACACCGCAAGTGCGAGCCTGGTCACCGAGATCCCCGAAGCCAATACCTTGAATGGCGTCACCGCCCTACCTGGCTCCCCAGATACTGTGCTGATCGCGGATTCAGGCCTCGGTGCAGTGTGGCGAGTCAACATCAAGACAGGGGAATACTCGACTGCCATTTCAGTCCCTGAGTTTGCGCCAACTGCGGATTTTTCCCTCGGCGTCAATGGAGTAAGAGCGCCACGAAAGGGGTCTCTCTTGTGGACAAACTCTGCTCAGGGTACCTACGGTGTCATTTACATCGACGAGAAAGGCAATGCAGGGGGAGCACCATTAGTCATTGCAAACGCACCAAACGGCACCAATTTCGACGACTTCTCGGTCAAAAAAGGTACAGCTTACATTGCCACCCAGCCAAATGCGGTCTACGAAGTCCCATACGATGGAGTGCCAATTCTGATCGCTGGTGGGGGAGACGATGAGACCATTGTCAGTCCAACATCCACGGCACTATCGAAAGATGGCTGCACGCTTTACGTTACAACCGGTGGCGCAGGTGGACCACAGCCAGTGAGTGGCCAAGTGTTCACCATCGGCCTCTGCGATGGCAAGAAGGAGAAAAGATGGATAGCTTAGGGTCTAGCTACTCTACCGCCTACCGTTGTTCATACATACGAGTGTCTGCGGCATTACTAGCAACTGTATTTACGAAACAACTTCTCGCAACCATTCTTCTCTATATCCGATTCGAAGAGTAGCTGTCGTTTGGAAGCTCTCCTTGAGCTTCGAAGGCAGAGCATACAGGACTCAGTAAACGCGTTAGCCTGCGGAAGAACGACATCATAGTAAACAAAGAACCCTGCATCTTGGCCCTGACGATCCAGGGCATCTGCGCAGGTGAGTGGAGTTCCTTCCCCACACCCGACCCAGGAACAACACTTCCCATACACAATTCAAGCCGCAGGTCTGATCTACGGACTGGCCAAGTCGGAGAATACATCTTGGTAGTGATGATGTACCAGGTATATCTGCTGAATATAGGTTCTGGAGGTCTTGGCATTCAAAGGGTGCATAGTCGATGACGCGATGAGCTTCCATCCCCGCGGCGGACCTGGATGGACATATACTTGGCAACGCCTTGTCTTTTGCTTGGTAATAGAGGAAAGAGTGACCTGCCCTCGGCCACGGCAGCGGAACAGGCACAGATAACAGTGAGCTGCGACAGATCCCTGTGGACAATGCGGTGTCATGTCTCAGCTCCGGACTTTGCTAGACAGGTCTATGATGCCGGCAAGCACCTGTCACCTCAAGCCAAGGCGGCGACTGAATTCCCATTTGCTTAGCTACAACTAGACACGGAGATGGTTTGTCAAAAAGACAGGACGCTGTCAACGAAATCAGTTGACAGGGGCGATCCGGTACAAAAGCAGCTTTGTAGAAGCATTCCGCTCGAAATCTGCATCTTTGACTCATCTGTGCATCTTTTCTAAGAACCTCTACATACTCACCACAAACACCATTTCGCTAAGGTTGACACGATGAAGCTCTTTACAACACTTGCAGCTCTCGCGTTCTGCACATCCTCCTTCGTCTCCGCGTGGTCATGCCTTTCCGACGATGACGCGCAAGATATCGTCAACAAATCCATCATCTTCCTCCAGCATGAAGATCCGGAAGAAGCACGCGCCATTGCATACGAGCTCTTCGCGCCTAACATCACCCAATACGGAGACTCGATCAACTACTTAAGGGGCGCTCCAGTAAGCAGATGGCCCTCTCTCTCTTCTCCGGAGGGATTTTGGGGGTTAAAAAGTATGCTAACGTAAGGTTTCTAGCTCGGGACCCCAGTCTACGAAAACGCCACTGCATACATCGAAGGCACGCTCTCCGCGCCCGGAATCCCAGAGGTATGCGTGCTGCTCACACCTTTTCTTCCTGATCTCCTATACCCCTCCGGAGTTCATATGCTAACAGCCTCCCCACAACGCAGATCACACAACTCGCCCTCGTGCACGACTGCAACTCGCTCATCTTCTTCTGGGAGTTCAACGGCATCGGTGGCCCCATGGGCGCGGGCCTTCGCGTGCGCGGCATCTCCTACCAGCAAGTCGACGATAACAACAAGGTGGTGAGCCACAACGTCGAGTTCAATAGTCTGGCGTGGGCAGAGAACACCGGCTTCACGATCGAGTACCCTACTACGGGCACGTATGCGGATGCAGGTCCTGATGCGGAGGGTGGGGAGGCGAAGAGAGGAATAGCTTTCAGAGGGTAAAGACTGCTCGTGGAGAGCTCTGGTAGGCGTTTTCATACGTAGTGCCAGGTCTGTGCTGATCTGATACCAGATCCTGCGGGGCATCAGTAATCAAAATGTGACCGTGTTGAATCTGAGCGGCCCTAGGACGCCGAACACAACCTCGTTTTCATCTATTCTGGAAGGTTTCGGTTTGAGAGCTTCCAACGGCTGACACAAAATGTGCAATGGTATGTAGCATTCAATGCTAACTTTACAATTTTTAGTGCCGCTTGTAGGTAGTTGAGCGTTAACCCAACCCGAAGTGGGAGTAAGGTTTCGTCCACCTCCGCCAAGACTTTCACTGCCTGGAAAAACCTCGCAGCGGATCCACCTTGGTTACCAGAACAATCTTAGGTATTGTCCGGTTCAGAACTGCGCGCTCACATCAAGAGTGAGCTGTAGACAGATCACTAGAAACTGGTGGTACAGCACATGAGAACAGACCTGGAACAAGACGCGTTGATGTGTTCCCAGTGGAACGGTGCAGACAGTGATGAGCCAGTCTACTCCCAGACTGATGCCGAATTCTAAAGTGAGAAAGAGACAAGTCTGCTGCTTACGCGCGGACCATTTGGTGTTAGCTGCTCATCGGCGGCTTTGATGAAGGATTATTGGAACAGTACTGTAGGTCCGTTGTGAAGCAGGCAGTGGAGCCAGCCAAACAGCCCCCAATTTGGAGTAAAGTGGGGTGATCAGACGGCGGGGGATACCCATTCTGGGGAACCGTATCGGAAGTGCCGTTGACGGGTGTTGACTGGCGGTTGATGTAAAGCAAGGACGCCGTAATGCAGCATGGGCAAAAGACGCCAGGGTCTCGAAAACTTTGAGCGTTCTGCTCAGGTACCAAGGCCAAGAGTGGTCATGCCGAGTCACGCAGTAAGGCTCACGTCGCACAGAAGCCTTCGAGGACGCTGATCTTGACTTCCTGGGTCGTCTTGCAAACCTCAGGGTCCCATCCGCCGGTACACAGTGCACCTTGCAGAAGCGCGAACCTTTTTTATGGGGCCACCGACAGCAGTGGAGTCGAGGTCCCCACATTGATGTCCGATCGGTATCTGGACCTGAACACCGCAATGGCAGAACGAGGCTGCACTGATTCGGAACGTCGCTCACCTGGGCTCGTCGATTCATGGAATTTAGTATGAATAAGATCAGATTTCGAAGCAAATAAACGAAGAGCTGGATCAGTCATAAGGTCAGAGGCATTAAGTAGCCGATCCCTTGTCCCTTTCCCCGCAAGCGCCATGGCAGTGCCTAGGCCAAGAAGCGGGATGGCAGCTAGCCACGCCCGGAGCAGTTGGAGTGTCTCCGGACCAAGTGCCCAACACAGACACTGTCGCGTGGTTGATCTCGCCAACCTCTAGCAGCCTCGGTCTGCCGAATATTGTTCCGAGATGCCTTAAACGGTGGGCACGAGTATTAGAGGGCCGTGCACTCCAACGACAGCGCCGTGCCTGCTCCAACTCTTGCTGGCGGATTCGACAGTCACATAGAACGCCAGCCTGTATAATTCGACAATGGCAGACCTCGAAAAGAATGAGGGTCCTCAATCGCTTCACGTTGCCGACATCGCCGGCGGGGGTGATGACCAAAACCAGGTCAACAGCAAGACGATCGTGCAAGCTGCAGCAGACCGCTCCGAATTTGATCATCAGCTGAAGATCAAGGACGCCATCAAGTACTATCGATGGGCCATAATCTGGTGTCTCGTTATCAGTATGACCGTAGTGATGGAAGGCTATGACACCATCCTGATAGGAAACGTGAGGGTTGTCTGACCGCATTCAAACCTCAACCGCTGACAGGAGCAGTTCTATGCGTTTCCCGAGTTCCAGAAGAAGTACGGTCGATGGGTCGGTGTCACTGATAGCACTCGTTCCGGATATCAGCTAGAGCCTGCCTGGCAAGCTGGTATCGGTAACGGTGCCGGCGTTGGTGCTTTCTTCGGCGCGATCATCAACGGGTGGCTCGTAAATCATTTTGGACAAAAGAAGACTATCATCGCGGCGCTTTTCTTCTTGTCCGGCACCATTTTTCTCACGTTCTTCGCCCCGAACATCGAAACCCTGCTGGCTGGTCAGATCTTGTGCGGTCTTCCTTGGGGAGTTTTCGCCACATCCGTAGGTAGAGAGACGACAGTTCCTTGGGCAACACTCTGACTTCTCCGCAGGCTCCAGCGTATGCCAGTGAAATGCTCCCTATGGTACTCCGTGTGTACTTTACTTCGTAAGTACCTCACCTGTTCTGATATCGACCGCTTTATTGCTAATGGTTCGACAGTTGGACCAATATGTGCTTTATCATCGGACAGTTGATCGCGGCGGGCGTGCTGCGAGCATGCCTGGAGCGACAGGATGAGTGGGCGTTCCGCATTCCCTTTGCTATTCAATGGGCCTGGCCTGCGCTTCTGATTCCTGTTCTCTTCTTCGCGCCAGAGTCACCATGGCACCTAGTGAGGCAGGGTCGCCACACAGAAGCCGAGACCGTTTTGCGTCGCCTTCAACAGCCGGAGGCTCCGATCGATCCTAAGCAGACTTTGTCAACCATCATTTACACCAATAACCTGGAACAAGAGCTCTCCGTCGGAACGTCGTACAAGGATTGCTTCCAGTCCTTCGAATTACGCCGGACAGAGATCGCCTGCATCTGCTTCGCAGGTCAAGTTATCTGCGGCAGTCAATTTGCATATTCTGCGACGTACTTCTGGGAGCAAGTAGGCCTTCCTGCTCAGACGACATACAACCTGAATATCGTCGGGACTTCGGTTGCGCTGATTGCGGCAACATGCTCATGGCTCTTCCTTATGCCGAACCTAGGCCGGCGAACCATCTACATGGGAGGTGTTGGATGCATGGCTACCACATTGTTCATCATCGGCATTCTCAACACCTGGGTTGATCGCCGAAGCGTGGGCCTTGCGCAAGCCGTCATGACGGTGATCTGGAAACTGTTCTTCCAGCTCTCGGTAGGACAGCTGGGATGGGCAATACCTGCAGAGGTTGGCTCGACCAGACTTCGCCAAAAGACCATCGTCCTGGCCCGCAACACTTACTACATCTCTCAAGTGATTGCCAACGTGCTCCAGCCATACTTCATGAACCCATCCGCCTGGAACTTACGAGGCTACACAGGCTTCGTTTGGGGAGGTTGCGCAACCGTCGTTTTCATCTGGTGCTTCTTCCGCCTACCGGAAACCAAAGGGCGGACTTTCGAGGAGTTGGACATCCTCTTTGCCGACAAGGTGGCTGCTCGGAAGTTCAAGACCACTGAAGTCGACGCGTTTGACCATAATCAGACGGATGCTCTGAAGAACATGTATGCCCATTGATATGGACAGTAAAGAACGGGGTACCCACTCAGAGATATTTTGGTGAGGTATCGTCGCGGAATGCATGCGGGGAGTCTGGATAGCAGAGGAAGCTCAGCCGTCCCCATCATGATAGCGATGCCGCCATGGGGGACTAGCATCGCTGCTGATCACATTGCATGTCGGCGGCGAAGTCTTTCTGCTGCCTGCAGAAATGATGTTGCTATGGGGACAAAGCCAAGGCACACCAGACCCAATCGGGAGACAAATAAACACTCTGCATGTGACGACAGTGATGACCCGGTCAACGGCGCCGCTCCGCTCACTGCACGGCAATGCCGCAAGCCAATCGATAAACCCTGGTATCCTTGTTCGAGAATGCTTTAAATCCTTCGACTGGTTGCTCAAGACTCGACTGATCTCGCTTGCTTCATTGTTTTGACTCACCTGCATCTCACACGAGGAGCAACAGGCAACAGCACCCGGACATCCTCGCTCATCCAACGCTACGTTCCGCCGCGCGCAGATCCGCGATCAGGGGCTCTTGGATTGCAAGCCTTTCGCTACCAGGTAACGACCGTTTCTGGCCTCCACAACATCTACCGAGCAAACAAACCTCCTCAAACCATAATACATAAGCACGACAACCGCAATGTCGCCTACCAAGAACGCCCACAAGGCTCTCGCCGAACTTTCACCCAACACCACCTCCCCTTCCAAGACCTCGTCCCACGATCAAGTCAAGTCCAAGATATACGAGCCTCTCGACGAGAGCAACAACGTCCTCAAAATGCCCGCCACCGCCTCCTTTCCCATCCACAACAACCACACCACCAACTACATATCGCCCTCGGACGCTATGCAGTCACCCACATCAAAGAAGCTGTCTGACCTCAAGGGCCGTCGCTTTGCCGGCGCAAAGACTAAACAAGGCCTGAGTGGGCGTGAGCTGTTTGCAAAGGCGCGGGCGCAAAACGAGAAGAACAACAGCAGTGGCGCCGTTCGTCCTGCCGAACCCATCTCACCCATGTCGCTCTCGCAGACAGACTCCCAAGCAGACTCGCAAACCTCAGCGGCTTCGTCTCGTAGCTTCGACGATGACTGCTCGTCATAGCTGCAGAAGCGGGCTAGTTCCTGCTAGCAAACGCATGCACACATGGAACTGGCCCTCAAAACCGATTGTCAGGGACAGGCGGCCAGACTCAAACAAACACAGCCCAGATTGCGCCCATCTCTCACTTCTGTCACATGGAGTTCAAGGTGCTCTGGCGCTTCACGATCACTCTTTAACGGATTTCCTTCTTGTCGATAATACCCAACCCCACTATTAGACCACTACCACCATTACTACTATCACTACCGGTTTCCCACCACCACGAACGGCACTTGCTGCATCCACCCAGTACCGCAAAACACGCGGGGCAGCAACAAACAGACTGATACTCCCGGACGGCAATCTTATAATTCCATACAATGTATTCCCCACTACGGCGCGGCACGGCATGGCTTTCCAAGGACTGAAATGGGGTGCCCAACGTGGCTTGAGACTGGATCTGCTTTTTCTTGCGTTTTTGCCGAGATGTGTGTGTGTGTGTTTGTGAGAGAGATGGGGCCGAGGAAGAAGGGCGAGAGAGAAGTGAACGACCGGTCTGTGACCACTGGTGTAGAGTAACTTGTAGTTGAGCAAAGGGGCTGAGAGTGAAAGAATGAAAGAATGCCCGTGAATCCCAGACCCATACAGGCAAGGCAGTTAGACGGAGAGGAAGAAGCCTTTACTCGTGAGACGCCCCACGCTTGTCTCTCTCTCCCTTCGTTCTCGACATATACTTCACATCTTTCGATATTTTCCACAAGATAAAGACGAAGGAAGGTCTTTAAGACGAACAAAAATATACCGGTCGTTTACGGCAAAGTCGTGCGTGCAATTGACTGTTGTATATCGTTTATTGAAAGAAGGGAATCCGACTTTTGGGTATCGCATCCCCCTCGCGCCACCGCATCCGTAATCTGATCTATGGTATTAAAAATTAATCAATCAAGCCCGCCAGCCTCGCATGGCCTGCGGTTTCTCTATTTCCAGACGCGCAAAAAGGGGATTCGTTTTGGTTCTCGCCCGTCATCAATCCGGCATCTCACCGGCATCCACCCATCTCTTCATTTCGCAGCAAACCTCGACCTCGCCCTCAACGCGGCACCAAAATACCACAGGGCCCAAATGCCAATACAGCCACCAAAGGTCAGGCCGGCCAGCAAACTCACCCCCGGTCCCACGCCCAAGTTCAGGAACATGGGCCTGCTGAAATGGATGGCGCCGGCGGCGATGGAGCTGCGGGCGAAATCGTTGCCGGCGAACAGACTGGCCGCGTACTGCGGGTAGGTGAGGGGGATGTAGATGAAGACAACCTGAAAAATGATGAAGATGCCGATGGTGAAAATCGTGATGCCGAGCGTGGGCACGATCCAGTGGATTTGAGGTGAGTTGAAGCCCGTCCAGCCAAAAATGAAGAGGCCCACAGGAACGAGGAAGCAGACGTACAGGCCCGGCACGAGGCGTTTCTCGGGGGCGCCGAGGCCGTGGGCGCGGATCTCGGGCTCGAAGACATATTTCAGGTAGAGCATGTAGGTGGGGATGGAGATGGCGACGCCGACGCTGATGGAGAGGAAAATGAGGCCGATCTCGCCCGCGTTGAGGCCGTAGCCGTGCGTGGGCGTGTTGGCGCGCGGCAGGCCCGTCGCGTACACAAAGGGGAAGACTTCGAAGAAGGAGTAGAAGATGCCGTACATGAGCGCGATGTAGATCGAGGTGAAGAGCACGGCCGGGTCGAGGGCGTTGATCTGGAGGGGACGCCAGAGATTGGAGACGACGACCTCGGAGACGCTGAGTTGGGATTGCGTGATTTCCGATTGCGAGCGGAGGGCGGCGTTGCCGGTGAGTTTGCGGAGGCGGCGGGCGCGTTGGAGGAGAATAGCGTCCGCGGAGGTCTCGGGGAGGAGGGTGAAGAGGATGATGTAGACGGGGGCGGCGAGCCAGACGATCTCCCTGGTTTGATATGTTAGTCTGGGCATGGAGAAAAAGGGCTGGGATGATGCTTACCAGAGCGACCAGTGCCAGTTTGTGGCAGGTACGGAAAACCCAGAGATCATGGGCCCCAGAGCCGGACCGGCAGTGGCGAATGCCGCCCAGCCTGTGAGATAGTAGGGCAGGCGCAGCAAGCTGTAGATGTCACCAATGCTGGCGCCGCCGGTGGCCAAACAAGGAGATCCGAAAAAGCCCTGCAGGAAACGCAGCACGATGAGGGCGGGAAAGTTGTCGACACAGGCGACGCCGATGCTGATGGCTAGGAAGACGCCGAAGGTAGCGATGTAGGGCGGGTTGCGGCCAATACTGGGGATCTCGGACAGAGGCGAGAACAGTAGCGGGCCAATGCCGTAGCCGAGAACATACATGGAGAGGCCGAGGGAAGCTACCTCAGCGCTGACGCCAAATCTGTGCTCGATGTATGGTTGCGAGGGCGTGATGATAGCTGAGCCAATGTAGACAGCCAGAGTGTAGAAGTAGATCTGTACGACAACTAGAGCCTTCTTTCGATGCGTCCAGTTCTGGGGATTAGCCGGGTCGTCGGTCGTGTACCAGTCAACGAGGATGGTGCCATCGCTGGTTCGAGTAGGCGCGATTGGTCTTGAAGGCTGCTGCTTGATGCTTTCCTGCTGTGTTGCGCGGGTATATGCCTGTTCGAGATCGGCTCTCGTGGAGACGTGGGACATCTGTGGCCGCGACATGATCTTGGAGAGATCCCGCTCGACGCCATCATCGCTGCTGGAAGATAGGGACTCCCGATCGGGCGCGGTAGCGGTTTGGGCGAGGGCATTGTCGCGCGTGGAACCTCGCCTCTCGAAGCGAGGGTCGCTCTCGATGTCCTTTTCTTCGCCAGGCGACGGGACTGCATGTGTAGATGCGGAAGAGAAAGTGTCAAGTGGCTTGGTCGTTTCTTCCTTGTAGCCGCTGGGACATTGGAAGCCGTCAACTTCCTCGGGATACTTGAGGATGCGATTTCTGGTCGCAAAGCGGATGATCTGACCAAGCGACGAGTCTCGGATGATGGAGTCCATTCCTTTGGTGGCTGGCACTGCTAGAGCAGTGGTCAGGAGCCAGGCAGGCAGTTAGTAGAGGAGGTTGAGTTCAGGTTGGAAGTCGCAACGGCACTCGAGTCTACGGGGAGTGGCATTATATCTTGCATGACCTTCGTTTAGCTTTTGCGGCTTCGGGCAGATGCAAAACACAGGGTAAGGTCAGTCATTGGTTGGGGTTCTGAATAATCAGCGTGTACAGCATGCTAAACGCCGGGCTACAGGCAAGGGTAGTAGGCAGCGTCCGAGATGGAGTTCCGTCTGGCCCGTGTCGGCGGAGAGACAAAGGACAATTACCAACCCATTGCGTGCTTTTCATGAACTCAAGGGTCCGGGGGCTAGCCAAACCCGCAAAGGATGGGCTGAAAACACAAGTAACAATGGTGAGAGGATGAAGGTTGTCGCGCGTAAGAACGCCAAGACCAGTCGCGGGATGATGTCATGGTGTTTATTACTCATCCTCAGTTTCTTCGCTGCACCATGACAAAGCCTTCACGCTGGCTCGCTATCCCCGTCGCCTGCGCCCGCTTCCAGAAGTTACTTCCTCTAGTGCTTTATAAGGACCCCGTCGGCACCTGATGGGGGCGATGAGTCCCTAATCTTGGCCAGCATTGCCGCCAGTCACCTTGTTGTCACTTTGGGCGATTTGGCAAAGTCTTCGTGTCGAGCTCGAGTCCCAACAGCTGGACGCTCACGGCCGTCGGTGTGACTCACGCGCAACCGTGTCTTCAACTTGCATATGTTGGCGACGTAATTGATGTGCCAAGCTTTGGAATTCGCGAAATATACGAAAGTTTCGCACGTATCCCGCTCGATCAGGCGTCCAAGCGCCGACTCGTTTAGTCGGACTCAAGCGGCTTCCACAAGTCTTCGACAGGCGACGCATCCTCAGATGGCCCATTCGTTGACATTGTCAGTGTCGCGAATAAAGGGTTCATCAATCTGCTTGATGCCCAGGTCCCCGCACAAGACGCACTGCTCCGCTACGAGTCCATCAAGCTCCTGGACCATCTTCAGTCGTTGAGGTCCCACGCTCAGACCCTGGCTAACATCCGCCTGCAGGCTTTTGATCCGTTTCTTCTTGCTGATGCCCGAACTTTCAAGCACGCGCTTACCCAAACAGTCGCTATGAAACGCGTGTTGACATGGAAACACAAAGAACTGTCGACTGAGGACTGGCAGTGTGCAGATCCAGCATCTCTCGCCTGGCTCCACGATAGCATACCGGCTGTCCAGCGCCGCGATCTCGGCTTTGATCTGCTCGGCCGTATGCTGCGAGACGTCCATGTCTTGTTTCAGGCTATCGATATGTTGCGAATACTCTTCGAGAGCGTTGCAGATTTCGTCCTTGAAGTCGTCAATGACAACAAAATCCGGGAAGAATGGTATGAGATCTTCAATCTTGAGCAGCTCACAACGTTTGAGGAACTCAATTGCCTCCTTGATGGACGATGTTTCCTTGATCTTCTTCTCCGCAATCAGCAGCCAGAGCTTCTTCCGCAACTTGTCATCATTCTCCAATCGGTCGGCCACAATTGCTGCAAGCTCGACATCATCATGATCCAGTGCTAGCTCGACCGCTTGCTGATACTGGCCCATGGCGCTGTAGATGTGCACGCATGACTGGACACGATTGTGCTGAATGCACAGTCTCAGCGCAAAATCGGCATCATAGAGTGGAGGCGAAGGCTGTGTCTCTAGGTAGTTGAGCAAGGCTGTCTCGGAGGCCGAAGAGTGGGAAGCCATGATTGAGATTAGCGTGTTATGCACAGCCGCCGGACTGTCTGGCACGGCGTTGACCACAAAGTTGAGATACCGCACTGCTTGATTCTGATTTAGTGGCACGTCGGAAGCATTCTCGTTGTAGCTGAGCAAAGCCGGTAAGATCTTCGGTGGCTCGATGTTGTTGCGGCGCATCAGGATCTCGATGAATCCTGATGGAACGTGGGTCATGAGGACATTGCTGTAGCGGTAGTAGGTGTCGGGGTTGCTCTGCTTGTTCAACACCGACAGTGCTTCGTTCCAGCGCTCTCTCTGGATCCAGTATGAAAGCACATAGTCGTAGTCGGTGATGGTGTTTGCAAAATACAACAGTTCCTCTTCTCGGTCGTGGCTGGCAATGACTTCGTAAATGGTCTTGGAATCGAGGTCCGACTTGTACTTGGAGACAAACTCTTGGAATTCGGTGCGAATCCTCTTGAGCTCCTCTTCGGCGCCTGAAGTACTGGTGTCTTCTGCTAGCTCTCCCTTCGTGGCAACGTGGTCGTCGAGATTGTTGAGCTTGGCCATGTAGATCTGGACAAGCCAGCTCGCAATCATGACTCTCTGCATATAGGATGCCTTCTTGTACGATGAAAGCTTGGTCAACAGATACTTTCGGAGAGCATCGTCTTGACCGTTGTCGATGAGTTGGAGGCATACTTCTTCGAATGCTTTGCTGCTCTTGCCCCAGATACTGGCAGCCTCCAGATACTGGCCTTTGCTGGAGAGGTAGTCGCCAGACGCCGTGGCGACCGAGTCCTTCTGAGCAGCGCCCTTTGCGTATTGTAAGGCAGCATCGTAGTCTTGATTCTGCAGCATGACACGCCATACGTCTCGGTCCTCCCCTTCGGCTCTAATCTCGTAGATCTCTTGTGCGGTGAACAACCAGTAGCTGTTCTTTTTCTGGTCCGCAGCTAGGCCAAGCGCCGTTTGACCAGGGTCAAGAACAGCTTGGTCATACACCACTTTGCCGTCTAGCCTGTTGACGGCCACGACGCGGCCTTCGGCGAGAGCAAGAACGTGCCATTGACTGAGGATCATGGATTGGATGGGATCTTGAATCAGCTTGCGTCCTCCACGAGCTGACACGGTCTCTGGAAAGACCGATCGTGGATGTAGCTTCGCCTTGCTAAATATCTGGCTGCCCAAACTCGGGCTGACGGGCGATGTGAGGAGTTTGCCGGTAAGAACACCTTGAGATGTTAGCCAACCGAAGCTACGGTCTGTTTCTTCTGTGCTTCCCGTGCCTGCCACCTCGGGGGACACTGCCAGGGAGGACGGTGCCGTTGCCGAGACGTTGGTCGCTGTCTGTGTCGATGGGCTCTCCTTCTGAAAAAGATCTGCATATATTGATGCCGAACCCTCTTTACCTTTCCCGCCCATTTTGCCTATCCAGTGATATATTGCGGCATGAGAGGATACCACGACACGCCTCAAATCCGGCTTTCCGGGGATGTTATCGGTCCAGACCCCAGTGACAGCGCCGTCTGGGATTTTCCAAATCTGTGTGCAGTATCGCTCTTCCCGCCTGTAAAACTCGGTGGCCGGCTCAATATATGCTTCGTAGACATTGCCATCGGTAGCACCGATGAGGATCTCCCGGGTCGAAGCTGTAGGCTGTGAAGGATTCCATGCGACTGTCTCAATCGAAATGCCTTTTAAACGAGACAGCGCCTTTGGCTGCTTGGACTGGCTGTGGAGGTAGAAGTTCTCGCCCAAAGTGGTAGTGATGATGAGGTGCGAAGCTGAAGGGTCGAGGAACATGCGTCGTATAAGACCGACTTCACTGGTCTTTTTGGGCAGATCGACATCTGCGGTAGTTAGCATAGGTGCGAAGACCGCGAGCAGCTAGGCTCACCATCAATGTCTTGCGGACTCTCCAGATCAATGCGCAGGATCCGACCGGTCGCAAGAGCAAGGATGAGGACATCATTGGCGACCTGGCCCGCGACGAAGTCAGACGCGATGTTGAACTGTAGCCTGACATGCTCGACGTTGAACAAGGGCAGCTCGGTGTCACCTCCTCCCTGGGCCATGCCGGCGGCGACGTAGCCGGGCTCCAGGTCTAGCGCCATGTTGCGCCGGCAAATCTTACTTTTGTACCATGCGAGCGCCGGTATCGTCGAGGTCTTGTGTTCGAGAGGGTTGTAACGATCGGTCTGCTGAGATGGAGGCTGTAGGTGCTGTCCACGCCGCCGGCGCAGGCGCGATCCCAATGATGCCGGTGGAGTTCGGCGTCGGCGAATTGCAGCCCCGGTGAGCCCCACACATTCACTGCCTGAACCAAAGCTGTCAGGGTGCTAGCAATCTGGGAGATCATACTTCTCTAGATGTGATCCAGAAGGCGCTGGTGACAAGGAGAAGTCTCACGACATTGTGATCACATATAAAAATGCGAAGGCATAATTCCACTGGACTACGTAGTGCTACATCTTCCACGCCGCCTCCCCAGCGCTTCCTCACTTGCCCAGCCTAGCCAGCGCTTCAAACAGCTTACTCCCATCCATAAACACCTCATACCTCTCCGCCAACCACCTCCCATCATCCTCTTTCGCGACCCTACACCAGCTCGCCGCCCTGGTCCACACCTCCCCTCCCCCCACGAGATCGTACCTCACATCCGCCACACCAATAATCTCCCATTTCCCATCCATGCCCATGCCCCCACCCGTGACGAACGCCGTCTCAAAGAAATGCTGACACTTGGTCACGGGGCCCTTTTGCGGGTGCATCATCGAGTCCCGCGCCGCGCGGATGGCGTCGCGCCCGCAGTGCTCGCCGCCGAAAACCAGGACGGCGTGAGGCGTGAAGTAGTTGAGGTAGTCGTTGGTGGGGTCGGACGAGTCGTCCCAGCGTCGGAGGATCGCAGTGAGGGCGTCGCGTGGCACGGGGGGCAGGAGGTCTTGGTTGATGAAGACGTAGGGGTCGCGGTCGCGTGAAGAGGAAGCCATGGTTTGTCACGAACAAGAGGTATTTTCTGTTGTACTCCTTTTGCTAATTGTGTTCAGGGTGTTAGTGGACTTTACGGGCCGTCCGGCGACACGTTTGCCTAAAGGTTTACATCTTTGCTAAAACGGGGCGGGGTAAGTTTAAAGCTTGCTCTCGTGAGGGCAGCATTTGCATCTGACCTCGTATTTGCCCATCTCAGGGCATTTGGGGCGCTATTCTCCAATTACAGAACGACCACAAAAGAGCCCCTCGAGGCCAGATTTCTCACCTTTCAGGCTCTTTCGGTTCCGCCAATACCAACATCGCTGGTCACCGCATCCACGGTAGGATCACACATACTAAATTGGCAAATCGACCATGTACTAGAGTCCGGGCGGCGGTCCTTCTGGTCGTCCCACACTCACTCTCGCATGTGAGGAACAACTACCCTCACCACCTCAACCGCCATCTCAACCCCCATCCACCCGAGGGGTACCCAGTCCGCGCGTTCCCTTACCTTCCGTCCTTTTCCCCCTTCCTCTCCTCCTCCGCCGCCAACTCAACATACTGCCCAATCAAACTCCTCACCATCTCCTCCAGACCGCTAAACCTCACGCCTAACTTCTCTGTCGTCTTCTCACTATCATAGTTTCCCCTCCTCCCCACCACCTGACCCCCCAACGGCACTAGCCCACTCTCCACCGCCGCAGGGAACCACTTCTTCACATACGGATCAATCTCGCTGTACGCCTTGATATCGCCCGGGAAATTGGCCACCAAACGCTCGCCATTACCGAGATTCTTTGCCGTCAGCGCGCGGACGTGCGTCTCCGCCACGTCGTCCACGAGCACGAGGTCCAAGGGTCTGGGTTCGTTGGCTGGTGAGTCCTTGCCTAGCGCGTACAGCAGCATGGTGCCGTTACTGCTGGCGCGATCCAGCAGGCGAGCACGAGTGCGCACAGGTTCGTTGCGGCCCATGGTGTATCCGGGCAGCACCCAGACAATGTCGAAACTTGGCTTGTGCTCTGCGACCCACTCGTTGGCCTTCTGGTGCGCAAGCACCTTGGAAGCCGTGTAGGCCTGCCATTGGCTGGTGCGCTGCTCTTCGGCAGTGGGTGCGACTTTGAGGTCATCGGGCCCAATGAATGTGGCACCTTCACGGGCGGCGAGTATGGCGACCGACGAGGTGATGATGATGCGCGTGAGGCTGCTAGCTCTGGTGGCGGAGCGGAGGAGGTTCAAGGTGCCCTGGATGGCGGGCTGGACGAAATCGTGGTCGGCGTCGAAGTGCGTGCCGCTGCCGGGGATGGTAGCATCGGGAATGGGCGAGGCCACGTGGATGATGTAGGAGACCCCTTGAACGGCATTGTCGAAGGCGCCGGGTGCTAGGAAATCGGGGATCTCAACGAATTCTACCTTGTCGGCGTGGGGCTTGATCGAGGGAAGGCTGCGAAGCTTTTCGGCCATTTGAAGGCTGCGGCTTGAGACGCGGGCGCGGTAACCGGCTTCGAGGGCGACGGCTAGGGTACGGAAACCGATATGTCCGGTAGCGCCGGTGATGAGGACGAGCGGAGCTTCTAAGGAAGTCATGCTGTCATGGATTGTGACACGGGAGTTCGAGGCTGCGATGCTGTTGATGACTATGCTTCTGGTGGTGGTATCAGAGCTGCGTTCAGCTATGGTCGTCGTTGTTCGTGACGCCATCTTCCCTGACTCGCCGTCTCTCCCAAGTTATATAAGCCTTATCGACATCGCGCACAGCTGGCATTAGCCGATGCGGAGACTTACATCCTGCGTCTGGCTGACCTGGCTGGATTTTTCATCATCAAATCTGATTAGTATGGGTGCACTCAGCGGCGATAGACTTGACTGTGTGCCATATCGCTTTCATCACAAGGCTGAAGAGCGACCGGCCAAGAGCAGGTCATACCATTAGGCTGCTGACAAAATCGAGGCATTGGGGAGAGTAATCAAGAACTCCATGCATAGCCAAATGGGTTGCTGCGTCGACGAAGATGACCAATCAGTGGATGCGGCTGGTCAAGAAACCTTCCGAAGTCTGAGGACGTTGACATGTCCCGAAGCTTTGCTGCTGAGCTCGAGTAATTCTGCCGTTGTCCGCTTCTCAAAAAGCATTTTCGCGAGCAGAGGACTTGGCCAACACCTTGCAGTGATAGCTAGTAATAGCCACAACGCTCGTCTGCAATGGGTAGATATGACCGAGACAGCAATTCCGGCGTAGGTGAAATCATCCCGCAGAAATGCCCAATAGGTGATAGTTCCGACCCAGACCCTGCTTTGTGTGGACAGTCAACAGACATCAAATCCGCTTCGACTCGGTGGCTGCTGTTGACCGCCAGTCGGACGAAGGCGATCGCTGTGGCTGCTGCGAATTGGGATAATGCTCATGTATGGATACCACCATGACCACCCTCGCCTTGTAGCCAGCTCATTTTCGATTACAGCCACAGTCAGGCCGTCTATGATAAATTCAGCATGAACGACGCACTTCTCATGACGACTGTCTAGTCAAACAGTCAACCACTGTTGGTTCTCGTACAAGCGTACGAAGGTTCCGGAGGTAAGAGCCAGAGGACTGAAGTATAAAAGGGTCGCTTAGCCGAAACAGGGCAATTCGCGATCCTTCTCACTTCGTCGTCACCGTGGGGGCGGTGGACAACATCTGGAGTTAGCTTGGCATTTTCGCGGCCGTCGACAAGGACGTTACCGAATCGCCGACGTTGAGGGTCCGCGGTATTCAGGCTGTGGCAGTATAAAATGGAGGCGCGTACAGTGAAGGCAGGGGCAGTCAAGCCGAGCCACCAACGCAAACAGAGCATCGACGAGTATTGCGACTTCCTCCGACGACAAGAGATTAAATTCACCAGCGACAAGCGCCGACTCAACATCCAGATCATCTCTGCCGAGATTCTGGGATCCGGCACTGGCACATCGTCAAGGTGATTAGCACTTACCTGATTTGTGCACACACCATGTCGCAAGTACCTCAGCCCCCCAATTTCGCCAGCAAGCTCCAGGGACAGTCTGTCCTCCTGGTCGGCGGTACTGGCGGTGTCGGTCTTGCAGTATCTCATGCACTGCTTCAGTCTGGAGCATCAATCATCCTCACTGGCTCTCGTCAAGTCAAAATCGACTCGGTGGTGAATCAGCTGAAGATTCAGTACCCGGTTCTCCATTTCCGCATTTCAGGTTATGTTTGCGATCTTGGTTCTCCACAGGTAGAGGAAAACGTGGCTGGTCTGTTCAAGCAGCTTGACAAGCTCGACCACATCATCTATATGGCAGGCGACCGTCTCCCCACGCTCGACATCTCCGAGATCACCGCAGACTCTGTCGCCAAGCTCAGTCGCGTCAGAGTCACAGGCGCACTCTTGGTCGTCAAGCACGGCATTTCTCACCTTGAAGCGTCGCCGACATCATCGATCGTACTGACCTCGGGCTCCATAGCCTCCAAACCTATGGTAGGTGGCTGGTCCATTCTGTCCTTCATCGGCGCCGGCCTCGGCGGACTTGCACGACAGCTTGCCTTCGACCTTGCCCCTATCCGCGTCAATTGTGTTGCACCTGGTGTCGTGGCGACGGATCTGTGGGACCCGATGGGTGAGAACGCGAAGCAGTGTTGCTTCAAGAGCGTCTCGAGCACCTATTGCACCGGCAGAGCTGGTCAGGCTGAGGATGTTGCCGAGTCTTACTTGTATGTGGTCAAGGACAATAACATCACCGGCACCATGATTGACACGAATGGAGGAGTCTTCCTCCGATGAGGTATAGTCTCGGCAGAGGTCGGCTTACATTAGAGGGCATGAGCAGATAACATTGCATATCGGGCATGATGTCGTGTCAACAGAGATAGATGTCAATTGAACGAGATTGTCGATAACGTGCTTCTGTACCCGCTTGCACTTCGACTGTTCCGCTAGACTGCTTTAGGTGTAGCCAATTCGGTAGGTGCAGCTCGGGTTGTTTCGTAGCTTCCCCGTACAAAAACCGTGCCGATGCCAAGGGACTTTGTGCCTTCCACGTTTTCTAGCCTGATCGACTGAACACTTTTTCAGTCCAGTCCAACTTCGTATGATCGTGTTCGTGAGCAAGAGCCGGCGTCCAAACATCGCTGTTCGACATGGATTCTTTCGCATATCCAGCCGCGCGGCCCAATGACCCTTGCATGTCATCATCCTTGACTTCGCCACCAATGACATGGGTCGACTTGGAACTTCCGCAGAACTTCTGAAGTCTGCCGTTGCATAGGTTGCTTCATTATTTTTCATCTCACAATTCTGCCCAACGTGATGAGGCTTACAAGCTGCTGGAAAGCTACAACAAGTTGCGTTCTTGATGCCTAAAGCCCAGAGGCTGCCTTCTTTGAGCAAGCTTAAAGATGGGGCAACGCGTCAGCTCATAGACACACTTTTCGAGATCACAAACAGGTCGATGCTTGCACGCTCTACAACTGCTGGGGAAGACGTCTGTGCTACTACCAGGCTCGGCCCGACCGTCTAGGTTGCACACTACTCCGTATCTGTACAGTACTTTTGCCTCGTCTAAGCTAATGATCACCCGGCCCAGCTGATCAGCAAACACTTCGCCTCCATGCAGCCTTCACACCGGCAGTCTTCACACCGCCAGCCTTCACACCACCAACCGCCCACGCGAGCCAAGGCCAGGGTGGTGACTCGCCGCATTCCAGACGAGATATGGGAGTCGTATCATACCGAAGTGGCACAACTGTACTTGGACAAGGATCCCCCCATGAGCCTAAAAGAGCTTCAGGCCCATTTCAGAGACACGCACGGCTTCGCACCTACGTAGGTTCAGTCCCATTCGTTCTCCTGAACGATTGTTGACCCACAGTAGCAAGAAACAGTGGAAAGACCGGTTCCAAAAATGGGGACTGCAGCGCAACCTTGATTGTAAGACAGCAGCAGCTATCCTCCACCTCTTTCGAAACGCCGAGCAAAGAGGTGTCCCATGTTCCGTTTTCCATCACCAACGCGTGAAGACCCTGGAAGATATCAAATCATACATCAAGAAATCGCCCCGCGTAGCCAATGAGCAGGAACTGCTGAAACATCTGCCAGAGCCTGCACAGTGGCCACAAAGTGTGACGAGCAGTACTCAGGCCACATCGGTGGCAAATCTAAGTTCACCCAAATCCGCCACCATTGTTCCGTCGCCAGCATACCAGCTGGGATACTCGACTGACGGACACCTTTTCAATCCGAGCGCCAGGACCGGTCTCAGGAATGCTGATTCCGACGAACCTGTACAAGACACGCACGACTCAAGTTTCGAGCCCCGAATCCATCCTGAAGCTCACCTGTCCATCTCAAGTAGATACACCGGCCCCTACATCGTGGACCCAAGTGCCAATATGACTCGACAGGATGAAAAGCAGCCGCTGCGGTTTTCTCAGGAGTCACAAGGAACGTCTGGTTGGCATGGATTTCAATATCATACTACGGATGTAGTACCGCAGCTTCATACGTACAATAGCCAGGAGCAGTACTTTGATGCTCAGGTGTCAGGTGGTTTGAACAACAGGCAAACCTTCGAGATCCCGTGGGAGGACCACCAGACTGCCTTCGATGCAATCTATGAGCCTTTCGAAGCCCAGGGACAGGATCTTTCACTGCACCCGAATTTTCTGGGCGATTTTCATCTTGCAGCTTCCGTCACACCGCGTCAACTCCCTCCAGGCTCCGACACTGATCTTGAGGTTCAGACAAGGTTTCAAGAGTATGTTGCGAAACTGCTGAGCACTGGTCAAGACCTACGTAACCAGCCTGCCAAAAGTTTCTTCAAGTCATGCTGCGAAGCTATGATTTTCCACGGTCAGGATCAGCGAGAAAGTTGTTCCCAGGCTGTGGAGGCCGCTTCTGTTTCGTTCCAGAGGTTGATCGCCGACCATGCCTCGTATAGGATGAGTTTACCGGTCCTGAACATGATGTCATTCGTCTTTGAGGCCTATGGACAGAAACTGATGAAAAAGAGGATACTGCAACGTCTCCAGCAAGCTACGCAGGAAATGGATGAGCTCAAACGCATTGTGGTCCTTGGCTCGATTGATTTTCTCCTCGACACAGCAGACTGGTCAAGCGACAAGGCTGCTACTAAGCTGGCCAAAACTAGTCAAGTCTACACTTACGCGGTAGAAACGGCAGGACAATCATCCCAACTCGCTATCTCCGCCCGTTACAACCACGCATGGACCCTTCTGGAAGCAGGAAAACCAGACCAGGCCTTGTCAATTCTGAACGGTGAACGGAGCAAGTGTGAGACTGCTTTTGGCATTCATTCTCTACAGACAATAACCTGGATTGCCACACAAGCGCGGGCGCACTTGAAGAATGGTGAGCCTTTGAGTGCAGAGGCCGTGATGACCGAAAGTGCTCTGACAAGAGCGGAGAAAGCTTTCTCCCAGGACCATCCAATATATTGGGAGGTCATGTACCGGATAGGTCTCTTCCTTCTCAATTTTGCCTCCAACAATAGCCTACCAGACCGTACCGAATTTTGCTGGGTCAAGGGTGAGGAAATGGTGCGTCAGACACTGGTATGGCGCGCCCAGTGGCTGGGACCAGAAAATCCACGGACGGCAACTGCGTACAAAGACCTCAAATTCTATCTTGAGAAACAGGGCAAGAATCAAGACGCGACTGCATTGTACAGCTGGTACCGCGCAGAAGCTGGATTGTGATTGATGGCACCAACGCACAGCGCCACCTACCATGGTGCGAAGTGCCTAGTCAACGCCCAAAACGCCCCTTGATACTGATACTATCAAAAGTTCCATTTCCTCGATATTTCAAGCCCATACCAAACGGTTGCAGCGTTCCTGCCTTGAGCTACAAGTCTTTGAGAGCTCTGCTATTCTTCTCGGCGGCCACGAGCTACAGGATGTTTAATGGCTGGGCCAAATCCATGTTGCCCGTCTCCTGGATCTATGAATTTTGCCGAACCACGGGTGGTGTCGTTCCCTTTAGGAGTATCTTTTTTGGAGTAGGAAATGCCGTCGTTCTTTCCAGTAGTAGAGCGGCTCTTCGAAAAGTCTGGCGATGCTAGTATTGAATCTGGTCAGCAAAAGCCTTCTTCAAGATGTTTGAGCCTCACCGTGTCTGTCAGACGTCTTCTGCGTGGACTGAGATGTGCTGTGCTTGCGCGAAGGCGATGACATGATTTCCTGCTCGTCTACTGGTGGACTGCTCATCCAATATCACAGGGCTGATTGGCTGAGATCAAACTCTGGATGTCTCACTGGTGATGGAGAGCAAGGTGGCACTGAGGAACTTGGTCACCGCTGTAACGACTACTGCGCGTAGGAACTTTCGGATGCAGAAGTGCGCACGACAGCGCCCCGGGGCAGACGGGAAGCATTTTGGATCTCGACAGTCGGCACTGCTTGCGCGCAACAACACAGGGGCGGGGTATGAGTTTCCTGACTGGCAGCAGTATCTGCAGCAGAGCCTCAAAACTTGAGGATCAACACGATTCTGCTCTCCGAACTGGCGACTGGTGATTGCGCATGTGACGGGGATGGTGGAGGTGTGTTGACAGCCGCCGTAGGGATTCGTCCGGGTCTTCTGAGCACACGGCTTTAAGTGGCCGGTCCGCGGCGTCAAGCGCCCGTAGTCCACTCATCAGCTGCTGGTGGATCCTGAGTTTGCTGCACCACATCAGCCGGGTGGTAAGCTCCTTGTGGTCTAGACGCCCTAGAGTTAGGGCGGCCATCTGCCACGCACAAGCGGAACTAACACCATGGAGTGTGTGGGCACCAAACAGCCGAGCAGGTTCGTGCCATCTCATCGTGTAACCCTGATCCCGGGCACAATGTCCCGGCTGCAACCTATTGGAACGACCTGCATTGGAGCAACATCCTCCAATGCGTCATGCCAAGTGAGCAATCTTTCCTTGAGATGGCTGCTCGCCCCAGCATGGGGTGGCTCCAACAGACTTGGCCAATTATGTCGGATGCAACGTTATCTTGCACTGGCTACAGGCGCGCGGCACGACGACTTCATCTCTTCTGCAATGGCAGGACCCTATTGGGGGGGCGGTCACTCTCTTCCTCTCACGCCTGTCAGATATGCAAGAAACAGGTAGCACGAGCCCGTTATGGTGTGCTTCTTAGGTGCCGATGTGGCTGCGTCCGGCTGCTAGTTTTGCGGTACTGGATTGTTTACGAATCTTTCTTTATAGCAGATTATGTCAAAAATCGATATGAGGTGAAGGCAAAGCGATGTGTCGAAAAGTGACAAATCTCCAAGCATTGATGGTATCTCGCACCGAATCCTGGTCTGCATGATATGCAGATTTCTTCGACAAGCATAATCTCTTGCTACTTCAGGCTGATTGGAGGATCTGGCCGGTACTGATGACCTGCGGGAAGACTTGCGGAAGTGCGGACGACACCCTAGATCTTGACTCAAAGGCCCCTTCTCAGCCACAAAGCACGTTGACCGGCAGAAGTTCCACGTCACCAAGTAAGGGACTGACTCAGCATACAGCCTCGCATCATACTCAGTCAAGACACGTCGGCAGTACTTACTTCTGACAGCGTCGTTTTTACATGCCAACACCAAATGTATCAAGTATTCTCTGACCACGTTTAAAGGTAAGACGACCTTGAAAGAATGACATGTCACCCAACCAATAGCGCTCACTCCCTATTCGCTGTACGCTTTATTTGTATCCTGACTCTTATCGTCAATATACTCTGGGTCACACTTTCGACCAAGCCAAGCTTCGCGCAACATTCTTGAACGACAAGCTTTAAGTTGACTACGCACTCGAAAGTCACACGCCACTGAAACGAGCCATTTTAAACCCAAATTCGCTCAAGGATCGCATGAAAGCTGTTACTTTTCCCTAGAATGGCCAAGTGCTTGCTCGATGCAGACATTTGGCAGAGGAGCTGTAGCTTTTACTAGTGCTTAAGCTCGACGTCAGACTTAGGCGTGGAACAGAGGTAATGGGGATTATGGCCGAGGAACCCCCTGATGCCTGACGCCTTGCGAAGCGTCGCCAAGAGAACACCGACTCCACTTTGGAGGGTGACTTCTTTCCACGTCAACTATGATTCCTGCCTTGCCACTTCCACATACCAGGCGACATCACCAAAGCCCAATTCGACGATTTGACAGATTGTGTTGTCAAAAGCTGACGCCCATCAGCCCTCACTCCGCGAAAACATCACACCACCTCGCAGACCTTTCGGGCGAACCTTCTTGTTCGGACAAGACTCGGATGTCGAGGATCCGCAAACCTTAGGCAACGGACCGCACGGATATGTGCTGATCGACACATGGCACCCTCGCCGCCATCCGAAATCCCCAATAGCCAAGCTTCATCGCCTGGACTAGGGTCATCTTCGAGCGATGACGCAGACAGCAATAATCAGTACATTGCAGTAGCAGAACTAATCGGTCCCACCTCCTTGTCTACGACCAACTTGAGCCCTTCTGAAGGCAATAGAGAGTCTGCTGATCCCCATCCTCCCTCCAAGATACCACCAGAGCCAGCCACGCTTGACTCTGAAAGCTCCTGCGCTGCAGCGACAGTATCAAATCCGACTCCGCACCACACTCATCCCCCGGAAACGCCGCTGCTGCAGCACGCCACTCCCTCAAAACCTCTTTCCACCGGTACAGCGCGCAATCCACCATTCCGACCCTCCTCGATCACCTCCCATAACCACCCTCACCTAGCCTCCCGCATAGCTCAACTCACCACAACACTCGACTCCACGCAAACCGCCCTCGCCAGCATCCTCGCCGAATTTGAGGCCCTCCCTGATTTCACCTCAAGTGCAAAATCAACATCGACTTCATCCTCTGCCGCACCACCACCCCAAACCCAACTACGACCCCCCGATCCCAACCTCACACTATCACCAATCCAAACCGCCACCCTCCACCGCGCCCACCGCATCCTCGACGCCCACGTCCAAGCGCTCTCACGCTACAACGCCGTGCGCGACGCGGGCTTGGCGCTGTTGGGCTTTGTGGCAGAACGCCGCGGCGTTACGGTTGGGAGTGTCATGGAGGAGATGGGCGTCGAGGAGGGTGATTAGATGATTGCGGTCAGGATGCAAACTGTCTGCCGGTCTGTGATTGATGGAGGAGTAGAGATTTAGTGGACCCATCACTTACTCGCAACCCATATTCGCGTACTCGGGGACACCATATAGAGCGGTTGGCATGGTCCTTGAGCCAGGCGAGAAGTGGGCGGATGGGCAGGACTCGCTGGACTGGCACGAGGTCCCGCGCGAATCACGAGAACAAGAGTCGCGCACAGAATCAACGCAGCTGGTTTGTTTTGCGTTGCGTTGCGTCGCCACGAAAGGGATCTACTTATCACCTTTACCATCTGTCGAAATCTGACGATACGACGGGGCCAGCTATCTCGAAAGCTTCACCAGAGAAACCTATACTCTAATACTATCGAATATCTCCAAAGCCTCGAGGTCCGTGTTAACACCGTCCCGGCTGTCTCGAAAGATGGCTATAGTTGTGAATGGCGAGGAAGGCCAAGCTTCCGTCCAAAGCTTTTTCAGCGTCTCTTCTTGTCGATAGTAAGTAACTGTGTTGAAGGATGTGCAATCTCTAACGGCAAAGAAGATTAGGTTATCGTGGTCTTTGAGGTATTGAGGTCTTCAACACTTTGTTGACTGGTGAATAAATATTGTGGCTTCTCACCCAAGCGCTTGAGGAGAGTTACTGCATCACTTTTTCAAATCCCATACATGCATACTAGGTCGTTTTGTTTCGGCTGATTTTGGCGAATGATGAACGCGATGAACATGATGGGCTGAGGTGAGGTTGAGATACTGCATTATAATCATAATAATGATGAAGCTGATATCGCCGGCTTTCCAATTCCAATGCAAGGTGTTGTTCATCCAAGGCGATCCAAGGCGAACCAAGTCGAGCCAGAAGTCGAGCTGACCTGACATGACCTGATATGAGCTGAGCTGAGCTGAGCTGAGCTGCGCTGCGCGTGCGCGGTGAGTGTATATCTATCCAAATTCCAGAGCCATAGGGGAAGCAGTCGCTCTGTGCTGCTTCGGCTCTGTCCCTCTCCTTGACTTCTGTCCCTGTTCACTGCCACTTCTGCTGCCTCTTCTCCGACCTCTTCTATGCAAGACCGTTCATTGCCACTTTTTGACGATCAAGTGATGACCACCCGACAAGGTAATCAACCGGCTCTCGGCCCTCCGTTCACCTCCTTTACCTCCTCTATCCAAGAGCAGTCCTGCCTTCGCCTCGCCTGCTCTGTGCTGCCTCTGTAGCCGTTGGACGTACTGTACAGTGCTGTGACCCTCCCAATTCTTCATCCAATGTTCAATACTGGTATACTAGTAGACTAATGCTGCCTCTCCAAACTCTGCATCCCCACCATCTCTCTATATCGGCCCCTCAACGCCATGAGTTCCGCGTGCGTGCCATGCTCCTTGACCACGCCCTTCTCAATCACATAGATGACATCCGCCTTCTGGATCGTGCTGAGCCTATGCGCGACGGCAATTGTAGTGCGCCCTTTGGCCGCAGCGTCGAGCGCGTGCTGCACCACCTTCTCGGACTCGGAGTCGAGCGCTGACGTGGCCTCGTCGAGCAGTAGAATCTTGGGGTTGCGCAGCAGGGCGCGCGCGATGGCGATGCGTTGTTTTTGGCCGCCGGAGAGGAGGGCCGCTTTGGCGCCGACGGCGGTGTGGAAGCCGTCACTGCGGGAGTGGGTTAGCATTTGTGTTTGGTAGTCAGAAGGGTTAAGGGGAAAGGACTCACGGCAGGGAGATGACGAAGTCGTAGATGTTGGCGTCGCGGCATGCCTGTACGATGCGCTCGTCTCCAACGGGGATGTCTTCGTCGGCGTTGACCTTGTCGGCTTGGCCGAGTAGGATGTTGTCCTTGATTGTTCCTTGGTATAGAGTTGGCTCTTGTGAGACGAGCGCAATATGGCTGCGGTAGTCGTTCAGATTGAGCCCGGAGATTTCGTGCCCGTCCACGTAAACGCCGCCGGCGAGTGGGTCATAGAAGCGCTCCATGAGCGCGATGGTGGTGGACTTGCCGCAGCCGGAGGCGCCGACGAGCGCGACATACTGGCCTGGTTTGACCGTCAGGTCCAGCCCACGCAGCACTGGCACATCCGGCCTCGTCGGGTAGCGGAAGTGTGCATCGCGGAACTCAATGTGGCCGTCAACGTGGTCGATCTTGTCGCCCTCGTCGGACCAGGGATCAATGCTGGGTTGTCGATCAAGCAGCGCTTTGAGCTCGGCGGCCGCGTTCTTGGCTTTTGACATGTCGCCAGCGAAAGAGAAGACCGTGCCGGCGGATTGCGCGCCAAAGATTATTTCGCTGAAGACGATGAAGAATTGAAACATGGTATACTCGCCTCTATAGAGAAGCGTGCCGCCGTACCAGAATCCTAGCGCAAAAGCGAGGAACATGGCTGATTGGGATGCGGCATAAAGGGCTGAATTGCGGAGATTCGAGCGCAATGAAGAGCGCAATTGGTTGTTGAGCTGGCTCCTGTAGTCGGCATGGATTTCGGATTCGGTAGTCAAAGAAGCGACAGTACGAATTGCGTTGGTATGCTCGCAAGCATAACCGGCCGACTTCTTGTAGGCTTTCTGAGCATCGGCACTGAATTTGGCCAGCGTCCAGAAGCGGAAGAAGCCAGTGCCCAAGATGATTGGCAGAGCGCACATACAAACGAGAGCGAGCTTCCAGCCAATAGCGAGGGCGATGACAATGGCGAGGATGAGCGTCGTGGAGCAACTGATTAGTGTGCCTAGCGTGGCACCTGAAAGGGAGGCGAGATGAGTGGTTTCTGTGGAAAGGAAAGAGGTGAGTGCACCCGTAGAGTTCTCGTCCTCGTCGAAGAAGGCGATGTCTTGCCGCAGCATTGCTCGAAAAGCGCGGTCGCGAGCCCGATGGATGAGGTTCTCCGAGCACCATGCGAAAGCAACGCCCTGCGTCCACATGGCAATTAGTGTGACAAGACCAAGCATCAGGTACATCAAGGCCCAAAAGCTGACATCTGAGCGAATCTTCGCGGCGTCCTCAGGAAGACGTCCAGTGAGAGAAATGATGGACTTGGCGAAGAAGATACCCTGGATGGGCTGGTTGGCTCCAGCAATAGCAGTGAAGAAGAAGCCAATGCACATGATCCACCATTCTTTCCGGTTGAAGCTGCCCATGAACTTCATGAGAGTCCACAGCGAGTATTTCGCAGCCGCGCCTTTGTCCTTGTTGGCCAATACGTTCGAAGACACGGACTTGGCACTTCTGGTGCGGCCGAGAGCAAGCTTCTCGTCTTCAGGATCTGCATAACCTGCACCCGACTTGATGGATTGCACGCGGCTAAGATGATCGGAGTTTGTGCCCTCAGCGGAAGCATCGTCTTCCTCGTCGTCATCCGAACCGATGCGTTGCGCTGACACAAGATTATAGTAGGCAGTCTTCATCTGCAAAAGCTCATCATGAGTTCCTTGCTCGATGATGCGACCTTGCTGCATGACCACAATGTTGTCAGCACCTTTGATGGTTGATAGTCGATGAGCGATCACAATTGTGGTCCGACCCTTGGCTGCTTCGTCCAGAGCTCGCTGAACGACGCCTTCCGACTTTGTATCTAGAGCAGATGTAGCCTCGTCCAGAAGGAGGATCTTAGGGTCGCTAACCACAGCACGAGCGATGGCCACTCTCTGCTTTTGGCCTCCGGATAGCAGGAATCCTCGTTCACCGACAGGCGTCTCGTAGCCTTCGGGCAATGTTTCAATAAAGTCGTGGGCATTTGCCATTTTAGCTGCGCGAATGACGCGATCCATTTGTTGATGCTCAGATTCGTGCTCAAAAGCTGATCCAACGAGGCCATTCAAAATATTCTGCTTGATGGTTTGGCTGAACAGTACAGGCTCCTGCTGCACCAATGCGATTTGTCGTCGAAGCCACTTGAGGTTCAGATCTGCAATGTTATGGCCATCCAAGAATACCTCGCCACCAACAGGGTCGTAGAACCGCTCGACCAGACCGACAATTGTCGATTTACCAGATCCACTGGCACCAACGAGTGCAGTTGTCTTGCCAGCTGGCACAACAAGGCTGACATCCTCCATAACCACAACTTCGGGGCGCGAAGGGTAGATGTGCTTCACATTTCTGAGCTCAAGCACACCATCCACCCTGTCCAGCTTCTTCCCTGCCTCAGTAGTCGGGTCAAGAGGGGTGTTTCGATCGATAGTGGAATAGATCTTGTGGGCCGCGGCAACGCCAGCCACGAAATGCTGCACATTGGGTCCGACGTTACCGAATGAGAATGCACCGATCATGACAGCCAAGATAATGGTGAGAATCGAGCTGAGACTTGTCTCCCCACTGGTCAAGAAGCGGGAGCCCATCCAGAACGCCAGGCCATAATTGAGGAAGATGAAGCAGAGCAAACAACCAATCATGCAACCGAGGGTAGACTTGCTCCGGAATCCCCATCTGCGTGCCTCGTGAAGATGGACATCATACTGCTTGGCCAGTCGATCCTGGGTACCGAAAGCAACGGCATTCCGGATCGAGCCCAGCACCTCTTCGGCGACCGTGCCACCAATAGCATAGGCGTGCAGGGACTTTTTATTCCAACCTGTCATGAATCGGCCTCCGATGCCCATGGTAACGACAATAGCAACCACAGTAGCCATACAGATCAAGGTCAACTTCCAGAACTTGATGAAGCCAATGACAAAGGCAGCAAAGAAGGCAGCCACACCGGTCAAAGTTAAGCCGACCTTCTCAGAGATGGCCTCTTGGATCAGATTGGTGTCTGCGGTGATGCGAGTGGTGACCTCCCCAGCGCCGAGCTTGTCGAAGAAACCAATATTCTGTCGCAGAATGGCCTTCAGGTACTCCTGGCGTACTTTCGAAGTAATATGTTCGCCAATGTAGATGAAGAGGACTGTTGACACGTAGATGAGCACGAATTCGCCAATGGCGAGATAGACGAAATACAAGACGTATCGGTTGAGTGTGGCTTTGAAGTCCAATGTACCGTCTCCCAACGTGAAGCTCTGGAAGGTGCCACTGAGGTTGCCAAAGACGACCGTCATCAAGGGCATGACGGCTCCACCAGCGATGGCGGTTATGGAGGCAATAACTAGCAGCACCTGATCCCACCTAGTGGCGTATCTGTACAGCATCTTGTATGTGACTTTGACTTCGGGCGCGTCAAGCTGGCGTTTGAGGACTGCTCGCTCCGACTCTGGCAAATGTGCCAGAGCAGCATCGCCTTCGAGAACATCTCGCTTCTGGATAACTTCAGAATCATATTTTCTGAGATCTGGTCTTCCGTCGGAACTGGAGGTGGGCGTTGGAGGTGACTTTTCATCTGCTCGCGAAGAGTGTGGACGCTTCTCGTCTATGATATCGGTCTTCTTCTCTTGCTCTGTTTCTAACCCAGCTTCCTCTCTGTGCTTCTCGTCCGCATTCTTCTCGATGTCTCCCAGCCCGTCGGGCAGGGGTCCCTTTGGATCCATCACAGGAAATCCCTTTGAGATTATTTATTGACGGAGAGTGGATTGTGGAACAACAGTAGACGTGCTATACAAGCATAGTGGCGTGTTGCTTCTAAGTTTTGTGCACGAATAGGCCCGTCGGGTAACCACAGGTTCTCCCGATGAGGAGCAGTCGAAAGGTCGCGAGTGGCGTGAAAGGGTAGAATTAATGATATAAAGAACGACTACTGGTAGTGATATCGGACTGTACAAGAATAGGCAACAGAACGAGCGACGGGCGCGAGTGTGGCTAGAGTCATAGCATGCGCCAACAAATGTGGTGAACTACGACACTTCGACCGAAGCAGCGTGTCGCCTCGGATTCGGACTCCAACAAAATGCTTCGGGTCCGTGAACCCCACGGCTAGATTGGCGGGAAGCAGAAGGTGTGACAGGGGATAGGATGGCGTAGAACAGGGCTAATGACGAAAGGGAGCTTGCACTAGATTATCGCCATAATCAATAGGGGATAAGCGAGAACGTGTTTTCCATCTCCCCCGGACTTACTCAATGCAGTCCCATTACACGACGATTTGGTTTTAGCAATAAAAGAAGCTCTGTCCCGCTTCGTGACCCTTACTGGATGGAGAACACAGCCCGGGACCGAGGGTTCCAGGCATAAACATCCAAAAATATGCGCTTTCTCAGATTTGTGCACAGAGCCGAGCCAATGCACCGGACCATATAAGCCAGCCTGATCGTACACGCATCATCTCGATGTCGGATATGTATGAGGTGGGCATTCCTAATGCGCGGGGACCCCTCAGGTGTACCCCGACCTTCGGGTCCGCAGGTCAAAGATGAGTTGATCGTGGCGTATTCGCGTTTCAATTGAAGACGACATACTCCGTAAAGGTAGATGAATCATAACCAGTCACATATCCTACATGCAGCCACTTTTCCAGTAGCCTGTCCCAGGACCCAGGGTATCGTGCAGAGCAGTCAGGCTCCAGCTATAGTTTAGAACGCACACCCAGCCCATTCTGGTAGTCGTCAATTCGCCGTTTTGCCTCGAGGTCTCTGCGGCTTCGATCAAGCTCTCTTGCAGCAAAATTCTTGGCATCATCGCCAGCTGAATCCAGGTCTCGAACAATTTCGCGGTACAGCTCCTCCTTGATGAGGCCATATGACTTGCTTTGAGCCTTTTCCACAAGCTTCATCTCGTGAATGAAAGCCAGAGTCTCCTCCGGTCCGCCAACGCCATCCAGTATCCCCTCCTTCAAGGCGTCAAGTGCGGAAAAGCGCTTGCTTTCGAGCACCATGTTCCGTAGAGCAGTCATACCAAGCTTGACTCTGAAGACCGACGCCATAGCGGGCTGCAAGTGAGCACCAAAGTCCAGTTCATTGAGACACACGAAGCCCTTGTGTGGATTCATGATTCTGTAATCGTGCATCATTGCTGTCATCAACCCACCGGCAAAGGCGTGCCCATTGATGAGAGCCATCGTTGGCATCGGGTATGTGATGAGCCGCCGCCACAGTGGGAAGAGGCTCTGCGAGAAGAACGTAGGATCTTTGACAGCATTTTCGTAGTCGAGACCATTGCTGTAGAACTTGGTGATGGACGAGGTGGTGATGAGCACCCCTTTGGGCAGTCTATGCTCAATGACATCGAGGGCAAGCAGGAATGTGGCATTGAATGCGGGCGTGAGACGGTTGTCGGGCGGCGATGCGAACGAAAGAAGGTAGACTTGAGGTGCGGGCTGGGTGCAGGTGAAAGTGCCAGCAGGCTGCTGAGGTGCGTTCGCCGCGACGGGACTAGGGACCTGCAGCACGAACAATGGCTGCGCCTGTGCCATGGTTGAAGTGAGTGCCTGCGCTGACAGACAGAATCAGTGGGGAAAAGGAACAAAGAACAGAGCTTATCGCAGGTCCAGCCTTCGTGCGGTGATCGATCCAACGCGACGCCCGTTGCTGGCAAATGGTAGCAGCCCTGCTTGCTGACTACCGAGGCCTGCGTATCAAGACGTTGCGTCTCCGCAAAGCACATGGCACGCCCCCATCAGCCCCCAAAAATCCCAAGTTTAGGCGGGAACTCCTCGCCTGGAGATACTGGCGCGACGATCGCTCGGTGACGTAATGTCGGCACTGGTCGGACCACCTGCGCGAAGACCGTGGAAGGCTGAATGTACCTCGTCCTGGTGCCCCGAGCTGACACATTGTGCTTGCACGGCATTGCTAAGCCGTGAATACTCTCACCTTCGTTACCCGAAGTGAGCATCTCCCTTATCACAATGTCGTTAGGCTGAGGCCTCTGCAGTCCCTCTTGCATACTGCTTTCGACCAGCACCACCCACCAAATATCATCATGGCGACCACATCCTTCCCCCCTCCTCCACCCATCCCCAATCGGCCGTCGAGCATGAGCACGACAACCTCCGCCTCGGCCGCTAAGCCCACTATGTGGGAGCGGACAAAGGGTGCCTCTAACACCGCATACGAAAAGGGCCTCAAGCCTGGCTTCAATAAGGTATACAACGTTGTTGACAAGCTTGGCAAGCCTGTCAATCGCCTGTCCAACAAAGTCGGGGCCGAGGCTTTCTGGCCTACCACAATGGATAAGGAGTCAGAGAAGGCGGCCAGAATATTACGAGGCTTTGTGAAGGACGGTTTCTACGAACAGGTTGACTCAAACCAGGCCAAGCGACTAGAAACAAGAGAGTCGCAGCTAGGCGTGCCCCAAGAAGGCGTACCTCAAGGCAAGCAGCGTGTGGTGGTCAAGATTCCTTCAACCATTATCAAGAATGCGGTGGCACTGGTCATATTTACCACCATGCGTACCGGTTGGGTGCTGGGTGGATCGGGAGGTTCTGGTGTGCTCGTTGCTAAACACCCCGAAACGGGCGAATGGAGCCCTCCAAGCGGCGTGCAAATCCAGAATTTGTCCGTGGGGTTCCTCATAGGCGTCGACATATACGACACTGTACTTGTTGTCAACACTTACAAAGCGCTCGAGGCATTCACCAAGGTACGATGTACCCTCGGCACGGAAGTTGGCGTGGCCGCCGGCCCTGTGGGTATTGGGGGGGCTCTCGACACTGAGGTTCACAAGAGACAGTCGCCTATCTTTTCATACGTGAAAAGCCGAGGGTTCTACGCCGGCATTGCACTCGAGGGCAACCTGGTCATCGAACGCACAGATGAGAATGCCAAGTTCTACGGCTATGAAATCACCGCCCAGGATATCCTTTTGGGCAAAGTCCGAGGTCCGCCTGTCGAGCAGTACCAGGTGCTCCTAGACACACTAAGGGCGGCTCAAGGTGATGACGTTGATGAGAGCCTTCTGCCGAGCAGTGGCATGGCGCCCAGCGACTTTGAAGTGGACGAACAAGGTGGTAGGTTGCTCACGTAAGCCAGGCCTTTTGTCCTGACATTGTATACAGGTCCAACCTTCGGCATCCCAGCCGAAAGTGACGATGATCCATATGGGGTGAAGGCGCTCGAAGCAGAGGGCTTAGTCATAAGAGAAGCTGGTACTCATCAGCGACCCTCGGCCGAGGCATTCGAATTCAAACCCTCCCCATCCTCTCCCATCTATGGCCATTTCTCCCGCAAGAGCACCGATGCCGGTTCGATACGCAGCAAGGCCTGGCGCTCGAGCACGCAAAGTCTCACCATGTCTGATCGAGGCACTCAGACAGACGAAGGCGAAATTAACTCCCCACGTAGAAGCAGCCGGCAAGTCAGTCCACCCCGGAAAGAAAGCCAGGATGTGCTTGGCACCGACCGGCAAGAGTCACCAGAAGGTGAGAGACGAGACTCGTTCTCAGACATTGACTCGGACGTGGAGATTCACGAAGTTACCCCTGTTGCAATGAAAGCACGGACGGTAAACGTGCCCAAGCGGATACCTCCTGCACTCCCGCCACGGAATCCGGGGCGTGTCAGCTCGCCCTCTCCACTGCACACAGAGCAGCCAGTCGTCCCGCCAGCTGATGGTTTCGATCAGATCGATCTGAATGGTACCACAGAAGAGAAGAAGCCTACAGGTGGAAGCGAAGACAATGATCGTCCGGAGCTCGCCAGAAGACACAGCACGGCGGAAGAGGATAAATTTGAGAGCATGCCAACAACGCCCATCGCAGAGAAAGACCAAGATACCACACTGAAGCATGATACAGACAAGCCGAAGGACCAGGAGAAGGACGGTTGGGGTTCGGTCTAAAGTTCTGGGTCGAGGCCATCAGATGAATGAGATGATTAGATTTGAGCGCAAGGTCGTATTGGATTTGGGCCGGATTACACAAAGGTTTTATTAGACCTCCTCTATAAGCTTGACCGCTTGTGCCTAATGTGATTCTTTCTTCTTCGCCGTACCGATAGCACTGGAACATATTCGGGCTAGTGACTTTGCAATGATCAGCAAACCCAACTGAGCAACACAAGGCGTAAGACACTGTCAAATATATTTGCTGTTCGCCAAGGATTTGACATGTCTCAATTTCAACATCTCTTCAAGCGCTTCACATCCACACCAGACCTCCCAGCTCACTTGCGTCGCCGCGTAGCAGCCCAAAATGCCGTCAGAGGCTTTCAAAGTCTCCGATGACTGCCTTTGTGGATCTGCTGCTTGGAAAGCGGACTATGCATGATCAACAAACACCTGCTTTATTTGCAGATGGGCATAATTCCCGGTGCGCAGATTTGAACTTCAGTGAATTGCTATTGCACACACCACAAACGGCGGTCAGTTGGTACTGAAGATAGCTGACTGATCACTGTGGTCATTTGATATGGCGCACATGCCTCTCAGTCGTCTGCTCCTTAGCAGGTAAGTAGAGCTGATTGTATCGGGGCTCGACCCTGGGTCAGCCCCTTGACTTTCTTAAGTGAGAGGACTCCGTCAGTGATGCTCTCATCTGTATCTGGCCTCCTATGCCTTGCCAACTCAGGGCTTCGAATGAGCGAAAGCTCTTTGCAAACGGCCATGTGGAGTCGACAAGCTTGACATGCGCACCCCCCGAACTCACAGCAGATCATATCAAAGACCCTCTGCTGTAGTCATCCACAGGCACAGCCAAGGCCAACAAAACCGACCAGGGCGCCCCCAAAACTACAACAGGCCACATGGTGAAAACCTCTGCTGTAATTGCCAAGGGGGAGCGCGTAAATATTGTCGACTTCTGATGGCTACTCTCCCTCTTCAGCAGCACTCCTCTCACTTCCAAGCCGGCCAGCCGAAGTCGGTACTGTCAGCTACGACTGAGGCAGGGATTCAGTCTCATCACCCAGACACTTGCCGGCACTTCTTCTAAAGACCCGAATCGCGTCGCTGACCACGGTATGTGTCACTTGTCACCTCAAGGCAGGTATCACGGCGACCTCTGCCGTAAGGCAAGGAGTTGAAACTTGCCAGCCGAGTACTCGCGGTAACGCGTCGTTGTCACTCTGCAATTGTCACCCCGCGTAGTGACAACCCCTATTCATTTCGAAGCAGTGACTGCCGCTATTGCGCCTCTCCCAACCTCCTCCAACCGCGTTGCCTCGTCGACACCCTATCACGCGTCGTGACGCGAGGCAGTGACCGCCATCAGGCTGTCTCCCCTAAATATTTAATCCTCCCTTCTTGATGTCGTGTCTGAATTGTTCTTCCCCCGATACTACTTGCGAATAGCAGTTTCTACGTCCTCTGTCTATCCAAAAGTCATACCATTATCGATCGATATCACTACTATCCTCTACCTACGCTTCTACCAAACCCAACCTCACTACCATTCTCTTCGCGCTAAGCAATCTTGTTGGCAGCAGAAATGCCTTCCAACGCGTTCTTCCGCGCCACTCGTCGCGCCTTCGGCAAGGTCAGCTTCCTCATCTATCATCATGAGCATTACTTACTGACTGCAGCCACAGAACACCCTTCCCACTAGCCCCATCACTGCCACCATGTCGAGCAAGTCCCCCTCCACCCGGGCCAAGAAGTCATCCATCGTGATTCAGGCGATCCTTGAGCCCTTCCGCAAGCTCAAGGCCAAGCTCCGAAAGACCAAAGGCGAGAAGGCTTGCGAGGGGGTTGTCGTCGATAGGCCTGCATCTCCTGTCGAGGCCTCCCAACATGCCACCGAGACCGCCGTGATCATCCACCCAACGGTCTCGAATGCCTCCAAGAGCGTCAGAAGCCCCGCTCAAATCGATATCAACAACATTGTCATCACTGATTTGGTGACCAGTTCCTACGCCACCTCCGGTGCAAAAGTCCACCACTCACTTTCATCGCTTTTGATGTCTGGGCCTATTGCTGTCATCGCAAAGCCCGCTGCGGTCTACGAGAAGGCCAAATTGCAGCACACCATTCGCGAGCTTCTCATGCTGTGCAGCAAGAAGGATGTCGAACACGCCGACGCCATCGAAACCATCAACAACGAGCGTGTGGCTGAGCTTGAACGTCTCAACGACGAGCATGAGTCGGTAGTCGAGAAACTTCGCGAAGACTACGATGCTATTGAAGAGGACTATGAGACCCTCAATAATGGCGCTCTCGCGCTTCAAGAACAAATTCAGGCCGCGAACGAGGAAATCGAGGTATTTAAGGGCACAGCAGAGGTCTCGCGCCAGAAGATGAAGTCGATGGAAGGCTTCATCCGTGTTGGATATCAGTGCCTAGTCGATGAGCAATCCAGATGCTCTGAATTGCGTCAAGAAAACCAGAGCATTGAACAGAAGCTGATGGACTGGCATGTGGAAGCCAGGAAATGGCACCGTGTCGCCGAGGAGCAGTTCAACGCCGCGGAGCAAAATCGCCTAGCCAAAAATGCTGCTGACGCTGAGATGCTTGAGTTCAAGAACAAGAGCATTTTCTTGGCAGATGATCTCGAGCAGAAGATGCAGGAGATCAGATCGCACGAACGTCGCAACGAGACGTTTGTGACTGAGTTTCAGCTGTACCAGGAAGACCACGAGCTCGAGCTCAATCAGCGCGACGAGGAGATCGCTGCTCTGAAGGCAGAGCTTGAGTCTCTAAAGGAGACCATTGATGAGAAGGACACGAAGATCTCTTCTCAAGAGGCTGAGCTTGCAGCTCAGATTGAACGTGTTGAAGCCAAAGACGAGAAGATCGCGTCTTTGGAGGGCGAGCTGGCGATGGCACGCACTGCCGCGCTCTCTACCATTTTCCACAACCGCCAGGTCTCCAACTCATCCCAGGAGTCTAAGGCTTCCTCGACTAGCCTCTGGTCTGAACCAATGAAGAGCTACGAGCTCGCATCTGCACCCGATTCAGAGCATGGCGAGTCCAACAAGGACTCTACCGAAGAGATATCCAACAACGCCAGCCCTGCCTCCTCCGCTTTCGAAATCGACTCGAACATCTTCGACATCAACACGCCAGTTGATATCGCCAACCCTTTCAACGCCCCCGAGACCAGCCAGGAAGAGCCAGTGTCCTACACGGGCACCACTTTCAACCTACCAGCCCCGACTCCTCCCGCCTCTCCGCCCACCACCATCTGCAACAGCGTGCGCTTGCCCACCTGCGAGAGCGTCATGGCTCACTTCCACGGCCTCGCGCAGAACCACACCTACACACCCGAGGTGCCGTGGTCCGAGGCCGAGCAGATCACGGTCACCGTAGGGGATAAATACTGCCTCAAGACGAGGGATCTAGGCTCCAACGCCGTTGAGTGTCCCTTCACCTAAGGGAGTCAAGTGAAGTATATGAATTTGGTCTTGGGATATGCATACGGGGAGGGCTCTGACCTCTGACCTGGGCATAGATATGGACTTGGGATACGCATACGGGGAGGCCTTCAGCCATTAAAGAGGGCCGTAGGGCGCCTCAGATATGGGAACCATATGCATACGGGGAGGGCTTCAGGCATCAGAGTGCGGCCCTGTGACGGCAGCGCGCCTCGAAGTCTTGCGCACGGCATTGCGGGATCACAGGCCTGCTTCTATAATCACATTCCCCACATTCGTCTTGAGCAGTACAGTTAGATATCTATGGGTGGTGCTTTCTGTTTTTCTTGTAACAACGAATTTCATGGGTATCATCCATCCGTCCATCCTTACATGCATCTGATCTACGGACCCACCTCACCAAGCGAGAGCTCGTAAGCCTCGAGCCCGAGCCCAAGCCCAAGCCCAAACATGAATATGGCTGGTTCCGTCATCGACTCTCAAACTCCACCTTCTTATCCGCGCCCTCAACATCCAGCAGACTCACTTCGCCGGCACTACCGTCCCTCTGCCTCGTCTGGACACCTCCGCCTAATGCGCTATCGTCTCTAGTCGGTTGCCTCAGACTCTGCACCTCCGCGCCCTCCAATAGATCCTGGTCACGTCTACCGCCCTTCTCGTCCTCGTCCTCGTCATCCTCGTCGTCATCGCGGTAACGCTGTCCTTGAGCGCGGGCGTTCATCTCGAACTCGCGCTGCGCGTCGTCCATGCGTTTCCGCATTTCAGTCGCCATGCGCATGCCGTCATTGACGATATTGTCTAGCACGCCGCGCAAGCCACGACTTCCTGGCTCGACGATACCGCCCACGGAACCCACGTCCACGACGGTCTTGTTGGAGGTAGCGCCGATGAGGTTCTTGACAGGAGTGCCGAGGTTGGTGAAGGTTGTCAAATTGCCGGACAGCGTGTTAGTTGGGGTGGGAAGTGAGGTGGTAGAAGCGTTTGCAGTAAGTTCTGCAAGTTTGAAGGACTGGGGAAAGAAGGTCTCGAAGAACTGCTCGAGAAGCTCATCGGCTAGAATGACCATTCGGAATGTGGGAAGCGTGATGTGCAGTGGCTTGGTAGGGTCGAGTGCGAGATTGTGGGAAGCAGCACGATTGCTGGCGCTGGATTTGCCAGCAGCAGACGGAGTCGTTGGAGGGGTCGATTCGGACAAGGGATCAGTGGATGCAGGCTTAGACCGGACAGGTGATTTGCTGTGAGACTTGCTTTCGGTAAGATCAAGAAGATTTTCTTCTTGTTCGTCTCCATCATCGTCGTCGCCAATGGCAAATGAATCCAGTTTGGATGCGGCTTCGGAGGTGTCGGTCTCGGGTTGGTCGGGGTCAGCGTATTCGAAGCAACGGCGAATGAAGGCACTGACGCTGCCGAGGAACCTCTCATTGATTGAGAGCTTCACGCCGTTGGATTCAAGAGGTGAAGAAGCTGCCGCGCCATTCAAGGACTCGCTGGGCGTAATCGCACCGTCAAAGCCACGCCTCGAAAGGAAGAGTAGAGATTCTGACATTCGTAGAATGCCCTCTCGATCCACCTTACCATTGCCTTCTTCGTCATAAAGATCAAAGAACATGCTCATGGAGTTCATGATATCAGTCGTGCCCTTTAGTCGAGCGAGGCCGTTCACAATATGTTGTAGAGTCAGTTGGCCCTCATGTGATGCATCCCACTTGCCGTAGAGCCGCTGCAAGAAGTCATGGTCCGCAGGTTCCGGACTATCACCCCAGGGAGAGATCGATTTGCTTCTATTCCGCTGAGACGTATTTGAACTGGACATATCTTTGGCTGTGGAAGTCGGGGAGTCTGTTCTCGCCCATCTGGCTGTCCGGGCAAGGAATTCTCTAAAGGCATCGTAGTCCATGGTCTGTAGCGGCGACTCATTTCTCGTAGGAGCGTCTCGATTGTCGGCCGACCGCTGCGTCCACAGACTTGGCCTTAGCTTTTGCTGTTCTTGTTTTTGACGCAGCGCTTCCCTCTCTTTCTGCCTTGCTTGGCGTTCTTGTAAAACGTTGAAGAAGCGGTCGTAGAGCACGCTCAGGTCATCTGCGCTGAGTTTCTTGCTTTCGGGTCCCAGGTTTCGGATGGACGTTCTCTTGGCAAAGGTAGCCAACCCTTCCTTGACATTGTCTATATGCTTGGCTCGGAGGTCGGCAATGGTGGCATGAGTGATGCCAGAAAACTCTTTGAAGGCCGTGACCATTAGTTCCTGAAATTTGGTAATCGCTCGCAGCTTCTCATTCTGTGAATCTGGATGCGCTGATTCGTCTAATCGGGAGAAGTATGTTTTGAGGATAGAGATGAACGAGCCGTCGTCGGAAACGTCCAGTAACTCCTCACCATTAATGCGCAGGATTGCCAGACCGACCTGAAACAACACCTTGGGCCCTTCCAGAAAGAACACGTCCAGGACCCGGAAAGCGAAGACCAAGGGCATGGAGTTGACATATAGAGACAGGAACCACGGTAACGAGACCACGGAGAGGTTGACATCAGACTTGACCAGGTGCTCCCACAGGACAGGCATTGTCTTCTCAACCAGGCCTTCAAATACCTTCTGATCCAGAAGAGTGCCGTACATGTCCTTGGAGTAGTATCCGGGCAGTAGGCGATCACACAGAGCACCTAAGAGATAGAATGCCTGCTCTTCAGAAGCGAAAATGAGCAAGGCCGCAGCGACAATGTTCATGGCTTGGCAATAGCCAACCTCTTCGTTGGTCCAACTGTACGCTGTCAGAACTCGACGTAACCTCTCAATCCCTTCCTCGCTCTGAAAGCCAGGATATTCTGGCAGGCTTCGGTTGAGATCCTTCTCAATCTCATCGATAGCAAGCGATTCCTTGCCCACAAACTTGTCGAGCGTTTTGTTGTACAGTTGGGGATTGCGTAGGCGGGTATAAAATGCGCCTGAACAGACTTCCCACATCTCACCCCGTAGACGGTTGGGTAAGCCAACCCTTATCAATTTGGAAAAGGTTGGCTGCCGAACGAGACTGGCGTTGCGGCCGTTCTCACGCATATACTCGCCCCACAAGCGCATTTTGCTTCTGTCTCGCAGCTTCCGGGCATCGCCTGGATACCTGAAGACCATTCCGAGACCGGCATCAGGCGGATCGGGACCTTTGTCACCGGACTCCTTGGCCTTGATACGGACAGGGTCAAGGAGGTACTCCGAGTAGCAGGACCTGGCAACTGTCTTCAGAGCATCAACCTCTTTCATGCCTTCCCTCAATCCCTTTTTGAGACCGTCACAGAAGCGCTCGCAGGAAGCCCGACTTCCGTCCAGGGTAATTATGAGTTTTCTGGTTGGTGGTGCACCAATGCTCTTCTCCATTGGCTGCTTCTGGGCAGCCTCAAAGGTGGTGAGTGCGAGCGAGAACTTGTCATGATGACTGTTGAGTCTCTCGACTCGTCTTATACTGCATAGCGGCAGTGTAAATCCCAGTCCTCCGGGACCGGCACCATTGGTCGGACCTGTGAAGTTCGTCGATGAACTGTGGCTAGAGGTGGGAAGGAAGGAGGTGCGGAGGGTTGAGAAGCAGAGGAAGCTCTCGCTCAGATGCAGTTCTCCTAGATATCTGTTGCCATTATTGTCTCTAGCCTTATCGCCGGACGTGGGAGCACCAGACGTCGAGGTGGGAAGCGGAAGGTATAGCTCTGCAGCAGTCTCGGCGAGGGGATTTTGAGATGGCGGTAATCTGAACTGCTCGCGGAAGAGGGCGGCTTTGGAGGGGCGGTGGTCACTACCGGGATTTAAGGGTGACTGATCGATGAAAGACTGTGCTTTTTGTACGAATGAGCTCAGCATGTTGAGAGCGGTTCAGCGGCCTGAGGCGATTGAGACATGGAGTGTGGACAAGGAAGCGGCGGGGGGCAGGGGGGTCGAACGCGTGCGGCCGGATGGATTACTGAGAGTTCATATCGAGTAGAGGAAAGCGCAGAGCGTTGGACAAAGGACAGTGGCAGACGACGAGCAAATGTTATAACATCTACAGACAGGAAATGCAGCCGTAGGACGCGGCTAGATCGAGGCGTTGAGGCTGAAGCACGCTTCAGTGAGGTGTCTTGCTTTGTGTCCGACTCGTTGGTCAGGCTGACCGTGACCGACAGGCACCGCAACCCACGCCCGCAGACTAGCTTGGCACCGCGAGGGACTCATTAGAAGCCCAGGATTTGCGATAGCGAGGTCAGCGCCTCCAGACTGACTGTTCTTTCGGTCAATGCACAATGCACCACGACAAGAGCGAGCTCGCTCGAGCGTGGGTACTTCACTGTGTTCTGCCACATTGCTCCTCGTGGACTTGTTCCTGAACGTCAGCGTTGTCGGTGCCAAGACCGGTGTACCCCCGCAACACTAAGCAGGCCATCCACGCCTAGACCTGCCACCCATCCCACATTATCCGCCCCCCGGGAGCCCCAAGCTAGCCCGGTATACCATGCAAGATAGATGTCGTGCGCGTGATCGACTCCTGTCTGCCAACCACGGCTTGCTTTGGTGCGTGAGCAGCAGTCTCAAGCGACAGCGCCTTATCAGTGCAATCTACTAAAAGGCTGTCAGAAGATGACGCACCGCAGAAGATGACGACCTTCCACTCTTACGACCCTTCAACCCGGAGTCAACAGGCCCAGCCAAAGGCATGCGAGGCCTGCTACGCCAGGAAAGTGCGCTGCGATGCTGATGGCAGCAACGAGGCCTGCCGCAACTGCCTCATCCACGGCGTAGAGTGCCGCTCGAGGACCCGAAAGCGCAAAGCTGCTGACCAGACTCCTGCTACGAGACCAACACCTCGCCCGCCCGCACCTGAACCCACGCCACATCAACGGAATGGCAGCGGATCGGGTCCTCAGCTGAGTCCTGTCGTTCCATTACCCACAGATCAATCTCAGATGCTAGACCCAAAGGATGTGTCAGCGCCGTTACTGTTCATCGGCCAGCAAAACCCACTAGCTAGCTCACCAGGCACTACCGCCAACGCCCAACAGTCTTCACACGACGAGTTTCACAACGCTGGCTACATCTCCCGCTCCGCTATCCTCGGCGACGACTTCCCAAACATCGACCACTCCAATGCTGAACAGCCTGTACGCCAGCATAAACTGTCCGCCACCGAGCTCCAAGTCTTGCACTTGTATCACGCATTCGATTTGCCAGAGCTGCCACTACGGCAAAGTTTGCTCGAAGCATTCATGGACAAATGCTTGACTTGGATGCCGGTGGTCAACGTCAAGTCGCTGGGGGCGACCTCCACGGACGGCGATGGCTCGCTTTTGCTCCTCCAGGCAGTACTACTGGTAGGATCGCTGATGCGTCCAGATACCTGCTACAAAGCTACGCTTGATTCTCACTACCAACGGGTGAAAGCCTTAATCAACTCGGGCTATGAGCGGAATCCACTAAATATATTAGCGTCATTGTGTCTAATACAGTGGTATACCCCTTCAGCGCCGAGAGACATCTCAACCGACACTGCCCGCTTTTGGGAGAGCTGTGCCTTGGGCATCGCGCAACAAATTGGCCTCCACCGTCAGCCAGAACGGAACAAGCCGGACTACGGCCTGCGGCGGCGTATCTGGTGGACACTCTTCATTAGAGACAGCCTGATGGCCACTGCCCACGGCCGACCACGGATGCTCAATTTGGCCGATTGTACAATGGAGCCGCCCTCGATATATGACTTTGACAACAGTGCCGACGTGAGAGCCCAGATCTTCGTGGCATATCAAGACATCACATGCCTCTTATACGATTTGTGTAACTTCCTGCTCAAACCTCAACCGCCGCCAGAAGAACGCACACAGATCTCTCAACGCCTCGTCGCCCTCTGCCGCAATCTACCGGATGCATTGCGCCTTCAGGATTCTGACGGTTGGCAACGGCCATACAATTTCGAGATTGCACAGCTTCATGCTCCCTTGCTCACGACGATTGCCATCTTCTACCGCCCGCGATCGGTGTTCGCTATTTCGCCCGAGAATGCTGCAAGCATTGCAGCATCCAATCTGAACTTTCGCATTCTCCAGGCGATTCATCTTCGGGAGGAAACGCGCTACTTGGCCTCCCCATTCTCGTTCTACGGCATGGTAGCGGCTATTCCACATCTATCATGTCTTAGAGTTGCCGGACTCCGGGCAGAAGCTGATGTAGCTTTAGACGCGATCGAAAGCTTCATGGAAAAACTGGGAAGCGTCCGTCCAGCTGCTGCCAACAATCTACGCAACGTTCGAGCTATCCGCAAAGCCATTAATTCCACAGAACAGTCCGGATCCAAGACAACCAGACTCACAGAGTCTGTTCACGATCAGACCTCACTTGCAGCGGCAGCCGAGATGCTTGGTGTTCTATATGGGGCACAAGCCACACAGAATCTTCACAATATCACGACCATTTTAAGTGCATCGATCGAAATCCCTTCGCGGCAGACGGGACAAGAAGCCGCACAACAACAAGTATACCCCACTCCAGACCTCAACGGCATGAACTTGAATGGCCACCTGACTGAGCCGAATGCCTTTTCAGAACAAAGCCACATGGGACTGCCGACAATAGCAGATTTCGGAGAAGGTTTCAGTCCTGTCCTAACGAACCACTTCCAGGAGAACACTTGGATGCGAAATTGGATAGACGACCTTCATCTGTTCCCAGAGTGATGCCATGGATGGCTGTAACAATACACATGAGGTCTGCTGGACTCTATAGCTTGGCTAGTACCTGCTTCACACCCAAGCCACCTTTAACAATTTCTTCGCTACGATAGTCGGGGTTCACCGTCAGTTTGTTCAAGGGGTTGATCACGTGGGCGCGGTAAAACAGATCTTCGTACACTCTGCCATCGTATCGACCCATCGCACTGAAACTCGTCAGATGTGATCAGGATCGTGTGGGGATGACATACCTGTCAAGGAGGAAGTCGGGGAGAGCGAATGAATCAACCAGTCGAACAGCATGCGGCCGTATTTGTTCCATTAAGCTGAGGATGCGATCGGGCAAGGTGTCCAATACCTCAGGTCTGACCCCTGACGAAGTCTGGAACTCTCGGGCTTCCGCATCAATGGTGTAGAAACTAAACAGCCTGAACAACGCTTTCAAAACCTCAGCATCCTCTCGTCTGAGGTCAGACTTTCTCGTTGCATCAAAGAAGTTCTCGATAAGTATCGATTGGGAGTACGCTGCAAAGTGGTTAGCATAGCATAACTCTCCAGTCGCATCAACGTACCTCTGCTCAGCTTATGCAGAGCTATCAGTATGCTGTTCCATGGTCTCTTCTGCACCTCTCGAGCTTCATACGCTTTGTACGCAAGCCACGAAGTTCGCCAACGAAAAGCCTCCACGATGCTTGCATCATCTCCGAGAACATCGAAATGCGGCTGACCATCGCGGTTGGACAAGTAGGATTTCAGGTTCTGCTCCGTCGGACTTTGCACTACTCTGTCCGGATTTGCTGTCTGCTCCGCCACCTTCTTGATCAGGAATCGAGATACTTGTTGGGTGATCATCCAGTTGTCCCCTTCCACTGTGGGCTTGGCCAAGTAGTCGTTGTTCAGCTGGATGAGCCCAGTCCCTCCGCCAAAACCGTGGCCACCCATCGCTCGCCGACATGTCTCCACGCTATTGGCGGCCAGGTCTGTTGCCAGGCTTTTGAGCCCTGCGGATGTGGTATGCAGCTCCGCCAGCTGGGCATTGTCGCTTTCCAGACTGTTTTGCGCCCGCGTGCGCTCATACAGACTCCACATTGCGCTGCCGCTGTAGTGAAGTGCAAAAGCGGTTGCCAGCAGCGGCAGAATTCGAATCTGGACCGTCGAATAGTCGAGCACAGGCATTTCGGGTGCAGATGAATCGTGGGAGTCTTGGTCCCGGAATTGCCGTCGAATCGAGAGATACCGCACCGCCACTGTTACAGCTCGCGCAATCACCAATCTTGCATTCAAGACGATGAAGGCGCGACCTCTCGTCAATTGCCCATAAACCGAATTGGGATTCTTCGGCCGAGTGTATACTCCTGTCTCCGGGTTGAGACTCGCATAGCGTGCCAGCAGGGCACTGTGAGGCACCCTGTGGAAGCGGAAGAGGCAGTAGGCATTGTCCATGGGAGCGTAGCCATATTTGGCATTGATGTCGCCGACAATGATGGATTCTGGCGGGAGGTGCGTCTTTGGATCTCGGACCTGTACGATGAACGGACGAGGGCCTTTCGATTCATACCTCGTCTGACCACTACCGTCCTTCCCGACCGGGAGCATCAGTTGTGCCACGACCACGGCATGAGTGGCTGTCCGGCCAAGAGTTCCATTCCACCATTTACTCGCCGTGAGCGACGGAGAATGGATCACAAACTCCTTGGTAGCGGGATCCCACCTAGCCTCGCACTCGATTCCACGAACGTTGCTGCCATGACCGAGCTCAGTCTGCGCATACGCGCCTATGATCTCCCATGAGTCGATCTTCGGTTGCCAATACTGCCGCTGCTCCTCACTACACTGCTCTTTCATGGCAGCCGCGAAGAGTGACATGTGCAGATGATACGGCAGGATGTCGTCAATCAGATACTCGGCCATGAGCAGGTCGTCGTTGTCCCAGCCATGTTCGTCCATCAGCTGCCGCATGCGCTTTCCTCTGGCAAGACCCAGGACATACCGATCAGGCCGGGAGAGGTTTGCCTGATTGGCCTTGGAGAAGATCTTGTCCTTCTGCAAGATGCCGCTCACGCGGGCCAGGCGCTCCAGATACACTTTGCCGAAGAGATGGGTCGACAAGGCATTGACGTCGATAGACGAACGCTGCCGCTCGTACCTGAGGATTTCGGCCCCGTCAGCGCCAGCGGCGGGCTTGAGATCTCTGCTCCAGTCCATAGCCGATACCGTAACTTGTCAAGCCCTTGGGTGAGGTGTTGATGCTGGATACCCAAAGCCCTTTGTGTCTCGTCGCAAAGCCTCTCGAGGCTTGGTGCTATGCTTGAATGCAGGAATACCAGTATCACCTCGGTTGTGGGACAGGCAGCAGACCAGGCCCTTGGTCTTTCTAAGTACTGCAATGCAATTTCGTATACCACCGGGAGAAAAGCAGATCAGACAACCTTTCTCTCGTCAGGTCAGGAGTCACGCCATTCCACGTCTCCTCCGTCACCACTGTCAAGCCGAGCTGTTTGCAAAATAAGTCCGATACATTAGCAAGGCGTCCTCCCAGGAGACCCAACAGGCACAATTCCCGGGCCCCAACCAGAGTCCAGACGCAGTAGCGGCTCATGGAGGGCGTTGGGCGGGGCCTTGGCAAATACCCGAAAGCGGAAATCACCGAAGTCGGGGCATCGGGCGTGTATCTGCAGCCACGGTGGATACTGTATACTTGCGACCATGGAGGGAAATGTCCTGGACGGCCGCTGGAGTGCGCGATATACAGGACAGGACTAGGTTGTGGTTCTCGGGAGGAAAGGTTTTGGCGCCGAGAGCGAGAGAGAGCGAGGGAGCGATGGAGAAGGACTGACAAGCGCTGCGCGTGGCGGAACTAAGCTACGTGTGAAGGGTCAGGAGACTCGCATGGGGCTTGCCGAGCGCGGGTTTGGCGTTGCTTCGTTGGGAGGGATATCTGGACGACGAGATGTGCTGGATAGCATTTGGCATTGAACATTGGGTGACTGTCATGCAGCGGTGGTGTTTGTGGGCTGGGAGGTCATGCAGGGATGATGAAGATGGGTTTGATGCTGTTATGACCACGATAATTGTTGTTGCAGAAGTATCTGCTTGCTAGCTTGCTGGCTCCCAACAGCATACTGCATCTTCCAGACACTGTCCCTCGGGTTCAGACGATGACGGGGACCCTGTTGCAGCATCACACAAAAGTTTGCTGCTCGCCACCACCACCACCACCACCACCCTTTTTACTACCACTGCCAGTTGCAAACCCGCTCTCGGGTGCGAAATCTACCGCTTCTCCTTTCCCCCCTCAACCACCTCCTCAACATGCCTCGCCGTCTCCACATCGCCACCCAACCCCTTCTCCTCCAAGACCTGCCTCTCCTGCTCCTGCAACCTCGCCGCCTCACTCGTCATGGCCCTGCCCGCATCCTCCAGCGCCTTCAGCGGCATCGCGTGCCCATACTTGCGCTTCCGCCGCTGCGCCTCCCACAAGTACCAGAACGGCAGACTCGCGTACAGAATCAGGGTGAGCGACAGCGTCGCCAGACTCGCGGCGAAACCCGGGAGGTACCAGGGCGCGTCGGCGTGCGGGAAGATCTGCGGGCCGATGATGCTGCCGACGCTCAGGGAGGCGACGGCGACGGCGCCGCCGACGGCCTGCTCGGTCGCGCCGTAGAGGGTCGCGGAGCGGTAGGCCAGCGCCGCGGGCTGGCAGATGGAGACGGACTTGCCGAGAAACGCCAGGCCGTAGAGCGCGATGGGCTTGATACTCCCGTAGGACTGGTTGATGGAGACGTGCGTCCACACGGCGAAGCACGGGATGGCGATGATGATGGGGAACAGGTAGTGCCACATGCGGTCGCGCGTGGCGTCGCTGTGCAGGCTCCACAGGTAGTACTCGGCGAGCGCGACGAAGTAGATGGCCGAGGTGTAGACGTTGGACTTGGTCGACGAGAAGTCGAGGAAGTTGTTGAAGATGACGGGGAGGAAGGTGCCGAGTGCGGTCGCCACGATGAGCACGCACACGTACGCCACGAAGAAGACTTGTGTGCTCGGGCGGGTGATCACTTGCCAGAAGACGGGCCAGGACCAGGTCGCGTCGGTGCGCCGTGTGGCGCCGCGGCCGAAGCGGTTGATGGCGATGTGTCGCTCTGTTGAGAAGGGAGGCACAGTCAGTACGGGGTTGTGTGGTTGTGGGTTAGTGGCAGAGCAAAAGCCCAGAGTGATGTAAAGAAGGGTACTCACCTCGCTCAGACAGTGCCTTGCTGTCTTCTGGGAAGGTCAAGAGCATGAAATAAACCGGGACCGACATGACGATGGGCATAAGGCCTTCGATAAGGAACAGCCATCGCCACGATTCCAACCCGGCCACGCCGTTGAGTCGGTCAACTCCCACGGCGAGGAAGCCACCTACACCAGAGGCTAGGGAGTTGGCGGCGTGGAAGATGCCAAGGCGAAGGGCTCGTTCGGATGGCTTGTACCAGAAGGAGAAGTAGAGGAGGCAGGTTGAAACAACGCCCGCTTCGGGGATGCTGCGAGTTGAGTCAGCAAAAGGTACGAAATGCAGTGGGATGTGGGATATGGTATTGAACGTACCCGAGGAAGAACCGACCGGCCAAAAGGCCGGCGGCGTTCTTTGTTGCCGCGATAGTGCAGACGACGGTGCCGAACAAGACCATGATGATCGGAAAGTATCTCTTGCCGCTGATCTTCTTCATGAGCAGATTCGACGGCAGCAGCAGCGCCGTGACGCTGAAATAGGTGACGGAGACAGCCCAATTGAACTGGGCACCCACAAGGCCCAGGTTGACGTTGATGTTGTCGGGCCGCTTGCTCTGCATCGTCGACGCGTACCCCATGTTGGCACGATCCAGATAGGCGAGGAAGTAGACGATGCAGCAGGGGAAGAGGACGCGCAGGTCGAGTTTGCGCACGAGCCGTCTCTCCTCGGCTTCGCTCCAGTCTTTAACGGCGTTGACCTCTTCTGCGCGGTCTTGGCTGGCGTCTGAGGATGGTGTGAGAACGAGCAACGACGAGCAGATGGAGGGCAAGGTTGAAGATGCAATACTAGTATTACCTACCGCCATATTTGCGGGGGATGATGGCTTCCTTGATGCCCCATCCACCGATATACACACCCTCGGCCTCGACCTCGCGGCGGGCCTGTTTGAAATCGAAGAACACCATGATGTCTCTGTGCTAGGGCACAATGAAGCAAAGGAGGGGAGGTGGAAGTGGCGCCACCTGCTCACGATTGCGAGGGCGAGCCACCACTATATACGATGTAGTCCTCAATCAGCAGACCCCATCTCCGCCAGCTCGTCTGTGATGGCCAAGGCAGTAGTGTACAGTATCCTGCATCCTACATCTTACTATAAGGGGAAGGATAAGTGCATTCCGAGGCTTCAGCGAGCACAAGTGATGCCGCTGCCAAGCTTGATACTCCAAGCGTTCTCCAAGCTATGCGAAGCCTGGAAGGAGCGTTCTTTTGTTCTCCACGGGGAAGACAAGGCAAGCCCACAGATTGCTTGTATGACCTTGGAGGCGAGATGTGGGGAGGTCGTTCCGAGCAAATGATCCCGTGTCTTGGCGCGGAGCAGGGGGGTTGGGCAAGGATGAAGGGCGGCATATGCGGGGGAGGAGAAGTCGGCCATTTCCTGTTTGGGTTTTGATATCGCCTTCACAAGGAGCAGCTATGGCCGGTCCCGAGGTTACCACCGGAGTCTTGGTTCACTCGCAGACAGGTCCACTACACGAGGCAGTATGTCGGAGTGAGTCCGGAAAGATCAAAGTGAAAGCCTCGATGGTTGTGGAGCTAATACCTCGATGGCTCTAGATGGTCCAACGTCCAAGACCTCTACATCTCGTCCTTGGCGGCAAGTTTCTCGTTCTTGTCAGTTTCGTGGTCTTCGACGGTGACTGAATAGATAGCATGGCAACGCAGCACAACATCTTCCCTCATAACACCCAAGTCGGCCATCCGCCGGCACTGGAATCTCCCTCGCCAGCTGCAACCATGGATCTAGACGACAGGGACAGCTATGCCCCGAAGCATGTAGGGCCAAATGTCTTCCCAAACTTCCTCTACTGGGGACGCCTCGTTCGCCTGGCGCACAAGCAGCATCTTGTCGCCGTACGAGATGTCACGTTCGGCTACACCGCGTCCTACCAGCAGCTGCTCACGGACGTCTTGCACTTCCGCAACCATCTACGCTCCCGAATGGACGCCAGCACTCTGTCTCGCATCGATAGCGACCAGGAGGTGTTCGCCAACGTGCTCGGCCCAGGCGGCTACGAGTTCACAGTGGCGTTTCTGGCGCTGGTGGCGTTGGGCGTCGTGGTGGTACCGATCTCGATGGACCTGCCGGTCAAGGAAGCCACCTACTTTGCCACGAAGTGCAAGTCGGTCGCGGTTGTCACTGCGAGCAAGTGTATGAAGTTGGGGCGTGAGCTCGAGGGCGTCATGCGTCAGACTGCCAGGTCGGACTTCCAGTGTGTCGAGATTGCGCCACATCTCATGCAGACACCGTTGCCGCTGGATCAGATCATCGTCAGCAGCGACAAGTACTTCGACATGAACAAGTCCGGCATGATTATCTTCACATCCGGCACAACCGGGCCGCCCAAGGGAGCGGTCAAGCGCCGGGGATTTTTCGTCGATGTGGCTACTATGTTCAGCGACCAGTACGACATGCGCGAGGGTGACAAAGTGCTGCACGTGTTGCCTGTGCACCACGCTACCGGTGTCACTCTTACTTTACTTCCTTTCTTGTGGGCGGGCGGGTCCATCGAGTTCCGGTCCGGTGGCTTCGATGTGGCATGGACATGGGATCGTATCATGAAGGGCGACCTGGACTTCTTCTCGGGCGTGCCGACCATCTACATGCGGCTGATGGCGCATTACGAACAGGTGCTAAAGAAGCTACCAGAGCAGCGGCGAGTGGCGTACGATCAAGGCGCGAGGAGGATACGCAGTATGCTATGTGGAACGTCGGCATTGCCCAGGCCGCTGCAAAACAACTGGACTGCCTTGAGGGATGGCAAACCCATCTTGACGAGATATGGCTTGACCGAGGCAGGAAATGCATTCAACGTTGCGCCCTGGCTCAAGAACCTGCCTGACGGCACCGTGGGACCCAAGATGGCGGGCGTGGACGTCAAATTGACGAGCTATCCAGAAGGCGAGATCCTGATCAAGAGTCCAATCATGTTCAGCAAATATCTTTTCGACCGGGAAGCCACAGAAAAGAGTCTGGATGCCGAAGGGTACTTCAAGACGGGGGACATCGGCCGAAAAGACGGCGACTACTACTTCATCCTCGGTCGCGCGAGCGTCGACATCATTAAGAGCGGCGGCTACAAGATCTCCGCCCTAGACATCGAGCGTGAGATCCTCGGCCTGGACTACGTTGCCGAAGTCATGGTCGTGGGCGTCGAGGATGAAGAATTCGGCCAGCGTGTCGCGGCGGCTATCGTGCTCAAGCCAGATGACAAGAACGACGGACTGACGCTGGATCGTCTGCGTCAGGATCTGCGCAGCAGTCTGGCCGGCTATAAAATGCCGACACTGCTGCGCGTCGTGGATGAGTTGCGCAAGAACGCCACGGGCAAGGTCATCAAGAAGGTTTTGGTCACGGAGTTATTTCCCAGCCAGGAGGCGGAGGGCGTGCAGAAATGGACGAGTAGGAAGAGCAAGCTGTAGAGACATAAGTCTTCCAAAACACGTACAACCAGGGAGGGAATACCTATAGAGAGATAAACTCTTCTGCAGACACCAGGCGGCAATCTTTCTGGAATCATTTACAAAACGACCTACGCACATCCCATCATAACTTGACCTTCGGCGCCCTCGCCGTCTCTTTGCGATGCACATAACTATTCGCCGCATACTTTGCCCTGGCCTCCCCCCACAACTCATCCCTCAACATGGCATACACGCCCATGCGCGCCTTCCCCTTCCACATCTCCGCCACCTTGAGCGCCTCGCCCAGCATCTCCTCCGGCTCGGCCACCACGTCCACAATCCCGTCCGCCAACGCCTCCTTGCCCGTGAACTTATGCGCCTGCAGCAGCGCCTTCCTCGCCACCCGCGGGCCCAGCTTCAAGCGCAACAGACTCCCCATGCCGTCGTGGTGCAGGCCCGCGTTCACCGGCGGCATCTGCCAGAAGCCGCGGCGCGAGTTCATGACTCGGTAGTCGTGCGCGAGGGTCAGGAGGCAGGCGCCGCCGAAGACGTGCCCGGTGATGAGCGCGATGGTTGGGAAGGGGAAGTCCAAAACTGTGTGCAGCAAGGGGTAGAAGCCATCGCTGGAGGCGAAAGTGTTGGTGTCGCGCTCGTACAGGTCGAGGCCTGTGGTGAAGAATTTGGGCGAGTGGCTGTTGAGGATGACGGCGCCGTCTGCGTCGGGGCCGATTTTGGCTTCCTGTTGCTAGAGTTAGGGGGTACATGGTGGCGGCGAGGAGGGGACAAGAGAGGCGTACGACTGTTCTGTAGGCGCGGATGAGCTCTTGGCACATGGCGACGTTGAGGCGGTTCTCGGGCGGCTTGTTCATGGTGATGATGTAGATGTTGCCGTGCTCACCGGCCTTGTCGATGGAGACGTACTCGAAACTCATGGCTGCTGGAGTTGTGGAGGTCGCTGTTGTTGCGACTGGCAATTACGGTAGTCGTGACTTTGTTGTACAGCCTTCGAAGAAACCAGAATACGGCCACCGGAACAGGCCGCAGAACCCGGCCTGACTGTCCGTGGAACAGTGCCCGGTTTAGTGCTATGCCGGAGGTGGCTACTCGGTATGTCGGCGCCTTACATGGTTGCTGTGTGGGGCACAGGTTGCCTTCTCCAACTTCTGCTGCCTCGGTGTTGCCAAAAACGGTTGGTTCCGAGCAGGTCCTGTACAGCAGTGCGTCGTCCAAGATGTCATGTCTGTGGAGAAGGCTAGCAGTATGCAGCCAAGTCCGTGAGAGCTCACGACACCTCAGTGATACTACGAGCCGCGGCAAATGCTCCCTGGTAGTACGCGACAAAGTGGTCTGATCACGCTAGTCCAGATATATATGCTGCTGGCTTAAACCTCGAACCTGCTGGACAAAGGGTGCGTTACAGTCGCAGTCGTCGTCGCTGAAGTTCATCAAACTAGTTACGGACTTATCAAGATGAGTACCGACTCACAGGTCCGGAACATACCGAAGACGGTAAAAGAAGGCCCCTTTGGTGTCTTTCTATGGGGTGGCCAGGAGAAGTTCGACCGCCGACGAGATGTCTTCCAGGAGCTTTCCACGAACCCCATGTTCGCCAAAGACACTGGTGCCCACACCAGTCTCGCTCGGAAAGATGCCTGGACCAAAGGCGCACTGCAGTCGCGTGAGCTCATCACCATCAAGCTGCGTAAGAATTGGCCCCATCGCCACTTCATGGACGCCATTCGCATGACGGATTGGTTCCTGCCTGTCCAGCCCCAATTTCGCATTTTCATGTCAAACCTGGAGCGGCAGATGACCGACGAACAGAAGCGGATATGGATACCAAAGGCGGAGAATTTCGAAATCTTTGGCTCGTACCCGCAGACGGAGCTGGGGCATGGATCGAATGTTAGTGGCATTGAGACGACTGCTACTTTCGATCCATTGACTGACGAGTTTCTCATCAATTCACCCACAATCAGCAGTACAAAGTATTGGATAGGTGGATCTGGAATATGGGCGACGCACGGCATTGTGGTTGCGAGGTTGATCATTCGAGGTCAGGATCACGGTAACCACCTGTTTCTCACACAGCTGCGGGATCTCAAGACACAACAACTCATGCCTGGAGTTGAGATCTACGAGATGGGCCCAAAAGCGTTTCAGGGCATGCTGGGTGCTGACACTGGTGCTCTCCGATTCCATCACGTGCGCATACCGCGGGAACAAATGTTGATGCGGAACGCTCAGGTTGAGCGGGACGGGACTTACATCAAGCCGAAGAATACAAAGCATTCATACGGCTCTATGGTCACTGTAAGAGCACTGATGGCAGAAATTACAGGCCATGATCTACTGAGAGCCGCTGTGACTGCTTATCACTACACCACCTTCCGCAAGCAGTTCAAGCGCGACCGGGTCAATGATAAGAACGAGACAACTGTCTTCAACTATGCTAGCGTCCGCCATCGCCTGCTACCTCTCCTAGCACAAGGCATCGCGCTCGTGCTGGTAGGCCAGAACATCAATCAAGCATACCAGGAATACACTCAGCAGATGCTCAAAGGCGACACGTCCGACCTTGAAGACCTACATCTACAAACCGTTGGTGCCAAAGTCTACTCGACCGAGATTACGGGCAAAGGCGTCGAGACATGCCGCATCGCCTGCGGCGGACACGGCTACAGCGGTCTGTCCGGCTTCGGCAGGATGTACGCGCACGCTATCAATGCTGTGACATACGAAGGCGACAACTACGTGATTGGACAGCAGGTCCCTCGCGCCATCCTCAAGCACTACAAGAACAAGACGGAGGCTTCTCTTCCCAGCATCTCCTACCTGTCAGTACTCCGAAGCGAGAAGCCGCGGCAGCCACCTGCAGACCTCACGAATGCCACCTCGTGGACGAGTCGGGGCGTGCAGCAGTGGGCGCTGGAGCAGCGCCTGGTGAGCATGGTGAGGCAGCACATGGAAGACACCAACGCGAATGTCGACACGAGCTACACCACGCATGCGCTGACAATGGCGCACTCGGACTTCGCATACTGGCGCGGTCTATGGAAGGTGGTCGACGCAATCTCGCACGAATCCTTTGTGGAGCACATGAAGGCGCTGGCGCACGTCTTCTCGCTCTCGATCATCTACAACCCGCACCACCCGTCGCTCAGCCAGCACCTGCCGTTGGCGCCGAACCAATTGGCGGCCCTACGCAAGGCGTACAGCGAAGTGCTCGCTGATCTAGGCGACAACCACGTGGCAGCCATCATCGACGCCTACGGCCTGACCGAGTACGAGATGGACTCGGCCTTGGCGCGGGCGGACCAGACGCCCTACGAAGCACTGCTTGAGGGCGCGAAGCGCAGCGAGATGAGCGGCGAGAAGATGAGCCACCTGTGGCCCATGATGGTGGATACGCGACAGATTTGGAAGCGCGAAAAGGCCAAGGCGAAGCTATGAGACGGCCACCGAGGCAACAGGCCACGGTCCAAAGGCACTATAATCACAACCACGGAACCTCCATCAACGTCGGATCATCCCCCACCGTCTCCCAGAAACTGCCGTTCTGTTTCTAGCCTTTGTCATGCACCACCCTAGCGCCCTCCGCCGGCTCCCGCTTTGCCCCTGAAGCCATTGGAGCCCGTCCGACAGTATCCGGGACTCACGCACTGGAGCTCTACGGCCCACTCCTTCCCGCCCTCCAGCCTCGCAAAGTCGACGGTCAGCATGTTCAGCGCCGCCTTGCTCGTGTCATCGCCATGGCCTGGCTCGGCGGCAGCTGCCCGGACGCGGCTCGTGTTGGTGTTGTAGGTGTCGCTCCCGGCTTGACGGTAGTCGGACAGGTCGGCTGCTTGGGGGTCGGCGGCATGGCCGGCGTCGTTGATCAGAACAGCGAGGTGGCTGCAGGTGGACGTAATGTGGGTGCGGCGAATCGGAGGGAGTTGTCTGAGGTGATGTCCAGGGCCCGTACGGAGAGTGAGGTGGCGAGGCTGGCGGAGCGGAGGGTGGATATCGCGTCCTCGCCTGCGATTCTGGAGCGGCAGCCTGGGGTTACGATGCTGGAGGTGAGGTCTGGTGGGAGGCAAGGAGCTTGCGGATGGCGAGACTAACACCTCGATTGGCACCTTCAACAAGGGTGACTTTGGGAGTACCGTATTGCATATTTTCGAGCTGTTATCCAGACTAGCCATCCACGGCGACTAATAGCATAGTTTCGCCGCCCATCTCACAGCGTCACGAAGTCCTTCTTCGCAGCAGCAGCAGCAACCACGCCCTCCCCCTCCGCAACACCCACCTCCGCTCCCCAGCGCTCCTCCACTACCCATCCTCGCACCTGCAATTCCCTAAAGATACCCTCGTAGTCCGCCCAGTCCACTCTGGGGCCCGCCCAGACGAGGCTCGTCAGGTTCACTCGCCGACTCCTGCCCTCGGTGGTCCTGTTGTACCCCATTCTTTCGCTCTCATGATCTTCCGCGGTGCCTGTAGACCGCATTCCCTCCGCTACGCCTAGCCACGCGTCTAGGTACCGCTGCAGGAGCGTGGGTTGGCGTGGGTAAACGAAGAGCAGCGCTACATCCACACCACTCTCAACTCTCATATCCATGTCCATATCCACGTCCAAATCTGCGTCCACGCCAGAAGATCCCTCAGCGCCTATTTCTGACTCTCTATCCTCGTTCCCTTCGTGCCCATCATCCCTTGCCCCCCCTCCACTATCACTTCCACCACCAGAACCACCATAGCGCACTTCCTCCCCCAAAAACCTAGCTTCCGCTTCTGCCGGTCCAAGAACATCCCACGTCCCGCCCACCACCACCCTTCGGCACGCGCGGAGGTAGCGATTCAGGTGTGGCGTGCCATTAGTACCGTCCCTGTCTCCATGTGGGGCGGGGACTTCGACGCCGAAGACTTGGATCTGCTGCTGCTGCTGGCGCCGCTCGCCTCCCTGCTGTCCATGCTGCTGCTGCCGGCGATCCTGTTTCTGCCTCTGCTGTTGCCGCTGTTGTTGTCGTTGCTCGTCTTGGCAACGCTTGAGAAGCAACGCTTCAAGGACCCCGGTGCCGGAGCCGATGCTGAAGAGTCCGTGACCCCGATGACGGCGGGCTGGTCGTGGTGGTGGTTGATCCTCATCTGTGGCTGCATGGTTGAAGTGTCGCCGGAGGAATTGCGTGAGGTGCGAGATCAGCGTGATGGACAGGGCGAGGCAGCTGTGGTGATGGCGGATTGGGGTGGTTGTGAGTGTTGGCAATGGGAGCGGGAAGATGTCTGTGTCAGTGGTGTACAGGGAGGAGATGGAATTGCCTTCAGCTTGTTCGTCCGAGGGAGGACGGGATGGTGCTTTAGCCGGCGGGTCGGCCATTTGGCGTGTAAAATTGTTCGTGGTGTGGTAATGATAGGGAGTTGGGCAGGTATATTGGAAAAGAAGTAAAGTAGAAGGAAAGTTGAAAGAGCTGTGCTTGAGGAGCTTGAACCTGAGTGGAGCCACCAATACGCTTCAATACATTATGTCGTTGAGAGTCAAATAAGACATCTATCCCTGGCTCGTGGTCGCTACAGTCCATCAACAAGATGGACGCCTGAAACAGGCAACCTCCTCACTTGTCGGTACGGTACGCCACGCCTACAATCGTCTTCATCTGGACGCTCTCAGTAGTGATCAAGCCATCATAGCGCAGGAGTACGCCACTAGAATGTGCTCTGCGCCAGCCTGCTCGCGGCATTCCTAGCGTCCACACGATCATCGTCCTCATCCTCCTTGACACTAGACAGACTTGCACTGCCAGTCCCACTCCGGGGTCTGCCTGTGGTCGCGCCTTCACCATTTGCAGTCTTGCCCGACGGCTCTTCGGCCTCGATGACGCCACCCAAAGTACCCGACAGGCTCCGCGCCAGCCCAGACCTAGATCTCTCAACACCGCTCCACGCATCTCCTTTTGCGGTCTGACTGCTCGCCATACTGACCCTCCTGATCTGCGGATGCGCTTCCCTACCGAGACGACTCAAGCCTCCTGAGCTGTCGATCTGCCTAACGTCCATGCGCACGCTCTCCAGGGTCGCCAGCGTGCGACGTTCAGACTCGATCTGCCGCACTGCGTATTCGCGCACAGCCTCCAGCATCTCGGCGCTCGTACGCGCAAACCACTTACGCTTCTCCAACAGCAAATTGCCCGTTACCCGCTGCGTTTTGCCACGCAGATACTGCTCCGCTGAAGCGGCTTCGTCAAGTGCGGCGATTGCCTCGTCAACCTTGTCGCGCTTGACACTTGTGCTGCTCTTGAGGCGTGTGACCGCGGCCTCCTTGCTTCGACGGGATTGCTCGGCTTGCAATAGCTCACGGAGCAGTATATGTCGATTAGTCAGGGACTCCTTGACAATGAAAGCGTCAGAAGCGTGGTAGGCAAGGGGATCGCCAAGCGTCGTGGCCTCGGCGGTGCCCTGGGCCGCGTGGTAGTCGCCGACGGTCTGGATGACACGACCAAGCTTGCGGTAGGCGTTGGACAGCCCTGAGTGAGTTTCTTGGACGTGCAGTTGACCAAACTTTTCGCCGAGAGAGGACTCGGCAAGACCAAGAGCTGCGAGAGTCAGTGGCGGAACAAAGACAGGGGTAGGAGTAGCTTACATCTGCGAGTTTTGACAACGCGCTCGAGTTTTTGCCCTGCATCAAGAGCATTGAGATAGAACGCCTTGACTGGAGGTCGTGCCTCATGGAGCTCAGGCGTCTCATCTGGAGGGGGCGCAAATTGCTTCAGCACCTTTCTTCTCACGCCGGTTGCGGGCTGTTTCATGCGCACGACTGGGCTGTAGCCGAAGTCGGATTCGACGAAGAAGACCATCTCTTCATCGCGCATAAGAACATCGCTACTGCAGACGTTGTTCAGCCAGCGCTGTATGGAAGCCTTTACTCTTGCCTCATCTTCATCGGTGCCCGCTCCAGCCGACGTTAGAGAAGGAGGTACGGCAGGGACGAGTGCCTCGGGATTGGAAGAGATCAGGTGGTCCGCGAGCTTGACAAATTCGGAGTGTGTGCGTCGAACGTCGCGAAATTGGGTAGTGCGAAACTTGGGCAGATTGGTCTGGCACGAGTTAGCATACTGCAAATCGATGGATACTTGAGCCACGCACATAGACGTCGAAGCGAATAACAGGGTCTTTCCTGCCTGTCCGCTCCAGCGCTGTCACCTTGGCCTGAAGTTTGTAGGCTGGCACAGGTCGTTGCTGTCTTGCCGAGTGGTATCTTGCAGCGCCAGGTCGCCCATGTGGGAGAGCTTGTGCAGCGGGTTGCTGCGGCGGTTGTTGTACATGCGAGGTGTCTTGCTCTTGCGCAGAGGCATCTTGGGATTCATCCGGAAAATTCGGTGTTGCGGGAGGAGGCAGAGCTTGAGCTGCAGCACTGGCTTCACTTGCGAAAGGGTTCGCAGAGATGCTGTCCTGAGAGTTGGTGTGCTGGTGGGTGGAAGTCTGAGTGGGAGAGTCGGGCACACTGGGGGTAGTCGGAGTGTACGGTATCCGACCGGCTCGAGGAGAGGATGAGCCCCATGGCGACGAGCCAGCGAGGGCGTCTGAGTCGGCCGACACGCCAGAGTAGTCCATGGTTAGAGCTTGCGGGGGAGGTGGAAGCGGAGCAGCGACGGTGGGCTGCAAATGGCGGTAATTATTACAGCATTACAGTAGCAGGCAACCAAAGTCTTTCAGACTACACCAATGCGAATCAGGCGGCGAATGCTAGAGATGTAGTGTGAGCCCGCAGGTCGAAACTGGTCCCAATGGTCGAGTTGCCTGATGCTGCTCGACGCACCAGGCAAACTCCACTTGGGCCTTGGCATCTTGTCCCTTGGCGGGGCTGAGAACAGACAACCGACAACTCGGAAGTCATCTACCAAATGAGCACGCTCGTCAGGTCCGGAGCATTGTACAGATCATTCAACTGTTCTTTGAAGTCAATTACGTATCCCTGCTGACTATCAAGCAGCTCACCCCTGATCATTGTTCACCCACTACTCGTTTCAGGCCCCCAAAGTGTTTTTGACAGCCCACGAACATCCAGGGTCTAGCGCAATGCCAGACATCCCGTGTGCAGCTGCCAACCCCGCAGGAAGTCCCTCGAGAGGTCGTTGATGCTGCGGTCGGCGACTGCTCATGGCAGACTAATCAACGCATACTTACTGCGCCTTGTGCGTGTGGTTCTTGCTTATTCTGCTGGACGATGAGCGTTTGGTATCATGATATCGTCTGCAACGCCAGGGTGTCGAAAACCCACCTCCCGCCTTCAACCAGGGCATATGGCGAGCACCATAGGGTGGCTAGCCCGTGTACTTCTAAAAGGGTCCACGACACGGCCCAGCAAGCGAGCATGGGGAAGCTTATAGCCAGCCGAACGTACTCCGCCTTCCTCGTTTCTAACCTACATTAACGCGCGCATGTGCTGCTTGTGCGAGTAGTAAGAGCTAAGCTTGGACAACAGCCAAGATGCTCAAAAAGGGCTCCCATCCTCTGATTCTACTCCTCGGCCTAGCTGTGTCTTCAGCAGCAGCTCAGATCTGCTATGGCCGGCAGGGTGTTCAGGTCCAGGGTTTGGTCGCCTGCAACCCTGGCGGAGGCTGCTGCGCAAAGGGAGACATCTGTTAGAGCAACGGCTTCTGTCGCGGTCAGAATGATACCTCTGCCAACTACGTTTACCAAGGGTGTACAGATCCGGCATGGCATACTGATGGCTGCTTGTCAGAGTGCTGAAATAGTAAGCACCCCCTCTGTGTAGCATGCTACCTCTCCGCATCAATCACGAGTACAATCACTGACATGTCTGGGATCCAGTAACCACGGGCAACGGTATCCAAGTTTGCCCCGGGACCGGACGGTACTGCTGCTACGGCTATACAGGTTGCGCATGCGATGATCCCGTGAGTGCGGTCAGCATCGCCGCCGGAACAATCGTCACTACTATCTCCTGGGACTATACAACGCCGCTTACGAGCTCAACTACAAGCTCTCCTTCCTCGCAAATCACAAACCCACCTCCCACCACTGTCCCATCTTCCAACGAGACACCCGTCGCTACCACCGATGCCACACACCGATCATCCAGCTCCTCCAGCCTATCCACCAGCGCACGCGTCGGTGTCGGCGTCGGAGTCGCCCTCGCCGGCCTCCTCCTCGCCGGCGCCCTAACCGCCCTATTCGTGCACCGCCGACGACGCCGCAGCGCATGGCCCACAACGCGCAACCGCGCCGAACTTCACTACTACGGCACCGAGCACAAGAAACTTCCCCATGAGCTGGACGGTAAGCGTCCCACACAGGAGTTGCATGGCCACTCTATCCAGTGGCGCACACCCAGCGGGCCGGTGGAGGCGCCATCGTCGGGTTTATAGCACGACTACGTAGACACACGTAGAGAAGTCTGCTTTGCCCTAAAGCCCAAAGAAAATGCTCAAATATGTGGGCTGATATGGCAGAAGGACCTCCATTGCTGGTTCGCCCTTCAGGATCTGTCTGGCATTCCCGCACGGTCCCGTGTCATTACCACTGAAAGCTGTCGGCACGAGTACGCAGTATATAGGACGTGAGGCTGACGAAGTGTCTTGCCCAGATAGGGGTCACAGAGAGCATAGAATTTCTATCTTGGGCGTGTATGAAAATGGAGCGAGACGTGTGTGCGGTGAAAGACTACTTAAAGGTTAAACCTTTCAATGTTCAGACGCTAGCATAGCTATTTGGGCCAGGGAATGCACCCAAAAGATACGTGCTATTGTGCTATTCCATTTCCTACCACGGCATTCTATCGATGTCGGGGCACCACGTCTTCACCCACAAACACACAAGGCACACAGACACCATTTCAGCCTCGCCTGAAATCAAAAGCTTTACACCGTGAAACGGAAGAAGGTGGCGTCATCGCCCTTTTCCCGCTCAGCATACTTCTCGTCGTCGGTATAGGTGGCGGGGTCCTTGTGCTCGGCCTCGCGGCGCCTATTCTCGCGGCGGAGGTAGAGGGTCATGAAGATGGACAGCACGGTTGACATGGTGATCATGCCGATAAGAATGGCATGGCCCTGGCGGTAGTGGGGCGCGTCCTTGCTGAGGTAGATGAAGCCGGAGATGGCACCGCCCAAGTTACCGAAGCCGACGTGCATGGCGATGCCGACGCCGCGCTTCAGGGAGCCGCCGATGTTGTTGCCGTTCCAGGCCACGCCCTGCGGCACGTTGGGGTAGATGCCGGAGGCAAAGAAGAAGCAGCCGACGTATTTGACGCCGGGCGAGTCCGAGGAGATGAGCATGATGAGGCCGACGAGCGCCGTCACGAAAAAGCCAATCATGAAGACGCCACGGGTTTGCATGCGGTCGGCGAGCCAGCCGCCGGTGATACAGCAGATGCAGGCCACGACGTAGGGGGGAACGGTCATCAGCTGGGCGGTCTCGTTGGTGTAGCCAAGAGTGCGGACGATGGTTGGTAGGAATAGCGAGATCGAGTAAAGAGGAGTGTAGCAACTATTGAATGTCAGTGGTAGGTTGGCGTGCTGGGTGGTTGGGTTGCTTACCCGATGGTGATGAACATGTGAACCCAGATCTTCCAGTCTTTCATAGCTTGTCGGAAGTACTTCATGTCAAATTCGTCGGCCAGGGCATTGCGATCCTGCACCAGACGGCGTGTGACTTCTTTGCGCTCGGGCTCGGTCAAGAACTTGGCGGTGGAAGGATAGTCCTGCATGACGAAATAGGCGACGATGGCCACAATGAAGGTGATTATACCCTCGAGGATGAAGATCCACGCCCAGCCGCCCAAACCGGCAAGGCCATCCATTTCCGTGATACCACGAGCAAGAAGACCACCGAACGCACCGGCAGCGGTGGCAGCGGAGAAGAAGATAGCCATGCGGAGACCGCATTCGTGCCGACGGTACCATCTGTTGAGTTGTTAGATCCATTTGGTTCGGTTATCGGGCAGAACTCACAGAGTGATGTAATAGGTGACACCAGGGAACAAACCACCCTCGGCAATACCAAGCGCCGCGCGAGCAGCCAAGAGGCCGCCATAGTTAGTCACAATACCCATCAGAGTACAGCAGATAGCCCAGGCCACCATGATAGTGGGGATCCAGAAAGAAGGGCGGGTCTTCTTCATCATCATGTTGGATGGAATCTCAGCGGCAACGTAGAAGGGGAAGAAGATGGATAGAGCAACGTTGTAGTCGAGACCAGACATGTTGAGATCCTCCTCCAGGTTGGCGAGACGAGCATTGCCGATGTTTGCTTTGCGGCTGTCAGTGTTGTGCGCGGCAAAATCATGGGAATCAGGCAAAGCGACTTACTGCGATCGAGGAAAGAGAGCAGGTACAGCAAGGCCAGGAAGGGCAGCAGAGCCCAGTCCATCTTGCGGATGAGTTTCTTGGTTTGCTTCTCATCGTAGCCTAGCTCTTGGCTGCTTGCTGAACCAGACTCAACCATATCAACATTTTCCTTGTGGGGAGAGACAGTGGGGTCGACATGATGTTCCTTGTTGTCTTTAATGTCAACAGCCATGATGGGCAGCTTAAGGGGGTTGATGGATGAGTGACAGCAAGAGAGTGCGACCCGACAGTAAGGTTGAAGGTGTACGTGAAGGGTAGCCAAAGAGAAGGACAGGTGAGACTCGAGGCGGACGATAGCGGCTTATGTACAACGAGGCGAGCGGAGTGGTGATTGTTTGAATGTCAACATCGGCTGGCGGGTGGTGGACCACGAGGTCAACGCCAGGTTAATTCACTTTGCCCCAGTTGTGTGCTCCAGGTTTGAAGTGAAGGTCCACACAGAGTGACACCCCCTCCAAGGGAAAGACCCACCCCCGGTTCAGTGACATATTGTTGCGGTCTGTGCGACCTGATAGTCCTCTATCCGCTGCAACAAGGGTGGCTTACCGAGAGCTCGATTCGAGTGCTGTGGCAAATCATCTGCGCGACGGATGAATGGGACAAGCACAGTTCATTCCGGCTGATCAAAGATCCGCCATTGATCCTGGCATATCTCCAGATGGTGAGATATGGCCCCAGATTGCAGTAGCAGTCCGCATGGCACCCTGCGCTAGTGTCTTTGCACGCGATTGTAAGCGGCACGTTGTCTCCCATGTGCCACCAGTAGGCCTCCGAACGTGTCGCAATCATCGAATTTGCAAACGATGAGGTCACCGCACAAGAACTGCACACGGTAATTGCTATCATCGCCCAGGTCGATCTATCATCGGGCTTTGGCATCTTGGGCGAACAAGCCTATCGCAGAATTGAAGACGACCTTGGTACCAATCACCAAAGGGAGCAGAAAAGATTGGCATTCTTGATTCCCAACTCGGGCAAATGGAAAGCGACATGTTGACGTTGCACCAGGGCGCCCAGCTCAGAAGCTTGACGCCAGCCAAAGCGTGGCTGAAGAAGCAGGGGGAAAGCTGCAGCCATGCTGGATCTACCCCGGAGGAGAGCCGTGTTCAGGCTAGGGGGTGACCATGGGGCTGATTGTGATTTGCGGGGGGCCCTTGCCAAGGTACCCCCAAGGCATTCCGCCCAGCCAGCTTAGCCGGAAGTGTTCAAGCGCCCACCAAAGCCCAGACTTCCAGACTTTTAGAAGGTCGAGCCAAGGCTGCACCGGTGCCTGTCGGTGTCCGTCGGTGCCTGTCCAGCGCCTATCTCGCATATGGTTGGGAGATCATCTTCGCCCACGCCCTGGACCGATCGAACTGCCGTGCGCCCCCATGGGTGTGTTCACTTTGTTTAGATGTGCATGCCGACTCTTGGCTTCGTTTGATCCGGCCGATTGATGATTGATACGAAGCACGGAGTAGGCAACGCACCCGCCAAAGTCACAGATTTGGGGGCTGTCATTGTGTCTGAGACCAATCAATGCGAAACATGCAGTTCCGCCACTACAACTTGCGAACGGCGTGGCATCCGTTTCACCCTCTGTTTGCACATGTTCCGGTCCGCCGAAGCCGTGCTTGCTTCTGCCGGTGCGCCTCACTGCCTTGTTTTTGAGATACTGGATGCTCTACACATCTGGGGGCTTCTTGGCGGATTGGGCGTGCACAGCGAACGAATTCTTGGAATGCAAAAACAAAACTTGGATTCGGATCCGTTGCGTTTCGCTTCACTGCATTAATCTGGTCCCTGCCGCTCCCAGATCCAGCGACGGCCAGATGGCTGCGTGTGGAGCTGACTTCCTCGTGACACTTCCCTGCAGGGTCGGGGGACCCCGCTGGTTGTGTGTGGAACAGGGCTCGTCCCTTATGTGCGGCCGGGGAATGCTGTCGCCATTTGATCGTTGCGAACCCTTCCCCAGACCCCCAGCAATGTCAACTCGGCCCAGCTTTCCGGGTCGAGCCCATGTGTTCGGATCCATGTGTCTCGCGCCCGGATAGACATTTTGCGCTCATGCTCTTCTTTTACGGATGAGTGGACCGGTTCATGTTTCTCAAGTTGAAAACCGGGCCAAGCTCGACGGTCTGGACCAGACTGGTTCGCACAACGCTTCTCCTTCAGGGGCATCTCGTGGTGCACTTGACCTTACGACGACCATTCTGGGTGTGTGGAACTACATGCAAGGTCTCGAATCTATTAATCCGAGGGAGATTGAAAGAATGCTGGCTTGAGGTACTCGAGTATGCACCCGATCCAGCTCGCCTATGGAGCCAAGAGCGGAGCGGAACCCATCAGGCAGCGATGAGTTTGAGTTAACGCATATCTACAAGTGCCCCGTGGTTGGAGACTCGACTCCGCAGGTATGAGGACGTTAACGGTCGTGACTGGCCAGGAACAATGGTACGAATCTACAGTAGTGAGCTAACATCTCCTCGGACCGCCGGAAGTGGTCTCCAAGACGCGCCTTCATTAGACCCTCAATGCATGCCACCGAGCAACGCAAGATCAGTATCCAGCTAAGTTCAGTCCGGCGTCTGCAACAAAACAATGCGGCCATTTCGCGTATATATCAGCAGGTCGAGCATTCACAAGTGTGTCTTGTGTGTAGCACGTAATTCCGTACTTACTAGTACTTTCCCTCCTCACCAAAACCTCACCCAAGCACTGTAGTGGTACACGTGACGGCCTGACTTCGCGGATCTTTGATAGTCTCTTCACCTTCCATCAGCGACCATCCACAGTAAGTGACGCCAGAGACGGGTAAGGTGACGATGCTGACGTTGAAGCAGAGACAATGACGCGAGTCCTGGGCCTCGTCGGACATGCATCATCATGATCTTGGCACATTACAGAAAGGGGAAAGTGTGACCGAAATAGCAAAGTCGGAGGTTGAGCTCGCCGACTCACTGCCTGCGCCTCCATAATATCATCAATCTGCGACACGCAGTGCCCGGTTGGCCTTATGCTTCAAGAGAAACGATGCGGATTGCCTGATGGAGGCCGAAGCATAGTGCCTGGCGTACACAGGCCGGGGCAACCGAAGGCCAGGAAAGCCGTGCTGCGGCTCTTCCGGAAGGCACGACACGCTTCCGCAATCACCGCCCACCTGCTCGGCGACAGCGGACATCTGAAGCAGGTGCGATGTGCTCGACCGTTGCAACTGATCATCTCTGTTCTGCTTAGCTCAACAACGTGACGCATAGCCACCTGCAGAAGAATCCATCATCAATACACGTCCTCTCCATTACTCTAACCCCACCGTCCGCGTCACCACCTTCACTTCCGCCATCTGTACATTACTTCACTATCTTTTGCCGGTGATAGACCCTCCTACTAACCTGCCATTCATTGCTTGACCGCACCCACCTTCTCTACCTTCCAACTCCTCCCCTCTTTAGCAGAGGCGCCGTCGTCACTGTCACTACCGAATCGGATCGACCAGCATCCCAACCGTCTCCCTACAATGAGAGTCCCCGACTTCGCCCTGGTCGCAGGCTGCATATCCATAAGCTTCGCCGCCGCCACTCCGCTCACTGCCGAACATACTTCGCGTGCCGTCGGCTTGCCCATCCAGCGAAAAAGAGTCGACCCTCACGCTGCCCTGATTCAAGATCGCGCTCGGCTCAGAAGACGACAAGCTGACACGGTTGATATTGACCTGGACAATGAGCTGAGCTTGTACTTCGCCAACCTTACACTGGGCACACCCCCGCAAGAAATCCGCCTGCATCTGGATACTGGCAGCTCAGACCTCTGGGTCAACGTTGCCGAATCCCAAATCTGTCAGCGCCAACAGTGTCAAGGCGGTGTCTACGATGGTGCTTCTTCCTCAACTCACAGGGTCGTGAACGATGTCTTCAATATTACTTATGTTGATGGATCATCCGCTTACGGTGACTATGTCTCTGACAGTTTGAGTATCGGCGACATCGCGCTCAACGACTTCCAGTTTGGCACCGGACAGGTGTCGACCTCGTCGCAGGGTGTGCTAGGCATTGGGTTTGAGTCTAACGAGGTTCAATTACTCCGAACTGGCTCCTCGTATCCCAACCTACCAGCTGCGATGAAGCAAGCTGGCCACATTGCCTCGAATGTTTACAGTCTGTGGCTTAATGATTTCGAGTCTAGCACTGGCGAGATCTTGTTCGGTGGCGTCGATTCTGCAAAGTACACCGGCACGCTTGAGACTGTTCCTCTGATTGAGCAGAATGGGGGATATCGCCAGTTTGCTATTGCACTTTCAACCCTCTCCCTGAACGGCACCACGAGAGCAGACTCGCTGCCTGTCGGAGTTCTCCTCGACTCGGGCTCTACTCTATCTTATCTACCCCGCGATCTGGCAAGACGAGTCTTCACCGAGTTCAACGCCGTGTGGAACTCCAATACCGGCGCTGCATATGTCAGCTGTAACCTTGCCAATGAGGACCAATCGATCGGATTCAACTTCAGCGGTAAAAGCATTCAGGTGCCGTACGACGAACTCGTCCTGGATTTCACACCTGGCGATGGCGGCCAAGATCTCAGACTGGAGAATGGCGACCCGGCATGTATTCTGGGCATTTCTCAGGTTGAGGATCACATTGCGATACTAGGCGACACCTTTCTCCGGAGCGCCTATGTTGTCTACGACCTAGAGAACAACCAAATCGCTTTAGCACAAACCGTCTTCAATGCTACCAACAGCAATGTTGAAGAAATCGCCACCGCTGGTGGTGACATTCCTGGCGCTACGCCTGCACCTTTTCCTATCAAAGATGCTGATGTTGGCGCGGACGGTGCTCGGCTTGGCGGTCCTTCTGCGAGTGACGCATTTTCGGTGTCGTCTAAAAGATCCGACTTTGCAGCATTTGCAGCTATCCTCGTAGCTGCATGCATGGTCTGGTAAGCGGACGCGTGTACAATATGATTAGGAAAGCATTGCGTGGCTAGGCAAAAGTCAGGTGCATAAAAGGTAGAAGGATTATTACGATGGCACGATTGCATAGCGTAAGGCGTTTTGAGGGCATACCCTGGTACAGGGTGTCTGCAGTCTTGGACTGCTTGACCGATGAAGGTCATCCTAATGAGCATAGAGGAAGGTGGAGATACTGGCGCGAAGAAGCCACCTTGCACAAATAGTCATAGCGACGACGGCAGCGCAGCCTCTGTACAGAACAAGAAATCAAAGCGAACGCTGGAGGTCTCTCTCCCTTTTTGTAATATTGCTTCACATCGGTTAGCGATTGCTACTACAAGCAACAGCGCCTAACGAGGCTGTTGCCCCGCGCCAAGCAATGATATAATTGTTTGCAGGAAGCGTGGGGACTGAGCGATCTCGGCGACATGTGAGACGTGTATTTTTTGTGGTGAGTCAACGACGACAAGATCCCGTCCTATTTCCGTCCAAAACGCGGTCGCAATTTTGCATTCACGTCTCTTTTCAACCCCGCTCCCCCGTTCTGGTATTCGAGCGGACTTCTCGCCCACCGCTCACCTCATCAGAACCTCATCAGAACCACCACCCTAACTCACCAGCGCCAAGTCAAGAGTCCAAAACCATGCCCTCTCGCTCGGAAGTCGCCTATTTCGGCGCCGGGCCCGCGTCTCTGCCCACAGCAGCGCTGGAGCAAGCGGCTGCCAGCCTGCTCAACCACGAGAACCAGGGTCTTGGCCTGGGCGAGATCAGTCACCGCTCGCCCACGGCCAACAAGGTCATCGCCGACGCCAAGGCCGCGCTCGTCCATCTCCTCGACATCCCGGACAGCTACGACATCATCTTCATGCAGGGCGGCGGCAGCGGCGAGTTCAGCGCGGTGGTGCAGAATTTGGTGAGTGCGTGGGTGGAGCGGCGGCGGAGGAACGCCGTGGCCGAGTTGGGTGAGGCGAAGGACGAGGAGGTCCTGCAGCGCGTTAGGGAGGAATTGGAGGCGATGCGCGTCGAGTACCTCGTCACCGGCAGCTGGAGCTTGAAGGCCAGTCAGGAGGCAGCGCGGCTGCTGGGGCCCAAGTACGTGAACGTGGCGCTCGACGCGCGCAAGTTCCGCGAAGGCAGCAGGTTCGGCGCCATCCCAGACGAGCAGAAGTGGGCCGGCAATCTGGTGAAGCAGAAGGGCGCGAGTGCGCTGACGTATTTCTGTGACAACGAGACGGTCGATGGCGTCGAGTTCCCGGCGTTCCCAAAGTGTCTGGATGGGAATGAGGAGACGGAGGCGGGCGATGAGCGCATCGTCGTCGCCGACATGAGCAGCAACTTCCTCTCGCGCTCTGTCGACGTCAAGAAGTATAGCGTTATTTTTGTACGTTTCCCCCCAGCTTTCACTGACTACCCCTGTATCCCCCCCCCTCAACAAAACTCCTCAACTCACAATCCCACTCACAGGGCGGCGCGCAAAAGAACCTCGGCCTCCCAGGCATCACGCTCCTGATAATCCGCAACTCCCTGCTCTCCCTCACGCCCCCCGTCGCCTTCATGCACTCTTTGTCCGCTCAACTCCCCAACGCCATCCCCCCCGTCGTCTTCGATTTCGCCACCCTCGCCAAGAACAACAGCCTCTACAACACCCTCCCCATCTTCAATTTGTATGTCGCCACCTTGGTCCTGCAGGATTTGGACCGCAACTGCGGCGCCCGCCGTATCGCGGCGCAGCAGGAGGTTGCGGAGCGCAAGGCCGCGAGGATTTATGCCGTGTTGGATAAGTACGAATGGAAAAATGGGGAGGGCGTGTATGGTGTGGTGCCCGAGAAGGGGGCCAGGAGTCGCATGAATGTGTGTTTCAGAGTGAAAGGTGGGGATGAGGCCGAGGAGAAGAGGTTTGTGAAGGAGGCCGAGGGGAGGGGGTTGTTGGGCGTTAAGGGGCATCGGAGTGTGGGTGGGATTAGGGTGAGTAACTATAATGCGGTGGGGGAGGAGAGTGTGGAGAGGTTGTGTGGGTTTTTGAAGGAGTTTGCTGAGGGGCCAAAGGGGGCTTGAGATGGGTTTGGGGGGTGGAATGGGTGGGAACGGGGATGGCTTATGGCTTATGGCTTGTGGCAATGCCTGATGGTATGTTTGATCTCTGTTCCGAAGGAGATATATATTTCGGCGGGTGGGCGCACGTGGTGGGCTTCAGGAGCCCATACGCGAGAAGAAAGAAAAAGTTCACGGGTCGTCCTTGATGGATACCTCTCGCTATTATTAGCGTCAGTCCGCGTCTTCAACGACTGAAGCCATCGCTTTGACCAGAGCCATTCCACGCTTCATATCCTGTCTTGATTCCCAGAAGTAGGTGCCGCATATATTTGCTCAAGCATGCTCCAAACACAAGTCCTGCGCTGGCCCTCTCATAGCCCCCCTCGGACCGATCATGCTGGGGCTCGTTGTCGAGCTCTGACGCTCTGTGCAGCAAAAGTCTGACAGGCTGTCGTGGAGCAAATGCGCTGGCCGGCATTCATTCCGGACAGCACGACTCGTGGTGAGAGTGCGAGCCGCATTTGGAGCATTTTCGTGGGCTGTACAGGACAAAGTTGGCGACCGCATCCATCTCGTTGTTTCGGAAGCTGGTTTGCTGACTGCTACAGACGATCTCCTCTCTCGATTGCTTCGCGTATCGCAGGAGATTTGATCTCAAGCAATAGAATGCTCTTCTACGGTGCGCTATGAGCTCTTCGACAGGTGAGTCGATTGCGATAAATGGAGCTGTGAGTCTTGTGGGGGCGACGAGTTGTGGCAGATCTCCTTAGGAGGCGTCGTGTTGTTGATGTTCGATGGGTGGCCTCATCAGACTCTCACGTCAATCCTCAGTTGGGAGCAGCCGGCGTATTCGAAGTGGGACACTCGCGTATGCATTCTCGTACTGGAACGGGAAAGACCGCGGTTTTCGTGCTTTCCTCTTAGGTCGTGGCGTATTCCAGCTGTGGATCCAAGATCTGCATATTAGTCATGTTCGTATCTTGCCTGGCGTCTTGCAGGGTCCCCGCCGATGACACGAGTTCCCGCGGCCAGTCAAGCCAGGAACTCCAGTCAGGATTCAATTCTGCGTCAATGGCGTTAAGCAGTCGGATACCTGAGTCGCTGATTACCCAGGATCCCCTGTAGAAGTGTAGTGCCAGCGCATAGTGTGCTAGGATGATCAATGCCTCTGGTCGTCTCTGTTCGACCAGGGTCAGATACTCAGAGGATGATCTTATCGGCCACGCCAGAACGAGTCGTACTGTCTCATAAGACCGATGTGGAACTCCCGTGATCGCGAATAGCCAATGGAGGTGGTCAACGGCTTTGGTGTACGCCGCAACCGGCTCCGGACCAAGTCTCGCCGTATTGCCGATAAGGTCCTTTAATCGCTCAAGTTGAGGTGGCACATCGTAGGGCGGACCCAGTGATGGCGTCTGTGAGATGGGAGAGAACTCAGGACGCGACCTGATCTCCTCCCACCAATCGTCCACCACCAAGACTCGCACACCTTGCATGAGTCGAACGCAGTGAACAAAATGTTGCATGAAGCCGTGGTGATCTAAGCCACGGGTGCGCGACCGGTCGGCAATGACATGAAGCCCAACAAGAACAGAAAAGAGCATTTGCGCAAACGCGGACTTCTTATCTACGCGAGCTTCGTGGATCTTGAAGCCAGCCATGGCTGCAGATTGGAGCTCGGTAGCACGGTGATAGTAGTGGTCAGCTCGATCGGACGGCAGCCCTGTGGCTATGTGCAAAGCGGCGACGGCTAGGATCTGATACATCAGGAAGGGATAAGCCATGGCCTCGCGAATGACTATGGTCTTGTAGCACTCGCGCTGGTGTACCTCATCCGCCATCGTGTTAGCTGTATCCATAAGGAAGTGGTGAAAGAGCTCCAGATGGTCTAGATTGAGGTTGGTGTTGAATGCTTGAACTGGTCGCGAGCCTGAAGCGTCACTAGGAGTTGCTGGAGTTGATCCATCGAGCTGCCGGGATGAGGCGGAAGGCGCTCGAGTGATATGACCGGATGAATAAGATGCTGGAGTGGTGTATTCAAACGAACAGCTACTCGCAGCTGTCACACAGTTGACGCATCGTGGCCTGTGCTCGTCACACTGGGATCGTCCTTAGACGCGTTCCGGGCTGGGAGGGTCGAGGCTTACCTTGATATGCCGCTTCTTGCACTCACCGCACCCTGTCCGACTCTTCTTGTGCGTGCGTCGGGGCATTGATGCGACATGGTAGCGAGTTTGAGATGCGAGAAGCGGAGCGGAGCAGATCAGATGTACATAGATGTGTGGAGAGACTGCATATCGAGAAATGTTGATGCCTGAAAATTTGAGGCGTAAAACGTGGTCATGGTGGCTTAGGCTTGCAGTGTTGCTGGGCGTGCGCCTGGCTTAACGATTTAGGCACTAGTGCTGCCTTTTTTCGGGGCTCCGAAATGCTTAAATTGGGTACCTCGCTGCTCTAGCCTCTTCCCGATATTGCACCTCAACTTCGAACCTTTTCTCACACTCCAGTGCGGTGTCCCAGATATGTTTCTACTGATACCAATAACAGGGGAACAAGCATAAGGCTATGGTTGCCCATGAGATATTGAAACCTAGAACCTCCTCATAAATCTTTCAAATATGGCATCATGCATTGCGTCCCAAGCCGGTGTACCCGCTGCAATATGGCTCGAGACCTTCTCCCAATCTAGGTCTGTGTCAAAGTCATATTTATAAGACCATGTTGCTGACCTTCACTTCATTGAGATGATGCTAGCGCTAGCGATTACAGACACTAGCCTTTCGGGCGGTATCAACGAGGCTTCAACCATCAGAGGCCCTCTTGAAGCAACCAGTATTGACTCAATCCATCATGCGCTGGGGTTCTGGACGACGGATTCTAGTAGATAGGTCAGCAGCTGTACTAGAAACTTGCAACATGTTAGGGCCGTCAGAGACATAGGCATGGAAAGAGCTCTTCCTCAATGCCCCACAATGCTTGCATTCCTGGACATAAACAAAGTCAGTCACCGATGATGCTTTCGCATTGTTTGATCACGACGTATACTTCTCGGTCCTCGATCAGAGATCATGGATGTGAGTGTGGTGACTTGATCTGATTCTAAGTGTATAGGATGCTCGCTCCGGTAGGGAAACACACGTTACTCTTACCTTTGAACTCCTTAGGATCAAGGCTGAGATGAGATCCTTGCATCAAAATGAAGCTCGGGAGTGACATGCAAGCCGTCAACAGTTGAGGTCATTTCGTAAGCGAATCGAACCCCGAGAGTCTCCAAAGCCGGTCACATGAACGGTGGTGATATACATTATCTCCCTCATGTCGCACTTGACTCGGCATTTGCCGTCAGATCTCCTAGACAGCATAGGCTACTGAAAACATCGAACTTGCCCCGTTCTGTCTAATGAGCCGCAAGTAGATCTGCCATTATGAGTCAGATTTGACGATAGCCCTTCGTAGCTGTGCCGCGGAAGACGAGTGTGCGGCAGGGAATTGGGCTTAGTCGTGTACCAGGTAGAGTATCAAACCACTTACAGTAAGTCCGCTATAGCCGAATCCCCGCGATGCTTATTAGTAGCTCTGACGATCGATCAGATAGCATCAACCGAAGGTCAACGGACACTTTTCAATCATTCGAAAGCTCAAGCATCCCCACAGAGTGCCCTAGCAGCTTAAGCCAGGCTCTCTATGGCGCGGCGCGGCGCCACCATGGGGCATGATCTCGAAGCAATCTACCAGAGCCAGATCGCCATGAAGAAGGGACCACGTGCTTGCTACCGGATTGGAAATTTCGGCTGTGTTGGTATCCCCGCCGAAGCACGGTCTGTAACTGGGCAAGCGAGCCCGCAAAGAATGGTGATTAAATATCTGAGGTTGGTTCGAAATGACAGTTCCGACGTCCTATACTAAAGCGACCCACACGACTTATCGCTGAAGCTCGAACTCTTGGCCTGGAGTGAATGGTTGATGCCTTCACCAAAGCATGATCATGGCAGTTCAGGTCCGCGACACCCATTTTGGCCGATTCGTGCGTTTCATATCATGCAAAAGGCTATTGCAGTATCCAGACGAGCTTGACCCGACTCTTGCGAATGCTTTCACTTTGAGCGGCCAGCCTCGCTCTGACGAGCTGTTAAAGAAGGAAGCTTGTGACGGTGTCGACCTCCAAAATGATGCATCCCAGCCCCCGAAGGCTGCTCAACGCTTCTATCTGGTGGACTGGTACGGACCAGACGATCCCGAGGTATTTGGGGACTCTTAAACCACTGGATACATCGCTAATGCAGGCAAACAGAATCCCCAGAACTGGTCATCATCTTGGAAACTTCTAGTTGCTACCCTGATCTGCGTCCTGAACTTCACCGTGTACGTTGCATCATCGATCTACGTTCCAGGCGAAGAAAGTCTTATGCAGGAGTTCGGTGTCGGCGAAGTGGTAGCCACCCTCGGCCTCTCGTTCTTCAGTCTGGGCTATGGACTTGGACCCATGGTTCTCTCACCGCTGTCGGAATTCCCTACACTGGGGCGTAATCCAGTATATTTCTACAGCCTCCTCACTTTCGTCCTGCTTCAGCTACCCACAGGCTATGCCGTCAACATGCCGATGTTCTGCGTCTTCCGCCTGATCACCGGCTTCTTCAGCAGTCCCGCATTGGCTACAGGCGGCGCCACACTCGCAGACATGTATCATCCCAAGTTCGTCGCATATGGCATTTGCATCTGGGGCTCCTGCGGCCTCCTCGGGCCCGTGGCCGGTCCTCTTATCGGCGGCTACATTGCCACCGCGAAAGACTGGCGCTGGACGATCTGGTTTGTGGCCTGGCTGAACGCGTTGCTCCTTATACTCTACTTCTTCCTCATGCCCGAAACCAGCGCCGCCAATATCCTCTACAAGCGTGCCGTACGTCTCCGTGCTGCCACCAGGAACGAGCGTTTAAGGAGCAAGTCCGAGATTGACGCCGCGCAGCACACCTGGCGCGACCATTTGCGCGTGCTCGGCCGGGCGTTCACACTCACATTCACCGAGCCTATTGTGTTTGCACTGGACCTCTACACCGCGCTGCTCTACGGCGTGCTCTTCATCTGGTTCGAGTCTTTCCCGCTGGTCTTCGGCGACATCTACGGCTTCAGCATCCGCCACCAGGGCCTGGTGTTCCTGGGCATCCTGGTCTTTGCAATTTTCTCTGTCCCAGCGTTCCTGCTCTGGGTGCGCTGGGGTATCGTGCCGCGCGTGGGCTCGCCAAACTTCAAGCCGGAGATGGTGCTGCCGCCGACTTTCGTGGGTAGCTTAGCCCTGCCGGTGTGCTTGTTCTGGTATGGTTGGACTGCACGAGAGAGTGTCCACTGGATTGTACCTATTGTGGGAAGCGGCTGGTTCACGGTGGCGATAGTCACGCTGTTCAACCCGGTGATGAACTATCTCGGCATGGTGTATCCCGATTATGCGGCGAGTGTGTTTGCAGGAAACGCGTTGTTTAGGGCGTCATTTGGGGCTATATTTCCTCTTTTTGTGAGTACTGTTCCTGCTCCAGATGAAGGTGACATGGGACTGACTGAGGCGGCAGGCAAGGCAGCTGTTTCGAAATCTGGGTATCGGGCCCGGTAACTCGTTATTAGGAGGGATCTCGATACTCTTTCTACCAATGCCTTTTCTGTTCTATATGGTAAGTTATGTGATATATCTTGGGAAAGACACCTATGCTCATGCAGTCCTAGTACGGTGATAGGATTCGTCTCATCAGCAAGAATGCCCGACACGACAATGAGTGACTCGCTGTTCACCTCAAAATAAAAGGTTTCACATAGTCATGGCCATCGGTTAGGCTATGGCCGCCATGATAGATGGCCAGAGTTTATCAACATGCCCAGTACCAGCTACTTAAATGAAGGTCAAAACGTCTTCGCTCTATCACTAGCCGTACGTAGTTCATACGAATACAAGCTTTCCAGTAGACCTTCCGGAATGGCCTGTCGCCACAATCACCACCATGCTCTTGTTCAGGTCAGGGACTCTTTTCTCCTCGGGTCGATTATTCGAGTGACCGCTTAGATCGCCACTTGCCTCCCATCCATCATCCTTGATCAGCACATCACTAGTTTCCTCGCCATCGATATACACATGCAGAGACTTCACTTGATCCCTCTGCAGCTTTCCGGAGATGTGGACCTTTCTGCCCTTCTCTGCCTCCGAAGCGATCGCCTCGTTGACCTCCAACTCCGGCGCCAACCGGCCCAGTGGCTCCGTCTGACCCAAAGGTGTAACTTCGTCGGTTGCCAGCACTGGTGTGAGTGGTGGCGCCTGTCTGAGGTTGCTAGCCTTCTCGAAAGCGTATGCGTACTTGAACAAACTACTATCATCGTACGCCTTCCCGGCGAATGTGAGGTTGACCGGCATCTTGATGTCAGCCATAAGCCCCATGGGCACACTAACGGTCGGTATGCCAAACTGACGAATGGCGCAGTTGCCGTTCGAGTAGAGAACTCCATTACGCCACGCCTCCGCGGCCGAGGTCTCGTCAACGTCGGCGTTTGCTTTGCCAACATCGGCATTGCAGGGCCACACCACCGTGTCGAGACCCTCAGCGGCGAGCCAGTCTTCGAAATCGGTCTTGCGCTTGGCTTCGAGGTTCTTCAGGGCGGTTTCGAGGTTGGGGAGGTCGTACGTGGCGAGGCGGTCGCCTACAGTGTGGGCTACCACATCGGTGTGACGGACCAGGGGGTCGTTGGAGTCGTATCTGTCAGGGATGGTCCCTGGCGGTTGAGGAAAGATGGTTGAAGACTCTACTTGCCCGAGCCGAGGGATGTTTGGATCTGCGTTGTCGATCAGGAAGTCGTCCCAGGCATATGCCATCAACTGACACATGTCGATCTCGTTGCGATGGGGAGGCGCCATAGTTTCCTTGTCAACTTTGCCTTCTTGATCGGGATCCAGCTTCTCGAATTTGGTAACAACTGGGAAGTCTACTTCTTTGACTGTGGCGCCGAGTCCCTCCAGGATCTTTCGGGAATGGCTCCAGAGATCGATGACTGACTGGCGAGTGTGGACTTTCCTAGCTGAAGGATCAGAATCAGGTAGTCCGATGTACATCTTTGGGACGCCAACTACTTTGCCGGCCAACGACTGTCCATCTGCGAGTTCAAAGTACGACTTTGGCCGAACACTGCCAACTTCTGGCAGCTGAACAAAGGGCTGTGCTCGCCAAAAGTCGCACGAGGTCTTGTCATCCTTTGCAACAATAACGTTCAGCAAGGCGAACATGTCTTCAACGGTCCTAGTATGGGGCACAACGGTGTCGCAGGTTGGGAAAAGGGGCCAGTTGCCTCGAATAGACACCAGGCCTCTGGACGGAGTATAAGCCACGAGTCCGTTGTTCGAAGCAGGGGAACGACCCGACGATATGGTTTCCTCGCCCATACCGAAGACACCGAAGCTCGCAGCCGTCGCCGTCGCCGAACCATTGGACGAACCTGAAGCAAAAGCTGCCGTCAAATAGTCGGCGTTGTACGGTGACTCGGCACGACCGTACACACCACGCTGCATTCCTCCGGCAGCCATGGGCGGCATGTTGGTCCGGCCTAGGATCACCACGCCGGCCTCCTTGAGTTTCTTGACAGTGAACGCGTCTTCATTGGCGACCAAATTCTGGAAGGCGGGAGATCCGGACGCCACAGTCATACCCTCGATCTTGTATGAATCTTTGATCGTGCATGGAATGCCGTCCAGAAGATTGGTCGCCGTGCCCTGGGCGCGACGTTGATCGGCGGCTTGAGCAGCCTCGAAAGCATTTTCATTGATGATAGGAACAGCGTTCAGCAATGTCGAGCGCCGATCAAACTTTGCGATACGAATAAGGTGTTTGGCAGTCAGCTCAACACTGTTGGTATAACCCTGTGAAAGTGCAGCTGCAAGATCCGCAACCGTGGCTTCCACGATAGACAAGGCCTTTCCACTAGTGGCCTACACACTGTTAGTTTGACCATTTTCTGATGTGTCAAGAGAATCTCGCTCACTTGGACTGTACCGACTGAAGCCATGATGATATTCGAATGTGAAGTTTGAGATGAGAAATAGCAGGATCAGGAAGGTTGGCACGAAGTCACTCATCGCGGGGGATCAACGTTGCCTCTTATAAACCATTGTAACATTTCGCACATGCCAACTGGATAGTGAGCACAAGATGCCATTACTGAGCCCTATCATGACCTTGAGAGCCTTCGTGGGATCCTAGCATAGGCCAGTGTCCGTACTCTATAGAATTAACAGCTGGTAAATAATTTATCGACGATGGCGCTTCGACCCTATCAGCTGCTAATTTTCATCTTCTTTCATAACTTGGCAAGTGCTGACACCTGGGGTCATGTCCTTGTTATGGCAAGTAGTCATCGATGTGTGGTTCTGAAAAAGGGCCATACATATAATGGTCGTTACGCTCACCGATTGGTCATGAGTGAGGCTTCACAAAGAGTCAGTTATGAAATCCATGTACGTAGGCATTGCTAATCACTGAGATTTCTGAAACTGGATTTGATACAGATGCAACGCGAATGAGCATCAATATAAGGCTCGAACACAATTACCAAGATGCAGATTGTGCCAGCATAAGTAATCGTTCGCCCGCTTCGGCTGCGAACGGAATGTCGTGTTCCAAACCCTTCACCAGATCCCCCAAGATGGTGATCAGCCGGTTTGCCTCGGATCGATAATGCCCATCGTCGAACTGAGAAGCATTATTGAGCATATGTCCCACACCAAGCAGCTGATGCACAATGTGACTTCCCGCGACCTTGAACATGATAAGCGGCGCATTGGTCACCTCTTCGAGAAAGCGCTCCACAATCTCTACCACCTCCCAGGCCGGAGCCTGGCAATAGAGCAGGGCCATGATGTTGACCAGCGACTCTGTGCAGGTAATCTGTACCGCCATGTACTTGCAACGATTGCTTTCTAATCCGGTACCAAAGTCGTTGGACTCGGTCAAGATGCGTGGTTTGTTAGCCTTCAGCCGAGCGAGACCATCGAGTAATGTAGTTGGGGAGGGTTTATCACAGAAAACGGCCAATGTGGCCTTCCGACTTTTGCACCCACGGAGACTAAAAATGGCATACTCCAGCAACCTGAAAAGGTCGGTAATGTAGTCCCAGCCGGCCGTCCATGCTTGCGCCTCAGGTTCCATGGCTGGAGTGATGCGAGGATAGAGGACCGAGACTTGGGCTTCGGGCATGCGCACTACATGGCCGAGTACACAGGCCGAATGAATCTCAAGACGGTAGACACACCAGAAGAGTCGCCGTCGGTCGTCAACTTCGGATATGGAGAGTTCTTGAGGCCAACGACTTTCGTCGTGGAAGCCATGTTGGGCGACCAACGCGTGATACAAGCCCAAGTAACGATGGAGATCGCTGTGGTTTCCACGTTGTAGCGAGTATACAGCAAAGAGGCCGAAAGACCGTAGATAGTCCAGATCCTGCGACTGGGTGATCCGTACCGGTATCTTAGATACCCCCTCGAGAAAGTATTGATCGCTGTCTGGGACCGTGAGGCCGTCGAGCAGTGTACTGTCAAAAACTGCATCTAAAGCCGCCACCTGCGAGCTGACAGCGCAAAGTGCCATCAGCAACATATACGACGGTTGCTCCGGATCGGGTATACCATCCTGCCATCGCGTGAAGAGATCCCTCTCGGGCAGGAATGGAAAGCTAGATCTTGTCAGTACATGCTCTCCCATCTGCAGAGCGAAGGGCCCATTACTAGCATTGATACATGGTATCTTGGTAGATGCGTATGAGCTGCTGTACCGTATGCATTGACTTAAAGTCCACATCCTGACCAAGACCCGCTGCAGCGTCAAAACTATTCGACGGCGACACCTTCGGTTTCCTCCCCCGTCTTCGGATCGGTCGGTCCAGGGTACATACGACTCCGTAATCGATGCAGGTTAGGCAGCTGGAGAGCAGATCCTGGGTTTCGGTTGGGCCTGCCTGGGCGCGACGACACCTCAGGCCCCTCGAGTTGCAGAAGTCACAGGCACATGAGGCCCGTTGCCGCTTGCCATTGGATTGGGGCTCCATGTTTGATAATCGCTTGTGCTGGGGGAGAATCATTTGTTCTGGAGAAAATATCAGGAGCTGATCAAAACGAACGAATTCCACACATTCCTCATATTTCTTCAGCTGGGAATAATCTGTGTCAAGTATGTGACTGATAAATTGCTAATTAACAATTTAGCCGCTGATAACGCGCAAATGCGTTCGAGCAGCGAATGGTGAAGACTCGACGGACAAGAACGTGGAGTAGGCCCACAGGTTGGTTGAAACCCATCTCCAAGAATCTAGACGCCTTGGATCTTCTATGGATGAGCGTAACTAATCCACCTTGCCAACCGATAGATATTCTGGAGCATCTCACCTTGGGTCCAGCACGTAGTCCGCTGCCCCCGCACATTCATCGCTCCAACTCCAGCATCTCCTCGTAAGACAAGTCCAGCTTCACACATGGTCTGCATTTGGGGATCTCGAGTGACCAGTCTCGTGTCCATGTCACCTTGTCGTTGTGAACATCCCTTTCACGGCTTCCTGGGACCACTCTCAGGCGCCCTACCGGAGTAGAGGACCCGCATTGATCCAAATGCATCATGTCCAGCCGGGACGTAGGCAGTTGTGGATGGTGCACATGTAGGTCAGAACGTTGGGAGTGTTGTCATCAGAGCCGGCGCCTGGAACGCAGTACTGTGGGGCAAGGAATCAGAAGGCAGCAGATGCTGAACCTGCTGGGGTGGCCGGGGAAGCTTGACACTACTGACCATGTACGCGGCATCCTCGAAGCTCTCAAGAGCTGATTGACAATAGCAGGTAAGCCTTGAGGATCCCAGTCTCAGCAGAAAAGCCCTGTGATTTGCGCCGGGTGTTCTTGACGCCCGACTTACAGCACGACCTCAAGAACAGTCCTGCTTGCGAAGTCAGGGAAGCCCCGTTTCGATCAGAGGCCCCTGAATATCAAGGAAGATATGTACTAACAGACCCCTCTACAGCAGGGACAAGCTCTGTTGCATGGCCCATGGCGTATAGCTATTTGGCGCGTTTGGCTTGTCACCCTTTCCAGCATGATCTCCAGTCGAGGTTCGCTGATTATACACCGACTGACTCACAATCAACTCCAGGCGTTGCGACCCGTACTCGCTGTTAGGGAACTTGAGAATAAGCTGTGTGAATAATTAACAGAAAGCAAGTAACTAAGGATGTCTGTCTCATGCTACTTTGCGACACTGCGAAAGTCTTCCCATTCCTACCAATGTGGTAAGCAACTCTCTAGTCTGTTATCCGAGAATCAAGTGACTCTCTTCGAGACTTGGAGTTTGGGTCGTAGAACGGCACCTCTCCCAGGCTTACCACCCGATTACCACTTCTCTTGCCGTAGTAATCATTTGTTGCTGTATGAAAGACTGAGCGATTGTCCCAAATCGCCAAGTCATTCTTGTTCCACTTGAAGCGCACCTGCAAGTCATCTACAGAAAAGGTAAGCTTAATGATCGCCTGTAATGGGGCATCACTGGATCTTTGACTTACGGTTCTGGGAGATAAGATCCAAGAAGTACTTTTTTAGATCATCGCTCTCACGAGGTGTCACGCCGTCGATCCACCCGTGCTCGACCTGTCCGCCAGCTGCGAACAAGCCCTTCCAACCTGTCACGGGATTTGTGCGTATCACTGGATGACTCGCCTTGAAGTCCAGCCCGCTGTTCTCGGGAGCACCTCTGTCCTCAACTAACAACTCCTCACCATGCTCCTTAGCGATTTTGTTGAAATTAGGTTGGTAGTGGGTGGCAGTCAGACTCTCGGCAAGTTTCTTGTATGCAGGTGATAGACGGTCATATGCTTCATAGCCAGAGGCCCAAAGCGTGTCTCCACCTGCGTCCTCGGGGACTTGCACGATCTTCAAAATTGCATAATCAGACGGCACGCGCTCGAAGGTGATATCGGCGTGCCATCCCTCGCTGGCAAGTAGTTGAGACCTCGGACTGTAGCGTTCGCCATATAGATGGCGAAACTGATCAGAGTTGATAATGGACACTTCGTCGTCAAGTTTCCCGTTCTCATCGACTTTTAGTCCACGCTTGGAATTGAAAAGTGCATGGCGATGAAGGCCAGATGTGGCAGGCTTGCCTGTCAGCCGCCCCAATTGCTGGCCTAGCACCTTCTGATCCTCAATGGTGAGATCCTGGTTCCGGAAGAAGACCACGCCACGCTGCGAGACTAGAATGGCTAGATCTCGGATAGCCTCTTCTGAGTGGAGTATGCTAGATAGTTGGAGTGTTGGAAACTCACGCCCGATAATTTTAGTAACATCGAAGTATTCGTATCTGTCAAGAGTGCCCGAGTACTTTAGCGGTTGAGGAGCATTGACGTTTGCACGGTCCTTGCCTACATGTCTCAGAGCGCCATTGCTAGGCGCAGGGTTTTTGTCTATATCCGCTGCTGAAGGCGACATGTTGTAGGATGAAAGGGTGGGTAGCAGAGTAGATCAGCTTAGTTGGGCTCGACCGGAACTGGGGGGAGACGGCTCTTATGTAACTTCTCGATTCGGATGCCAGAAAAGTCGGGCCTTTTACCGTTCCTCATGGTTCCCTCCGCCATCGGATGTTGTGACTCTCGGATCTCTACATACCTTCAAGTCAATTGGTAACTAGCGCCACGTGGGGAGCAGATACAGCAGTCTAGAAACATCGGTCCAGTCTATGATGCCACCAGAAAGCACGGTGATGGGCTGCAGCATGCTATCAGGCATCTGAGCATTAGGACGTGATTCACTACTGTTATCACTCGCGCTACACGCCATGCGCAAGCCCGAGCACGTCAGCAGAAGGTTGGTTGGTTCCTGCAGTTCTGACACTACAGTTGACTTTGCCCAGAAGTCGATTTTAAAACTAACACCGTGGCCAACGCGCCGTATTCATCACCCTTTTCTGTTATTCACGACTTACGGAGTGGCGCAATCGTGCCAAGATTTTCGTCATCCAAAGGTGTGAGCGACACTGCCATTATTCGAATTTTGCGAGACAAAGTTTGACTTGCCTAACGGCACAAGCAAGCTCAACATCAACTTCAAATCCAGAGAAGCCACCGAAACAGCGTGTGGGCTGGCGGCAAGGCCGGCAGGCACCAAGCATGCTCTTGAGATCTGATGGCTTGGCGTTAGGCAAACGAGGCTGCTGACCCTGAAAGCCAGCCGACACACTGTGCGCAGGGACGCAAAGTTCAGACACAGGGCCGAGACGTATATGGATCCTCACGATGGGGCTCAATAGATGAAGAACGGCAGGTGCTTATTCCCTAATCCACGAGGAGAGCTGGGGGCCATCTTCTAAGAACTTGGTGGCTCATGCTTACATTCTTTCCACAGGTAAGCCAATCAGTGCCATCTCTTCATTCAAGCATGACTAGACAAGACAATGCGATGCCAAAAGCTCATCTCCTTTACTCTCGCTATCTACAGAAACCTGAACACAGTTGTTCTGGGTTCGTACTTATCAACATGGTGATTATTCTATCGTAAGCTGACTCGTGCTCTCTTGTGCTACGAGCGACCCACCCATGATCCCGCGGGATCTTCGCTTGGTTATTATATGATTCTTCTCCGCTCGTTCCACCGCTCAATAAGCAGCAACCTCTGGATCTGGGGGCCTCCGAACCGCCGAATATGGTGCCATATTGGCGCTCATCCCTGCAGCAGATCTGCAACCTCACATACCAGCAGGATGACCACGATTGTGCCGGCCGTATGTTGCAAAAGCCAGCAGTGGCGAACCTCTTAAGCCGTCTTGCATGTTGAGATCGGCTCCGAAGCAGAACAACGATTTGCCAATTCTGCAGTGGTTCTGCTTGGCTGCAGAGTAGACTGTTATAGAAACACCGAAGCTTGAAACTGAACAGCCTGCGGAAACCAGTGCATCCCAGGTACTTGCACATCTGAGCAGCATGTGAAATACGCATTTTGACCGTCGCGTTATCATTACTGTGAGCCTTTCACCCATTGCGCCTCGCAGATTGCTCGCAGATTGCTCGCCGCATGCACCCGGCATCTTGCAAGCTGCGTGCAGGAGGTAGCTATGATAGGATCACGAGCCTACAATAAGGAATGCTGGGCCGTGTGCTACTGGTCAGGGCTTTCGCTTTATGATCTTCGCTAAATTCATGGGTTTACAAGAACAAGAGGCTGAGCATCAAGGCCAACGCTGCGCTCGATGCGATATAGGGAAGGGTATTCCTATCGCCAGCGCTGAGGTAGTATGCTGCGCCCAAGTAGCTGCAGCTGATATTTCCAGGGTCATCGTTCCGTTCGCCGTAGCTGTTTTCGAGACCTTTGCCTTCTGACGGACAGCTGAAGCCCAGAGCCGCTGGGCACGACTGAACCAAGTCATAACACAGGTCTTTACAAGGAAGGACCTCCTTGTACGGCCCAGGCGCGATCTGGTCATCTATCACTTGACTTCGTGACGAGTTGGTGGCTACGGTATCCATAAGCACCTGTTGCGAATCGCTGAACCCTGGAAGACTGGATATCGAAGTTCCGTTGGGATAAGGCTGCCCCAAATTGCGAGGCTTGAGGTATACTGCTGTGTTGTTGTAGTCTTCGCAGCGAGGAATAGTGACAGCGCAGAGCCAGGTTTTGTACGCTCTTGCACAATCGTCGCAGTTACGCACCAAGCTATACTGCGATGTCGAAGACGTGTTACAGGGTATCTGTTGCAACGAGAAGTTGAAGTACCGATACATCTCTCGCGCGTAGTCATCGTAGATCCGAGCCAGCTCTGGTAAGCCATCGATTATCGAGAACCGTTCCGGATTGGCTGGCACAGCATATGCCACTTCCGAGCAAAAGGTCAAGTTGTACATGAGGGCACAATTGGACATCGACTTGGTGCTGAATTGCACAGCCTGCCAAACTGTGCCCCCGCCACCAACAACGTTGTTTCCATCGTCAGTTGAGTTTCCCTGCATCGCAAGGAAGCCTGTATATTGGCTCGATGAATTAAGGCCAGTGATATAGAACTGCTCTTTCGGCTTACCGCCCAATCCACGGGACGTCATCTCGGCGACATTTTGATTCGATGCGTTCTGGAGATTGGCAAGCAGACCTCCAGCCATACGAAGCCCGCAATAAGAGTTTCGTACTCCTTGCATGGCGCGACTGTTGGAGGGATAGACGAACATTCCAAACGGGGGTCTCAGCTCCATCCAGTCGCTGAAAGATGTCTCATTTGGCTCCGCAGATGTTAAATCGTCAGTGATCAGGAGCGCTGCATGAGTATCGCCATCGACGAAGTGGAGGTTTGGAGTTCTCGTGATGACAGTGTGATATGGCTCATCGATGGAGCCTCCAATCTCGTAGTTCCACGACCCTGTGAACTGAGTGCCGTTCGGGGCAGATACTCCAATGTACACCGGAGACGTGTTGTCCAGCTCGATCTTAGCATAGCCTCCACTGAGCCGTAGAACTTGTTGTGAGTCGCTACCATTGGAGTCCGGGCCCGGGAGTCGATTATCTTCGGACTGCGAGACGTAAAGTGTAAGTTGGGGAGGTATTGCTTCCTCTAATTCAGGAGAAGAACCGTTGTAGGTGGGCTGGATGCACGTAGTAATGGTGATGTACACAGTACGCTCAGACTGGCGCTTGTCAACAGTTGTATTTTCATCTTCTTCGATATCCTCGTCTTCGAATATGCGGCTAGCGTTGGCTCCTGTCGGACTGGGGAGGCCCGGACCTCGGTCACCCGGCGGGCCATTGAGTGTATCTTGAGTGATCAGCCAATTTTGTGTCTCTCCACTCGCTATATTCATCGCCCTGGGTTGGTTATTGAAGATTTGCATAGCGTTGCCATCGTTTTGACGCTTGACCAGCAATTCGTCTACGTTTGGCTCGTCATCCGTGAATGATTGGTCTAGGATGGGGTGGTTGTGGTCGGGAGGTATCCGCAGGTCTATCTCGGCAGCATAGGCAAAAGCTGGCTGGCTGAGGCAGTAGTACAATAGGAAGAGAATAATGGTAGCGCCCAGCGAAGCCGCGAAGCGGCTTTGAAGGGGCGTCAGCTTCGGGAGCGGCATGGTGAGATCGAACGTGGATTCGATAGGCGTCAAGGTAGTGCGACTAGATTCGCAGAGGCGCAAACGGACATCATTGCGACACCAGTACTGTTGCCGCCCTGTACAGCTGCGCGAAGAAGGTGAGAAGAAGTCAAGCAGACAATTCGTAAGGTCTCGAATCCCGAATCTCAAGCGTCGTAAGTGTCGGAGGTTTGTAAGGCTGCGCTACAGCCTCGTATGTGGTCGATAGTCCGAAGTATATCCGCCCTATCAACGACATGCACTTGACGACAGTACTCGTATTCCAGCATGCCTCTATCGGACAACTCTTAAGCACATGTCTATGTACACCTACTACGATTTATCGGCTACCAGGCTTATGACGACGCTCTTTACCATCGACTGAGCTGGCCTGCAACGAATGGGCACGACCACGTTAATTGCAACCTCTGTTCAGACCCCACCATGGCCTCTGGCCTCGGTTCTTGCGACCATAAGCAGTCCATTGGCTGTATTCTAGGGACAATTCCAACATGTTGTGCTTGTGCTGATAGGAGGCCGCTCGCTTCTGCCTATGCGACTTATGTGGACGGCTCAGGCATGAAGCTGGTGGGAAGCAGGTGGCAGAAGTACTGCTGGAAATGTCGAGACTACTGGGGGTTTCGTCAAACGGAAGAAGAGACTACACGACCCAGGCCACCTCAGGAAGACCAATCGTGGTCATTCTCTTCACATCCATTGCCGCAGACTCTCAATCCATTCACTGACATGCCCCGACGAAACGGACAGCCAGACCACCACCAACAACAGCCACCATTCCGCTTGAGTAGTGCCAATAACTCACGGGAAATTGAAGACTCGGTAGAAGTCGATCAAATAACAAATGTCTCCAGTCTACTACGACCGGGACCGCCTCGAGATCCAGCCGTTGATCTGAGCGACCAGTCAGACCCATCAGGCTCGGCATCATCAACTCAAGCCTCCTCCAGAAGGCAACGCAGAGCCGCGAACCCCTTTGGGACCCGTGAAGAATGGGAATCGCCTGATTACCAATCGCCCCTCGCAGGCATGTTCACCCGTGCCTGGACACGCTATAGAGAAGCTGAAGACAATCGTCGCCAGGCCGGAACAGAGCTTCCAAGACAAATGCAAGGAGTTTCTTTCAACGACCATGAAGAGTCTCTACAGTCGACACAATACCCAGCATCATCTGCACCCCACGCGTACAGTCGCCATTACGAGCGTTCTCGCCACAACAACTCATTTTCCCTGGTCGATGACCTCGCTTGGAATACCCCCAATGCCCTCCCAGAGGAGGTTCGCCGCGTGCACACCATGGCCAGCAATTTGGTTGACAGTGCCGCCGCCGAAATGAACACGCATGGACATCCACACGCCGCGCCACCAGGCCACGCTAATCCGTTCACCAGTAGTCTGTTCAGCATACATGACGCCTACAACCGAGCAAACGTTGAGAACCCATTCACTCGAAACTATGGCTTCATGAATATGGCACGGCCACCGTCGCCGCCTCGCGAGAACCCCATCGATGTGCAGACGGCGCGGCCTCCACCACTGACTACAGAAGACATGACGGTCAGCATTGCCTGCCGCATCTGTACGGAGCAAAAGGTGGATACTCTGCTTATGCCGTGCTCGCACGTCGCGATGTGCGGGTGGTGTGTGCAATTGATGCGGGAAGAGAGCGGGAGGAAACGAGAGCGCAATGGGTTGGCGGGACAGAACGTGCGGATTCGGGGCGAGGGGTGGAAGTGCCCAATCTGTCGGCGCGGAGTAGAGGGCACGCGAAAGGTTTACCTGGGCTGAGTGAGTTGATGTGGCTAGTAAAAATAGAAAGGCTGTCAATGGGACACGGCGCAAAAGGATAAGGTGAGGGTAGGGGGCGAGAACTCTCCTCGCTTCCAGCAGGCGAGGATGCATGGCGTGACGCGGAGCAGCCATCAGTCTTGACGATTTAATGTAGCGACAACTGTTCGTCTTTTTGTACTCTTCTGTCTAGACCTACTCTTTGAAACTACGGCTTCTGTGCTCGTGCGAACATAACCGCAATAAAATGGCCTGAAAACCCAGGCCGCCCGCAACCTGGCAGTCCCCGATGCCAAATGCTATAATCTTCAACGCCGCGCTGTAATGCATATTGCTGCTATGTTGGTCTCACCGTTTCGACCCACTGATTCGATGCTCATGTTAGCCGATCCCAAGTTCGCACTGACCAGCTCTTGTATTCTCACTTCCCCGAGCGTGCATTTCTAATTCCCCAGATATCGCTTCCAGCCATCTCGCCACACACTCCGGCGTTCGTGGCCGTCCTCGATGGATGCTTGGGCGGGCCGCTCACCGACTTTGAAACGCTCCCACCGTCCATCGCGGCCAGTGCCAATGCAGAGTAAAGTGTCGTCGTTGATCCAACCTAGAAGCCCTTTCTGTGCTCGGGAAGGTAATGATCCTAGTGCGGGAAGGTATGTCAGAGTCGAAGGTGAATTCGGGCCCGTCTCGTCACCGATCTCAAAATGTGCAGAAGCGAAACTGTACGTGTCGGAAAAGACACGGGGCAGGAGTGGAATCTTGCTGAGGAAGCCCCATTTCTGGGACGCGTTGTGGCCTTCATCTGCTTCTGAGGGTACATGCGGTGACTGTGAGCGTCTGCGCATCGCTGTGTCTGCGGATCCAGGGATTGCCGGCAGATCGAAGACATGCAGAGTAGATTTATCAGAGGTCACCGCTAGCACACTCGAGTCAGGAGAGATAGCGATGCTGAAGATGAAAGCTGGGTCGACGCCTCTCCGGAGCTCGGCGATCTTGGTGCAATTCGCTGTATTGAACACCCGGATCAGAGTACCTGTCTCGGAAGCGGTAGCAAGGTAACGCCCGTCACGACTGAGATCCATTGCTCGCAAGGCCGACGTATGTGCTGGAATGATGGAGACATTTCCGGACACAAGTTCCACAAGTTGGACCTTGCCTGGCGAGCGTCCTGGAAAAGCCACGGTTCTTGCGCCCAAGCATACCAGCCCAAATGCATTATCGGCCGTCTCGAATATGGAAGTCTTTTCTGGTGGCGAGGAGAAATTATATAGGTGTATGCTGTTTTGCAAAGCGACTACAATCCTCGACTTTGTGAGGCGCACGCGTAGGACAGCTGTCTTGAGCTCGAGTGTGATGGCCGCTCGCTGTTTGGCATCGTCCCAGATGATGACCTTAGTTTGAGGCCATCGAGGATTCCGTCCACCGCCAACTAGGGCCAAGTAGTTGTAGCGACCAAGCATCTCAGCACTGCCGATTCCCGAGTTGAGATCTGTGTGCATCAGAAGAGCTTCGCAGGATAATTAGGCAGCCGTACCTCGTGAGGCTTTGAGCTCGCATGGATCTGAATTGAACACTTCACAAGCAGATCAGTCTAGGTTCATCTGGTATTATTCGAACCCACCACAGAAGCCATCTTCCAACCCAACAGCAAAGCAACTGCAATCGTTATTGAAGGAGGCGGAGAGCGAAGTAGGTCCAGAGGACTCGTCAATGACCGGTCTCGTATTCATGGCGGCGAAGGTCTAGTAGATTCAGGGGGAGCATGTCGGGAGTTTCAGTCGTTACGTATAAGAGAATAACGATACAAGCTCAAGAAAACGTGGTAATTGAATTGCGATCATTGGTGTTGATTTGTACTGAAGATGCACCGCACGCTGGTGACGTGGGGAAAAGATGACGCCGAACCACGCGCGGAGCTTGGCCCTTAAGCGATCGAGCTAGTTGCAATCTAGTTAAAGCGACGCAGACGGAGGTACCCCCAAAGCTTTGTGTCAAGGCGACCAGGGCCACCCTGATTGTGGCTGTGCTTCTCAACGCCTTCACAGCTCCGCTCCAATGCGCGAAGCTCTGATATGTGCACATGTCATTGCGATAAAGCACACGAATTGTGTCGAGGGGATAGAAATCCCTCTCCTGTTCTCTCTCCGACGCTGGGCACCCTGCTTCTTACTATCCCATACCGTGGTCACGCCGCCTGACCCGCTGACGACGTCAGTGATTACTGTGCACCATGCGCGCCACCCGGTAGCCTATATCATCAGCCACAGCATCTGCCCTCCGTGAGATTAGGAGCGGTAGTATGGCATCTGGTCTGAAGCCATTCGAAGTACCCCAGTCAATCTTGGAAACACCTGGGGCCTTCCCTGTTGATTCCTCCGAGTTGCAGACTGTAGGTACATCAGCTCCTCAATCCCTCTCTTCTGCGGTGAGGGCTCGCAAAGATGAGTTCACCCGCAAGAAGTCAATCAAGATCAAGGTCGGCAGCTGGAATGTCGCCGCGCTCAATGATGCTGCGAAAGATCTGGGACTATGGTTCGTCAAGGGCTTCGGGGTGAAGGGTCTGTCCGATAGCATGGCCACGCTTCAGCCAGAAAGCAGCACGAATCTACCACAGGACCAAGGCATTGAGTCAGTTGAAGATCAGGAGGCCCGGAGACGACGGAAGAAGATTACCATACCCAATGACGACAAACCAGCAATTCCTCACGACGAGGACATTGGCCTCTACGTCCTTGGCTTGCAAGAGGTCATCGACATCTCCTCGGTCACGGAGGCCATCAAGCCCTATACCGATCCCAACCCAGCCAAGAAGTGGAAAACAAGTCTCAGATCATGTCTCCCAAAAGGCTACGAAAAAGTGGCCGAACAGCAGCTTCTAGGCCTGCTGATCCTAGTCTTTGCTTCGCCAGAGTTGCACCCTACGATAAGCAATGTTAGCTGTTCAAGCGTCCGCACAGGGTTCAGTGGCTATTTCGGCAACAAAGGTGCCGTTTCCGTCCGCCTAGTGCTCGGAGAATCCACGAAGATGTGCTTCATCAACTGCCATCTCGCCGCAGGAGCTGATGCTGCCTCCCTCGAACATCGAATCTGGGATACCAACCAGATCATTCAGCGCACCCGCTTTGGACCGGTCTCGATCGAGGGAGAGAACGACGGACCCGAGGAAAAACTTGGCGACGAAGACTTCGCCTTTTGGTTTGGCGATCTCAACTACCGCCTCGACGACATTCCTGGCGAAGACGTGCGTCGCTTGCTCCTCTTGCACACACGCAATGAGTACGACGTCTCGAACACATCGAAGCAGAAGATCGACAGCGAGCTCGGCTACCAAGCCGCTGCTATCGAACAATGCCCTCCTGGTGGCCCCGAGCCTTTCCATCATTATGAGATCTCCGAAGAAGAGCTGACAGCTGCTGCCAGCAATGCCTCTCCTACCCTTGACCCGGCTTCCGACCCTGCATCACTCGTCACTACCATCTCGTCCCTCTTCGCGCATGACCAGCTCCGCGCCCAGCAGCGTCAGCAACTCGCCTTCCACGATGGGTGGCGCGAAGGGGACGTTAACTTCCTGCCAACGTACAAATACGACATTGGCAGCATTGGCATGTTCGATTCCGGCGAAAAGAAGCGATCTCCCTCTTGGTGTGATCGTATTCTGTATAGAACGCGCACGGATCGGCTAATGTACGAGGAGCGCGCAGCCAAGGAGACAGAGGCGAGGAGGAAGGATGAGGAGATGCAGAAGCGTGGTTTGGACGAGGCGGCGGAGGATGAGAGAAGCGTGCTTTTCGACTATGATCCTGACACAGATGGACTGGCGTTTGGAGACGACTACGACGAGGAGGCTGAAGAAGTGAATGATGCCGAGCTCGTCAGGACAAGAGAGGGCCGCGAAGACGAGGTAACGCTGGAACACTACATCTCGCATCAACGAGTTCTGTCGTCGGATCACAAACCCATAGACGCCGTCTTCACCTTGACCTATGACGCCGTCATTCCAGAACTAAAAGCGAAAGTCCACGCTGAGGTGGCGCGCGAGTTGGACAAGGCGGAAAACGAGGCGAGACCAACGATTACGGTTGTGACGGAGAATCACAATGATGGACAGTCCGACGCAGGAGACGACGCCCTGGATGCCAGCACTGATAATATCAACACCCAGACCGCCTCAGATGTGAACTGCATCAATTTCGGCAATGTGAGGTATGATGTGCCCAAAACGCGCAGCATCACGGTGGCCAACACGGGACAGTTGTCCTGTACGTTCAAATTTATCGGAAGGGGCGATGACAGTCTCGCCGCAGCCAAACCCCGCTCCAGCAACAACAAGGCCAGCCACGCAGGCAGCCCTGACAATGACATCGCACCCAGCTGGCTGACCATATCTCCACTATCTCCCTCAGACCCGGACCTGTCGAGCTATTCTACGCCAGATAACGACTACACCCTCTCGCCGGGGGACACTTTGACCCTCTACCTCACGGCGCACGTGGACTCAATCAAGCCCTCGCTCGTAGAAGCCCTCAACTCGGGCACCACAGCACTCGATGACGTCCTTATACTGCGCGTCGCTGGCGGGCGCGACCACTTCCTGCCCCTGCGTGGCACCTGGCTCCCGACGTGCTTCTTCCGCAGCCTGGAGGAACTCGTCGTCGCGCCACCCGCTGGCGGCGTACGAGCCGCCCCGCGCAAGCGCAACAACCGCGACGGCACCGGAACGAGTGGCGTGAAGAGCAGTCCCACAAGCATGGGCGGCCAGGGACGCAACAGTGCGCCGCGGGAATTGTTTGCGCTGACAGAAGCGGTGCAGGTATTGGCGGAGCGGGCGGTGGTGGACTGGGGCATGGTGCATCCTGACGCGCCAGCGCCGTGGACATGGGGCCAGGACGGCGACGCATCCACCGATGGTAGCATTACTGGATGGCCCTTCAACGAGAAGAGCTGGACATTCCACGCAGGAGAGGAGCGGGACGAGATGAAGGCGCGCGTAAGGGAAGCGCTGGACACGGCGAAGCCAATCCAGGACTGCCTGCCGCTAGAAACGGAATGTATTGTGCGATTGGAGGTTGTGGGCGAGACGCTGGTCGAGTTCCTCGCCAGCGTGCGCTCCGGCATCGTGACGACCGACATGTGGAAGTCCATCTCCACCTCGCTGGAACAGCTTGCGAAGCAAGATGCACAAGGCTCGCCCGCCGAGGATAAGTCTGCGCTGACGATGGAAGCTCTTTCCAGCCGGCCGGTTCACAGCGTCAGCTTAACGTTTGTGACGTTTATGCTGAGCCGTCTGCTGCAGGAGGTGGCACCCCTGAGCAAAGAGCAGAAAGGGAAGGACAGCAACATCGCGAGGAGCAGTAGCCGAAGGTCCCGCGCGAGTACGGTGAGCGAGGCGGAGAGCGAGATCAGCACCGGCGCCGCACCGAGTGTAGAGAGTGGGAATGCCGGCAGCAATGCTCCTGCAGCAGCTGAGGAGGGAAGCGAATCCAGAAGGGGCGGTGGTGGCTTCTTTAGCAGCATCACGCGGCGACGGCGGCGGGGATTATCAAATGCCACGGGTGGAACGAAAACCGCGGCCAAAGCAGAGGCGATGGCGCTGGAGAAGAGGACGACGCTGCTCAAGGGCTACGCAGCTAACTTTGCGCCGCTCGTGATACGGACAGAAGGAGATATGGTGCTGAAGGGCAAGGAGAAGAAGGCGCTGGAAGTGAGGAAACAAAAGCTCATGGAGACACTGTTGGAAGGAGTTGGTGTTTAGGATACACCGTTATTAGGCTAAGAAGGCGGTCTTTTCGTTTGAATCAGATTCGATGAGGTCTCGTGTTCGATCGCTCGAAGGCTTCCATGTGATCTTGTGGGCCACTTGTCTGCTAACTTCCCTGACAACTATCTACGAGCGCACAGTATTCGGTCTGTTCCTGCTCATTGTCAAGACGGCCTCCGAGTCTCCACAGCACATTGGTGCTGTCCAGCCTGACCGCAATCACACATCAACACCAAGCAAAGCCGGGATCACCCTTTTTTGTCTTTCACAACCAGGAAGCACGCAACTCTTTCCCCCCAGTAACGCCTATCGTTCGTACAATTCGGTTCCTATGCGCCACGGATTGCGCACTAACTCATGCCACCTTTACCGGAGTACTGAAAGTTTCCAAAAGCGCCAGGGGTGATGGAGCCCGTGCCAGGACCAGGTGTTTGGATGCCCGCAATTCCGGCGTTTCCAGTCCGAGGAGTGCTCGGGGCGCCGCCGTTGGCCGGAGTATGGCCATGGTAAAACGTAGCGCCGTTCATGTTGGGAGTATTGAGATCTCGGCCAGACATTGGCATCTGGGCATTGAGGCCCCAAACTTGACCGGAGTATCTACCCTCGTCAATACTGCCACCAAAAATCTTCTTCTTCATTTCGAAGTAGACCTGGCCAGTGAGGAGGGAATCGCTGCCAGCCTGATGCGCCTGCCCTATGCGCGTGACAGCCAGCTCTTCTGCGATGTCCTGTAAGCCGGATTTGGAGAAGAGCTTCGCGAGGATAAGAGAGGCTTCTTGGGTTAAAGGAGTGTTGCTGTTGACTTGTTGACGGGCGGAGGCATGCTTGAGCATGAATTTGATGTCAAACAAGGACGGAAAGAATTTCTCAAGATATTTGTGGAAGGATGTCTCGTCATCCGGCAGCGGCATGCAGATCATCAGCTTCATCAGATAACCAAAGTCATAGCCAGAGTGGAAGGAGATCCAGTGAACATCGGGGTCAAGAACAAGTCCAGATGAGATGAGGAGAGCACCGAACTCTGCAGGATCGATGCCTTGTTTGCTGTGTCGCTCGAAATCGATTCCAGCCTTGGAAAGCATTGTAGTAGATTCTTGAGCATACATGTCCGAGTCAAGAGAGAACTTGAAGTTGAATTGCCAGGCATAAGGTGCAACGGTATTGGACATGTAGGGAGTTTTCGCTGGTGACGCCGGGTCGGCAGGTGGTAAGGAGCCGTCGGCTCTAAACAGAGCGACGCCTAGTTGAATCATTTTGAGGAGATCGACGTTACAGCGGAGGGTTTGATAATGGTAGTCGGCTTTTGTGGTGAACTGGCCGATTGGTCTTGCGACAATGCCTGGAAACTCGGTGTCCTGTTACAAGTTAGCACGCTGTTGAAGAGTTGGGTTTGTGGCCATACCATGGCAATGTAGGGGTACTCTTCGACCAGAGCACGTAGAGTGGCCATCTCTTGACGAAGGTTGTGCTTCCAGACATTTCGGATTCGGGTATCCTCCTGCTTTTCTCTTGGGTGGGGCATTCCATCGAATCCTTGATGACCCTGAGCCGAGACGCCTCTCGAGAACCCAAGATGACCGCTCAGCAACGTATCTGGAGTGCCCCTGTCGAATGCGTTGACACCGGAAGGAGCCATAGAAAAGGGACTGCTCATTGTGTTTGGGGCATTAGAATTGGAGTGGCCGGGTGGAGGTAGGAAGGAGTGCTGTTGGGAGGGGTGATAGGACTGCATATGGTTTTGGGAGGGATGGAATGGCGGGTTGAGCGCGCCCGTGTATCGTGGAGGCGCCATTATTGTAGCAAAGATAGTTTTATGGCGGAGATGGTGGAGGGAGCGACTGCACAGTCCTGCTCATCGCGGGAATTCCTGTATTGCTGTCTGACAGCCTAGAATCTGCGCGCAAGCAGTCGCATGGTCTTTGCTGATTAGGGGCGACACGCCAGTACGTGATGGGAAGGGTGACGATAATTGGGTGGGGGACTGGTTGATGGTGATGGCCGTGGTCGAGGACGACGAGGCCTGAGGGCGAGGCTGGCAATTGCCCGCGCGGACTCCGCGCGCAGGCTTGGCGCTGCTCAAAGCTAAAATCCCATGACTTCACAACTGATTGAAGCTTCCGTCGCACCTCCCACTCTACCCATCCGCCAACTTATGTGAAGCTGTTCTACGCGCAGGCTGCGACTCACATCCGCCTGGCAGCCTCACGCGACATCGAGCGATCAACGAGCCGCCTCCGTGCCCGCCCTCAGCATGGCGCCTCCTAATCCGACCGGCTTCGACATGAAGGAGTTCGTGCGAGCTTCTACGAGTACACAGTGGCGGTCAAAAGACCCTTGGAAGAGAAAGTGAGTGCAAAATCAGCTTGTAAGTTGATGGTAAAGCTGATAGGGCGATAGTGAGGCATGGCGATCGACGGGCCCCTTCACCCGGTGGAACAGGTTCAAGGGAGCTTTCCCAGGGTTCGGAATTGCTGTCGGCGCATTTGCAGTCTACCTGGTTGCTGAGCAGGTCTTCTTCAAGGACGAGCATCACGGCGATGGTCATGGCAAAGACCATCATTGAAAGTCTGTCCATCACCCCACCGGCGACATATCTCCATACACGATCCACCACCAAGTGCTGGAGTGGACGACGCACCACAAGCATCAAGATTCGGTCAAGGGCACAAAATGCATGCCTCCTGTACGTAACATGGTGGACAATGAAATATTCCAAGGCTGCATTGCAGTCCTTTTACGGCTCGCGCGGCTCACACTCACTGGCCCATGGCAGCTTTTCGGATTTCCAACGCCGCGGGCAGATGGTTCTCCATCGAGACTGCTCTATTTTGACTTAACACCACGTGCTGACACACCCTTTTTGTCCCAATCATCAGCTCTTCAAAGTCGCAGTCCAATGGAAGCTGCAATCCGATGTGGAGTACGTGGCGCTAGGCCGGATATAGCAAAAACACCCAACTATGCTCCGCGTTATCGTCTTATCAGAATCTTTAGCCACACAAGATTCACGGAGCGTTCTGTTTCCTCATTCCATTTGTGTCCAGCCCCGGAGCCCTGCATATAATGCCACGGTGAGTCCCTTGTAGTGTCCCATGCTTCTCTCGCTACACCCTGTTGCCCGTGATCTCCTCATTCAAATCGCTGTCGCAATGGTTCTCGAGCGTGTAAAGCAGCTGGCTCAGCAGGTAACGAATACTGCTGGTCCCGCTCATCCCTTGGATCCTTTGACTCTCTCGGAAATCGAAGCAACCGTCTCGATCCTCCGAGCCGAATATGGCAAGCTGTACTACAATGCCATCACTCTCTTCGAACCTCCCAAGGCAGAGATGGTGAAGTGGTTGGCTAGTCCAGACCACGCTCCTCGCCCACAGCGGAAGGCCGACATCGTCGTCATTGGCACTGATGGCAAGGTGTACGATGGCGTCGTCAACCTTGAAGCTGGCAAAGTTGAGAAGTGGGCACACACCCCCGGTGTACAGCCTCTCATCACCATGGAAGACCTCCAAGCCGTCGAACACGTCTGTCGCAAAGACCCGAAAGTTATCGAGCAGTGTGGCATTGTCGGCATTCCGCCTGAGGAGATGCACAAGGTCTACTGCGACCCCTGGACTATCGGCTACGACGAGCGCTTCGGTACCAGCGTCCGTCTGCAGCAGGCCTTGATGTATTACCGACCTCATGTCGACGACTCACAATACTCCTTTCCCCTGGATTTCTGTCCCATCTATGACGCCAACAAGGGCGAAATCGTGCACATTGACACCCCCAAAGTACGCCGACCTGTCTCACGTAATCCACCTAACAATTACAACGTCAAGGACATTCAACAATCCGGCGGCTATCGCACAGATCTCAAGCCTATCAACATCACCCAACCCGAAGGTGTATCGTTCACCATTCAGGGCCGCGTCATCAAGTGGCAAAACTGGTCGGTCCACGTCGGCTTCAACTACCGTGAAGGCATCGTACTCAACAACATCAGCTATTTCGACAAAGACGAGGGTGCAGTACGGCCAATCTTCTACCGCTTGTCCCTCGCCGAGATGGTGGTTCCGTATGGCAATCCTGAACATCCCCATCAGCGTAAGCATGCTTTCGATCTTGGTGAGTATGGTGGTGGATACATGACCAACTCATTGGCTTTGGGTTGCGACTGCAAGGGCAGTATCCACTACATGGACTTTGATTTCGTGACCAAATCCGGCGCAGCTTCCACCATCAAGAATGCAGTCTGTATCCACGAGGAAGACGCCGGTATCCTCTACAAGCACACCGACTTTCGCGATGACAGCGTGATTGTCACACGCGCCCGCAAGCTGATCGTCAGCCACATCTTCACAGCTGCGAACTACGAATACTGCGTGTATTGGATCTTCCACCAGGACGGTACAGTGCAGCTGGAAATCAAGTTAACAGGTATTCTAAACACTTATGCTATGCTACCCAATGAGGACACCAAGGGATGGGGCACGCAAGTGTACCCCGGTGTGAATGCGCATAACCATCAGCATCTGTTCTGCTTGCGCATCAACCCCAGTATCGACGGGACCGACAACACCGTCTTCCAAGTGGACGCAGCGCAAGGAGCAGGCGAAGTGGGATCAGCAGAAAACTTCTACGGCAATGCGTTCTATGCCAAGAAGACTAAGTACACCACACCCGAGGGATCCAAGGCCGACTACGATGGCAAGAGCAGCAGGTCCTGGGACATGTGCAACGAAGGGAAGCTCAACAAATACAGTGGCAAGCCCGTGAGCTACAAGCTCGTGAGTCGCGAAGTCCCTATGCTGCTGCCAAAGGAAAACAGCTTGGTATGGAAGCGTGCGGGCTTCGCTCGTCACGCAGTGCATGTTACAAAGTGTAAGTCCTTCACGCCCAATCGTTGTTGAGTCCCCCTACTAACAATTCTTGCAGACGACGATGCTCAACTACACCCCGCTGGCCGACACGTTCCCCAGACCTCCGGCGAGCCCAGCCAAGGCATCCCGCAATGGATCGCTTCCAACCCAACACAAAACATTGCCAACACCGACATCGTGCTCTGGCACACTTTTGGCATCACGCACTTCCCCTCGCCCGAGGACTTCCCAGTCATGCCAGCGGAGCCAATGACGCTTCTGCTGCGGCCCAGGAACTTCTTCTTGAGGAATCCCGCCCTCGATGTTCCACCTAGCTTTGCAAGGACACCAAGTGAGGTTGCGGCTGGCAAGCAGGGATGCTGCAGTAAGGATAAGGCCAGCGTGCTTGTGTAAAGCTACAGAGTGTTATTAGCGTTGGCTGTATGATGTTTCAATGTCGTTCAAGACGCAAAACCAAATCATGATATATATATCTGTGCAAATGTTTTTCTGGTACCGTTGTTGCGAATAGCTCTCAATCCTCATCAACTCTGTCACGAACCCAGGCCGAATCATCCCAACATGCACATCGTCGCCAAAATCCCTTCCTCGACCCCTTCAGCCTCTCCGCGCCCTCGAACTCAAAGCCACTCTTCCTCAACGCCTCCTCACTGCCCTCAGTCCAGCTAAACGTACTTGGTTCGATCCTCACGATCCACGAAAGGGTCTCATGCGCCCATGCGGTGAAACCTTTTACGACTTGAGTCAGCAGGGTAGAGCTACGACGAAAATGAGACCGGATGGGCGGCGGATTTGGGCGGAGCGGGAGGGGACAAAAAGATCGAGGTCTATGCTGCGCCCGCGAGAGTGGACAGCGTGAAGGGCCTGCCAAGTACGTTTGTTGACGTTACCACTATTGACATATTTCGTGATGAGAACCTACAGGTAACTCTATCTTCACGCCCTGCTAATACGGCTTGGGTCAACGCAGACACTGATGGATACCTGTAGTACGCCAGGAAAAACGCAGCAGAGAACATAGATGTTGAGCTGCATCTGTGGAGCGGCCTGCCGCACAGTCTCGAGCTGCTAGCTCCGCACATCGCTGCCACAGAGATGGCGCTGCAGGCGAGAGTGCGGGCAATGCAGAGTGTCTAAGTCGTCCGGTGTCACACCCAATGGAAGACGATGCTGACCTTACCACTTATTGAACAGTCAGATCTGCCTCCAGCTGCAGAAGACCACTCTGAATCCGATACAAGCAGACGTTCCGTCTCTCGATACATGGATCCAGACCTGTTCTAGCATATGGCACGTATTTTCAGGAAAGTGCCGAAGATGTTCGATGAATTTCACATTACCAGTTGTAGCGCCTGCCTGGGCGGAATCGGTAGTGTGGTTGGCCTCAGATATGGTCTCAGCCGCTCGTCAGGTCAGTTATGATTAGTTTCTCTTGCATAGTAAGTGTCCCCGGCATTGCAGCCTTTCTAGTGCTCAACATGACCGCATCCTCCTACGGTGGATCGAGGTAATCTATCAAGGGATGGCTTTCGCACGAAAGGACCGACATCATCCTGACAGCAGTTCGTCGCCAGTATATTGCCTCCTCATAGCACGGCCAACGCAATGAGGAGAATTCGGGCCACCAGCTTAGCTTACAGACTACTGGCAACAAAACCTGCCTCGGATCAGCGAATCTACGCTGAAATTGCAGGGTAGCATCCTATTGGCAGCTCGGACCTTCTGCGACACACGGTGCTTGATGTGCTGCGGGAGAACTTGATTTACGACGCTGAGTGAGGGTCTGCGGCGGAAAAGACACTCGTGGAGGCAGTGAAGTGGACGGGTTTAGCACTTGGTAACCACCACCAAAAATAAGCGATCCACTCGTATAGCGCCGGTCCAATCAACGCCGTGCAAGCCAAAGTTCCGCCCGCCGCCAAGTGATATAGCGGCGGCGGTCAGAAGCTTCTATTCGCTCAGGCTGCTCTCGTCGAACCTCAATCGCGCCGCCATTGGTTCAAAGCCTCCTCCGCCTCAATGAGATGAATTGACTCCGCCTGAGGCCAAGGTGAGACGCAGTAAATCTGAGGTAGACACGTGCTCGGAACAGCTAGAACGGCCGCTGTTGGTGGTACTCCACGCTTGGCCGTGTTGCTGGCTTCGCTGCTTTGAGGTATAAGTAAATGAACGCAGTCCACGATACTCAGCAAACCATCAACATTACAATCATCCAAAAACAACCATCTCTTTTCCTTGACTTTTTTCCTATCTGTTTTTCCTATCGTCTGTCGTTCAAATTATCATTTAATCAGTCCTAATCATCTTGCCTTACCAACCACTCACCAACCAGTGTCACCTAGTCAGTCATCATGAAGACCACCTTCGCTATTTCCGCCCTTTCCATCGCCTCTCTGGCCTCTGCTCGCTCCATCAATAAGGCTCGCACATCCGAGGTAGCAGCACCCAAGCAAGCCTTTGAGCTCGATGTCACCACCACCCTGAATGGCCTTCAGGACTACTACAGCCGCGATGATGGCTTCATCTACGTCAAGATCGCACAAGACGACAATGTTGAAAGCGCCACCGTCCGCAGTGTCAACAACGATGTCACCTGCACCATCTCCGACATCCGTGGCTACGCAATCCGCTCATTCGGCGGCCAATTCCCAGACACCTACGAGCGCCAGCCATGGGAGAACGACCACGCCGACAGTATCGGCTGCTTTTTTCCCGGCGAGTCTCAAGCAGACTATGCCGACAAGATCACACGGCGCCAGGAGCCAGCTCCGCCTTCTTCCGCCCAACACCAGGCTTTTGAAATGGACCTGACGTACGCAACCGCCGGCGTCCAGGACTTCTACAGCCGTGAGGACGGTTTCATCGAGGCGGCCGTCATTCCCGGCGACAAGCTCGTGGGTGCCGTCGTGCGCAGCATTGCCGGCGACGTTGTCTGCACCATCACCGATGCCGACGGCTACCAGGTCCGCAAGTTTGGTGGCGAGCACCCCCAGAGCATTGAGCTGTCTGAGTATGAGGGTGTGAAGGCCGCAAATGTGGGCTGCTATTTCCCCGGCGAGGGTCCGGCTGCCTACTAGGAACTCCTTATCTGAGTTTCAGTGAATGGGGTTGGCATGGTGTTGCTTTTGAGATATGACTTGAGCATTTGATCTGGGGCATGGCATAGCGAGGGCGTGAATCAATTACTTGGCTTTAATAGGACTGTAAGGTTTCCGAGATGCTTGCTAGATAGTACAAGAATTGGCAAGCCACATGGCCTTATCGCATTAATCTCATATGGCACTGATGTACTAACGCAGCTGTCAGATCAGAGTATTGATCTTACTGCCTAGTTCTACTTCGATGAGGTTGTCATCGCACTTGAACTCGATCGAAAACTGTGTTTCTCTGTCAGAGAGGACCCAACATAGTGAGCTCGCTCATGATTCACCCCGGGGACACCATAGTATTACGGTGTAGAGAAATATGAGACTCAAGTCACGTAACAGTCTGCCACTCCCTAATATTCCCATCTTCAACGCCTTTCGGCGCACGCATACGAGGAGCTCTAGCTGACGACGTCGAATGATCTGTCGACGATACGCACAACTCCGATGTCTTGGGGCCTTCGGTCAGCATGTATAGCGTTATTGATCGGCTTCCTGGCAGGCGTGGAGTATGGCGTGCTTTCCTACAGATTCACGCCTTCAGCCAGTACCCACAATGTCATGCCAGCTACTTCTCAAAAACTAATATAGACGAGACATGGCAAACCATATGTCGACTTCTGTTATCCTCCTGTTCATAATACTAATTGTCATTGGGGTCAAAAACCAACCTCATTATCACATTTAATCAAGTTGAACTCAGGCAACATTCGCCTGCATGTCCAGCATGACCAGTTCATCTGTCAGAAAGGGCGGACCAGTGCTCAAAGGACCATATGACTTTCCAGACAGTCCACTAAACCGTTCGGCCCGGCAGCCGTTGATGCTAGGGGTGTTCCTCGACCTGCAAGACCGCAAGATCTCGAATCACCCTACCAGCAACACTTGGAAGTTTGACTACAATGCCAACATTGTCCGCAAAGCCGATGAATTGGGCTTCGACATCGCTTTCAGTCGGACGCAATGGCTCCCCAAGGGTGGGTATGATGGCGAGGCATCCCTGGACTCATTTATTGCGCTGGGTGCCATGGCTGCTATTACCAAGAATATTCTGCTCGTCTCAACTATACACGTTCTGTATGGACCGTTGCACCCTCTGCACATAGCCAAGTATGGAGCAACCTTGGATCATATCGCCAATGGACGTTGGGGCATCAACATCGTAACAGGTCATCGTGCGGTTGAACACCAGATGTTTGGATGGAACCGTATTGAGCACGACAAAAGGTACGAGATGGCGGCGGAGTTGTTCAATGTTGTGAACAGTCTCTGGGGTGAGGATGAGAATCTGACTTACGAGGGCCGCGTCTCGCCTTGGAAGCTGGAGAATGCTTGGATCACCCCCAAGCCTTTGTACGGTCGCCCAGTTCTGGTCAATGCCACTGGCTCTCCGGCAGGCATCGACTTTGCAGTGCGTTACTCCGATCTAGTATTCATCACCTCACCCGCTGGCGCCGATATTGGAAGCGCCCTAGAGTCACTCCCAGATCACATCGCCACCATTAAGAAAGCCGCCGAGGTTGCTAGCCGTCCGATCAAAGTACTCATCAACCCTGTCATCGTGTCACGAGACACGCCCGAGGAGACAGACGCGTATCTCAAGGCCGTGGTGGATGGCATGAGCACAGTCAAGGAGGAGAAGCAAGCCTTCATCAAGTCATACGACAGCGATGCACATGCTTGGCAGGATCGCAAGAACAACCCCAGCAAGCAAGGTTTCAACCTGGGTGGCAACGTTGAGGTCATAGGCTCGCCGAAGCAAGTGGTTGAGCAGCTGACTGCTTTGCATCGTGTCGGCATCGATGGGGTGCAGCTAGGCTTCCTTGATTGGGAGGTAGACTTCAACCATTTCGCCGAGAAGATCCTGCCGCTGCTCAAAGAAGCTGGACTTCGAGTTGACTGAGGGATGACTCGAGGACAGAAATCCAGGAAACGCATAGGTCTTATGGTGAGCAACATTGTTGGATAAACTAGACGAGAAGTGGTTAATCGATGGACATCATGATATTACGGTCTGGTATCGTTTATATACTAGCCTGAACAGCATCAATGCTTCAAAAACGCCTCCCAACCGTGCCGCGCAATGCCCATTCCCATGCTCTTCAGAATCCCAGGGCGCTCACCGCCACCTGTCCTGGCATCATGCGAGGAAGTTTTCTACCTAACAATGTCGTTATTATCCACAGGTCGGCCTTGCAGCCCACACACTACACGCCACTTCCAATCTTGGTCCTCTCCTTTGGCTGCAGATCCTCACTCAATGGGCTCGTCAGCCCCGTCTCACCACTTCCTCCGGCCTCGTCTTCGCTCATCAGCCCCTCGAGCTCAAACTCCTCTGCGTCTCTGACCTGCTGGCTGTCCGTCGCCCTGTGACGAGGCATGCGGGATGAGATGTGCCTTGGTGCGCCGTTCATGCCCATTAGCGGTATGTCTGAGTACGTCAACGCACTTGCTTTGCGGCTGTGCATGCCAGCCGGCTGCAGCCGTGGTACAGGTGCTCCACCGAGACTGAGACCACGGTGCGGAGGGATGCTGCCGGTCGTTGCACGCGCGGCGAGCACGCCATTGGACTCATCATCGGGCCAGGTGGCCACGGCATAGATGTGTAGTAGTATGTTGATGAAGAGATACATGAGGAAAGCGATCGAGTAGAGTAATAGGATATAAGACACGTGAGAGATGCCGTGGGCGGAGAGGAGCTCCATCTGTTCTTGTGTGGCGCCCATGAAAAGGAGGCCAGAGGCATAAAGTAGCTGAGATAGTTAGCAGAGGCACTCGTTTCGGAGTGAACAACTTACGAAAGGCGGAAGATGCTGCCACGCGCTGGGCTCGCTGCCTCCCCTAGAGTCTTTGAGGGTGAAGCAGATCTCGACAATACGCGTTGCGCCAGCAGCCATTAGCGTGTAGCCGAAAACGGTATGTACCATGGTGCTCAGCGGCACCGATTGCGGATGCGCGCTCATCGCCCAACCAGTGATGAGGATCACGATGCCCGGAAGGACATTGCGACGAGGGGCACCTCGTCTGCTTCGGCTTAGCCAAATGCCCAAGAGGCCAGCGCACCACCAAACGATACCCATGGACGTGTGTTGCAGGTCGTTCGCGACCCAGGGATGGCCCCATCGGTGCTCGGTGAACGTGTTGACGCAACCCCAGGCAGCGATGACGATTGAATCAAAGAACTCTTGGGATTTGCCAGTACGTCGTAACCATGCTTGTCCTACGAGGAGCAAGATGGACATGACAATGCCGTAGCCAATAAAAGCAGAGCCCATGATATAGTGAGCCAGACACTGCCCAAGGTTATCGCCACGGCAGTACCCCATGGCGGTGATACCACCGAACACCATCTGTACCCATGCTACCGCGGGCATCATCTTTCCAAGCAACGAGTGCACAATAACCACAATCCTTCGGCCCGAGCGGCCAGACTGCGAGCCAAAGATTTTCCCCAGGAATCCTTTCTTTTCTTCAAGATGTAGCTTCAGTCCTACGCCGATAGCCACCTGAACAATCGTCATCAGAACGATGGACGGTGCAAATGAGGCGTGGATGTTGGGCTTGCGGAACTGTCGGCCCTTGTGCATATGGCCCATGAAATATGCAACAGTGGCAATGGCGGACGACAGGATTTGCAGAGGAACGTGCCATCGTGAGCGTATGATACCGAGGACCATGCCCAGCGGATAGAGCAGGCCGAAAGAGAGAGTCATGAGCAGAATGTGCATCCACAGTATCGAGTCGATGGGATCGGGTGAGATGGCTTCGCCCTCCGGTATCCGATCATGTCCACCATGAGCGTATGTGGGGACGGCATATGTGAGAAGGCATACGGTCGCCGGCAGGAGATACGAGGGGAGGCGCGCCATGGTGCGTGGCGGTGATCGTGGGGTGAGGGAGGCGATGAGGTGCAGCTGAGAGCGCAACGATACCAGACGCGATCACTAGAGGAGCATCGCGCGTCTCAAACACGACGGCGGCTGGCTGAACGATGTGTTCGGGAGGAATGACCTGTATTCACTGACCAAATGCCGCGAGTCACTTGCGTGAAGAACCAGAGTTGCATCGAGAAGTCGAGAAATCGAGGTCGGATTCGCACTTTAAGGCTTACCCCCTGACGCTGCGCTCCGATTGGCCGTGGAGAAAGGGTTGGAGCCAACAGATGCGGGAAATCAAGCATCCAGGCAGTGCTTGTACGTGAAGATCGGCAACGTCTCTATTGCTTCGTGTAGACGGATCGTTATAAAACTCGAACACACAGGGGATATCGCTCTATCTTCATCATCTCAGCACGTCGCATTCGCGGAACAAACTGTACAAACAAATAAGCGCTCCAGAGGCTACTTCGACGCCTTCAATACCATCACGCCGCCCACTCTTCCATTCCCGGTGCCATGCTGATCGTCAAACTTCGTCCTTTCATTGCGGTTCCAACGTCCTTCGTTCTTATGCCCATATCAGGGTTGTGGACCTGCTTTGAGTACTGCTTCGAGTTCGTGTCGTAAAGTCCACCAATAAATGGTCGCCAGATTCCAGAACAATGCCAACGCCGTTGCCAACCACCAATTGTCCGTTTCATGTCATGTGAAGGCCACCAGTCTGCTCAGGCCCACATCTGCCTCAGAAATCCTTGAAAGCATCCTCCCACAACGCCCTCATCTCACTATCGTACCGCCCTCTGCCACCCTCACTTTCCTCGCCCTCGATCGGATCAGGGTATTCATCGAAGTTCCCTGCGTCTCCTGCCCATTCGACACGCGGTATAATTGGTCCTCGCCTCCGGCGGTAATAGATCTCGTCCCAGTCAATGCCATCAAAGAACCAATGCTCCATTACCCGCTTGCTCCCGCCAGCAATGTGACCCAGTCGCTGACTCGGATCCGTCTTGCACAAGGCTAGAATGAAATCTCGGGCAGCGCGTGGAACATGTAGAGATGGACGGTTCGTCGAATGGTGGTGGTGTGCGGTAGGGAAGCGAATGTGGCCCTGAACGATCTGCTCGTAGATTCTCATAGGATTCTGATCCCAGAAAGGTGGTTGCCCAATCAGCATCTCGTAGACCAGTATTCCCAACGCCCACCAGTCCACGGCTGTACCATGTCCCGAGTTGCGAATAACCTCGGGTGCCAGGTACTCTGGGGTGCCGCATAGGGTGTAGGTGACTCCAGCGCCATGCGCGGGTGCTCGTTCTTGTTCGGTGCTTGGACTAGAAGGATCAGAGGGCGGTACGGCGCTGCCATCCGTATCGGTCGGGCTCGTGGCCGGTTGCTCCGCTGCAGGAGGAAGGTATTTGGCGAAGCCAAAATCAACCAACTTCAGGTGCCCTTCTGCGTCCAGGAGGATGTTCTCGGGCTTCAAATCGCGGTATGCAACGTTTTGCACGTCGTGCAGATATGCAAGGATAAGGGTGATTTCAGCTGCATAGAACTGCACGGTCTGGAATGGAAATCTTCTTGCTCTGCGCAGGTAACTGAAAATCTCACCGCCTGGAGTGTAATCCAGGAGCATGTATAGGGATGTCGTATCGGAGAACGAGGTGATAAGGGAGGTAATGAAAGGATGGCCCGCCACTGCCGCCAGCACATTGCGCTCGTTGCGTACATGCTCGACTTGCTTCAATTTAATGACATCGACCTTCTTAAGAACTTTGAGCGCGAAGACTTTGGCTGCATCGGCCTGGCTGGTTGGTCGCTTCAAACGGCAGAGCCATACACGGGCGAAAGTACCTGCAGGAGACGCGTCAGCAGTCGTGGCAGAGCGGCGATCGACTGCACTCACCTGTGCCCAGTGTGCGCATCAAATCGAAGTCGTCAACGGTCAAGTGCTGAGAAGAGAGCCCCAGCTTTTGATAATCAGGATCTTTCGGGATTTGATCGGCTGGAACGATCTCCTTAGTCTGCATGTTCTCGGCATGTTTAAGGACTGTTTCCTTCTCGCGCTGGCGGGCCTGAGATACATTCGCATGTGGGTGCGAGGCACTCCTAGGTGAAGATTGTGTAGGGTTCGAACGTGATCGCAGGTACTGACGGTGACCTTGGGCAGAGGCGGCGCGCGGGGGCCGCGACTGCGCTTGCGCGTTGTCCGGGGGCTGGAGTTTTGTCGTGCTCATTGGTGTAGCTTGTATTAGTAGCGCATTGTATATCTATAAGGCCTGCATCCAGCTCAAGGGCATTCTTCAATGCAGCCGCATGGTCTTTGCACAGCAATCTTTGATCGTGCGGTCCTTCAGGCGGAGGAAGCTCGGTGGGCGCGACGAAAGTTTGCAGATCGTCACCGCCTCGTTGATAACGTCGAACCCACGGAGTCGCGTAAGACTATATCAGTGGTAAGCGCAAATGCCGTATTATGGCTGTTGTTGTAAGGCGCATGGAGAAAACGAAAAGGATTCTACACCGAAACAGCTGCGAGTGAAGGTTTGCGGTCTAGTGGACAAGAAGGCAATGGCCTAATTAAAAACTGCCAGCAGTTTGGTCGCGGGTGACGCCATCTCGCATATAGGGATGGATCTGGTCCCCCGTCCAGGCTCTGAATGACCAGGGAGCCTGGACCACGGGGGCCATATTATTGCTGAAGAACGCGATTATTCAATGGGCATTAGCGCGAACCAATATCGGTCACGTCCTACTGGAAAAGGCTGCTGTCCGCTTACCTATCGCTTTGACCTCGCGTTCTCGACTCGCAGCTGACAGATTATCGGCTGAGTTGTCAGCCCAATTGCATGTCTGACTCCTCACTGACGATCGCTTCGATGCTGTCTTAGGCGCAAATAAGCGAAGGAGCCTAGCGGCATCACAAAATATGAAGACCTCAACGCTGTGTTGATCAAAGAAACGCACATCGGTGTATCGCGCTGCTAAGTCGTCGTTTCACCGGCGTTGATGGAGTTCCCATCCGCTCTCAGACTGTACCAGCAGCCTGGACTGAAGCGTTCCTGCCGGATATCCAGTAAGATCTCTACGGGCTTAGGAGCGGTACCGGGGATCAAAGTACCTACGGTCTAAACGTTCTGCAGTGCCGAGAACTAGACCGATATCGTTGAAAACTAGCCTGGATGCGATACGTTTCGCGGACGCCCTATTTATCATGGCCTGTGTTCGCAATACGGGTGTGGACAGTAGATGTGGGTTACTTGTACAGCTCGTGCTCAAGACGCTACGTTCACAGGGCAAGTTCCCAAGGGCTGCCCAAACCGTGCCAGTGGACCTATTTCCGCGTCACCAATGCGTCCCAAAAGCCAGGTAGTGCATCCAACTCCAGCGCTATGTCCATACATGTTCAAAATCTAGTGTCTCGTTTATATAGCTAGCCGTGCTTCTTTCGCTCCTCTTCCGGTTTCCAGCTGCCTGTAATGAGTTAGTAGTGCGGCTAATGGGCACTGGGGGCAGATTCACCATCGAATTCGTGCTTGACATATGCCAAGGGGTTGTCCGTATCACCGGCACCCATCTGATTGACACCAGGGCTGAAGCTGGTAATAGGGAGTACTATCACGTCCCCGATTCTCTTCTGCTCCTTCAGATTGAAGAACTCCGAGTAGCTGACATTGGTCGTCCTCTGCGAGAAATCAAAGTAGTCCTCGTTGTTGAGATATTTGAAGATGGTGTCGGTCCAAATGCCAGGCCCAGTGTAATCCATGATGCTCTTCTGGAGTGCCTGTCCAGTCAAGAAGCTTCTCCCCGCCTTCATCTTGAGTGTCTTCTCCGTAATGGTGGCCACAATGTCGACCAAGACAGGATGGCCCGGCTTGGACTGAATAGTCCATTGACAGAATTGTATCCGCCGGGCATACCACTTGGCCCAGTCCTCGCGGTCCGGATCGGCTTCAATGCCAACCACTAGACCGACCGTGGACTTGTCGAAATCCGAGGGCAGCCAGTCGGTTGCTGGCTTGAGGACTCGGGTATCGATGTCACTGTAGATGCCTCCTCTCGCCAACAGGATTAGGTAGCGGAAGAAATCGGCCTTGATGACGGGCAACGGCATGGCCTCGTAAGCCTCGGTGACTTCGGGAACGGACGCATAAAGATAATTGATCAGGTGTATAGAAGCATCATCAGTGATGACCTCGTGCACAAAACCTGGGTGCTTTTCCGTCCACGACGCTTCGAAGGGCCGAAGGCGATCTGCAAAGTCGCCCGACCCCGGAGCGGTTTTCCATGTTTGCCAAATATACGCAGGGAACTTGCTCTCAATATCGTAGGGGAAGTGATAGTGTAGACGCTCTCGTAGCGGTTTCGTGGCAACTTCTTGTATTGACTGCTGCTTCGTGGACGGAGGCGGGTATGCTCGGGTCGGTTGGGCAGGCGGCGCAGGCTGCGCGCCGGCGTTCGTTGATATGGGGTTTGTGGTCACCGACGACGGCACCAAGAAGAAGTAAAGGGCTATGATCACAACAGCGGCTAACACACCCTTCCGAGCAATGGGCGAGAGAGGCATGATTGTAGGAAGGTTGACTGTGGGAAGATGTACGAAGTCGGCGGGCGCACTGACGCCGGCGGCGCAAATGAGTCTGCACTCTGCGGACCACCACGTGGACTTGAACCCTGAAAATGTACTGACGTCGGGGCAGGAGCTCGAGAAAGGTCACCGGAGCATCGTGGGAATGGTCCTGACAGTTGCTGGTGGGGAAGGAATGTGGCTGAGGTATGTTGACAATGTTCGCGAGAGGAAGAACAATGAAAAAGGACCCTCGGAGGGACAGCTAATACACACGTCCGATGCCTACAATTACTCAGACAGCAGGTGATTCCGGGGTAGATGTATGGTGTCCAATTTGTGGTCCAGGGGATGTGTCTTGTTCGATTCCCTTGCCTCGGAGCGCAGTTGCAGTTGCACCCGCCAGCCGCCGACGCGTGGAGCCAGCAACTGAATAAGCTCACGCGAGGCTTAAAGGTCCAGGGGCCGACTCAGCCTCGCTGCGTGCGTTCCCCAGCGTTTCTCTTTGTCGTGCCCTATTGACTGCTCGCTTTCGGTACACGATCAAAGAGCAATGACCAAGGTGACAAAAGTTATAGCGTGTGAGACAACAACTGCAAGCGGATCGAGAACAGCCCTGGAGGATTTCAGCGGGATTTTTCCAAGGACAAGCTTGTGCCCATCACGACAGCTAAACACGCTGACACTAATATTCAGAGCTCGATCATCAGTCGGTGCAGATAACCCTATAAATCCTCCACGATGCCCATGCACGATGCCAGACCCAACGCCAGCGCTACAAGTCGCAAAACCAGGGACCGCTTTTCTGCGATCTGACACTCTGCTTTTTGGGCTCAAGCTATTATCCGCCAGCCAGGGATTCATGCTAAGAACTTGCCCAGATTACCTCCAATGTACTTCGTGTCGAGCAAAAACGTGTCGTGGCCGAACAAACTGATATCTTCTCCGAGCTCAATATGTTGTACCTGGGTATTACCTGTAGCTCGGATCGTTTCCGCAATCTCACTCTGCTGCCATGCTGGGAATAAGATGTCGCTGGACACTCCCATAACAAGCACTGGATGATGCTGCAGAGCTTTCATGCCGTCGACCAGGTCCTGTGGGGGGTTGTCTTTTGGTGATGAGACCACTGACTCATCCATAGGTGCGGTTGCAACTGTCTCCTCGTATTTCTGATCGGGTAAACTCAGACTGCACGATGGATCGTCTTTGACGTTCTTCTTGCGCTGGTTTAGCCGAGACTGGTTTTCCGCACGCCGCTGGCGCGTATCTTTCTGATGTGCTGCGCCAAGATCGAACATGTCCATCGCTTTGGAGACATATAGAAGAGAATTTGGATCATATTCCAGGCTGAACTTCTCTCCTGCATGGTCCAGGTATGTCTCAATTAAGAAGTCAGGACATAGTGCGGGGGGCTTTGAAGGATCAGCACGTGCGCGACCAAAGCGCTGCTCCCACTCTGGACCGCTGCGATAAGTCACCGTCGCAATTTGGCGAGCAAGTTTCATGCCGGAATGAGGGGGAATGCCGTCGTAATAGAAGCCTCGGTTCCACTTGGGATCCATCATCAAGACCTGGCGTTGCGTGTGTCGCATCGCAATACTGTACGGATGAGAGCGTGCGCAGCCGGAAATGGAGACAATCTTTCCAACGCGCTCCGGAAAGTGGACACCAAATGCCAGCGACTGCATGCCACCCATGGATGCGCCCACACTTGCGTACAGCTTGTCAATCGAAAGATGATCCAGCAACCTCGCCTGGGCCCGGACCATGTCGTCCATAGTCAGGATTGGAAAGCGCGTGGCATATCTTTGGCCGTCAGAGGGATCGACCGATGAAGGGCCCGTCGAGCCATAGCAGCCTCCGATGACATTCGTGCAGATCACAAAGTACTTGTCAGTGTCCAAAGCTTTGCCCGGACCGATGAACTTTTCCCACCATCCGGGCTTGGGGTTGGCTTCGGTGCTGTGAGCATGGCTCGAGGCGGATAGGCCGGTATGAACAAGTATGGTATTGCTCTTGTCTGCGTTCAACACGCCCCATGTCTCGTACGCAACGTCAAATTCTCGTAAAGTTCCTCCCCAGTCCAGCAAGAAGGGCTCCCTGCTGCGAAATACAAGGTGTTTTCCGGTCGTGTATGATGGCTCTGGGCCAGAGTCCATCGATCGGCTTTGTAACCTTGCTGTTTTCTGCTCTTGAGCGTCCAGGCATGGAAACGACATGGCAGGGTTGGAGGATTCGAGTTGGTCATCTTGCTCGGTCTCGGCAACAGCAGGTTGAGCCGCTTGCGCGGGCTTCGCATGGAATAGTGCCCGTTTTGCTATAGAGCTGCCGGGAGAAGAACTCCAAAGAGCGAAATTGGGTCGGTGCCCTGCCTGCACGAGACTCGTGGACGTGGTGCCCCGCTGGAGAAGGCGAGCAGCGATCTGGACACCACGCGGGCCCGCCATGTCGCCGAATATGGTCGAAGAGTCCAAGCACTGAGCACGCTGAAAGTCGAAAGGTTGCGACCAGCCCACCTAAGCGGAGAAAAGAAACGTTGAGCACCGCAGGCGACCTTTACAAATTGTCGACGACGGTCGAGTGCGTTGCCGGTGTCGCAATCCAGAAGAACTCCGATTGGCCACACCTCGTTGGTGCTTCCCGGCGCTCGCTGACTCAGCAACTTGGACGCTGCAACCCTGCGAGTCACCAGCCGCATCATGCTCGTATACTACGTATCTAGGCAGCATGGGGCAGTAGCCCCACAGTCTCGTTTGCGTTATATCGACCGCTCAGGCTGCAGCGCTTTCTCGAGGTGCATGCAGTATAGCGCGAATTGGTGTACAGGAGTCTTAATATAAGGTAAGTCCGCCGAGGAGGTTCGTAGGCCTACGTCGTTCCCGAGCTGTTGACTCCAGTAGTACCAATGGCTGAGCCTCGGGTTGTCGTTGTCGAGTTGCTTCGAGCCATCAAAGCGCGAGATACTGCCAGATTTCGGGCGCTTCTCTTCTCTCCATTTGCGCTTCTCTTTACCGATTACAAGGTCGGTACGCTATGGGATTCGTTAGGCTTCCTGTTCGGTCCTCTGGATACATGGACTGAGCCCGAGATCCACGAACAAGGCCGCATCACAGTCTACAAGACCCTCTGCACATTTCAGCGCGTACGCCAAGCATTCAAGATCTCGTTGTGGGGTAACAAAGTGATGGGCGTCGGGGTGGCCAGCGCTATGGACATTGGCCTCTTGCCGCCCTGGAAAGCCCCGAGCTATGTTGACGAGGCCTCCATTAGAGAAGAAGAGATATCAGTCCAACCTTACTGGGTCTGGCCTGTCACAAAAGGCACCATCAACATTCCCACACCAAATGCCTCCGACCGCAAGCCTGCCGTCCTTCTCGTACCAGGCTCAGGTCCTAGTGACCGCGACTGCACCGTCGGTGGCTGCAAATATGGTAAGTCCCGACACCCGGAGTCATTGTGTAGGGATACCCAGTGATCTATTGAATCCAATGGACATTTGCAGGGTGTTTCGGCACACTTCTGAAGCTGTACTGACGGTATTGCAGTAAGTGTTCTTCGTTTCCTGGTACTCCCGCCCGTACGAGAACCATGTTGAATTTTCGTGGACAGCGTTCGGGCGGTTTGCGGCTGCTTATCTTGTCTGACCTTCCAGCATTTGCTCGTAGTCTTGCTGATGAAAGTCAACCCATATTTACAGTTCAAGGATCTTGCCCTGGGCCTCGCTACTGCTGGCTTTGTCACTTTACGCATGGACAAGCCTTCAACAGTCCTTGGCCTCAAAATGCTGGTGACGAAGTCCTGCACTCTCCAAGACGAATACATCACGCCCCTTACAGCCGCATTGAAATGGCTCAGCAACCATGAGTCAGTAGATCCCAGCAAGATCTTCATCCTCGGCAGCAGTCTTGGTGGCACTGTTGCGCCGTGGCTCGCTAAAGCCAGCCCTGTTCCCATTGCAGGTATTATCTCTTGTGCAGGTGCGAGCATTTCGCTGGCCAAAACCCTCATCAGGCAAATGAAATACCACGAGACTTACGCACCACATGCCAATCCCGAGGATGCTGAGAAATTGTATCGGCAGTTTGAGGAGATTCAGCGTGTGCTAGATGCAGGCGGCCTGAAGAAGGGCGAGAAGGACCCCACCAAAGAGCTCGCCATTCCGATCCCTCTAACCTACCTGAGGGACTGCCATACGCACGACCCGGTGAAGGCGGCGTCAACACTGGATATGCCCATGCTGTTTGTGCAAGGGCGGCGGGATTGGCAAGTGGGCATGGAAGACTTCGTAAAGTGGCAGACTGGGCTAGGGGGGAGTAAGGCGATCGAGAAAGCGGAGTGGAAGGTGTACGATGACATCGGCCATCTTCTCACCGTGGTGGATGAAGAAAAAAAGGGGGCTTTCCAGTATGACGAGCCGGCCAACGTGAAGCAAGATGTTATCACAGATATAGTAGACTTTCTGAGGAGGTCGAGTGGACTGTAGCGGAGTGTGCGCTGGGTGCTTGACGATTTGATGTCTGTTGCAAGAATACCCTACTCAATATAAGCGTTCTCCGTTCCAAAGTCGGTTCGCTAATCATCACACATCGTATTTGGTACATCTGGCTTGTCGGAAAGCAGCACATCGAAGAGCGGTTCTCCCAAAGGTCTCGGTAGTAATCCGGCAGGTCATTTGTCGTTCACTTGATGCGTTGCGCAATGCAAAGTCCCAAACAAAGCCACCGTTGAGACCTGGCCCACCTTTCGCTGCCTGGAAAAGGTATCCTTCAGCTCTTTGACTGCAGAATCAATCCCACGATGAGCCCGTACAAACCCAAAACCTCACCGAAAATCAAGATCAAGACCATTCCCACAAAGATCCGCGACTGTTGAAGATAGCTCCTCACACCCATGTCTCCCACAATTCCGATAGCATAACCAGCTGCTAGGCCAGCTAGACCGACTGACATGCCTGCAGCGAGATGCATGAAACCGGTGAAGAGCGAGTATGTCCTCTCTGGTGGGGGACCCATGTCGCTCGTGATAAGGACGGCGATGACAAGGGCGTAGACCGCGATGATACCGGACATTACCACGGGGATCAGAGACTGTCATCCGTCAGCACTGCTTCTGCTCTTCGCCACATATCCAACACGCGAGCCCGTACCTTCATGATCAAATCGGGCCTGTATGTACCGACATTGGCAATGCCTATACCCGACTTTGCTGTGCCATATGCAGCTCCGGCACCTGACCGTGTTAGAATCCTTCCTGTGTCCCAGTACACTTGCTCCGTATAGAGCAGGAGCCGTAGCAGTGGACTGCTATGCCCATTTTGCGGGGGATAAACGTACATCCGAATATCATCTGCGGAGAGGCAGCCAGTATTAGTTGATCGCTCATTGTCACGGAAAGGGTCGCATTGGTGCTCTAAAGAGTCGGACGTACTGCAAATGCTATTCCAGCCTGTATTTCGTTAGACAAAGCAGTGTTGCAGAGAATGGCCACAAACCATGCCAAAGAAGGGTGCAAAGGCTGGCGCAAGCTCTGGCGGAGGTGAGTCCGCAGCAGCTGACGCCATGATTGAGAACCTTGTCGTGTCAAAGCACGCGAGTGACCAGGAACGTCTGTTGGGTACACAGAAGATAGGTATGAGAGATGTGAAGCTAGCAAGAGAAAGCTCACCAAGACAGAGAGATGGAGATGGTGATGCCTCATAGACGCTACAGCACTGGTTTACCTGCAGGTGAGCTACGGTGGCGGGGATGAGCCTGAATGGTGGGCAATGTTTCTAGAAGCTGGGCGACCCAGTCTGCCTGCAGTCCTATCCTCCTCATCTGTTGAAGCTGCTTCCATTTGTTCTCCTATCATCCTTATTGCTTGTGACTACCCCAATATCCTTCCAACACTGCCAGACGTTCACTTCCTGCGGGCACGAAGAGAGCATGAGTCTGTGCGACAAACCCCCAAGCCCGACCATCAGCTCCTCTGCTCTCCCCTCGTCGTACATAACCTCCAAATATTGATCGAGGCCGAGGTTACCGCCTTCGCGAACCTTTATAGCGGCACCGATCCACAGCGGCTCTTCAGAGATCTCCATAGCAAGATCATTCGCTTCAATACCCTGAATCGTAGAGCGACCCACCTCCGCACCGCCTTGCGCGGCTCCCGAATACAGAAATCCCAACTGCGCTGGGGTCGCCATCTCTTGACTGAGCATGGCAGACTATAGCTCCCGTGACCGATTTTATGGCTCTCGCAACCCTGCTTATAATCCGCCGCAGCAGGACAGACAGCGAGATGCCGCATTTCACAACATCTTTGGTGGCGCGCCACCCCCCGGCCGATCTCAGACCATGACCAGCGACACCCAGTATATGATGGAGCAGCAGCCCCGTCTTCAGAGTTTGACGTCGCAATCACCTCAAAATATGCCTATGCGGCCACCGCCGCAGCGACAATTTCCGCCAGGCTATGATCGAGCGAATGGCACATCAGCGCCATATATGTCGAACGGTATGACTGGCGCCAACGGCGCGAGACAGCCTCCTCCGAACCCGGCTCCATTCCCCGACCGACGACAATATCCTCCTCCTCAACGCATAGAGCCAGGACCCGGCGGCCCCATGCCTGGGTATGGAAGGAAACCGGTGCCAAACAGAATGCCTCCACCAGCAATGAACAATGATGCGTATAGGTCACGATCAATGGTGGGACCACGACCTGGCGAGCCACAGCAGCTTCGGGGACCACCCCCGAACAGTTTTCAACAAGGCACAGCCAACGCCTTCCGACAGCAACCTTATCAGGCCATGGGCGCGAGAACGACTCAGCATGGTCGAGCAATTCCAGAACGCGCGAATGATCGAGCCATGACCATGGGTGGCTATTCAAGTATGGATGGCGATCACACGCAGCTGACCAGTGGTAGAGTCATTCCCGGGCGACGGCGCGAGTCAGGCTCCGACCCGTTCTCAGATCACGCTGCACCTTCGTTCACTAAACCACCGCCCCAAAACAGTTTTAACCAGCCACCCGCCTCAAGGCGACCACCCAGCGAGGGCAGCTCTACGATCCCAACTCGTGCTGTTTCCACAGCTTCTGTTACCTCCACTTATTCTATTGGGGGCTTGAGCGACTCTAGTACCGTCGTCAACGGGTCCAGGAGCGACAGTATGTCGGCGCGAAGTCGTCCTCCGGCTCAGCCGCAGCCTCAACAATCTCATACGAGTAGCGCTAGCAACGCTGTAACTCTTGTTCAACGTCGTTCGCCGCTCGTCTACCCTGCCCTCCTATCCCGCGTCGCGGATGCTTTTCAAGAGAGAATCGGTCTTGGCGATCGAAACAAGAACGATTTGTCCTACAAGAACGCCTTTACTGGTGCAGAGGCCGTTGATTTGATTGCGTATATCATCAAGACCACGGATCGAAACCTCGCACTCCTGCTCGGCCGCGCTCTGGATGCGCAGAAGTTTTTCCACGATGTGACCTACGAACATCGTTTGCGAGATGCACCAGGCGAGGTGTACCAGTTCAAGGAAACTATGGGTGACGACAACACATCGAAGACTGGCCACGTCGACGGTGTTTTCACGTTGCTCACCGAATGCTACTCCCCAACGTGTACCAAAGACCAGCTCTGTTATTCTATTGCCTGTCCACGACGACTCGAACAGCAGGCACGCCTCAATATGAAACCCAGTGGCCTCCGCCACACGGCATCGAAGAGTAGCTTGCATGATGAAGATCAAGAGCAGAAGCTGTGGATCAACAGCGTGCCGAAGGAAGTTGCAGACAGGATCGATGATCGGGAGAAAAAGCGACAGGAAGTCATCTCCGAGATTATGTACACCGAGCGCGACTTTGTGAAAGACTTGGAGTATCTACGCGACTTTTGGATTCGACCGCTACGGGGCTTGAGTGCGAATGTCACATCGCCCATCCGCGAAGAGAAGCGAGAAAAATTCGTTCGTACTGTCTTTGGCAATTCTCAAGAGGTCCTAGCTGTCAACTCCAAATTTGCGGACGAGCTTTCGAAGAGACAGAAGGAACAGCACGTGGTTCAGCAAATTGGCGACGTCTTCCTCAAATGGGTGCCACAGTTTGACCCGTTCATCAAGTACGGTGCGAACCAAATGTATGGAAAGTACGAATTCGAAAAGGAGAAGGGCATGAATCCAGCATTTGCGCGTTTTGTGGATGAAACCGAGCGTCTCAAAGAATCCCGCAAGCTCGAACTCAATGGCTACTTGACCAAGCCCACCACTCGCCTTGCGCGATATCCACTACTTCTCGACAATGTTCTCAAATACACCAAGGAGGACGATCCTGATAGAAAAGACATACCCAAGGCCATTGGCATCATCCGAGACTTCCTTGCCAAGGTCAACGCTGAGAGCGGCAAAGCCGAAAATCACTTCAATCTCCTTCAATTGAGCCAGCAGCTCAAATGGAACCCCGGCGAGTACACGGATCTCAAGCTGACTGAAGACAATCGTGTCATTTTGACCAAGATGACCTTCAAGAAGGCTGCGGGCGACTCGGCAGAAGTTATTGTCTATCTGTTCGACCATGCTGTTCTGATGTGTCGAGTCAAGACTGTCAGCAAGCGAGAAGAATTACGTGTGTACCGCAAACCTATTCCCCTGGAGCTGTTGATGATCGCCGAGATGGGCGAAGTCATTCCTCGTATCGGGATTGCCAAACGATCCTCGTCCAGTCTCATACCTGGCAACAAGTCTTCGACTGCCCCGGCCGGACAGAAGGAGGCTTATCCAGTCACTTTCAAGCATCTCGGTAAAGGCGCATATGAGCTGCAGCTGTTTGCACCTTCAGTTACCCAGCGCAAGAAGTTCATTGAAATGGTGGAAGAGCAACAGACAAAGCTGCGAGCGAGAAGCAGTAACTTTTACACCAAAAATATCCTCTGTCAAGCCTTCTTCAACTCTCAGAACCGTGTCAACTGCTTGGTGCCAACTGATGGAGGTCGTAAGCTCATCTACGGTACAGATAATGGCATTTACATTGCCGATCGATGGCCCAAGGACAAGTCTGTCAAGCCTCGCCGGATCATTGATGCTACTCAGGTCACTCAGATCGACACTCTCGAGGAGTATAGACTGCTTCTGGTGTTGTCCAACAAGACCCTACAGTCTTACCCCTTCGAAGCTCTGGATCCCCAGAACCAAAATTCGTTAGCCATTCGGCCACGCAAGATCCAAGGTCACTCCAATTTCTTCAAGGCTGGAATCGGTCTTGGCCGGCATCTGGTGTGTTCGGTGAAGACATCGCAGCTTTCTACCACCATCAAGGTCTACGAGCCGGTCAACACTCTCGCCGAGGGAAAGAAAAAGCCAGCGCTCAGTAAGATGTTCGCTAGCGGTCAAGAAACGCTTAAGCCATTCAAGGTATATCGTCCCGTCATTGTCATTTCCGAGCGTGTACTAATACTCGCAGGAATTTTACATCCCAGCCGAATCGTCCTCGGTCCATTACTTGCGTTCCACCCTTTGTGTTGGGTGTGCACGTGGCTTCGAGGTCGTCTCGCTCGAGACGACCGAGCGTCAATCCCTGCTTGATCAGGCCGACACTTCTCTAGACTTCGTCACTCGCAAGGAGAACGTTAAGCCCATTCACATAGAACGTCTGAACGGGGAGTTCCTGCTCAACTACTCGGACTTTTCATTCTTTGTCAACCGCAACGGCTGGCGAGCCCGACAAGATTGGAAGATCCAATGGGAGGGAACGCCACAGGCATTTGCTCTTAATTACCCCTATATTCTGGCTTTCGAGCCCAATTTCATTGAGATTCGACACATCGAGACGAGCGAGTTGATCCACATCATGACTGGGAAGAATTTGAGGATGCTGCACACAAGCACTAGAGAGGTACGTCTGATCCGTGCTTGCACTCGACATCTGCTGACCCTTCCAGATTCTGTATGCATACGAAGATGACAACGGAGAAGATGTGATTGCCAGTCTGGATTTCTGGCAACAAGCGCCTCCATGATTCTGACTCGAATCATGGCAAACGGCCGGCGACCAGATGCCGCTGGAAGCCAACGGGCGAGACATTCTTGGAGTTGAAGGCTTCCAAGGAGATGACCTGGATCAAGAACAAGACGCTGAACTTTGTACGATTTGCCAGGGGGGGACCGATTACGGAGCCTGCAGTCCTTGTGAGACGGTGGCATGATCGTCGACGGCCAGATGCAGATACGGAATGAATGAGTTTTTGCGAGCGTTAAGCCCGACGCAAACATGAAATTGCTTCACATCTATGCGCTCTGAACATTCACGTATAGTATGTCTCTCAACCGTAGAGCGCTTGTATAGCGGGCTCCTGTCAAGCTCGGTGTGATGCGGCGGCACAACATTTTTCCGATCGAAGATGCATTTTGAGCTCCAACTCGAGTTCACCCTCGTGGTCGACTTTTATTTGTACCTCCCACATCATCTTAAGCAAGTGCGCAGTAGCAATCTTCATTTCATCACTTGTCTTTTCTCTCGACCGGCACATTCATTGTCGCCTCCAGGTGGCATCATTTCGTTTGTTGCACATTTCGCCAACGATGCCCCCTCGAATACCACCGTCCACGACTACCGCTATTGCCATTCCATCTCCACACACCCATTGCAGAGCATGCCTTCAGCGCTCATTTTCTACTACTCCTCAGGCTCGCGCCCGCGTACAAATACAGACAAAACTGCGCCGACAGATGTGGATATGGTTAAACACGTCTGGGAAGAACTTCGTCCAGCCGAACGAATTGAATGCCGACAAGACCAACTATCTGACCTCCTACTTGGCTAGAGACAAGTTTGCCACACCATTCAGAGCTCGCGCGCCCTCTCCCGAGGCGGGCCCGGACACGGAACAGACTAATGAGCTTGAAGAAGCCGCCGTCGGTGAAGAAGCTGAAGGTCAGAAACGACGAACACGAGACGAACAACCATATCCCTTTCCAATGAACAAAGAGTTCAAGTCCCAATCAATTTTGTCCGAAGCTCTCCGATTAGAGATATGGAAACGTGTTCAAGTCGAGAAACAGTCTGTGCGGCAAGTCTCATCCGATCTTGGTGTAGAAATGCGCCGGGTCGGTGCCGTTGTTCGACTCGTTGAAGTAGAGAAGAGGATGCGCGCTCAGGTACGTCTAACATTCCCTACTTATTTCCGGCTCAATGATGCTTCAACGATTAGTCTTTCAGACTTCCAACCATGGTGTCCAAAAAATTACAAATTACAACTCTCTGAGAACCCTTCCTCACCAGTCGCGTAAACTACACATTTCGTTTTCAAATCTAACCCTTAAAACAGGGACAAGACCTCGCTCTCCCCTATGCTGAGGCCATTCACTCAATGGTCGAAACTACCCCCTATACCAGAGGGCAGCGCGTTTCTCACGAATCCATCAACGATCTGCCACATCACGCTCTCACCGCTCCCCAGCTCTTCTACCCGACGTCCGAATCCCGCGCTTTCAACCGTACCGATGCTGGTCGCGTATTCAGCGCTGCGCCGCGCCTCCCCGACTCCCAGGATGTTGGTCAAGGAGGTGCACCCCTGGCAGAGCCTTGGGCCGACACTCGGCCCGAGACCATTGGCAAGAAAGGCTACGAGATGCACGTACTCAAGCCTGCAGATGCAAGAATTCCACATCCCCATTTGATCAAGCACGAGCAAGATAAACGTGACCCCAACATCTCAATTATCCAGGGAGAGGCGCGTAAGCGGTATGAGCAGAGGTTGCGGCAAGATCAAGAGCGGAGGCAGATAGCCCAAACCACCAGGGCGGAGAAGGCGGAGGAGAGGAAGACGAGGATTGCGAAGGGCAGGTGGGACTTTGTCTTTGAGGATGTGGTGGCGGACAGGGGTGTGGGAGAGAAGTATGGGGTGCCGAGTCAAGATCGGAAGAGAGGGAGTGTCAAAATACCTACTCGCGTGGAAGTGTAGATGTATAGCAGAGTGTTTCGAGATTGCCATGCGGACTTGGGTTGATAGCGCTGTGCCGCCCAAAGTTACAGCCGCATCCACAGGACAGGCTGCACGGCGTGCCGTCTATGATTGGGAGGTCGTTGTGGGCGAACGACTGTAAGATACACAAGCCGTGGAAAATGTACAATGTGTCATTAGCAAGTTAGCATCAGTCCCAATTCGAGGTTGTAGCTTCTACTACCTACCACCAACATCTTACTTCGAAGGGTGCAGCTCCAATAAGATTCGGCTCCCTCCAAGCTTTCCACGGTCTGCAACAACTGCTTCTGCAACACACTACACTTGTCGACACGTAGTTCAATTCGGCTCACGTAAGTCTCATTTGTGCGAGCAGGTGCGGCTGCGCCCTTGCTGGAGTCTCTGTTGACCTTTATATTCCTGCTTGGCGCCGGGATTAAAAGTTTGTGGCATCAATAACCTTGCCACTTTCAGTTGCTGCCTGTCAGGTAGTAGACGGCAGTAGTGTACTATTGGTCACTTGAACTCGAGCACGACAAGATGATTGCAGGGCCTGAATTTCTCATTGCCTTTATAGCAGGCCGAGCCTTCGCTCGGCGCAGCGCATACTGTGCTCTACCTACATACACCTGAAGGCTAAAGCGCCCTCACCTCCAATGAGTACGTGCTTTGGTTGTCATCAGTCGTAAGCCGTCCTCGTCAAAACCCAATACCTCACACTACACCTCGTTCCAGGCCTTCGTCCGCAGGCTCCCGTCACCACCTGTGGCCCAAGTTCCCGCCGTCTCAGGCCTTACACTGTCATTCTCTTCATCTCTCCCACTGCTATTCAACCACGTCCGCACCCCGTTTTTGTTCCTCCTGAACCGTTCCCCGCGCAGCAGCTTCCGGCTCGTAAGACCGCCGCAAGCTCGTGCGCCCAGCGTCCCGAAGATGGCTTCGCGCGCCTCTGGTAGCACCAGTAGGACAAAGAGCACGGCTACGGCTGCTGTCACGGGCACCCAGGCGCCGAGGTAGTGCCGTGCCGGCGCCAGCTCCGTTGGCAGCGAGAATACGATGTATGCGATGCCGAAGGGTAGATACACCAAACTCAGGATTACGAGGTAGCGCAGGTAGTCCGCGCGCCGCGTCGACTCGGCTGTCAGCGAACTCAGCGCTCCAGCTTCCAGCGTTTGTAGCAGTGTGGTGATTTGTTGAAGCTGCGCATCGATGGTCCCGCGATGGTGGTGTAGCGTGCTGAGCAGGCCACGGTAGTCGGCTTGAAGGTCTTGCGGAGCGGGGGCAGAGGAGACAAAGTCTTTCGATTGCGACAGGCGTGGCTTGAAAGAGCTGAGGAGGGTGTCGAGGGCTATGCAGCGATCGAGGGCGCGGCGGAGTGGGGTCGTGCTGGTGGCGTGTGTGGGAAGAGGCTGAGACAGGATCGTTGAAAGGAATGATAGAAAAGTGGAGGTTTCGGCGGCAGCGAGCTGCACGCATGGACGCATGTAGGTTGCCAGGCTCTGGGGAGTGCTGAGGAACAGGCCGTCGCGACACTGGATTTGGAAGTGCCGGATGAGGTCGTCGAAAGGGGATGGCGATGAATGACGATCACGGCAGTCGCGGAAATCGTGCGCTAGTTTGCTCAAGGGCTTACGCATTTCGATGAAGTCCAGGTAGCCTCCCTGATATGGCAGAATGGGGAATTGCTGGGAGGGTGTCACATTGCCGAATGAGCTGAAGGAGGCAGTGAACTTGGATATGGGTGGGTCGACGAGTATGATGGAGAGCCATGGCTGGGACGACTTTGATTTGCGGAGGTAGAAAGAGATCTTCCGACGTGCGACGGCGACTTTTTGACGACCATGCTTTTGAATGAGCTCGATGCGCCGGGGATAGTTGCTCTTACATTGGAGAGCGAGATCCTCGGCGTCTTTGGGACAATGTAGTGGAATGAAAGTTGTTAGGTAGTCGAGCGTGAAGAAGTCGCGTTGTAAGCGAGCGGTAGTTGAGGCAAGAGGTGCGGTTGCGCTACTGTCAGAGGAGACATTCATAGTCGAATCGTCTAGGTGGTTGGCGAAGAAGGTAGGATCAATGTTGAGAAGGCCTCCGAGTGTGTCAATGAGGGCCGGAGCTGGGTTCTCTATTAAAATGGTGCGTCCAGTTGGGCCAACACCACCAGGTGATGAGGGTGATGACGGTCTCGTCCATTCCCTCAACAGTAGCCTGAGTTTGCTGAGGTCTGAGAGATCTGAAAGTCGAGTGGTGTTCTTAGTGAATTCGAGAAGCATAGTTCTTGAGAACTCGGGCTGTCGCACGCCAGGCGAGTTCCGAGCTGCAAGACCCCATTCAAGGTACTCGTCCAGAACACCTAGATTGTGAAAGCCATGCGACCGAAGGAAGCAGACATAGTCTGTATAAGTCCACTGTGAAGGATCTACCGAAGGCGCCATGGCGCACGTCTTGCAGACTGCTGACTCTGGGTGCATAGTAATTTCTCACGAAGGAGTAGTCTTGGGCAGAGGAGGAGGACGATTCGCACGGGCTTAAGAAAGCGACCACTTTGGGGCAGGTAGAGAGCTCATAAGAGGTGCTCGGCTACGATGAGCTGATGAATGACCTACCATATCTGTCATGTGTGTTACCTCGTGTTCCCATCGGGGAGGGTGACCGGGGTAGTGGCCATGACCCTACGCGAAACGCTTCCGGGTCGTAGTCCAGAAGCTGGGCCCCCAGCCTCATGAAGGTACGTTTGCAACATGGCAAATACGGCGTGAGGCAGGCTAGAGGTTCCTGCTTGCCGACACTTACTTCATTGTCGAAGCCTGGCCGGTACTAACTAGAAAGGGTGAGAACCGCAATCTTCAACGGCATCTACCGATGAACACGAACGGAGACAGCGAATGATCAGCTAGATAGGCATGGTCAGCCCCTGCACAATGGCGTTATTCGCTTGTGAAAGCTATTGTCGAGCTAGCTGGCGCTGGTACCTCGTGTTCGAGCTGAGGATTCGAAGCTCGTGCTCCCAGCCACAGAGTAGCGCTGCAAACCAAGAGGTTGGGCGAGTCAAGTACGGAATCAATGATGAGACACTTTATGGCTGAGTTTGGCTTGCTGACTAGCACGAACGAGTTGCCCAGGCAAGCAGTTATCCAAGCGATCAAATGCGCACTCCCCGTGGCAGATATTACAGCTCGCTGACCAGACCCGTTGGAAGCCGGTTCGGAAGCAAACATGCCAAGCCGAGGTCTAAAGCTTGGCTGGTTTGCAGTCAAGGACCCTGGCTCCTCATCCAGCGAGTACAGCGGGACACGCCACGAGTAGCGCGATGAGCAGCTTGTGTGAAGGCGTTCTCCACGGGTGCGAGTACTGCGATCTCCCACATCAGCCCAACACATCGACACAATGACCACAGAAGCACAGAACGACGCCAACAGCACTCATGCCAGCCTTGATCTACTCGAAGTCCGCCTGCGCCGCCTCGAGTACCTGCTGAGTGGTTCGAGCAGCCTTGACGGTGTACCTGACAGCGTTACAAAGCCTGCAAGCGGCGACGACGCAGTTCTGGGTCGTCTGCGCACACTGCAAGCGGGTCTCGATCGTCTCAGGAAGAATGACGGAGTCGCTGGAGAAATGGTTAGGGATGTTGAGACTTTATGTACGGAGTACGCTCCCATTTTCATGGTAGTTGCTGACCACGAGCAGATAGCCATTATCCCGAATTGAAAAATAGCAGTGCTAGCATCCCCATAGAAGACGTATCAACACAAGCCTCGATCGTACTCGCAAATGCTTCCCTCTACCCTGAGACTGCTTCGAGGCTGTCTTCTCTCCAGACCCTTCCGATCCCACCAGTGGAAACCAGTTCTAAGCTTGCCGGATTGAGCGGCGACATTGACAAGTGCCAACATGAACAAGACAACTTAGACGTCACAGTCCAGGACTTGCGTCAGCGGAGTGCTCGGTGTCTGGAATGGTGGATCAAGATTGGGGTTGTGGGAATGGGCGATCTATGGGAAGAGTGGGAAGACCGGATGGTCGAGCTCGAGCGACAAGTGACCCGACATGAGCGCAAGCGACAAGACGAGGAGGGATACATTTGAACAGCGATGATGTCAAGCTACCATTCTTGGATGCTTCAGGTTGCTACATGCGACAACCTATGAGAGGGGCCTCCCGAACAAGTGCAGAATTCGGGGACGGCTTAAGCTGCGACACTTTATGTCGCAAGAGAAGGGCCGCAGTATGCAGGATAGGACGGAACTGGTAACATCCACGGAAGCACAGTGGTTCCTCGTCCGCGAACGTACGATAGGCACGAAAGAGTTTCGGACGCCAAATGGATCTGTAAGTCGAGGAGAAGCTGGGACCTTGATGAGGCTCGGAGCGCAGCCACAGTGGCAGCCGAACGATGGAGAAGGAACACAGGTGGCGGTGCAACAATGGCCAGCAAGGGAAGATGATCAATTGATCCAGACGGGGCTCTTTGATCAGCGCGAGCGACCAAGACTGACTATTACCCAATGGAGCTGGCTGATCCGGGGCAACTCATCTCAGCATTGGGCTACAAAAAAGCGAGCGCCGTAAGGGATTGGTTAGTATGACAATTCTGCGAAAGTGGTACGAAACTACCTGCGGGCACGTGTTGGCCAGCAAGGAGGGTGATACATCTATTGACGGCACCTCTTTTGTTCGATTCTGTCTCCGTGCTGCGTAGGCGATGCCAATCGGTCTCTCGGGCGTAACAAAGGGCACATATGCATAGATGGAAAATCCCCGATGCATGCCCTCAAGAGATGCAACAAAGAGCGACGCTCGAGACAGTAGATTGCTTGGGGCCGGGATGCCGGGGGGTTGAGACCTCAAACGCGTCGCCAGGGGCTTGCGCTGGAAATAGGTTTAGCGGCAAGCCACCGTGCCTTGTCCGCCCCCTCGCCAGCGAATCACCGCCTAAGAGCTCCCTGTCCTGGAACAAGTCGCTGCATGACCCTCAACCCTCCTCGCGCTCTCTCTCGACCCTGCGGCAGGCTGCTCCCTTTCCGATTCCCTTGCTGCCCTTCCGTCCAGTCGCTTCAGCTTCAATCAACTTCATTCTTTCATTCTACAGACGCCTGATCCATTGTCGTCATCCCTCATAGACGCCCCAAGGAACATAGGCGCCTTGTTTTCTTTTCCTGCGAGCCGCTTCACACAGAGTCCACACTCCTTTCAACCCCAGCTGCGGCTTCGATCAGCCCCTCGACCAGTCCAAACCCGAATCTGCGACGACCGTCACAGTACCTTACAGAGGCCTAGCGCCCGATTGATTCTTGCTTCCAACACTGAAAATCAAACCTCTTCTGCTTCTACCACATCGACGGAGAGCGACGCGATTTCATGCCCTCTTACTCTCTGAATTCACCCTCGCTGAAAAAGTACGACATGGGCATTATGGATTCTCGGAGGAGCCAATTCTCGGGCGGCAATATCATTGGCGACCCTTTCGCTCTCATCACTGTTTCTTTGTCTCTCGTGAGTGCTAGTGGCAGAAGCAGAGGAACGTATCTGACTAGTATAGGGAGCATGGCTGCTCGCTTTCATCCCCTCAATTATCGCCGATGTGGGTAACCCGTACCCAAAATATGCTTGGTGGACAATCGCCTACATGCTGTGCTGCATCATTGGCATAACACTATGCTTCGCCACCAACTCTGTCAACCACTACAACCTGGCGGTATGTTTGGATCACGTGTCATGTTGTTGCGGTACTGACAAGCACAGATTGTGGGTTATTTGGCAGCAGGCCTTGTCATGACCACCTCCGCAGTCAACTCGCTCATTTACCAAGACCAAGGCTCAATGCAAGCTGCCGCCGCTGGCTTTGTCTTGCTTTCCATCGTTGTCGTAAGTGTCGGTCGGACCAGTGATACGTCCACAGTCTAATCATTGTAGATCGTTTGGATCTTCTACTTCGGCTCTAGCCAAAACTCGACCTCCCGCGAATATGTCGATCAATTTGCTATGAACAAGGAGAGGTCATCTATGTACCGCGGCCCCGTCAACAACTACAACGCTCCCGAGACCACCCTCGCTCAGCCCCCGCAAATGTATACCTCCGCTCAGCTCAACGGCTTCGAGACTTCATCTCCCGTATCAGGCTACCCTGGTGGCCCAATGGGCACTTCTGCCAGGGGCTCTGCCATGCCTCCGACGGCCACTGCCCCGACCACTGCCGCCGCAACAACGAACGAAGGCAACCAAACCATCGAATACCCATATCGCGCCAAGGCCATCTATAGCTACGAAGCCAACCCTGACGATGCAAACGAGATAAGCTTCTCCAAGCACGAGATTCTTGAAGTGTCGGATGTCAGCGGCAGATGGTGGCAAGCGAAGAAGGAGAACGGCGACACAGGTATTGCGCCTAGCAACTACCTGATCCTTTTATGAAGTGATTCATACAATTTTGGTTGATGGATTTGACAACACAATCGGCCGCACATGAGCCATCCACGAAGGAGACCATATGCATACTAATGACCTATTGATGATTGGCCTGGGAGAATGGACTTCATGAAGAGCACAGAACTTTGTTTGGTGAACAGAAGATGGACACGTTGGCCGCAGCCTGGACCGGTCGTCGCTTGTTACGACCCGGCGGATGTCTCAGGCATCTGTCATCCAGCGCGGGACGATATAGCCCTCAAGCTACCACCCTTTTCACACCCCTCTGTTGACTTGGACAGGCGTTTATGACAGGACCGGAGGGCCATGGCGTTGACATGATTTGGGAAATGGGAAGACACTGGAGGCATGGAAATACCCTTCGTCGATAGACACTGCTATATTTGCAGCAATGTCTAGTTTCTGCAGGACGCTACTGGAAGAATGTGTGATTACGGAGAACCATGGAGAAGCATGAGGTGCTACCTCAGCAAAAGCACCGTGTGTATGTAGCTAGCTTTGGATTTTGAGAACGACAGTTGATGTGCCTACTTTGGCACAAGCAATACACGACATGTTCAAACTACCTACTCTCCAAAGTCCTTGACCGGCCCGACATTGGCGCAGTGTTCCTTTATCTGGCCATCATCCCTGAGTGTCTCTAGACGGTCGTTGGGATCGATGTAATCAATGCTGAAATCGCAAGAGGGCGATCAACGTCTCGTGGTGTCCTGGTCTATCAACAAGGGTACTGCAGCTATTTATATTCCGGGTGCATGGTCACTGCCGGCAAACTTCCTACTGAAATCATGACTGATGCTGCTCGCCCTACGGGGTCCTGTTGTTTGGCCGTAACAATGCACAATCCTCTCCTGGAAATGGGGTTTGACCAATGCCATGATTGAGCTGGACAGCTGCTGGGTTGACGAGCCTGTTGATTGGACCGTTCGCCTAGCATTCGAGCCTCGTAACCTTACCTGTACCATCCAAAAGAGCGCGTACTCCATACCCGCAGACCGAGCTATCGGAGTGAAGATGCTGACCTAGCAGCCGCACTGAGAGCGGCAGCATGAGTCGACCACTCGGTAACGATGAATTTGGGTAAAGCTGCCGCTCGTACGTGTGCTGCGCAGATCCTTGACGCGCCGAGCGAGGCTGTATCCCACAGCCACTGCACCAAGTGAGCCGAGCTTTCTTAGAGCCGCAGGCCGCGTCTGACGTTCGCCGTCATCAACAACTATATCTCTTCGTTCTCACATCATCATCGCTGCCGTGCCAGCTGCCTGTCTTTTAGTATTTCGTGTACACTACTGTTTGCCATCTTCAGCGTGTATCGTTACCCCTCATTCTTTCCATCTGCTGGTGCTTGCTCGTACTCAAAGAGCCGAGACCTCAGCCGCCCGTATCCCTGATTCTACTGCAGCAGGGCACCCTCCTTGTATTACCGGCGCGTTCACGAAACATTCGAGCAGCCTTTACCGGCTGTCGAGACCTCTTGTCGCTGTTCAAAGCCTTTTTCGACGTCAATATGAAGCTCGAACTCGATTCCCTCGGTCAGATCAAGAACTATGTTCATATGGGCCAAGCCGTTGTTCTTTTCCTGGCATGGGCATTGCAAATAGCGGTCCTCGCCCAGAGTGGCGAGAATGACGGTAGGGTGGGATGGTACTTTGGATTGGTACATGCGTCGATTGCTATACAGTAGGAACTCGGCTGATGTGCTCACAGTGCTGGCTTACGATCCCAATTCTCATCTACCTGACTATGGTACCCATGTGGTCTCGAGCACGCCGATTCTCCAACGTATATGCCTTCGCCGCGCTCGACATGGCCGGCATTGTTCTCTGGCTCTCGGCATGGGCGAGCATGGCAAGCTACGTCGCGCAAGGCAAGAGCGAAGGTAGTGCTGACGAGGACGACAATGACAATGAGGATCGTGGGAGCGGCTGCGACAACTTCGGATACGGCTCTGCTCGCCGCTGCCAACTCTCCACTGGCACTACGATACTGGGCGTTTTCATCATGCTTGGCTTCTGCGCTACTGCTCTGTTCTCGTTCCGCGCGGTCATGAACTTCAAACGCACCGGAATCGCTCCTAACCAGGATATGGGCGGAGACATGGGTAGCAATCAAAAGTACGGCGACTTCCAGGCGCAGACGCAGGGCGACTTTGACACCAACATGCATAATGACGATTTTGACGACGCACACAACGGCCGCGATCCGCGGCAGGGATATGGGTATTCGGGCGTCGAAGGACACGATCAGGATGAATACGCGCCCATGTATCAACACGATCAGTCGGACTTGCGGCCACATGAGCCCATGAGCCCTCTTGGGCCGAGTCCGACAGCACCATACGGAGTCAGCGCTGGCTATGATGGGGCGCATCAACTTCACGACCAGCCTACCAGTTATGGGGGTGCTACTGGAAACTACCGGTGAGCTGAGGACGATCTGTTTACCCCCCAAGGGCGAAGTTTCGAGATTTCAGACCGGCGTTAGATCATTTTGACAAGCGTTTTACATAGATTACAAGGCAGACACACTGAAGTGTCGCACCAATGAAAGTATTTTCGAATGCTCAAAGCAAGGTGAGCGCAACATCGCCCGTAATGGTTGCCTTCTCAGGTCTTCTGCGCTTCGTGGTGGAAACATCACCAAGATTTTGGATGAGCGGAAGGCCCACCCAAGACCATGTTCCGACATTGGCAAGGTAACGGCGCAAATGGTCAAGTGGGTCAAGCCGGAGATGGAGATGCGGCAAAAGGCTGCCTGCTGCGGCTCTACTTGCCTCGCGCCCCTACTGAAGACAGAATGGCTCGGTCGGTCGCGCGCCTGTTTGCTACTGCTGCACGGCTTGTAAGTCAGTGAGTGCAAGCCGGGTCAAGGCATTGCCTGTGACACCTTCGAGTCGTGGTCAAAAGTCACTTGTATGGCAACTTGCGGAGGTTGCTATTGTCACGCTGTCAGATCGGGTCCTTCCTCCGCAGGCTTCACTAGCCCCCTTTAGGTCAAGCGGCACGATGCGTTGCGGCTGCCGTAGATTTATTTTCTGGCCGTTCGCTCACCCTTTTGTCTCCCCCTTCTCCCTCCCCATCCACCATTTCACTGAATCAACTCTTCAGAGCTCACTGAAACCATTCGAACCGGGCACTTAGCTCCCCACTACCTCTTCAATCCACATTCCCAAGGCAGCCCTCAAAAGCTACCTGAGTCCCCATCTCACAAGTCCTTTTGAAACTTGTCCTCAGCCACAATGTCTACTGCCGTCGACAACCTCGCCGAGAACCTCGCCAGCGCCTCCATCGAGAATCCCGCTCAGGCTCAGCAGGAAGCCATCTCTGCTTCCGCCGCTGAAGGTCGTCGTCTCTACATTGGGAATCTCGCTTATGCGACCACTGAGGACCAGCTCAAGGAATTCTTCGCTGGCTACGATGTGTAAGTTCCGAATTACTTGTGGTCGTGACCATTTGCCTGACATCTCATAGCGAAAGCACCTCCATCCCCGTCAACCCTCGCACCAACCGACCCGTTGGCTATGCCTTTGTCGATCTGAAGTCCGCCGATGAGGCCACCAAGGCTATCCAAAATCTGTCTGGCCAGGATATCCTCGAGCGCAAGGTTAGTGTCCAGCTTGCCCGCAAGCCCGAGGACAATGAGAAGAAGGCGGCCGAGACTGGCGACAAGGAGCGTGGTACGGGTCGTGGTCGCGGTGGCCGCGGCCGCGGTCGTGCTGGCCGCGCCCGTGGCGGTCAGCGTGGCTCTACCGGTGCTGCCGAGGCCGCTCCTCTTGCGGACGTCACCAACGAGGCCAACAAGTCTGCCACTCCCGCCACGGATGCGAAGGCTGATGCGAAGTCTGCTGCTCCCCGTGCTCCCAAGCAACGTGGTCCTCCCGAGGATGGCATCCCTTCCACCACCAAGGTCATGGTCGCTAACCTCCCCTACGATCTGACCGAGGAAAAAGTGAGTTACCAGCCACCATCTAATGCTCCGCTAACAAAATGTAGCTCAAAGAACTCTTCGCTGCCTACGAACCCGTCTCCGCCAAGATTGCTCTTCGCCCCATCCCTCGCTTCATGGTCAAGAAGCTTCAGGCTCGTGGTGAGGCTCGTAAGGGCCGTGGCTTCGGCTTCGTCACTCTCGCCTCTGAGGAGCAGCAGCAAAAGGCCGTCTCTGAGATGAATGCTAAGGAGATCGAGGGTCGCGAGATCGCTGTCAAGGTTGCCATCGACAGCCCTGGCAAAGAGGACGGTACCGAGGAGGCCGCTGAGGGCGAGGCGTCTACCAACGGTACCAACGGCACCACCACTGAGGCTGCTCCCGCTGCGGCCGCCTAAGCTCGATGCGACAAGACTTATCACTCTTACGTAAGGCATTCTTCAAGCTCGTCAAGATCCGGTCGGCTTAATTGCTTGTCCAGTCCTGCGAGCTGCCTGCGCGCATGGAATTTTGTGACGGACATCAGCAATACAATCGTCACTCCGACAATGGCAAGTGCGGTTGAGAGATCAGCAGCAGATAATGGTAGCATGTTTCTGCCATAGCCTTGAGCTGGCTGTATCTTCCAATACCATTAATATTCCCAACTAGACCTGTATTTGCCCATATGTTTGTAGTGATCCGCCATCGTGGTCGACTTCCCTCCGGCGCAAGGCGTTGGAACTTAGGGCATAGCCAAGACGGGCTTAATTCAATAGAAGATCTGAAGTCACATTCGCCACATCTCTTCGTCCTTCGCAATTCTTCCACATGGTGATAGGCCCAGCAATAAAAGGAACCATGACCGCAAGCGGTTCCAGAAGTGGGAAGACCACAACAGACATATTTCCCGGTAGGTCACCCCTTGTCGCGCAATGGAATGAGACTGGCAGCAAGGGATGTCTGTCGCGTCCCCTTTTTTGATACATCAGCCAAATGCGCCTTTCACTTCTTTCCTTTGTCTACTCAAACACAAGAAGCTATGGCGAATTTTCAGCTCACGAACCTCAACGCCGGTCGGCTGATCGTCGGCTTCGTCGCCGCCGTCATTGTCTTCAAGCTCTTCTTCAGCGGTGGACCATCTACGTCGCCCATGCGAGGCTCATCATGGCACGGCTCACTGCAATTAAAGATGCCTTCTTGGGCGAAACCAGAAGTGCCGGAAGATCGAATGGGGTTTATGCCTCTAGGCGAAGAGGTTGAAGCCATGTGTGCCCACTACCGCTGGAAGCCATTCCCCGACCGCTACCACCGCCGAAAGATCTACGACCTTATCATGGTGAACGACGAGCTCGATGCGTTGGCTCTTCGTATGGGCGAAATGGATCAAGTCGATTATTTTGTCGTCGTCGAAAGCGATCTCACCTTCTCCGACAATCCCAAGCCGTTGTATGTGCAGGAGAACTATGATTTATTCAGCAAATACCACCATAAGATGATTGTGCATACACTCAACATGACTGGGCAAACCTTCGGCGATGCCTGGTCCCGAGAATCATTCTCACGAAATGCAATGTTCAACCAGGTGTTCCCGATCATGGAAAACGAAATGATCCCGACCCACGGCGATGTCATGATCGTTGGGGACGTTGATGAGCTGGTGCGGCCGGAAATCTTGACGACCCTCAGGAACTGCGAGTTCCCTGCTAAGGTGAAGCTGTGGACTCGCTTCTACTACTATAGCTTTCAGTGGCTGCACCCCGAAGGTCACGCCGAATGGGGCCACCCAGATGTCACTTTCTTTCAAGGCTGGAATCTCACAATCCCGCCTCAAGATTTACGCGGCGCGCGCCCTGACATCGATGTCTATAGTGCAGGCTGGCACTGCAGCTACTGCTTTTCCCGGCTCAAGGACATTGTCAACAAGGTCTCTAGCTTCAGTCACCAGGAAATGAATACGCCAGACTTTACGAGCCCGAGGAAGATCCTGGACCGTGTAAGGTTTGGGCGGGATATGTTCGATCGTGGAAACCTGTATCGCATAGATAATAACAAAGACGTGCCGGGCTATGTCGTTCGGCACCCAGACCAATACGGCTACATGTTGGATAGGGATGCGGAGGACGGCAACTTTGTGGACGCATGGGATCTCATTGAGGACATGGAGGACATGGCATAAGTGACTTTTCCATATCGTCTTTGTAATTTTACATACACTACGTCCGACAGGTGTCAGGCCGGCTGAAGCCACGTTTTGATGGTTGACAAACCCTATGGCAGTAGACTCGCTGGTCGGAACCGATAATGGATGAATTGTTGACTCTGCTTCATTTCCCCCTTACTACAATCTGGCCCCTACGGAGCAAGCCGCAAATACTGAATGGAATGCACGCGCGACGCAAGGGAGGCCGCGTCCACACCGCGAGGAGTGCTCCGACTTCTTCAAGTTTTTGCACGCTCAGATCATCTACTGCACCATGTACACAACGAGATTCCAAATGACCGTGCCACGATGGCTACGCCAGCAGCGGCCACAAGATGGCGAAGAGGCAGTGTCCCTCATTGGCGACGATATCGAGAAGCGAGAAGATGATGGCCATCGTATTACCGCGTTGCCCGACGCCTCAGTCTACCAGCTAACACCTCGCACAGACAACTCGTCTTTCCTGAACAGAATACTCTCCATCGTCGGCGCCGTCGTCAACACAATCCTGCATGCGCTCCGACCCTCGTTCTTCGGCGCTCGTACCCCCCGCAAACTCCATCCAACGTCCTACCTCGACGGCCTCCGCGGTTGTGCCGCCTTCATCGTTTTCCTACACCACAGCACGCAGTCTTTCTACCGCGTGGTCCGTCCCGGCTATGGCTCCTCCGCAATGGCCACACACCCTCTCTCGCTCCCCATCTTGCGCGTCCTCTTCGCTGGTGGCCCCATGGTCAGCATCTTCTTCGTCATCTCCGGCTACGTGCTTTCCACCAAGCCGCTCAAGCTCGCGCGCCTGGGCCGTACGGCCGAAGTGTACGAGTGCGTCGCCAGTAGCACCTTCCGCCGCGGTCCGCGGCTCTACATTCCCTGTTTGACCGCCACGCTTCTGATCGCGCTGGCCGCGCAGGCGGGTCTCACTGACGTGCAAGCACCTCGCGTGTATCTGCCCTCACCAGACGGCCTTTATGCTCAGCTGTACAGGTGGGCCAGCGCCAGTAGCTGGTTCATCAGCCCCTTCGCGAGCGAGCACTGGTTCGAGCCCAACACATGGACCATTCCCATCGAGTTCAAGGGCTCGCTGCTCGTATTCCTCAGCTGTATGGGCCTCGCTAAGTCAAGCTCGAGATTCCGCCTCGGCTTTCTGCTCTGCATGGCCGGGTTCTGGCTCTGGCACGGCTGGTGGGATATGTTTCTCTTCAGCATGGGTATGGCGTGCGCAGACCTGCACTTTGTGCACACACCCATCCCGTTGCCCACAGATGGTGCCGCCGAGGGCATGGCGAGGCCTCCGATGATTCGGCGGCACGGTATTCGGACTCGGCTGCTGCACGCCTTTTCGATCCTTCTTTGCGTGTACTTGCTCGGCTGTCCCGAAGGCGACGAGGGCGGCAGCACCACACCCGGATATATCACTCTCACTACCACACTCACGCCGCCTGGCTGGGAGGGTCATTTCGGTCCCGGCCGTTGGTGGCCAGTGCTGTCGTCTGTGCTCCTGGTCCTGACGCTTGACCATGCGGGGCCTGAGAGTATTTACCAGCGCGTATTTGTGAGCAACTTTGCGCAGTGGTTGGGTGATATCAGCTTCGCGTTGTATCTGTGCCACGCTGCTGTGTTGTATAGTGTTTCAAGCCGCGCCGTGCGGTGGGGTTGTGCGATCATGAGTGTTGACTATGGGACCGGGATCAACGGGCAGGGCGGGCCGAGCTACTTTGTGGTGCTGGTTGGGGCGACGATGATAACCGTGCCCATCCTTGTATGGATGAGCGAGGTGTTGACTGCCGTCGTTGACAAGGGGGCGGTGGAACTTGCCAGGAGAATGAGGGCATGGTAAAGCAATAGATTTGGGTTGAAGGCAACGGTTCCTTTGGTTTGGAGGCTTTGTGAATCGAGGAGCCTGGCATGTCTGGCGTTGTAGAGATCTTGGCTCAACGAAAGGAAGTCGATATTTTTTGTTCTGTTGACGACATTGAGTGACTGGAGAAGTCACCGTAGTCTCATGTGTTCGTGGCGCATCGATCCCTCGGTGATTCGAAGTTGTACCATTCAATCATACAAATCATCAAATATCTTTGCCGCCAACTCTGTCTTCCGAACGCTCATCTCCCTGATGTAGTTCTTGTATATTCTCCCCAACTCCGTCATATAGACGCTCACAAGTCTCGCTGGAACCCACTCGAAAATTCGATCCTCGACTGATACTTGCATAGCTGCTCCCTCGCCTTCTGACATAACTTCTCGCAACAGCTCCACGTCCCCATCTTTGACTCCTGCCACCTTCCAGATCCCAATGACCTCCTCAACGGAGCCAGCTTCCACACCGTGAGCCTCTCTCTCCAACTTCTCGCTCCTGGCGCTGCTTTGCTCCAACGCGTCAGCATTGGAGAGCCCGGCGACCTTATCTGACTCACTGAGCACCACAACAGGCACACTTCGCTGTTGCTCTTGCCCACTAGTTGCCTCTTGTGTATTTTGCGCCAGGCTCGCCGCGGACAAGGACAGCGTCTTATTCAGGACATCGCCATAGACAGTGATACGATCGGCGCCAAGGAGTAGGTACGTCTTGACCCGGGCCGAGGGCTCGGTCGGGGCAATAAAGGACGCAAGATGCGAGTCGGGGGCGATTGTGATGCTGACGGTCGTGCTCGACGAGAGCGGACCTTCGTGGCGCTGATTTTTCAGTGCGGAGACTATCGCGGCGGCGAGACTGGCGCCTTCGCAGCGCGGGCGCGATTCGAGGATCGAGACTTGGACTTTCTTGAACTGCCTGGAGCCGATGAGGTGAAGGAGTGCGGCTTGAATTGTGGAGGACGATGAAAGCGTGACGATGTGTACAGCACTGTTGTCGGCGCTGTTCGGTGCCCGTTCGCCTAGGTAGTCTGTGAACGCTTGTGCTATGCGCTTTGAGGCGTGTTGTCGATTGGAGATACAAATATCGAGCTGCGAGCTGATATCCTGTTTTGTCTGGCCAGGATCTCTGATCATGTGTTCGATCTGCGACAGCGCTTCTAGCAGGGCGGAAGCTATCGCTGCGCTCATGCTGGGTCGCGCGCTGTGCATGAGGTGGTAGGCAGCAATGCGAAGGGATTTCCACCAGAGAGCTCGAGTGCTTGAGTCCGCGGGCTCGGGAAAGGCGTCAACGATTTCCTTCAAGCTCCGCACCGCATTAGTTGCTAATACCCTCGCACCATTATCCTTGTCGTCCCGTAGTAGGTTTATGCCTGCTTGAAACGCGTTGCCGGCCTCACTTCCAGGTCGCATGTGCTCATCGCTTCCAAACATTCCTTTGGCACCGAAGTAAACTCTCCTCAGTGACTCGTGCAATCTCGGCACACACACATCATCCATCGCCCCCGACAAGACGTTTTCAGGCTTAGCCCATTCCCACCCATCATGCTCCCAATCAAGGATGATAGCCTTCTCGTCTACGAGCAGCGTCCACGCAAACGGATACACCGTCCAGGACCTCTGTGCCTGCTCGTCAGCGAACGAGAACGGAGGCCCTATGAAATCGAGCCTGATGTCACGGTGCGCAATGAGCTGGGTCTCCTCTCGAGTCTCGCGAACGGCTGCCGCAGTGGGAGAATTGTCGGACGCATCGATACTGCCGGAGATAGGCGCGAGCTTACCTCTGCGTTGTATTAGAGGAGAGTGGTAGTGGCATACCTGGAGTCTTACTGATAGGAGCGGATGCTGGGGTGATGGCTGCGGCGGAAGAGCGCGACGGCATCGACTGGCTGTGAAGGCGCAGCACTTTGAAAGATGAAGTTCGCTACTACCGATCGGTGCTTCATGATCGAGTCGCATCGATCAGCTTGCGGCTACAACAGAAGTACGAGAGACAAAATGGTGCTGGGTTGAAACGTCATGTCAGTGAATTTCGGGCGCCAAGTCGTCCCGTATCGGGCAGTGAAACGTTCTGTCAGGGCTGTCTCAAATCAAGTTCTCCACAAGCCATCGTGAAATGCCATCTGAGCGAACTTCAGGCGATGATAGATCAAATGAGACCATAGGCAAACGCGGGTAAGAGGATGGCGCGCTCGCGCCGGTTAGGGATTACAAATGGTTCATCGAAAATATCATTCTTCGTTGCAATCGTTGGCGCTAATGTACTACAGTACTAGAACATGTTGTCTTTCTCAGGCGCCTGGCCTGCTGCTGGAGGATAGCGAGTGTGTTGCTGGTGTGGAGCGGCAATCCCATATGCTGGAGGCTCATAGGGCCGCGCAACCCCTATCTCTTGCTGTGACATCGCACTGTGAGCATGGTAGGGCTGATAAGCCGACTGCTGCCTGGGAATCGATGTCCCTAGATCCGCCTCTTCTGAGGCGTCACGAGTTCCTGCTTGGTATGCGGACAGCTCGTAACGCGACATCTCCAGACCTTGCTGGTTCGGTAACAATGTCTCCATGTCTTCGGCAACGTTCTGGTACGGTGGTCTCGCCGGTCCTGCAGACGCATTATACGAGAAGTCTGCCGGTGGAGCGGCGAATGGTTCCTGGAAGGGCTTCCGCCCAAGCGCAATGTCATAGCTCGCATCTTGGTGTCGATGCTTTCGTCCTTGGAATAGCCATCGCGCCGCCCGACCAATGGCCTTAACGATATCGAAGGGGTTCATGGAGTCGATGAAGGCTTTGATGCCAAAGAAACCGCCTTGATAGTTACCAGGTGCCTCTCCCGGCACAGCCCCCGAGATCATGTGTTTCGGGGCCAGTTTGTACGGCCGGTAGCTGAACGACCAAAAGTGGAAGATTGCGAACAATGCCATCTCTATGCATAAGAGCATACATGGAATGCCAATCTTGATATCCGGCGTCTGAATGGTGTTGCTGGGCTTGATGGCGCCACTTGAGGTGAGGAAGGAGATGAGGATTGTTTGCCAGAAGGACAAGAAGATGACAAGCTTGATCGCAAGGACCTTTAGCAGCGGCTTGTGCTCGGCGATATCTTCCTTGATCTGGTAGTAGAATTGGATTAAGCAGTACATGGCTATGGTCACGGCAGTGGCTTCGATGACCATGACCCAAATGTGGGCAAAAGCAGGATTGAGAGATTCGATGCAGTATCGGTCGAAGATTTGCGTGATTAGGGCCGTCACCGTCATGGCAACTCGGATAAAGCAATACTGGAAAATTGCTACCCAAATGACCTGGAAAGATTAGTCAATGGCTTGCAGTCATGTCCGGGCTGGAGACTCACATTGAACCAAGTCAGTCCACTGCGAGGGGTCCGCCAGATGCCTCGATCTCCACCGCAACATCTCTGAAACCAAGGTACAGGCCATATCCATGCCTTTGGACTGATGCTGCGGAAATATTGTTTCTGATGGTGTAATTGCGGCGCCGTGTAAGCGCACATCAAACTGAAAAAAGAGGCGATCGCGAAGGCTTCGTAACAGTCCCGGATGACTTCGAAATAGACGCTGTGATTGTAGTAGAGGTAGGACAGGAAGGAGACGACGGCGTAGACGGGAACCATGAAGAGTATACGGATGATATGCCGCTGCTCGTACGGTTTCGAGTAATGTATGGCGTGCATGATGATGAGAAAGCATGATGCCACTACCGCAAGAAGAGCAAATACGATCGAGAGCCACAGGCCAAGGTGGTGGAATGTTTGACCATGCCATATGGGATCCTCGGTGATTCTTTCATCTTCAAGCGTGGTGTTGCACTGCGGCCAGGCCATATTAGCGAGTGAGCGAGACTCAAAAAAAGCGCAATCGCATATTCGACCGCGGACGCGTAAGGGGTATCGGCGCAAAGTTGGAGTCGCGTTGCGCGCAGAATTGTCGGGTGAAGTTGTGCGAGGCTGTCAAGTCAGCGTTGTGTCAATGAGCGATAGATGCAAGAGGTCCAGATATGTCAACAAGTCAGACATGTCAAGAAGGCATGGTCGCAGTCGTCGAAGGAGTCTCGTCAGCTCTGACACACTGCCTCCCTTGTTAGCATTGGGGGTTCACGGGTATCGTATGCCGAAAGACAAATTCATCTTGAGCGCCTGTCTGCCAGTGGCTTAGGGCGATCGTTCAGCCTGAAACAAGCCTAAGATTAGCAGGGATCCAATGCTTAAATGCGCTTGTACAATCTTAACTCTTCTTGGTGTCGCGGTGGAGGCGCACACAGCCGAGGTGGCGAACAGGTTGTAGCACTCGTTTCAGACTCGACTTTTCATTGATGGCTGCCAGCATTCAGTACGTCTATGATACCAGTACATACTGACTTGCCACTACTACTTCACAAGATGATTTGCTTGTTACAACTGGCTCTTGTAGGATGAGCTGGAGTTCGTGGACCGCCTATCGAACGTGCCAGAACGGTGCCCGGCTTCAAGTAGCACGACATTTCTTCCATCGATGCCACGGCTTGCTGTGGTCTACCTATGCCCCAGCAATACGAGGCTACAAAGCAATGCGATCGCTGGCGATCGGTGAGTGGGGAATCTGCTCGATGAACAAGTTTCTGCCATGCAGCTTGGCATTAGCAAGTGCAAGACAAGCCGATCTAGCATCCTCTACGGATGCCATAGTGACCATCACAAATCCTGTCGAACCACCAAGAGCCTCGTTGTTGAGCATCACAACCCGGTCTACGGAGTACTCTGGGAAGAGTGCCCTGATGTCCTGCTCGGTAGCAGCTGCGACGACCTCTTCGATCCAGAGACAACGGTAACCCGGGTAGCTGGACTCGGTGCCATCGGATGGTGTGCTTGAATGCTCAACCCTCAGACTGACGTCAGCAGCATGTGTGCCTTCCGTCTGGGTGAGGTCTCCTTCCTGCAAAGATGTGCTGCGTGTGGCGGGGATTGCAGCTCGCTTCAATCCGGCCATACCATCAATGTGTCCACCCGGTACACCCGGCTCGCTTGCTCCCCGCGGCTCGGTGATTGAAGTCGTTGACCCGTATTGCACCTCAAGAGGGACTGATGTCTGCCAGTCGGTACTTGTGACAGACTGATCGAGACGGTTGAAAGGCATGTCGGTCATATTCGCCTGGGTGTATTCTCGATGAGACGTGGCGTCAGAATCTTATCCCCGTGATCACTAGCCATGTCCGAAATCATGCGAGCTCGGGCAGGATGGATCTCGTCAATCTTCTGAGTCGCATTTCTTTTGGCTGGTGGCGATGTTTCCATCTCACTGTCCTCGAGATCATCGTGACGAAGTCTATCTTCTGTAATGTCGACCTGTGAGGTAAGACTGGCTGAAGCTCGGGATGTTGCACGCCGGAACCTTGCAGGATCTGGCAGTCCATCGTCTGATCCGGAGCGCTTTCTCTTGCTGTTGTTCTTGGAGATTTGGATCACGAGGTTACCGCCATCGACGTCGGTAGCGGTTGGCTGCTCGTTAAGCTGCATGAGATAGCCTGGTGCTGCTATATTGTCAGTGTGGCACGAATCGCGAGCCTGCTCACTCACCGAAGCCTTGACCAGAGCCCTGTGGGTTGATGATCAAGATGGCGTCTTTGAGATCCAGATCTGCCAAGTCGCTGAATCGGAAAGGGCCATTGAAATGCAAGTGACATCCCTCGAGGTTCTGACCCGCCAATCCTCGCAGATCCGCCGGCCCGGTGAACACGATGGTATGCTGAGGCATCTTGACGAATATTGGGGAGCAGCGACCTCGACCCAAGTGCGAGCGCGAACGAGCGATCGAATGTGAAATTGGCCAGGCCTACAAAGGATGATCAGCTGTCGCAAGATTGGTGTGATGAGGTGCAGCAGAGGAGAAATAATTGTGTTTTGAGACTGGCAGTCGTCTCAAAGCAACCCAGCAACAGCTCGGCGCTGAGAAAGAGTTGCATCGTCGTGCACAAATGAGACGTCTAGCTTTTGCTCTACTCGCACCAAGGCTACACCAAGGCGCCGTAGCACGGCATGAACATCGCGTTGGCCATTACAGCAACGGTATACAGCTCAGGGTGTGCTGTAGCAGCTGCACCACTCGTCTGCATGCTCATGAGGCAGCTATAGACCCTGTGCAGGAGTGCAGTGAATGCTTCACAAGGTGGTTAGCTGTGGAGGCTTGCCCGGTGGTCTTATGGGACTCATTTTCTCTCAAACATGATGCATTGTTGAGCAAGAGCCAAGTCGCTCATCTAAAAATTGTACTTGGGATCTGATTATAGGTCGTGATCTTTTGCTCAGCCACTAGACCATAAATCAACACGAGGATCTAAACCAATCTAGAAAACGTACTACACACGACGTCTGTAGGAGGCAAGGCTTGATGCCAAGCCAGGCCACAGCCTCGTCCGGCTTGATTTTGGAACCGCGGCCACGATTCTTCGGAGACGTGTGAGGCCACTTGGCCAACTTCACGAGACAGACATTCCCCACTGCCGAAGCCTTGTCCTACCTCTCATCCTATGTGAGAATACGATAGTCTCTCCGAACATACCATGCGATGATCCTACGAGTCCGCTAGTCCCCGCGAAATCATGGCGTTCGCTCCATATTATGCCCAGGGCGCGGGCCTTTATGATCAAGATCCAAATAGACAGCCCCAACAGCAGCAACCTTCTGCTCCTCGCGCCGCCGTGGCACCTAGTCCGGCAGGCTATCAGCAATACAGCGGTTCTGACCCGAACGCATACGGGGCCAGGACCCAGTCTCCACACCCTCAACAGAGTCAATTCCCATTCCCACCGCAGCAGCTTGGACAGGCCGGACTGGATGGAACCGGAGGTCTGGCTGCACAGATGGGAGCGATGGACGTCTCAGGCCCTGCTCGATCCCACCGCAAGAAGGAAAGACATGCCTACCATGACCTTGGCCAGTCGGCTGCCTCCCAATCATTCCCCCAAACCGCCGAAACCGCCCCTCAATTTGTGAATAACGCTCAAAGCGCACCGTCTCAGCCGCCATCCATGTTCGTGAACCCTGCAGACAAGCTCAGGATGGGAGAGGAGGCAGTTACAACTCAAGGGCGTGTGGATCCGGAGCAAGTCCCAAGTGTGGCACGAGCGAGAGATCTTGCTACACAGCAATACCAGGGTCAGGTCTACCCCACGATGGAAAAGCATCTCCCACCGCCGGGTGCCATCCCATTTGTTTCACACGACCAGGGCAATTCGTCTCCAAAGTATGCTCGGCTTTCCATCAACAGCATTCCCAATTCCGCGGAGAGCCTCGCTTCAACTGGGTTGCCGCTCGGCCTCGTTATGCAGCCATTCGCGCCCGTACAAGAAGGAGAACAGCCAATACCAGTGCTAGACTTTGGTGAAGCTGGACCACCAAGATGCCGGCGATGCAGGACATACATTAATCCATTCATGACATTCCGGTCTGGGGGTAACAAAATGGTCTGCAACATGTGTAGCTTCCCGAACGATGTGCCTCCAGAATACTTCAGTCCGACAGACGCTACTGGTGTACGAGTGGACCGCGCGCAGCGGCCAGAGCTGATGATGGGGACCATTGAGTACCTTGTACCAAAGGAGTATTGGGCCAAGGAACCTGTGGGCCTGCGGTGGCTTTTCCTGATTGACATTACTCAAGAATCTATCAACCGAGGTCTCCTAGAAACGGCTTGCCAGGGGATCGTTACGGCGCTTTATGGCTCAGACCCCAACGCAGAGCCCACAGAAGAGACACGGCTGCCAATTGGCACCAAGATCGGTATTGTTACCTATGACAAGGAGGTACAATTTTACAACCTCAGTCCAGAACTTTCAAGCCCTCAGATGATGGTCATGCCAGACCTCGAAGATCCTTTCGTACCGCTTTCTACGGGCTTGTTTGTGGACCCCTACGATTCCAAGACACTGATCACATCTCTCCTCGAATCGATTCCGAACATGTTCAATCTCATCAAGAACCCAGAACCCGCGCTACTGCCGACACTAAACGCCGCTCTCGAAGCTCTGAAACCTACAGGAGGCAAAATCCTTTGCACCTTATCAGCACTGCCCACTTTCGGCCCCGGGCGGTTACACCTCCGAGACGATAGCAAAAACCGCGACACTGATGCTGAGAAGAGGCTGTTTACAACCGAAAATCCCGCGTGGAAGAAGACAGCTCAGTCGATGGTCTCGGCTGGCGTTGGAGTTGACTTCTTTGTGGCATCTGCGGGTGGCACATACATGGACATTGCAACTATCGGACACATGTCGAGGCTGACCGGCGGCGAGATGTTCTTCTATCCAAACTTTGTGTCACCAAGAGATACTGCCAAGGTACAGTATGAGTTAGAGCATGCTTTCCGGCGCGAGACAGGTTACCAGGCTCTTATGAAGGTCCGGTGCTCGAATGGTCTGCAAGTTTCTTCCTACCACGGATCTTTCCTGCAGCACTCGTTTGGCGCGGATCTCGAGATCGGCACCATTGACGCTGACAAGGCCATCGGTGTCATCTTCTCGTACGATGGCAAGCTGGATCCCAAGTTAGATGCCCACTTCCAAGCCGCCTTGCTTTATACATCAGCAACAGGCCAGCGGAGAGTCCGGTGCATCAATGTCGTTGCCGGAGTCAATGAAGGAGCAGCAGAGACTATGCGTACGGTTGACCAGGACGCTGTTGTGAATATCATTGCGAAGGAGGCATCATCGAAGATCTCGGAGAAGTCTCTCAAGGAAATTCGGGCCGGCATCACAGAGAAGACGATCGATGTACTTGCCGCTTACCGCAAAAATTTCTCCGGTTCGCATCCCCCGGGACAACTCGTTCTTCCCGAGCATCTCAAGGAGTTCTCCATTTATATGCTTGGTCTCCTCAAATCTCGAGCGTTCAAGGGTAAGTGTGCTCTTCGGATCATGGTCAATCTCTAACTCTATCCAGGCGGTATCGAACCAACAGATCGTCGTGTTCATTCAGCTCGATTACTTCGCTCCAGCGGAGTCGTCGAAACTTCACTGTATCTCTACCCCCGCATTTATGCCCTTCACAACTTCCAGCCTGAAGATTGCTTCGCAAACCCGGAGACCATGCAGCTGACATTGCCACCGACTGTCCGTGCTTCCTTTGCTCGCGTGGAGGAAGGTGGAGTTTATCTTGTGGACGACGGCCAGATTGTGCTCATCTGGTTACATGCACAAGTGTCACCAAACCTCATCGAAGATCTCTTTGGCCCTGATAAGCACTCTCTTCACGATCTCGATCCCATGCTGAACGAAATCCCTGTGCTCGACACCCACCTAAATGCGCAGGTCCGAAATCTTATCCAGTATATTCTGTCCTGCCGCGGTTCGAAAGCTGGCGCCATCCAGCTAGCCCGCCAAGGCATCGACGGCAGCGAATTTGAGTACGCCCGCATGCTAGTCGAGGATCGCAACAATGAAGCACAGAGTTATGTTGATTGGCTCGTCCACGTACATAGGGCGATTCAGATGGAGTTGAGCGGCCAGCGGAAGAAGGAGGAGCACGACGGCGAGGGCATACTGCAGAACCTGACTGGCCTCAAGGCTCCGTATTGGACATGAGCTGCTACGGCGAGTGGCAATGATGGATATGAGAGATGAGGTGTACACCATCACGTACAGAATTGGAGCAAAGCATATCGCTGCCACAACCACTACTTCACGTCGAATCGTCACCCCCTTTCTTTCCTTATCGCCACTTAATATAAACGCCCCGTAGCATCCAGAGGAGTGCGGTCATCGCCATTCGTTGTCGGCGTTGTGTGATGTTGTCATTTAGCCTGGGTGTGTACCATTTTCTGAAGCGTCTGCTGTCATCAATCCGAAGCACGTCGTCCACTGCAGATTGTGATGCAAGCCTCGGACACCCGTTTGTGTCTCACCCGCCAAAGGTCAAGGAGATCATCGAGCGGGCGATCCGTCCCCCAGCTGAGGCCTTTGAATGTGATCTATTATCATTTCGGAAAGCCTGCTCGCCAATCTTATCGATCTGACGGTGATCTCGGCGCCAACTATTCTCCTTCCCAAACGGCCTCTACCGACGACATCAGAGGGCCAAACTCATTGCTCGGCTCCCTTAAGAACACATCCACGCCCTTGACCCGGTACCTCTCATCGGCCTGCCTAAACAGTCCTTCCCATTCATGCTTTTCTCGATCATGGCTATTGAAGAACGCCTTCATCCGCAGGTTACTCGCACGCGTCTGCCGCTCCTGCCACCATCCGACGGTGCATGGGTCTGGTGTATGCGGATCCTGAATCACAACGCGTGAGCCCGGCCGCAGCGCTGAGACCAAGGCCTTCAAAATCTGTATGCAGTATTTGTCCGGCCAGTCGTGCATGATAGCGCGGAAGTAATATACGTCCGCGCTCACGGGCTGTGCGGAGAAGAAATCGTGCGTGGTGAACGTGATCCTCTCTTGCAACTCGGCAGGACACTGCTCTCGGCCGGCTTTCGCTGTTGCTTCTAGGTCTTGTACAATGAGGCGAAGCTTGGGGAAACGTAGTGCCAGAGCCCGACACGCAAACCCCTTGCCACCACCAACATCAACAATCAGGGCGCTATCTAGTGATTCCCAGTCGAAGTGGTCGGTGGTAATCGAATCGGGAAGCATGCTGGCAAGGCTCTCCATGGCGTGCGCCATAGTGGTAGCGCGCGAAGGATGATGTACTGCGAGCTCCTCGAACAATGGCAGTGATGCACCGTTGGCAATGGCCCAAGCGGACTCGGAGGGTTCTTGAGATCCTGGATAGTTTGCCATAGCGTCTATCTCTGATGCCAAAGTCGGGTAAAGCTCATCTTTGCTCATAGCAGCCAGCGCACGGACGACTCGATTCTCTCGCAGGCAAAGAGAGGCTGCTGTGTGCGCAATGTAGTTGGGACGGGGTTCGCGGAAGATGAAGTTGGTCATGGCGTAGCGACTGATGAGCTTGAAGTCGCGGAGGTCCATACCACATTTGCGGGCTACCGCCTCGAAAGCGGCTTCCTCGTCTACCGGAACATGGTCCACAATGTCGAAGTGGATGACTGCGGCGGTTGTCATAGCGTCGCCGGCCGCGCCGTTCATGGTGCCTAGCCACGGCGCGGCGGGACCTTGCACAAGGTGGTTGAGTTTGTGGATAGCACCTAGCATCGAGGCCTGAGCTGCTGCTGTAGAGGCTTGCGTGCCGAATTGAATCATTGGCGAGTGGCCGCGGCTTGCGGTGGACGGTACAGGTAAACTGTGAGCGCGAATGTGTTCATCTAGTACCTCCGCATTCCGCAGGATGATCTTCGCCAGCTCTGTCAAGGACATGATGCAACAGGGAATCCAAGGGAGAATACAGAGAGAAACAGAAGCAGCTGAACACAAGAGTCGTGAGTTCTGATCTCAAACAACCCCATGCATGCGCGTATGGCATGGAACTCCCTTCAGTGCTTACGCTTCACCCAAAGGCCTGACATGTTTGAGTTTGGTTGGGTGTTCATTTGGAAACTGCATCCCCGCGCTCCCATATCGGGTCAGTTGAGCGAGCGGGGACACAGAATTTCTGCGGATAAGAGCCAGTTGCTGATATTAAAGCGGTGCTAGCCATGAGCAGCGACAGACTTCGGTAAGCACTCGCAAACTGCCAATGTGACGGCTTGTGAGACGGACATGGCATGACGAGGCCTTTCAGCGGGATCAGTCTCAGCAGCATAGAACGACAGACTGTATCAGTAAAGAGTGGGCACGATGAGAGTGAGGTTTGACAGAAGTGTGTTCGGTGCTGTTGTGCTGTCTGGCTGCGGGAACCAACACCAAGTTAGAGACCTTAACAGCGCATACCAAGCGCTGGCCGTGACCTTCGTACGCTTAAATTGACTAAGATGACGTGCATACCCATTAACTCCAGACGCCTCCGCTGGGATTTCGCTGCAAGGGAACGGTGCAGAAGCAACATCAGCCGCACTCCGCTAACGGTTGGATGCGTTCGAGTTATTCCGCGATTGGTTCTCGCCGCATCTCTCACGGTATTGTTCTGAGGTTGTGCTGGCCTTCCGCTTCTTTATCTCTTCCTCGGTGAACTTCGGCTTGTCCTTCTCTGACAGCTGAGCAGCAGCAGCAGCGGCAGGATGAAAGTAGACGGGATATCTGCCTGTGCGCAATTTGATAGCTTGCTTGTCCTCCGAGGTCAATTCCGCATCGGCCGGAATCATCGCTGGTCTTCGCTGCGCGTTGTGGGACTTTGTGGATTTGGACATCGTGAGAACGGGGCAAATTCAAAACCAAAAGAACACTGTCGTGGAAAAAGCGATGTACGAGACATTCTGAGGGAATCAGTACGGCTCGACGCCGATCAAAAGGTGGGCAAGCGAGCCAGCACAGAACCGTTTTGGCGAAATATCGGCTCCATGCACGGACTCCATGGGCGGCAGCCGCCTACTGTTCACCCCCGCCGTCGTCTGTCGCTCTCCCGCCCGACTGGCCCGAGATGAGCCAACATGCGTCGGCACTTGCATCATAACGTATAGCCAATCACTCATGTGCCGGGGTGTGCACACGTGCCGGACGCTTTTGAGAGTGGGTGCAGTCTGCGGTCTGCTTCAGACACGAAGTGAAGCCCGATCGCTGCACCTGAGCGCGGCCAATTGGTCCCGCCAAGCCTGCGAAATTGCTTGGGAAGGCAACCGCGGGCCCCAGGATTCTTCTATCACGTTCACCAAATAAATGGGCAGGCGTCACCTCAGACCCCTTCGTGCAGTGCCACGCCCCGGCCCAAGTACATGCCGAAGCATCACAATGTCGATCAGATACCCCTGAGCCAGGTATATGGGCGTCTAGCACCATCGCCCCTGGCGCGGTCGATTTCACGCAGTGCAAGATCGTTTGCAACTGAGTCAAACCTACCCGATCCGCAAATGGGAGAGATGTCACGAAGGGAAGCGCGGTGCTCGACCATCCACATTGATGCGCTGTGAAGCTTCGCGGCCGTGGCGGCCTCTCCTAGTGCCCAGCCATTCGACACGATGTCCTGGCGTGTATCACGTTGACCGAAAACCTCAGGGGCATCGGGCAACGTTCATCTGGCTGAAGTCATGGCAGATGCACTTCCTTCGGAATGCACCCCACAAACGGAGCGAGGCGAACTACGATGAGTCCTAGGCCAATTAGTTCTGTTCGGTGGCTTCGCGATCGATTGATGATGCCCACGCCACGTGCGCTGGCGTGCTTTGTCCCGAACGAGGGCGGATACCACGGTGAGGCGTTTTGCTAGTGACCGCCAAGCACTCCCGCTTGGCCGCTGAAACCCATCATCACACACAAGGAGCCTCATCCCTCTACTTTCAATCTGCGGCCTGCATGTCCGAAGTGGTACGCCATTTCCCTTTCCGTGTTTTCGAGCTTGCACAACCTGCGGCCAAGACGTGCTCGTGGTAAGCGACCATGCTTGGCGTTCCCGAACCAGGCTGCACGACACTCTCGCCTCCATTGCAAAAGCATCGACTCCTTTACTTTTCGGTTTCAATGTACGTGTACCGCCTTGGTGACTACCGATGATGCGTGTCAGAAAAGATATATATCCTAGGTTGGGAGACGGCGAATTCTTTCTCTACGCCGTTGTCCATTCATTCTTTCCGCTGGTCGGTCTTGACGCTTTCATCCCCTACGAGCTAGTCTCTCGTTCAGTTTCGAATAAAGCACTTGCACTCATTAATTTCCATTCCCACAACCACCATGGATCGTTACATTGTAGTAGCGGCATTGATTGCGGTTGCACAGGCGGGCTTCGGCAATGAAAACATACCAATTCCTGCTATTCAGGCCGTACAAGGTGGCGAGCCAGGTAATACCAAGCAAGATCTACAAAGGGGACGACTCTGACTCCGATAGGTGCTGCCGCTACCATCGCCGGTGCTGCTATCAGCGACTTGCTCGCAGGTACCAATGCCTGTGACAAGCTTGTTACGGCCGACCAGATCGTCGCCGAGCTTGGAGGCGGTGCTGATGCCATCGCTGCTGCCATTGGGATGGTAGCTGCGGAGAAAAACACCAACCCCTTCGCTGTTGATGTCCCATCTATCTGCAGCGACCCCACCCTTCCGGTCACCCCAGAGCTTCGCGGAATCACTCCTCTCATTGACCCTAACACGAACAATGCCGAGATTGCCAATGACCTGTCCGCTCAGACTGTGCAGACCCCGCTCGATGCGACGGGAAAGAGTATTGCCGATCTCTTGACTGAGAATGGCTTCACCGACTTCACCCCTCAGGATTCCACTGGCGCCGCAGGTGCTGCGGCGGGTGATGCTGCGGCGGCAGGCGCTGATACTGGCGCTGGTGCTGCAACCGCTGTGGCCCAGAACGCCGCGGCGACCGGAGCTGCCCAGGCTGCGTGCGCTACTGGTGAGCATACTCTTTGTTGCAACTTCGACATAAGCGACTGACTCTACGTAGGGGCTGCGGTTGTCGCTGACGCCGCTAACAACTCAGCCAACGCGAATGCGGCTAATGCCGACGCCGCCGCCGACAATAACGCCGCCAACGACGCTGCCGCTGGCAACGATGCTGGCGCTGCTGCTGGCGGCGCAGGCGACTTTGGCACTTGCGACCCCACCATGAGCTTCGAGGGAGGCCGTGGCAACCGCCCCGCAGATGAATTCACTTTTCAGTCCAATGACGCTGTTATTGCCGCCAACCAGCAGGAGGCCTTGAACCCCAACATCATCACCAACCGTATCTGTGATGAACTCGGCAACATTTGTGGCGCTGATGAGGCAGCGATCGCCACTTGCGAGGATGCGCAGGCTCAAATCGAGGCTTTGGGAACTCGGGACCAGACCACTGCGGATGCCTGGAACGCATTGGTTGGCGGGGCCGCTGCTAAGCGCTCCATGAGACGCGGTATGCGCCTGTGAAACGTTTATGAGATATGATCATTCAGTATTGAAGCACAGTAGGGCATAAGCATGTATTCTAGGCGGATTAAATGAACAGTATAAAAGTTGACGGCCGCAACCAATCCAGCATACCCTACACTTTGAGCCTCTAGCTTTGTGGTGCACGTCTCTCGGCGGCCGGGTCTTGGACTCAGCTTGGCGTTTGCGTCTGCAGCTTCAATTATTACTTCCAGTCTGTTCATCCATAGACTTGTCATCCAAGACCTAAACGCACAACATTGGGCCACCCCAACGTACCACATATGTCATACACTCTAGCCGTGCATCAATTTGTAGTGGTGCGCTGCTTTTGCCTTCGATAAGTTGAAGACAAAATGGCGACATTCCCACTGAGCGGTAGAGTCGCCATTGTTACGGGTGCCTCGAGAGGAATTGGAGCCGGTATTGCGGAGGAATTGGTACAACGAGGAGCTAGAGTCGGGGATCCTCCGAGCTAAGCAAGTTCGAATGGCTAATCTCTTCCGTACAGGTGGCCGTGACCTACACTTCAACGTCATCAGAAGGAAGCATCGAAGAGTTCATCACACGGGTCTCACCCTTGACCAAGACGCCATATCCTTGTGTGATCAAGATCAAGGCTGATCTACGCGACATCGGATCACCGCGGAGGATAGTTGAGGCGACCATTGCTGCGTTTGGCCCACGAATCGACATTCTCGTCAACAATGCTGGCATCAACAAACCAACACCACTCGATTCCCTGACCGTCGAGGACTTCTCTGATATGTTCGACACTAACGTTCGTGCTGCTGTGCTAATGACTCAGGCAGTTCTACCACATCTAGCGTCAACGAATGCCCGCATCGTCAATATTGGCTCCACTGCTGCCAGGGTGGGCGTACCAGGCATTTCACTTTACACAGCTTCCAAGCTTGCCATTGAAGCATTGACTCGCTCGTGGGCGGCCGAGCTGGGTGATCGCGGTGTTACGGTGAACACCGTGGCGCCTGGCTCAACGCAGTCTGATCTGCTGGCCGCTTCGGCCGATGCTGAAGATGTCCAGGAGGAGGCCCGGAAGACTCCCGTTGAGCGGCGGGTGGGTACTCCACATGATATTGCTCAGGTCGTAGCCTGGTTGGCAGGTGATGATAGCAAATGGGTTTCGGGACAATGCATATGTGCTAGCGGAGGGTATCGTATGTACTGAGGGTTTTCCCAGAAGCAGCGCTTACCACACTACGGGGCTTGTGTTCCTGCCCAGGCGAGAACCTCGTGAAGAGCCGGATCTAGATCGTGATAAACTTTGATGCAGCAGATCATTGCAGGTCACTTCCCCGCTTCCCTGGCGTCACCCTCGGTTGAAGAACAGGCAAGACTTCATTCACATCGTCCCAGGAACAGAAAGCAGCGGCAGTCCTGGACATATTCTGTGCTACTTGTGTCCCGGAATCAGCAACAACAACATGTCTTGGGACAGTTTGCCGTCAAAGGCTTCGTTGAAGTCGAAACCCTGGGAAGCTCATGTTTCCGACCAAGAATTGGATGATTTCAAGCAGCTGCTGAAACTTTCCAAGATTGGACCAAAGACTTATGAGAATCAGCTTACTGATCGCTACTTCGGTGTCAATCGTGAATGGCTCGCCGAAGCAAAACAGCACTGGGAGACCAAATATGACTGGTAAAGCACCTGCACTTCTGTCAACCATTACTTATATCTTATAGGAGAAGAGCCGAGAAACGCCTGAACGCGTTCCCTAACTTCAAGGTGCCGATCGAGTCAGATGGCGTAACCTTTGACATCCATTTCACTGCTTTGTTCTCGCAGAAATCGGATGCAGTCCCGCTGCTCCTTCTTCATGGGTGGCCTGGTGAGCAAAGCTGTATATTTTCGGATCTTGCTAATACACCACAGGGAGTATCCTCGAGTTCATGGGCACTCTCGAAAGTTTGAGCTCGAAATATCAACCAGAAACCCTACCATTCCACGTGATTGTACCCTCACTTCCTGGGTATGGCTATTCTTCTGGCCCTCCGCTGGACAGGAACTTCACGACAGAGGACTGTGCAGCTGTGCTCGACAAGCTAATGGTCGGCCTCGGTTTCGGTGACGGGTATATCTCTCAGGGTGGTGACATTGGAAGCTTTTTGACAAGGATTCTGGTCGTGAAATCAGATTCATGCAAGACTGGCCACAGTAAGCTTTCTCTGCTTTGTCTCTTAGATTCTGTTCGCATCTAACCCTGTATAGTCAACCTGTGCATCGGAGTGAGCCCTCCTGATGAAAACTCAATTGGCCAACTCAGCGAGAAAGAGCGAAGCGCCTATGCTCGAGCAGAAGACTTCGGTCTACTTGGCAATGCCTATGCTCGAGAGCATGGCACTCGTCCTGCGACAATAGGTCTAGTGCTCTCATCTAGTCCAGTTGCACTCCTCGCATGGTATTTCGCAAGTATTGCGCTACACCCAAACTGACACGTTGCAGGATTGGTGAAAAGTTTCAGCAGTGGACAGATGAAGATCCTCCCATTGACGAGACACTTGATTCAGTCACGCTCTACTGGTTCACAGAGTCTTTCCCGCGAGCGATCTACCCATACCGCCAATTTTTTGGACCGAAGCCCACTTTTTTTCACAATGACCCGAATTTCTACATGAAGAAGCCCTTTGGTTACTCATGGTACCCAAAGGAGCTCGCCCCTATCCCGGTTGATTGGGTTGCAAAGACAGGAAATCTGACGTGGTATCGTCGTCACGATGAAGGAGGCCATTTCGCGGCTATGGAGAAGCCAAAGCTGTTCGTTCAGGATATGGAGGACTTTGTTCAAGAGGTTTGGCCAAAGGTGAAGTAGGAGCTCTAATACTTGCTAGATGGACGACGATAGTCGCTCATCAAGCTTCTGTAAATGACCTCGGCATGATCGACCATTTCTACTATAGGACTCCTTCGTCGAACCAATTTGACTTGTTTAAGAGCATTATGAAGCCATTGCAATACTATAAAGAACCTACGCAGGCCGCCTAACCAGCGGAATTGATGACTACAATGTCTTGCAAGAAGACTTCGAAGCAGACAAGTGCTGATATCCAACTATGCCCCCAGTGCCCATAGTGCGGATTTGGCGTGGACTTAGAGATGGACCAAGAGCGTTGAGTCTGTCAGGCAACTTCAATCTCTCTGACCACAAGCATTGTTTCAGAGCGAGATCCCTTCCCAAGCCAGCGGTCCCCTATGACTTCGATCACGATTTTCATGCCACGAGTATACCTTTGCTCGTCTTGAAGCGTGGAGCGAAGTTGGCGTTCAATTTGTCCCGAAAGTGCTGCCCGAATGTCGCCTTTATTGTCCGTCAGGAAGTATTGGTCTCGGTCATAGGGATGAAGCGCCAGAAACTAGACCAAATCAGCATGGCACGTAGGCAATGATCGCCTTCCAAAGCTTACGTTGATAGATCTGAGATGAACCTTTGAAAGATGTCGCTCCAATGCAGGGTAGTACCCTTTAAGATCGTACCTCACTGAGTCGTCGTCAAATTTGATGAAATAAGCCCCTCTATAGCCAAGCGCGGCGAGTTGGATTGCTCTGTCGGGAAGTCCTGTCCATTCATTCAGAAGTAATTTGTCCATTCTCGCCCGTTGATCATGAGCCCAACGACTAGCGGTCTTTGGAGCACCCATCCGGCCATTCGATCGACTGGTCCAGCAGATCATGTTACCGTTTGGACCAAAGACAACGCGAGGGCCCAAGTGTGAGTTGGTAGCATCATTGAGGAAGTTATCTATACTTTTCTCGAAGGTACTCCAATCTGTCTCTGTTGAGTATGATTCAATCTGGATCGATGTACTCACCAGCTGATGAGCCTCCCAGGTAGCCACCGCTCTTGTTGAAGGCGCTGAACCACTCATAATCCTGGTTGAAAGCAAACCATTGCACGCGCTGAGAGTTGATAGTGTCAATCTGCTTGTGGGGAAGTCTCCTTAGTAGGCCATTGGACAAACAAGCCCTACGAGAGTCAAGATACACTCGATACCCCTAAACAATTGAGAACCTGGCAGATTGACTTACTTGGTCTTGGAGCCGATATAGATGAAATAATCGTTACCACCAAGGTCCTTGCTTCGACCAAAGTGGAAGAACACCATGGTTATAAGCGCTGCTTATAATGTACTGTACGTCAAGTCCGGCTACAACGCAATTAGCTATTCGAGGCGGAGGCGAGTTTTTAATAGTGCCCATGGACGAGACTTGCACATGGAGGGGGGTGATGGAGGCATTCCGTAACTCCGACGATTCCGCTGCTTATCAGCTTCCAGACATGATGCGCTTGCCTGGAATACTTATCGCTTGAGCGTTGATACATGCGCTCCGTGATTGGCTCTAAATCGCTGTGGCTGGCTGATTGCTCGGCTCGCTCTCAAAGCAAAGGAGGCCTCGGCGAGTTGAAGCTTGAAGACTGAAGCTTGAAGGCTAAGCTTAACAGGCCAAGCCAGAGAGTCCAGACCGTGGACCTCCGCGGCGGCTGCAGCTCAGCTCGCGAGCACCCACTCACAGGCATCACTTCAGAGGTTGACTTCAGCGCCATGTTCAGCTGCAAGTTTATGGCCTCGTATCATCAAGACTGGAACTTTCTGTTCGTATCGGATGTCTTGATGAGTGTTCAACCTTGTAGTCACTCTGTAGTCGCGGAGCGAAAGCTGGCTAGAGCTTGCGCGACTTTGATACGAGTCCTTTGATATAGTTCAAAGAACCCTTGCTTGACGGCAGTTGTGACCTGAACTACCATGACTCCTCACTTGTCCACACTAGGTCAGCGCGGAAGGAACGGCGCTGAAGCCTTCGAAGTCGATCTTGGGCGGACTGGTGGTATACTCTGTGTCCAAGCTTCTATGAAGCTGCTTGCCAGGACATATCCGCAGTACTGGTATGCCGTTGCCTAAGCAATACTACCCCCTACAGCTGGTCGTTTGCATATTGCTGTAAGAAGCTGCATGATGGACAGGGCCTTCATTTTTCCCAGATCGGACGCGGGGCTTGAGCGTTACCCCAATTTTTTCCTCCCGAACATGCGGTAGTTGATGGAAACTTCCTTCCGATGTTGTGGGGAGCCACAAACTTCCCCACTCCAGTGGGGTTCATGGGGTGACTGCACCTTCGACTGTTTGTATAATGCTGGTTGTGCCAGCCTTGGGGTTTGACACTTCAACTATCGCCCACCATGCCTTCAGAGCGCTTCCTTGGAAACCTGCATGACTGCTACGTTACGACCGACACTAGAGCCAACAAGGAGCTTGCTGCCCAACTAAATGGTCTCAATGTTGTTGTTGCCGGAGCGGGAAGGGGGGTCGGTCGGGCAGCTGCTGAGCTTTTCAGTCACGGCTTTCCCAAATCACTCAGCCTCGTTGCCCTGGAACAAGATGAGGTTGACGATACTGTCAAGCTCTGCCAGAGCATCAGCAAATCTACCTCAGTATTGAGCCGCGCATTTAATGTGACTGACGCGAAAGCCGTACAGGCGTTCCTGAGCGATGTGGAGAAAACTTTCGGATCCATTGATGTGGTCGTTATGAACGCTGGTAGGCCGCCTCAATGGCTCCCAACGGCCGAAGGTGACCCGGATATCTGGTGGGACACCGTCGCCGTGTCGCTCCAGGGTGCATACAACTTCAGCCGTTACGCACTACCCATCATGAAAAAGCAGCAACATGGAAGGATTATCTTCACCTCGAGCGCCGCCTCTCACGCAAACGAAGGTATCAGTAGCTATATTGTTGGTAAGCTGGGGATGGTGCGGCTGGCCGAGATCATTCATGCCGAAAATTTCAAAGAGTCAAACATCAAAGCCTTCGCCATTCATCCGGGAGCCATTCCAACACGATTCTACCATGACTTCAAGAACAAGGCCGAAGGTCACACCGAAGACTTGCGATATATCTCTGACACTGCTGAGGGGGAGCAGAAGTCCGCTGAGACTGCCAAAGGCTTCTTCAAGGACGCGCATTGGGACACTCCCTACATGGCTGGAGGAATGATGACTGTGCTTGCAAGTGGCCAGATGGACTTCATGTCAGGCCGATATGTGGACTGCGCAATGCGTGTGGAAGACCTTGTCGCAAAGAAAGATGATATATTGAAGAACGATCTGTACCGTGTGCGCCTCAATGCTGGTGAAGGTGGATTGATTCCGAGGCTGGATTATTAAACCGAATCTGTTAGAGAGCGTGGAAGAGTGCGTGGTCTAATTGATCAAGCTCTAAAGCTAAGGAAAGGAACTATCTTGGTGGTGTATGCGTGTGCGTGCAGTAGGGCATAGAGTGCCAAGGCTTGCTGACTAAGCAAGGCTGCATCATAGCCTTGTCCTGCGAAGCGATAGCGGAGCAGGGATATATTGGGTTTTCTGCGCCAAGGAATTGAATCCTGCACGCTGATTGGGGCAGATCTCTGGCTTCTGATTGGTCAAAAGTCGTCACGTGTAGGTCTTCTGATTCGCTGAAAAAACACTCGTCACGTGACCCAAGGGGGTTCTAGGGGGCGTGCCCCCTAGCCTTGGGGGCACGGGGGGTATCCCCCCGTAATTGAAAGTTACGAAGGCGCTGGGGGCCGCCAGAACAGTTCTGCGACGTTAGAGCGGAGCAGGTCCCTTAGGTGCTGACCCTCTAGGCACGAGAGTTCGTCAGCACCTTCCCGCAGGGTATTTTAACTGAGCTCCGTTAAATCCGAAACGACGTCGTAGGCCTGGATCCGTGACAGAATCATGTCAACGGGACTCTTTGGGGCGGATCAAGCCAGAGGATCCATAGCAGGCGGATGATAAGCTAAGATGAACAACATAACCCAAGGTTTTGAACCTGACTCGGCAAATTTGATCGTTGTACTTCCGTTTCCCGCCTTCCGATGTCACAATGAGTAATTCGAGATCTAGGCCCCCGATCTAGACCACGCAGAGCTCGGCGATTGATTGGTCTAGAGGCAATCGGGCAAAACCTTGGCGGTATCCAAGATTTCAATCACAAAACCACCCTGCGGTGTCTGAGAGAGCGCAGACTGCATATTCCGAAATTATTTCATACCCATACAGACGCGCGATTCCACAAAACGTAATTTAACATAAATCTGAAACCAAATCTACTAGCCCCTCCCCCTGTAATCTCACACTATGTACATGTGAAAACTTGCCCTCTTGAGCCCAAGAAAGTGCCCCAGGGGTGCCCAAGAGGATGCTCAAGAAAGTGCCCCGGGGGTGCCCAAGAGGGTGCCCAAGAAAGTGCCCAAGAAAGTG